TCCGACTTGCTGCAAAACCCCGGTTCGTGTCGCCCAGTGACCCGGGAGGGATTCCGGCACTGGTGCGCCATGTTCTGTGGTGGACTTGTTCGATATGCCGACCGCGCGGTAGTTCGACGACACTGCCACATCGTTGACTGAAGAAGGTCGAAGCAATGACGTTTGGCTTGGGCCGGCCGAACCAGGCAAGAACAACTGGAGATGGTCACCAGCCGCCAGGCTCGCCGCCCTGGTCGTATCTGATCTGTTGGATACATGTGGATCAAGGAATACACTCCGTCTCTCGGTAAAATCCATCTGGCTCGTCTGGGGACGATCTGAAGCATAACTTGCTGGGGAATTCTCTCTTGGCTGTCGTCCATCCACGATTTCCATCCAAGAGTCGAGCACCTTACGGGTCGGCAGATCTACTGACTGCGAGACCAGGCCACCATTGGTAGGTCCGTCATTCGAATCGTCCAGTTCGATCGTCGAGCCCGGCTCATCCGTCGAATTGCTGTCGTTTTCGGTCACGATATTTTGGTTTGCGGTTGGACGTGGCTCGGGTGGTCCAGATTTCCTGGCTGTGCGAGCATGATGCGTCTGGCGGTAGACATTGCCCTGAAGGCGAGGAACTGGCCACCTAGATTTTGACTCGGTCAATCTCCACTGGACGAACTACAAGATCCCAGATAGGGCTCACCGGCGTCTCCTGTCGTGGCTGTAGGTGCAAACGATGTTATAAAGCTTGCAGTTGGAGCAAGTCTGCGGCTGGTTGTCGCACTGAGAGAGCGGTCAGTGGAGGTATCCAGTCTGCGTCGTGATGCAGGGTGAAATACCCTGACTTTTCGCTTGCGACAGTGGTCGCAAGCCATGCTTGGGTTCGAGTAAGCAAGTTAGAGGAATGACACATTCTTCCGCCGGTTGTATGTAGGTGCAGTTCAGACGTTGCTCGACATTGGCGCGCGCAGACATCGACCCCGCCAAGGTCACCAATAACCCCGGTTCAAGGTGCATGTTGCATGCTTTTCCGACCTCGGCGGTAAGGCTCAGAGGGTCAATTGAAATGACGCTGAATCTACTATCTATGGATTGACATCAGGCCCAGTATGTACATCGGTTCAGCACGTTAAGGGCACGAAAAGGTTCGAACAAGCCCCATTTCGAAAGGAAATCTAGCGGTGATATGGACATTCTTTTTGCCATACAATACAATGCCATTACATAGTCCCCTGAGAGACTCCAATCCGCTGAAGCTTCTATCGCAACTCCTCTCTGGTGCACCGAGAAGGGACGAGCACTTGTGAGGAGTGGTCCGAGTCCCATTCCGCTGATGATACATTAACGCCGACTACACCTGTGGCGGGAGTGGTTTACCCGATGTCAAAGGGTGTATAAAGATTGTTGCTGAAATTGTCGTCAAAATTTTCGAACGAAAAGTCGGAATAGTGCGGCAGCATCAATGACTTGTCGAGGGCTTCGAGGAGATAGGACGACGGGGGCGGTTCCATAGTATCGCTAATGTCATCTCGCAGCTCAATGCCTGACAACTGTACCGCAGGCACAGGGCTGTCGTCAGGGATCCCTAGGAAATCATAGCTCTCCGCTGGTACTAAGTTAGGGACAGATGGTAAGTTCATTGATGAGTCGATCTGACGTGCCCTATGGTCGGTTTGTCCAAGAGCAGTGCCGTCGTCTTCAGTCATCCCGGCAGAGCTCCGATGAGTGGCTAGGGATAGTCCCTGTGGTCCAGCGCCGTCCCGAGTGAAATCCGTCAAATACACTGTTCCGGTGCAAGCAGGAGCTGAGGCCAGATGAGGACTGGATGTCGTAGTTTGAAGCTGCTGTGGCCCATTGAGCAAAACATCGTCAAGTCTTAGTCCTGCATCGTTGAGACTCTCTCCAAAACGGTGCATCAGGAGCCGTGCACATTCATATTTTGCCACCATCCCTGCGAAGACCCTCAGGTACGTCCCTAGAGACTGAAGCGCAATAGGTTCTTTGGACGAGCTCTTGGAGTGAATGATAGCAAGATGCACGACGGTCGCGGGCATCAGCGCCGAGCAACTGTCAGGAACACAAACATCAGCTTGAGACTGTACGCCATAGTTAGCGGGATGGCAGGCAGACTTACGAGGCGGCGGGAAGGTGATCGATCAAGTCGTCGCGGATGACAATCGCCGCCAATTTGGTGAGTTCGTCAACGGCAGCACGAACCATGTTGGCCGCAATAGATGTAGTCATGGTCTCGCAGTATAGTCGCCCGATGCCGTTGCCGGTCTCCTTGAGGAGCTGCGGAAAGTGCAAGTGGCAAACCACAGAATAGTAGAACATGTTCACCAACACGACGTGGACCTTCACCCTGGCCTCCAATCTATCAAAATGATGTTCCCCATGGTCTTCCTGGCCGACCGAGCTGTAGGAGCACTCGGGAGGGAGATCAGCTAGCCACGATTGCAAACGCTGCCCGAAGAGTTTCGTGACAAAAGACGTCCTCATAGCATGATCGACGCTGCAACACGGTGCTGCGCTTGTGTCCACAGAGCTCGTCTTGCTGGGGCCGGAGACGAAGGCCTGTATGCCGTTGATGATAAGACACAGCTTGGCCATCTGTACAAAGGTCACGGCCAATGTTCGCTCGGCGACGTAAGAGCGCTCGCATGATCCTGTCATGCTTTCACCCTGGTACACTCCGACCGGAATCTCGTCAAAGTCGTCGAGAGTCACCATGGTCGTCGTGCGTTCATCAAACTTCATTCGAGGCGCGCATCTCAGGCCAAGAGCCAGGCAAGCGTCCCTGATGAAGCAGCTCCACCACAGTCTCCTCTGGAGTTTCCGGGACTGACGCTGGGTGATTACACCAGTAGAAGTCGGCTCTTGAAGATTGGTGGACTGCAACGTGTTGACCGCCAGCCCATTCCAATGCCATGTGTCTTTCTGGGTTGCGGGTATGCCCACCCAGTAAGTCATGAGAACCAAAGCCTGCTGCACGCTGAAGAGATCACTCTCGCAGTCCAAGTCATAGAGCGATTTGGCCCGCATATAAAACGTGTCTCGGGCGGCAGTACGCGAGGCGAACTCCATTCTCTTGATGCATGCCGTGTCAACATACTTTCAGAACAACATCAGCGTTTACTCGTTGGACACGATTGAAGACGGCACGACGCAAAGCACTTACCGAGGTCGCTGCTCCCAGAACCGCGTTCAGTGTGAGCAGACTGATACGATCGCGATCTCTGGCTTGCGTGACTCCCTCAGAGGGATTGGCATGTAAGTGGCAGACGTCCCGCAGATTCTTGATGTCCAGAAAGGGGTTGAATGGATGCACAAAATGGGCGTAGCAATCGACAAGCGCCAGCAGATCCTTGGCCGAGGGCAGCCAGAATGCACCTTTCGAAGAGAGATAAGAGACTTCATCATGGCCAATTCGAGAAGAAAGCGGTCGAATAAAGCTGGGGAGCTGGATCGTTGCAGAGCGTCTGCGTGGCCGTCTCGACGCAGCCGTATCTTCGTGATGTCCGTCTGTCGCTGCTTTGGCTGCTGATTCGGGCAGGTCAGAACACACACTGGATATTTCTCCCAGTGTGACTTACAAGGTGAAGCACTGCTGACATCTCGCGTCGCTGTTGACCCACCACTTTCATTGAGAGGCTGGAGCTCTGTTGAGGGACGATCCGTCATCGATGACAAAGTCGAGCCAGGTGCAGCGTGCTCCTGAGTCACCACCTCAACTGCAATGGTCCTAACGCAGGAAACTATGAGTATTGGCGCCCGCTATATCAAATGTTCTTGACAAGAAAGTCGGTCGATCACTGTGGACGCACTTTCGACGTTTCTGCAGCTCACCTGGGGCCTGGAGCTTAGCTGGCCGCTTCTTGTTGCCCAAAGCATTGGCTCTGGCGTTAGAAGCCCTGTTGGGTTGTTTGTTATTCGCTTCGGGAGGTATGGTGACTATGTTGGTGTGTTCAGGGTTTCGCTCAATGACGTTTCGGTGCAACAAGGCGTCATGCCACACTGGTTCTAGCTCTCTCGGAAAAGGAACTGTATGATATGATGTACTAGCCATTCCGACATTAGCGGATACCTGTTTGGGTACGAGGCAAAGGCAGCAAGGCGTTCCTTATTGTCCAGGCGACGTCGTTTTCCGCACCGCCACAGAGACACGCAGAGACGGCAGAAGTCACTTCGATTTGCACCCAAGAGGTATTCCCATGTAATTAGATATTAGCAGGACGCCAAACAAGAACTAGTCTCAAGTTTTCCCCCGCACTTTGATGGGCCTCGGGTGATGCGGGTTTTCGGCCAGTCATTGACTGTGTTTCATTCGTTGCGAAGGTCGTTGCATGGTCAAGTCCTCCTATCAGGTAGAAGAGGGCTGGCCTTGTGAGCTATTTGCACACAGGAACGGAATTCAATGATCCGTCCTCGCAACCAATAGTACTGCTTGTGATTCGTAAAACAAGCGCTCATTTCGGCAGGATGGAACCTACATAGGCCTTGAAATCCCGGGCCAGACCAGGATCCAGAAGTATGGACAATACAAATAGTCTACAGACTTGACGAATGTTCCAGGCCATCTCATTGCTGAAAACTATTAAAGAGTCTTCAAGAACTTTCGTGATGATGAATGGGTACGGTTGAACAAGATGAAGAGGACCACGTTATTTCGACATAAGGCAAGCATAAAGGCGAGCGTAATGGGAATATTGTGACCGACGGCGATGCGTACAGAGCTGAGAATTGACCGGTCCTCAAAGGCCAATTTTGATCAACCTGCGAAATAAAGACCTGCGCTGGGGGCTTCTCTCGTAAAGGATGGAACTCTTCTCGATCCGAATCTTCACCGAGAAAAGTTTCATGTCAAGCGCTGAGTGTTCGACTGCTTGTATAGAGCTGAACTGAGGCTGAAGACTGGTGCAATTGAGACTACGGATACGCAGAGATGCCTCCGTTTACATGTGGCCTAGAATGTAGCGAATTGGCATCCTCCCATTGCATATGTGAAATAACTAGTAAACATCTCAGTCAGCAACCGTTGTCGACGCATCCGACGAGTCTATGGCCCCTTTCTTCGTAGCTGTTCTTCGAGCTTCTTGCAACGAAGTCTCTGCTGCTTGAGCGAGTAGCCCAGCGTCGGTGGCATTGATGATATAGTCGAAGCCCAGCGACAATCTTTTCTGCAGCGACGCGGTTGAACTGGCGAGAATTCCAACTGGCTTTTCCGTCGCCTTGTCGGCCTCTACGATCTGGCGTAGACAACCCAACAAAGAAGGCTCGTCACCATCCCCACCAGATAGCCCTAAAGACAATCTCAGATCGAACAGTCCAACAAAAGCTCCACTGACACCTTCGCATGCGAGTATAGCCTTTGCACTCTTTACTCCCTCGGCAGATTCGAGCATCACCACCACTGCCACATCTAGCGCCTTCGACTCGATGCAGTACCCCTGAGTCTTTTCAACATTGTGACCGGCAAACGGCGCATGTATTAGACCAATGCTACGCTGTCCCAGAGGCGGATAGCGAGCCCCTTTGCATGATTTGTCGTGCATCCGCCTCGGTGTTGACCATGGGCACAACGATGCCGTCTGCTCCACTATCCAACCCCCATTTAACTCACTCGACTCCGTGTGATGGTGTGCGTACGAGCGTACTACAATTTCCATTAGACGCCGCTGCAACAGCATGCACAACGTGCGTGGCTTCGTGTGCGGACACGGGCGTATGCTCCGTGTCAGTAATGACACAATCAAAGCCAGAGTTTCCAATGAGCGCAACTGCAAGGTCGGAGAACATGCTGATGAACAGCCCCGTACATGGTGTTCTCTGGGAGATTACTGATGTGAATGAGGGCATGCTGTCGACCGGATCTCAACGCCAGAGACTCTCAGGAGGTGGGCTGAGGATGAGGTCACCAAGACTTCTACCCAGAGTGGAGCACCTGATGAATGCAGAGATTCCTGGGAGCATCAACAATCAACGCAGCTCCTCTTGTTGACTTGGAATAGGACTATACCAGCTGTATTTCTGGTGCATGGCTCGCTGTGCTCGGCCGCGACAGCGTTTGCACCGATTGGGGACAATGCCGAGGGGCTGGTTTCTCCGCGGGGAAATAGAGAGGCTAGGGGATGCACTGCTTCCATGGAATTCCCAGTTTCGTCGACATCGAATAGATTCTTCTTCAACCTTTGTATAGGGAGGATGTTGGCTATGGTCAAAGGAAAGAAAACTTCGTTTTAGCCTGCAAGCACGTCTTCTTTCGCAGGTCCCGTGTTCTTGCCTTGAGCAAGGTATCGTGAAGCTGAACTCCAGCGTCAAGATGGCTGCTGACGGCTCTACCTTACGCCTTACACCCTTGCGCGAAACATTTGTCGCTCAGGTCGAGGGTATCGACTGGACAGCGCCAATCTCTGACGCGATCATTGCGGAAATACAAAAGGCCATCGATAAATATGGTGTTTTGGTTTTTCGCAAAGCAAACATCGACAATGAGGCGCAGGTAGCTTTCACCAGCAGGTTCGGAGAGCTTGATTACATGCCCACCGTCCACATCAAAGGGCGCTTTCCTCAAACGCCGCAGATTTTTGACCTATCCAATATGGACGAGCAGGGGAACATCATTATGTCGACAAATCGATTCTTGTCCATGTCCATGAAGGGAAACCAGCTGTGGCACGCCGATATGCAATATCATCCACACCGTGATAAGTACTCCATACTACGGGGAGTCGAGATCCCCCCACCTGGCGTAGGTGGTGAGACCGAGTTCGCCGACTCTCGTTCAGCCTATGAAGCTTTAAGTCTGGAATGGAAGGAGCGCGTGGAGAATATGGTGATCAACTGTTCCCTGGTCCACAATCGACGGACCGGAGCCCCCGATTTATACAAGGACGTCGACCCGATGAAATGGTCAATCTCTCGCTGGAAGGCTGTCTATCCTCACGAGGGAAGTGGGCGTAAGAACCTTTACGTGACGAGCTACGGTTATAAGATCGACGACACCTCGGTCAAAGAGAGTCAAACAATCATCAGTGAGCTGATCGCTCACGGCACACAGCCACAATTCGTCTACAAACTATCTTGGGAGAACCCGGGTGACATGGTCATGTGGGACAACACTGCAGTTTGGCATCGTGCACTCGACGACTCAAAGTTCCAACATAAATTTAAGAGAGACATGCGGCGGACAAATACCCTGGATGATGGACCCCATGGTTGGGGAGAAAACGACCCGAAGAACAACTGGAGAGTGCAAGTACCAAAAGATCCATATGCACATGAGAAAATCGTGCCGAAGACCACGCCGGCGGTCCTTCCTACGGCCGTGGAAGCACAAGTCTAGGATGCTGATAGCCCGGATTCTCATTCTAGGTTGCGTGCGCGGAGGACCAGAACAACATGACCTCCCAGGGCAAATTTAAATGTATCTTTGTTCCGATTTATGATGATTCTACTCAATGCTTCGACAACTCTCACAACCCATGTCGGGGTAGGCGTGCCACCTGAGCATTGCAATTGTAGCGTATGAGTATACGGTCGCGCGAAACTACCCGCTTAAGACCACGATATCCAGACTTACGAGGGTGTCGTATGCAGAGGTGGCATGGAAGACATTGGTTCATATCGCGTAGATCAATAACACAGGTGTATCCACAGCACAAGCTCACCAAGCACATAGGACCGACTTCAAGGCATATGTACCGAGTACCTCGTAGATACTATTTTTAATTGGCTGCGGTGGATCCGTGGTGGATCAGCACTGGAGATCGGGAGCCAATCACATGCGGCTCGGCAAAGCGGGGCCATTCCCGCGGAACAGTTCGGTGTTGTCGCTTTGTCGCTTGAACCATCTGATGGACATGTCAACAAAGATGCGGGGAGCCTCGGTTCCTCTTTTAACTTTGCATATATCGCCTCTTGATGTTCTGCCAATCCCGAGTTTCGAATTAGTGGACTCAACTCCAGGTACAACCTGAGCTGTTTGTCCCGTCCTCAAAGCACCGATCCAACATGATTAGCGGCGAGGAAGTATTGAAACACAACACGAGGGAGTCCTGCTGGGTCATTGTTCATGGCCAGGTATACGATGTCACCAACTTCCTAGGAGACCATCCTGGAGGCGCCGCAGTCGTCCTTCGACATGCTGGTAAAGTACGAACAGAGAGCTTGGTTCGACCTTGGATATTAGTTCCATGGCTGATTGCATTATGTTCCTCTAGGATGTCTCGGAGATCTTTGATCCTGTCCACCCCAAAGGCATACTTGGAGAGACTCTTACTGCGGGTAAGGCTGGCTATTGCGACGCTGATATCACCACATGAGGCCAAAGACTGAGACGAACTTTGCCAGAACAAATCTTAGGGCCGGTAGATCCTGCGAGCAGCATAACCAAAGCCTCACCCCCTCAGGCAAACGCCGAGAATGCGACCCCAGAGAACAAGCCACTCCATCTTTCGCTCTGCATGAACCTCGACGACGTCGAGATGAGTGCGTGCAGAGTCATGTCTCGGCGAGCGGTAACATTCATCACGTCAGGTGCTGACAGTCTCGCTTCGGTGCGGCAGAATCGGAAGGACTGGTCAAAAGTTATATTCAGGCCGAGGGTACTCCGGAACGTGACACGAGCCGACATGACGCGCGACATACTGGGCAAGAAAAGTAATCTGCCATTTTTCATCGCGCCAATGGGTATGGCCAAGCTTGCGCACGACGAGGGAGAATTGGCCCTTGTCCGTGGTGCCGTGGACAAGAATATTCCATATTGCGTGAGTGGGTATTCGTCTATTCGCCATGACGAGCTTACGGCTTGTCAAAAGGAGGCGGGAAAAGGTGGTTTTTTGTTTTATCAACTATATGTGGCGAGGTCGGGTGCGGAGGCCACCCGACGGCTGATTAGGAACGCGCGAGACTTGGGCTACGAAGCACTCTTCATCACGGTCGACGCTCCCGTCATCGGCAAACGAGAAGAGGACGAGCGATACAAGGCTGAGCTCGACTATGCTGCCGGAGATTCAGAACTGGTCGAGCGAACCGCCCAGCCCACTGCGGATGAAGGACCGCCGGTATTGCGAGGGGTGCACTCCTACACCCTTTCCTGGGACGACCTCGCTTACATTCGAGACGAGTGGGGAGCGTCATCAGGACCTGTCGTCATCAAAGGCATTCAAACGGCCGAGGACGCGAAGATGGCGGCTGACATGGGCTTTGACGGCATCTACTTAAGCAACCATGGCGGTCGCCAGCTGGACTACGCTCCAAGCTCAATCAGAACCCTGCTTGAAATCAGAAGATTCTGTCCCGAGATCCTGTCCAAAGTGCAAATATTCCTGGACGGCGGCATTCGTCGTGGTACCGACATCGTCAAAGCATTGTGCCTTGGGGCCACGGCCGTGGGTATCGGTCGACCATTCAATTATGGAATCGCCCTCGCCGGTGTTGCAGGTTGCAACAAGGTCACACAGCGTAAGACTTTTCCTCGACATCTACATTTTGATTTTGAGTTTCTGACATGCTACAGTGCTGAGCGATGAGATCGAGACCACTATGAGGCTTCTTGGGGTGACAGATCTGGGACAGCTTGGTCCAGATATGGTAAACTGCAGGGCATTGGAAGAGCGGCTTCCACTATTACTGCAGTCCTTCCACGCAGCACCAAGAGCAAGGTTATAGAATGAACCCTCACAATTCGGGGATGTCGCAATGCAGCCATTTACTTCCAAGAATAAGCATTCTCAGGAGACTGAAACCTGTGAAAGTTTACATATTCTGTTCGTCTATTACTGATCATCTCCTATCGCTGCCCAGCCACGAATGAATATACATTGTCAAGATCTCCACAGGAACAAGACTTGTAGAGCTCTAATCTTGTGCCCGAGAACTGTTGGGTGCTTCTGCTCAAATTTTTTTGTTGTCACGGTCAATTCCAGTGCCTGCAAGCTCGGTTGTTCAGCATGCCTCACCGGCAAGATAACGAAATGCGGGCACCCGTGCATGAAGTTCTTGAACAACCGTCACCTGTCAGAGGCTCCGAACATGAAGCTTTCGCAAACTCTGCGAAAGCAGACATTTCAGTGTAAAGTTTACCACTGTGCCTTTTCTTTTCCGAGGTGCTGCATTGGCTGCCTCGTGGATTCAAACACCGGCGTAACTCTCCCCAACATGTCGGCTCATACAAGCTGATGAATGGCGAGGGTTGTTCTAAACCGGAAGTGGAGTTCAGTATTCCGACTGTCGCAAGCCCCAAGCGGTATACATCTCCTCGCCCTTCCACTCCGAACCGGAGATCGAAGTCAGACCCCGCGGGTGCGGACCATGTTTGTGGAACACTAGTCTCCAGCATTAGATGGCGCTTCGGGGATGCGTGACCTTGTGGCAGCTGGAGGGGAGTCGGCCTCGGTGATAGCTGGCCACGTTCAACGATCCACGGAAGTATGTCTTGCACACCGACCCAGGATATACCAATCTATTGCCATCGCTGTTCCACGATCCCATCGACTGTCTGGGACAATTACTGCAGACATACCTTCGTCCTCAGCCCAACATGCCTCATGCAACCGGGATCGAGGTCACCCAGATCGGGCCGACCTTTGCTGCTGAACTACAAGGTATCGATTTCAGCCAGCCAATCTCCGACGAGACATTGGAAGAACTGAAACAAATCATTGGAAAATACGGCGTGGTCAGTGTCCGCAAGTTCGGGCCCAAGTCTGACGACGACTTGATTGCATTTGGCGCGCGCTTTGGAGAACTCGACTCGATCCGGCCGCACAAGCGGGCGGGGAGGAAGATGCGGATCCCGCAAGAGGAGATTTTCGACATCAGCAATCTGGACGACCAGGGACAGATCGTGACGGCGTCCGACGAGGAGCGAACGGCCACGGCCTATGGCAACGCACTGTGGCATGCAGACGGGACGTTCAACCCGCGCCGGACACATCTCTCGATGCTCCGTGCCGTGACCCTTCCTCCCGAAGGCACGGGCGGCCACACGGAATTCCTGGACGCGGCACAAGCGTACGACGACCTCTCCGAGGAGATGAAGGAAAAGATCAAGGACTTGGTGGTCTGCCACTCCCTGTTCCACAATCGAAAGACGGCCAACCCGGATTCGCCGCTGTTCCAGAACATCGTGCCCCAGGATCACCCCATGGGCAAGCACAAGGTCGTCCAGCGCCACGACGTCACCGGCCGGCCGGTTCTCTTCATCAACTCGTACGCGCACCACGTCGACGGAATGCCGCTCGAAGAAGGACAGGCCCTGATCCGGGAGTTGTTTGACCACATGAAGCAGGAGAAGTACATGTACACGCATCACTGGAAGAGCCCGGGGGACTTTGTCATCTGGGACAACACCGGGGTTCTCCACCGGGCGACCATCGGCAACTACCAGCATCACCACGTCAGAGACCTGCGAAGGGTCTCGACGTTGGACAGTGGCCCGGCTGCGTATGGAATGAATGATCCCAACACGTTTTGGCAGCAGGGTCTACCATAGGCCTGGATGTGGGATTATGTGGGTGGTAGTGATTCGAGCTTGCGATGGGACCCTTTTTGATGTAGCCGTGGTGGCAGCCCGTTTGCATGAATATTGATTCTGTATAAAATCCGCTTCCGCTCCACAGTGCATAGTTGGGGAATGGATCGGGGCCGCAACTTCAAGCGCAAGTTCGTACAACCGCAAGTTCGCTTAGTGCTTGGCAGAAACGAACGCCAGCCAAATTTGCAGGCGCTCGTTTTCGATAGTCACACAAACGAATATTGAGCAATTCTTGCAATCTGACCTCGCTGCCGCCTAACCTCGCCGTCGCCTGTTTTGTATAGCCAACCTTGGTGTTGAGTTCCACCTGTTCTGTCCAATGCCTAGCCAATCCTCGCCCTGGCGTGCTAGGCCAGGCTGTCCTGACCACCTCCGCCAGGCACTTGAGAAGGCTGTAAATGCTCTACCAGTCGAATGGCTAGCCGATCCTGTCAACAATGAGCCCTTTGAAACGATCGACGATTGCCTCAGGCGCCTCGTTGGATACTCGCTATCCCAGGGCTTCGACATTGTCAAAGGCTCAGGTGGAACAAAACAGTTCCCTGGTAGCACTTTCCAATGTATCTACCACGGCAAAGAGACGCGCAACTACCGTGGCCTTGAGGACAAAGTTGAGAGGGACGAGAACGGCGTAATTATCTCAGACCGCAAACGCGAACTGACTCATATTCGTGGTACTGACTGTAGATGGTCCTGCCGTGTTTCCTGGAAGTCAATTGGTAAACGGAACAGTAGAATTAAGGCCTTTATCCTTACTGTCAAGTCTCTGCAGCATACAGGCCACCCATTGAGCGATAATCCTTTGATATTCCATCGTCATAGAGAGGGGCTTGCGGAGTTCCAGGCGGCTATCGCACAGGCGCGATTACACCGAATCAACACCATCCCATTCTCTGCTAGTCGCAGGATCCTAGGATCGGACGAATTCGGTGTTATTCTGACGTCGAAGGAGTACTATAACTCAGTCAGATATAAGCCTGCCTCAAAGGATAACGATCGGACTATCAATGGGCTAGTCCTTGCCTTGCAGACCGAGGGCTTTGTATACGAAACGCGGCTCGAGGAGATGGTTAACGACACTGGTAGCATTGTCAGTAGGAAGTGCCTACAGATCTGGTTCTCACACCCTGACCTTCTTAAGGCGACCTCTCGATTTGTTGCAGGATCTGTCTGCATTATCGGTGCAACCTTCAATACAAATAGGCAGAGAATGCCTATGATTGTAGCAGTTGGTGTACTAAACACAGGCAAGACCTTTCCTGTGGCGTTCTCATTCTGTCCGTCTGAGAACCACGCGTCCTATTCCTTCTTCTGGGAGAGTCTCAAGGTGCACTTACCAGGTCTTGTTCCACCTGCGGTTATCATCTCAGACCAGGCTAGAGCGATTCTTTCATCGATAACTGAGTCCTTTCCGTCCGCGAGACATTAGATCTATAGCTGGCACGCCGTCGAGGCAATGAAGGTTAAGTTTCGTAAAATGGGCCACAAGACTGATCAGATCAGTAGGCATGAAAAGGCTACGGAAACGCTTACCGATCTCGCCTGGACTTATATCAATGCAGGCACTCAAGAGGCACTTAAGGCTAGACGGAACGACCTGAAATCGCAACTGCTAGAACCCGAATATCTCGATGAATGGCGTGATAAGGAAGACCGTGTTGTGGCAGTGTATACATCGAACCTACCAAACCTCGGCCATCGATCTAGCCAGCGATCTGAGTCCTACCATAACGTGGTCACACAGATAACAAACGGCCAATTGAACCTTGAGACAGCGATTAAACGCCTCTGCCAAACAGTCAAGGGGTCCTTAAGGACGTCGCAGAATCCAGAGATCGCTCACTTGCAAGTTATCCAAGAGGTGCCCACGGCCCTACCTTTCAATATCTGCGATTTGCAGTCAGCGACTACGCCCTTGAAAAGGTCGCAATTGAGTGGTCTTACCTCTGTGAAATCATGGCCTCAGGGAACGCCAACTTAGGCGAATGTCACTGTTCGTTACTCAGGCAGTTCCTCCTACCCTGTAGGCACTACCTAAGACGCGCCTGGGAGACTGGCGAGCCAATTCCTCGGACTCTCCTACATCCACGGTGGTGGCTAGAAGGGCCGCAAATCACCTCCACAGACTGGATTCCTACCTACCCTGAGATCGAGATTCAACCACGGCAAGACATCACAGAATCGATGATAAATAGGCGGATAATTGAGCAGATTCGAGAGAGCCTTGAGAGCACTAAAAGAGAGCGGTTTGATAGGCAACGAGACCGTCTACAGGAACAGATGGAACGAGAGTTAATCCGCCTAGGTGAACAACGCCGCGATCTACAGAACCTACCTATCGGCGCGCCCGATCCTGTGCCTAAGCGGACCTGGGTAAAGAGACGTGAACATGGCAAGTCTACAGAGAGGGCCTTGATCGCTAGCGAGATCGGCGAGCGCCAGGAGCGCAGGCAACACCAGGTAGAGAGGCAGGAACAGCGCTATCAAGAGGCACTCGATCGACGTTCTGAGAGGCCTCAAGAGGCGTTTATGCACACCTTTCGATTTACGCCTAGTGGTGTCCAGAACGTCGTTCAGGCACCGCAGAGACATCGACCACCTCCGATTACTATAGAAAACGCTAGGGAGGAAGAGGTGGAAGATGTGCCAGAGACCCCTCCGCCATCGTCCTTGACTGAGCCAACACGCCTAGTGCCTCAGACGCCAGAGAGGCCGCGGCCGCGCCGCAGTCCTTCGCCTGAGGACTCTCCTGAACTAGTCCGCGAGCGACTACCTCTGTCGACCGCGCCTCCTGGCATTGGCAGTGGTAGTGGTAGGCTTAAACGAGTGCGCAAACGGACTACTAGGCTAGTTGAGGCTAGGCAACAAGGCTTCCTGCCTAACTCGCAGGACGACTGAGATAAACACCAAGGTTGGCTATACAAACAGGCGGCGACGAGGTCAGGCGGCGGCGAGGTCTAGGAGGAGGGATACGGAGGATGGCAAGAGGAAATAGACGCTAGCTAAATTAGGTGTAGTTCGTTTCTGCCAAGCACTAAGCGAACTTGCGGTTGTACGAACTTGCGCTTGAACTTGCGGCCCCGATCCATTCCCATAGTTGGCATTTTGAGCCAAGCGTCAAGGGTCGAAGGAGAGTATCCCAATGCTAAACCTAACAAGATTAGACTTAGACATCTTGACCTCTGCTCGTAGTAATAGTTTACTTGGCTGGAGACAGCATCTGTGTCCTGATAGGCTATTAAGAGCTGTGGCTACGTCCAAATCGAGTCGAAGTCAGAGAGTCGACTTTCGAGTACGCTGCCCTTCTCCCCTGAGATTCCACCAAGCCATCTCATCCCTGGGGGTCTTGACTTCGCCAGGGAGTTTGACAGAACAAGGCGAATTCAGCCGGAAGCCGCCTTTTCAGTATGGCTATATTCATAGCTTTTGCTGATAACACCGCCCTGCTCCAAGTTCTTGTCGAAAGCGTCTCCAGTGTTCTCCAAGTTGCCCGTGGCTGCCACGTCGATCTCATCCAGGTGGACGGCCACGCGACCGCCGAACAATTCTTCAAGTTCCTCGAGCGGAACATTTGCGGTCTAGGAGCAGGTCCATCAGCCACAGATCAGCATGGTGAGGGTTTTCACACGTTACCTCAGGAAGGAAGAAGTAAATCAGGAGACCCTGAATGGCACTGAGACAGACGAACAAGATGTAGTATCTCCCTACGTAAAGATCAGTACCATCATTTCGCACCACAGGGACTCGGGGACTCTTATTACAGCCGATGTTGACAAAGGCGGTGGGTGCAGCTTCCGTCCACACGACATTCAGGACGAAGAAGCCAGCGATTGCAATTGAGCCGCCTTTGGTTCGCAAATGAGTGGGGAACAATTCGCCAACCAAAACCCAGACTTGGGGGTCGATAAAGGCGCCGTAACTGGAGGGAAATTTAGCAAAACATCAAAGTCGTGCGAGATAGGGCGAGGCCGCCTTACAAGAGCTCGAAGAAAAAATTGAAAAAGACACTTCCGACGGCGTAGCCACGACCACCTGTTTGGGTGAACTTGGCGGTCAAAGCGGTGAAGAGGATGAGACAAATGACGGCGCCGGCATATCCAATCACTAGCAGAACATTGTTCGTCAGGTGTGAGGGCCAAATGGAGAGATCTTTGACCAACCTAGGCCACGTCGACGACGGAGGTAATCGGCGAAGATGGCACCCAGAAAGTTCCACAGCGTTGCCAATGTGAGCCAGACTGCGTTGAGAAGCAGTGAGACCGAGGTCGAGTTGCCCAAAGAGGTATAAATAATGACCGAGTAGTCTAGATATATCGTCTCAGCATATCATTCCGCAAAATCAATAACGACGATCGTGAAAACGCACTCGAGATGACCAAGACACCTGTGTTCATGGCCCCGGCAACGACCAATATCGCAAACAAGAGTTGCTTGCGGTGGACCTTGTCCGTGAGAAGGACCATGTATTCAGAACGCCCTTTCAAGGCCGCTTCATCGATGGCAATTTGAGCCACAATCTCGTGCGCCTCCTTGCGTGCGTACTCATTTGTCTCGTCCCCCGGTGCCTGGTGGAGGCGGGTCAAGACGGTCAACGCCTCCGCTTTTCGCCCCTTGACCGTCAGCCAGCGGGGGCTCTCGGGCATCCAGAAGGTCAATCCCAGTACGACCAGTCCGAAGATCAAGGGGACGGCTAGAGGGAAACGGAAGCCGAACGTGGTCGCCGTCGACGCAAAAGAGGTACTATATCCGATCTAGAGAGGGCACTTCTGTTTTAGCCTATGTCATAAAAAAGACTGTTTTCGAGGAAAATGTTTTTACCCAAGCTCCCAGGCAGAAGCCGAAGTTCTGTCCGAATGCGTGCATCCCAGCCATGGCACCACGAGATAGAGGTGGTGCGATTTCCGACAAGTAGACCGGGCCGATGCACAGAGAGTTGCCGCTGGCGAAGCCGATCAAGCAGCGGTGGACGAGGTACATGGCTTGGTTCATGGCGCCGGCTCCGATCGCACTACCGGCGATGTGCCAGAAAAGAGCAAACCGGAAGGCGTTGATTCGGCCAAAATGGTTCATGAAGGGTCCAATGGCGATGGATCCAAGGAATCCGAATGCGTAGTACGCTCCGGTGACGGCCGATGTTATGGTGACGGTGTGACCGTAGCCTGGCTGCGTCGCTGACATGGCAAGGCCCATCTGCTCATACCAAGATACCTGACCCAGTGTGTAGGCTACTGAGCCGGTTTGGTAGCCGAGAAGGATGGAGGCAACAGTCGATGCCACGACGACCTAAGCCCTCATCTTAGCAACAACTTCTCGCTGCGAAATTTCCAGAGTCTACCAACCAGGATGTTATATAGGGTGACATGTCTTTTACCCATGATTGCTGTCAAGGAAAGGACAGCCTCAAATATCGAGAAGAGGAGATCGTAATGGATGGACAGGACGAAAACAGGGAGTGTTGACAATATCTTTGTTGACGGCGCTCCACGACGCTCATATGTGGGAGACGTGGTATATGTCGGTGCTCAATGCTTCGACATGTCTCCGCGTTCTGCCCACATTATGCTAATCACCCCCCGCAATTCGCCATTGAAGCACGAGGCATGAAATGTCAGGGGTTAGCCGAGCGTCGAGGTACCTCCGCGGCAATATCGAGCGTGCAGGCATCCTCAAGCTTTTGCATCCCCGAGAGACTTTGCCGAGAAAAAGACCAATCAAAGATCACACGAGAAACTGGATTCCGCCAGATTCGGAAATCGAAATCCAAGATGGACGTCGCTGCAATGGGCGATGGCACACCGAATAATTGCTCCGTACAGCAGACCCGGTTGAGCGTGGTCTAGCCCGGCAAGATCACTCTCTCTGGCAGAGAATATAATATGATGTTGCTTGAAGGAGACCAGCATACTAAGGTATCAATCAGAAGTAAGAGAGTCTAGCACAGCTAGCCTGAGCCCAAAAAACCCCACCTTGGAAGGCCTCTAATATCGTAGACACGTAGTCTCTTTCTATGTGGGGGATCTATTGTAGCCCGTCCTGAACTGGTACAGACATTTTCATAGACTATTTCGTGCAATATCTATAGACATTCATTCGAGTTTCTCTATCTTTCCTAGAACGTGCCGTTGCATTAGTGTACACTGTGGAATGGGAATATAAACTACGATACCGAGCCAGTGGAAGTGCTAGCGTGTTACCTCGATATTTGCTGGCGTCATCAACATACGATGTGTATTTATCGGACATGACGGTTTGCAAATGCTGGGGTTGAGTAAGACGCAATGACGCATCACCACGTAGACGAACGGATTGAAAGTTGCTAGATGACATTCTCAAATAAGTGAAGGGAGATATGGCGGAGGAAAAGGGCAATCTTTACATGAAAGGAAGAGGCCTCGCCGCAATTGACTACGTCAACTCGTCCTGCTCGACTTCAGTTTCGCGGCCCTACGCGTCCTTGTCTTTAGTAATGTCAAATGCCCAATGGACCCGCGCTATACTGAGCAGTAGCGTGCCAGAAGATTCCGCTAGCAGTGGCACAAATCGGGGTGACTTCGTGTATCCTGGACTACGACAACCGGAGATTGGGCATGGTGGAGCTCTGCTCATCCGACCGGATAATTTCGTCGCATGGCGCGCAAAAAAAAAGGACAGTCCAAGTCGAAAGAAAAGGAACTCGAGGATGCTGTCTTCGCGATGCTGGGCTGCTCCGTGAAACGGTGAGCAGGGACACAGTACCACTTTAAGAGAATGGTACTGGATTCTAGCTTCCTGAATGTGGCCTTGTCAATCCATTGCAGTACTGTACTTGAAGGTCTAGCTCAGCGATTAGGCATCTATTTCGCACGCCTTTCCAGTGTGCCACCGCGAGGTAAACACAACCCAAGACATACCAGAATTGGTGTATTCACGCTATTTTGAGACCGTCTCGCTGCATGGTTATTTGCGTAGAAGCCTCTTATTTATACGCTGTAATTCATGCTGCACCGGAACCACCGAATCCGTCTCTGAACGCCCGTCGCCGCAACGAGTAACGACTTTTGATATGGGATCTTGGTGCGCTTGAGGTGGCGATCTTGTTTCCCGATTGCCGTCGAGCTGAACAACTCAACGTTCTTGCGTGAGCAGCTTGTATATCTTAGGAAAAGTTCAAGCGCTGATCACACGGTCTGGCGTGAAAACGTCTGCACTGTATACTGGGAGGAGAAACGCTGGTGTTGAGTGGTGTTCGTGTTGTTTTGCGGTTTAAAACCAATCACTTCTCTTTCTCTCAATTTCCGGACAACATCTGTCACGAAGCATGGCGCAGGTCAAGTGGTGATGTGCACGTAAAGGCGTTCACCTGCGGTATCTGGAACGTTTCAATCATAGATTCGATCGAGGCGTATGTTCCCAGGCCGGCAGTCGCAAGGGCACCCCCGGCGATCACGACGTGCCACACATTGACGTACCAGGCTCCCGAGAAGAATCCTCGAATCCATCTCTTAGGGCCGTCGTCGCAACGAGTAACGACTCCAGTGCGCGGATCGAATCCATCGTCGCGATGCATCGCGTTCTTTCTGATGGAGTACCCCAGGGCGATGATTGGGGGGAATGTGTAGCAAAACTGAAGGATGCACACGGCAGCAACCACCGACACGAATCCAAAATAGTCGGGAATCGACGCGGCCACGACGAACGCAGTCGACCACCAGAGAGGGACCAAGACGGCCCAAATGAGTTTCCCTACTCTAGTCGTAAGTGGCGGCGCCCCCAGTAGATCCGTCAGGACGTTGTTGTAGAACACCTTGATGCCGATGTTGCTGTACAGACCTGCGGAGATCAAGCCACTGATTCCCACCAGGATGTCTCCCACGACCTGCCAGCCGTAGATAGACACACCTTGGTACGCAACCTGATAGGTATATTGGCCTTGGAAGTGATAGACATAACAACCATAGGTGAGATAAACCACCCAGATGAAAAACTGTGCAGCACACAAAGATTTGATAAAGTCATACGGTCGTCGCATCTCTGCCATTATTTCCACAAACATTTGCGCGCCCCCAAAGGCGAAGACGCTCTGCATCAGGCCATTGATGGATCCCACCAGGCTGTTCGGATTTGGAAGACCACCGTAATGCCTGATAGAGGGATAATGCCCCTGTTTGTCGGGTGCAATTGTGTCCGGTAGCGTTGCCGAGCCTGATGAGCCTAACACACTGATTGCGAAGTTAGGGGGACTGTGTGCCATAACCCCCATGGTCATAAAAATAGTCAAGAGGTTGAGACAGACGGCCAACGCTGAGATCATGCCGTAATTGCGAAGGGTCCTAATTTGACTGACACCAAAACCGACGGCCGTAAAGATAACACAGCAAACAGCATAACATATTCTGAAACGTGCTGCCTGTGAGATGCCCTGACCATTTTGAATAATGACTTGTCCTGTGATGGCAATAAACTGGACCACCTGGAGTATGTTGACGATGTGCCGAGCAAAGGACCCAAACAGGCGAAGGACGATGTCCCCGTAATTGAGCAATGGATACTCAGTCGAGTCCAACCCAAGATACACTTTCCAGAGGAGAAAACCGGAGTAGCTGGCGACCAGAGCAAAGGCCGTGAAAAGCGCCAGACCGGGACCCCATCCCAGCGTCCCAATGGCAAAAGGGACTCCGAAAGGGCCCAGGATGTCTGTGGTAATGAGATAGAACCCAGCACCCCAGCTTGCTGTCCTCAACGCACGCGAAGCATTTGCCCATTCATCGGCAGTGATGGCGGCACGCGGCGACGCGTGACCCTCGGCTGGAAACGAGGCATTATTATTTTCATCTCTCGCGCCATCGGATTTGATCTCCCTGCCGAAAAGGACCCCGCTCAGTCTGCCACCGCTCTCTTGCTTGCCGTGATCAGCATCTTCTCGAGCGCGGGTGCGCAAGGCGTAGTAGTGATATTCTTCGAAAGTCACACTTGAATCGTGAAGTCGGCGCTTGGTGTTGGGACCAAGGCCGGTAGGGCGCTGCAACTCGTCATCGTGAGCAGGAGGTTCTTTTCGGTCAGGAGAGGACATTTTCGCAGCCGAGCCCCGGAAGAGCAATCAACAAGAGTACCATGCTGGGCTGATGCCCTTGATATCTGTACCGCGCGCCAGTCTGGGAGAGATATTAAGCACCCGTGGATTAGGAAAAGGGCCAGACCGCCTCTCGCGGCTCGGGATTGGCCAGACCAAGTCCATTTGGAGAGATAATACTGGCTGCACGATGACAAATCCTGCTTTGACTGGGTTCGGGGTACGTCCGGGAGGCCTCTCTAAGAGTAAGTCGACGCGTCGCACTTGTATCTACACCTCGGGGGGTCTTGAGAAATTATAAACGGAGATAGCCATCCTCGACTGTTTCAAGGGCCCTGCCCTGACAAGATCAGGAGACCCGGATAAATAATGTTGCCATTCCTCGTCGAGCAGCATAAGAAGAATGAGGACCATGCTCACCATGCTCCATGCCTCTTGAAATAGGGTTTCTGATGTTTCCCCTTCTAGGTTAGCTGGACGGGTCAATGGCGCCAGGCCCAATACGGTGAACGAGGACTTCCTCAACCGGCCGACTTCCGTTCCCGGTGCAAGGAGGTTTGCCGTCTCGCCGCCCCATTCCTCGGTCTCCCCCAAGTCAGCTGAGGTACTGGAACCAGTCTCTGTCCCACGACCAAACGGAATTTACTTGATAATCGCGATATCAGCGACCATCGGGGTACATGGCAGCGGTGTTCCCTCACAACACTGTCTGGGGTTATTTGCCGTGGTCTGCGGGCATCCCAGGGCCTTTCCGCTAGGCATCTTTTTGGAAAATGAAGCTCGCTGCCCGAATCAGATAGGAGCCGGCTCCCAACACAGACAGCACATGGCCAAGATAGTCTTCGTCCACGATTCAGGTCCTAATGCTTCCCGTAAAGACCGAGAGCTCGCCCGATCCGAAGCACGATCGCACGCCGCTCGTGTCTCTCACCGGGGCCGGAAGAGGCCGAATCATCCACCGGTGCCCAGATCCCAAAACGTCCAACCAGCCGGTCCATTGTTACCCAATGCGACGCACATAACTCCCCTGCTCCATGACGAGGAGACGAGCGCCTCGGACTCAGACGCGTCGCCGTCCTCGTCATGTAGCACGTCGTCGTCGGACACGGATGCCTCGATTGCAGAGTCTGCCATCTCGTCATCATCATCGATCCTGGGGCGAGGCAACTCAGACCCTTTCGAAGCTCTACCAATCCCCGTCAACTCGAGGACGAACCAGATCCTGTCGTTCTTGAAAAATGTCTACCTCCCTTCAATCTACCGTGTCGGTCCGTTTGACAGCGAAACGAGCTATGGAAGCCTGGCCGCCAGAGCCGAGTGGTCCCGACTCACGACCGCCCTCTATATCGAATCATCGGGTCTCGCAGTCTTCTACAAGTACTTGAGCATCATGGCCGCGGTGGCCCCAAAAGGCTCGCTCCAGGAGGAGAGATTAAGACTCAAAGGCAAAAGTTCTCGGGCGCTGCGCATGCTGATCGAGCGGGCTCCCACCGACCACGGGTCGATCCTGGAAGGTGCCATGAATCTATTTTCGGCCGAGATGTTCGCCGGGGACCCCGACGAAGCATCGATCCATGGGAAGATGATACACAGCATGCTGAAGAAGTCGTTTGAAGTTGGCGGCGCTGGCGCCGTCAGCCAAGAAATGCTCCGACGCGCCATCTACAACGACGTCTATCTGGCCATGCTCCACATGCGGCGACCGATATTTTCAATGGATGGATGGGTTCTGGAATATCTGGCGCCGATCTTGGCCCCGGTGGATGAAGCGGTCGAGCCGTTGAAAATCTACATGAAGGCCACCTTGGACGACTCGATCGACACCGAGCCGGCCCAGTCGCTCCTGGTTGTCTTTCGCTTGGCCATGGCCATCTGGTTTCGAAAGCACTTCTTACCCCCCGAGTTCAACCGGGCCACTGCGGTGCAATGGGTCTTTGCGCAGACCAACATGATCCACGTCAGAGCGCTTAACCACTACCTCGACATGCACGATAGGCTGGATCGCGACGCCAAACAATTAAGCCCTCTTGACCATCATATTCTAGACCTCGTAGCTCAATGTTGTCTAGTTCTGGGGATCATGTACTACATACCCCAGTATTCTGGCGATCCTACCATTCTGGACAAACCCATCCTCGGGTGCACAAAGGTAGTCATGAAACAGATGCGTCAGACCATGTTGGCCATCTTTCCCAGCTTGAATGTCCTGGATCCCGATTTCGATCCCTCGCTCCTGAGTAAGCACGCAAACACGTATCTCTGGGCTTTGTTCCTGGGCGCCCAAGCCGAACAGACGGATGGCGACATCTACCTCGACGCCTCCAGCTTCAGTCTCAGCTTCATGTTCCGCGAGTTTGCCTTGAGAATGAGAATATCCTCTTGGTCGGAGATCCAGCAAAGGACCTCGCGCTATGTCGATCATGAGTGGTTTGACATTACACCGCACGCTTCGCTGTGGGTTCCTCAGCTGCTCGAGCAAGAGCGCGGATCTGTTGCAGCGCCAGAGCTTGAACTGGCCCGCACCACGCAGAGACTCAGCTTCAAGTGAGCCGAAAGCAGGCCGAGATCCGACCTTTTTTTTATGAGTATGCCCCTCGTTGGGCTTATCTGTGAGACTTCCACATCTTGGCCGAAGAAGCTCAACCTTGATAGCCATTCAGTGGTCTCGGACGGCTGAGCGTCATTGGATGCCTACGGCCTGGTGGTTGTAGCGACAGCCCAACTTCGCTCCCGAGTCGTGATCCTGCTGTCCTCCCAGTGGTCTCGCTTCAGCACGACATTGAAGCGTGAGCCATAGAGCCAGCGACGATTTCAACATGTCGAAGATCTGGAGAACGTACGTGCTAGCCTTCATCTAGTGTGACGCTCGATGGGAACGGGAAAACCGAAGAAGGCCTACGAAGCAATCTTGGGCGAGCATTCGGCTAGGCGCGGGCTTAAGAGTGGAAAAGTGACGTGACTGCGTCCTGCTTGAAAAGCTCTCGAGTGTAGGAGCTGAGCCTGCAGCATCTGGATCCAGAGGGTGCAATCGATACCGACGAATGCAACACATCCGCACACAGTTGCAGAGGGTCACTCGACTCGATCAACACCAACGCGACGCCGAGGCATGAGTACACACGTATTCAGGATGTAGGGCGTAGAGCACCACCAGGAAGGTACGGACGTCGTCACAGCTCTGCAAGCATGGAATCGCCCGATCAATATGCTTCTTGATTCATGAACATGTCCTCAAGCCAGTATGTTTGACATTTGCCCTTCTCGACATCCCATAAGTGCGTGGGTCCAATTGACACATTTGTTACAGATGCGAAACAAATCCTGACTTTGAAAAAGGTTGGTAGACAGAAGGTGTTCGTCGGTCCGCCTTGGTTCGTCCGATAGAGCGAGGAGCTCAGCAAAGTTCAGCAGGATCAAGAAGATCTGCAAGAAAGATCCCCTTGCCGCCTAGGCCGTTGATTGGGGAGGAATACAACAAAGTATTGAATCATTGAGCAGACTTTGAAGAAAGAAACTCTGCCATCGAAAAGTGCAGGCTTGTAGCCAGTGCTATCAACACGACCTGGACGAACAGCAAAGATACATGAAAGCACGATTACGTTCACTTTCCTCCGCCCCTGGCTATGCCGATACACATGCAAATGCAATGCAACTGCAGAGGACTGAGGCCACTCGCTCAGAAACTCCATCACTCACTCAATCCTCCTCGATCGGCAGCCACCTCACCCTCACAGACGTCCTGGACTCTCCTTGTCGGATCCCACATCCTTGCTCCTCCACTCCAGACACATCCTCGTCCCACGGCATCGCAAACACGCACCGTTCCTCAGCCTCGCCTGTGCCGTCGTCTCTCACCACCTCTCGAACACCGCCCTCCCAGTCCCGGCGGACTTGGTCCCACAGCTTCCTCACATCGCCGTCGCGACGGCGCAGATGCTCTTCAGCACGCTCCTCGTGGCACTGGATCTCTGTCTCGAGCTTCTTGATCTGCTGCACTCCCTCTCTGGTCTCGTCGTCCGGCTCGCTTCTGCTCCCGCGGGAGGAAGACACAGTAGCTTTCTCTGCAGCTCCCAGCGCAGCAAGGCCTGACTTCAACTCTACAAGTCTCAGTTTCAATTCCCGCACAACGGCATCGCATCTCTCGCGGATCCAGGATTCTTGTTGCGCCGCCAGCGCCAGCGTGCAGTCGAGACAGTGCGTCGGGGCAGTCAAGAATTGTCGGACCTGCACATCCCCGTCCGCGTTGCTCGATGCTCGACCCGGACCCGAATCGTCTGTTCTTCTTTCGGGTTCGACGATTTCGGTCCTCAGCACCGCGGGCAGACGTGCAGGTCGAGGCGTCGGAGGTGTGGTGTGCGGACACTGAGGAAAATGGACCTGAGTGTAGGGCGGGATCGGGCTCGTGAGGGAGGACTTCCGAACATGGGCCTGGTTCGGACGAGCGGTGCCATCGCCGTAACTCGAGGGTGGATGAGGACGCGACTTGCCGCCGGTGCTGCGAGAGGAGAGCGTGCGGGCGAGTCTCTTCATCTTGCCGAGGTCTTTGCTTGGACTATTTCTTCGGTTCGCGCCGCCCCCTGATAGTGAGGATGTCGAATCTGGTACCGTCAATCTCGAGTCGGATATACGAGTCGCGCGAAGGAATGGCTATCCTGCCTATGCCTCGAAATCTCGACCTCGTAAACCCTGGTGTAGACCGTTTTCGAACAAACAAAAGACACTTTCACTACCATGACAATGGAATGTCATCGCCGCGTCGAGTATCGTCAATGCGTGACATGGCATCGTGAATCGAACCACTGGTCATATCACACAATGACGACTCTCGGCCCCTGCGTTGAACAATCGAAAGTTTCCTCCGGATGCGGAGTCGGAAGTTGAAGACAATGACAACGACTCGCTCGCCCCCATTTTGTTCGCCCAACAAACAGAGGTGTCTCGAGACAAAGACTCACCTCCGCAATGCTGCGATCGTTCTTCTCTTTGCTCGTCGAGCGTCGTTTGCGTTGACGGCTGGCACCCTCCAATGCTGTCACGCAGCGGTATAGCCGGCTTCGAGAAGAGGATAGGGCCCATCCCCCATTGTCCTTGCTAGGCGCACGGACTACACCAAGTATGTGTCCCGTGCGGCATTTCTCACAATTGGAAGCACAAAGATCCTGAACACGATGAGATTGGACAACCCTCCAACTCAGAGACAGCCAGAAAATGAGATGAATGTGTCGGAAAAACCATCGCCATGATAGGAGACACCAAACTTGCAGCGTATAAACCTGTCACCAGAGAAAGCGACTGCCCATCCCTGAACGCTGTATATATGTGTATTGCTTTGCGCCGAGGCTAGCAGCAAAGATGGAAGATAAGTAGACCACGCTTCCTAGACTCTTGTCCCATTCATCAACGTTAGCAAACCTCATGATAGCACATAACTTGCCACGCACATGACTTCCTTCTTGGCATAGCTGGTGTGCAAATCGTAGAACTCCTCGCTCAAATCCATCAGCAAACTTTTAGAACCCAAACTTCGACCCGATATACCCCAGCGCCGCCGCTCTCTTCTGCTTCGCCACGAACTTGCCCACGTCGTCACTCCACGAACTACTGGATTCTGCCGCTCTGTCAAGACTATCACCCGCCAATCCCAGGTTCTCCGTTCGCTCCTGAAGCTGCCGCTGCATGTACGCCCAGTACGTCTCCTGAGAATGATCTGGCTTGGGTGCCCGTCCCGTCCGGGCGGCTTCCCGTTGTCGCTGAAATTCTGCCTCCTGCGCGGCCCGCATTTCCGTCAACATTCGCTTAGAAGGCGGTCGGTCCGGACCGCCAATGAGGATATCCATATCGGAAGGAGTGATGTATTGTGTCCCGGCAATCCATTGGAGGTTGCTGATTGTAGGTCGAGGGGGAACCATCTTGGCTGCGTCGTAGAGACGATCAGTGCTGGGTGGGAGCGATGTGCCACAGCCAAAGACATTAACCATGGCTAGTTCGCTAGGGCCTGCCCAGCCCAGAATATCTCCTGTAGGAGACACGACAGCATCGCCGAAGCGTTTAGTGTCTAGGAGATGATTGACGCGTATGCTTGCGATTTCTTTCAGAGCTGGGATCGAGAATGCTCTGGCGGCACCATCGCCAAATAAGCCGACAACAGCGTAACCACGTTCTTCGTAGCGGGCTACTGTGGCCGAATCACACAGGTAGTGGTCGAAGGTTTTGGAGGCTCCTTTTGCGGACGCTGGACGAAAGATGTGCGCGGACGAGACTGTGACAGCTACAAGGACGCCATCTACTTTCCGGCCGGATTGTAAACCTCCCATTGCATACCCTGTTGCAGCTGCAGGGGCGCCTGTGTGAGCATCAATCGGGCACAACGAGATGACCCGGTCATCTGAAATTTGGGCCGCCCCTATCGACTGTGCCGAATACCGCCCGGACTGAGAGGGCAGAATCTTGAACGTGGCGACTCGACCTCGAGATGTGCCAACAAACAAGGCAAGTGAGGAATAATCTATCTACTCGTCAGCCGGTGCGGACATCCGGCATAGAGAACACTTACCGTCGCCATCAAGGGTTAAGATGCCGAATTCCATCGCCGTTGCATATTCTGTTGACTGAGTGGCAGGTGCAGCTCGTCGAATGCTTCCTCTTCGATGCTTACCGGCGACCATTTCATTGAGTAGAGCCGTGTGGATGATAGCTGGACCACGTAGATCGACGATGGTCACTCCACCTCCAGCATAACCGGCAGCCACGAATCCGACATCAGAATGCCGCAAAGCGGTGACGGAGCCTTGTTGGTCATTCGTCATTGTCAGGGGCAATAGGCCTTCCTTCAAGCCTGGATCTGCTCGTTCGCTAATATCCTGCATTTTCCCAGGTCCTTCGTTCGGGCCAGGATCAGATGGGGGGCGACCGAAGAATTGATTGCGGTTCAATCGAAAAACAACCAGTTCGCCACTTTTCAATCCTACCGAGAGCTCTCCCGTCGCACCCGACATACTCATCAACGACACGTCGAGTTTGTCCCACCGACCTACTGCTTTTCCGAGATCGACTTGGAGGACATTGGGATTTTCAATGACGTCGCCATGCCCGCCATCCCATATCCGAATGGTTCCATCGGCGTGGGCGGCTTGGACAATATTTCTGTTTTCATGCCTCTTGAGGGGTTTGATACCTTCAGCACCCCCGATCAAAAATTGCGGACCATGCTGGCGAACTTCGCGCATTCCCAGCCACCTAGTCCGGTCGACGAATGCCAGCGCAATTTTAGTGACAAATGGATGTACAAAAGATAACGAAACGTGTAGTTGGTTGCTGGGTGTAATGGGATGTCCAGAGGGAAAGCTCAATGTGATTACTTCACCCGAGGACAGCACGGTCATGACTGCTATTGGATCGTGGGATCCGGCAAAATGAGGAGATGAGCGAGGAATCAGGAGAAAGGTATTAATCGCGGCGTTGGGTGGTGTTGGAAGGACATGTATGCGTTTGGGATGGCGAAAATGGTTTGCCAGGAAATCCCACGTCGAGGTTTGGTAGTTCGGTGTTGGACCCAGTTCGATAAAGGTCAGACCTCTCGTCGGGTTGGTTGTTGGGGCGCCCCCCGCTATAACCAAGCCAGTATCATCCGGATTTGCTTTCGAGCACCAGGCAATGTGGAAGTACGGCTCTTTCACTGTACCAAACCCTGGACTCACTGGGCTGAGAGGGCTCCTAGGGACATCCCTCGGTGGTCCAGCTCCAGGCACATTGACATCCATCTCTTCGATTGTCCTCGCGTGGATAACTCTGCCATCTCGAGGATCCCAGAATACCAAACTCGAGTCATCGTGGGCCGTCAACACGAAAGTGCCGGTTGGATGCCAGAGAGCATGTGTCAATCGCGGATGCCGGATGGAATTGGCGTTTGTGGGATCTCCATCTCCACCTCGCGCTCTTGGTGGAAGTTCGTATTGGAAGAACTTAGTTGCCTTGTTTTGTTTGAAAGAGTAGATGACGGCGCCCTCGGAGTAACCGATAAGCAATGTACCTATGTCTTTGGGATGGAACTGCATCGACACTATGGGCAGAATTCGGGCTCTGGGATTCCGCTCCCGCCACAAGTTGGGAATCTTGAAGGGCGTTTGATGCTCTCGATCCAAGTCGAATGCCACGATTTCCCCTGTCGATGCACGTCAGCAATAATTTCTCTCTTTTGTTCTGTCCCATTTATATCAGGCCCACCATTTTGCAATCCCGAGAAACAGTAGTCGAGACTGGGATCTGAGAGGATAGCAACGACCTGACCGGGAGGGGAATAGTTGGCGAGCATATGCTTAGTGTCCAGGCTGAAGATACTGACATCGTTCTTGCTGTCGAGCACAAGGACTTTGTCGGCGCAGAACTGTATGGCTCGAATAGATGACGGTCGAGGAGGAGTGAAGGTCACGCAGACTCGCTTCTGGCCAAAGACATAGACGACCCCGGGGCCGAACTGGGATTCGTTGGTCCCGACAGCGAGGAGAGACTGGACAGGGTCATAGGCGAGCACAGAGATCTGTGAGTTGATGCCATAACGGGCAAACTTGAGATATTGTCAGTCTCCAGGCAGTAGTGCATATCGAGGGCAGGCGTACGTCGTCTAGCATGAACGAATCTGGAGTGACACCAACGGAGAGGTCATTCTGAATGCCGGCCTGCTTGCCACGAAGGAAGTGCGCCATGTTGATTGAAGACGCAGAATCCCCTGCATGACAAGGAGAGGGTTCTGCGATCTGTCCGACGAGTCAAGGAGACACTGTCGATGGTTTGTTTCAGTAAGACGCAGCAAGTCAAGACTGCGGCTGCGATGGATTGAGGATCGGCGGGACGCCAAGTGGGCTGAGGAACGCGTCGGAGGCTCCAGGGCGGTGATCTCATACCCCGTGACCCGTGACCTCTCAGCCTCGTCTTTCAGCCTTGTGCACCTCAGTTTAGATCATGGGTTGCAGAATTAACCATTGCTTTGTTTTCATTGAGCTCATATAAGGTATATGTTGCGCCCAGCCCGGAATGAGTGAGAGAGTAGTACATTCGCCTCTCGCGAGAAACCAAGAAAATGCACAATATCCAATCGCCGCTATGCAAATGAGAAGCCGTGACGAGCAGACCAATTCCCCACCCTCTATGCCTGTTTCTGATTCAACAAATCCCTAAGTCATCGAGGCTTCGCGACTTGATCCTTCAGGAGGACCACTTGCTGCTGTAAGTGGCAGCAGCACTGTAGGTGGTGTAGGTGCCGGTGTAGCTACCGGCGTAGCTGGTGGTCTCATAGGCGCTCGTGCTGGCAGGTGGTGGGCTAGAAGGCGGGTTCCCAACAGGCTCAATCAAGACGAAGAGACCTGAGAGGCAGACAGGTCCCACCGTGTCGCGCACAACCAAGGTGGTGTCAACAGATTGGATAATTCCTGGGAGCACGGTGCCAGGAGGTGGGCAGGGGAAGCTGGGCACAACGGTGAGCAGCTGACCCGGCGTCAGCTTCATGACACCATCGTTTTGCAGGCCACCGATGGTGTTGAAGGTCACTGTTGAATACAACTTGTCAGTCTTCATTATCAAGAATCGGTAGGCTTCGAAGAGGGTGCCAAATGCGGCAATGCGTATCATGTTTCGCAGGAGGGAGGTATTGACGTACAGCCGGTGCTTGGAAGGTCGTTCTCCAGTTGTGAGAAGTTCAAGCTACATTTGGATTAAACGTCAGTATTTGCCCCATGAAACAGAGGCCCGGAAGGAGTCGATGACAGGGGATAATCTCATCCCCCTTCTTTGGATAGGCCAAGCAAAGAAGATCAGGAGTTACACCTACTTTCCACCACCACTGAAGATGGCCTGGGAGAGATCACCATAGATCTGATCGGGGCTTGGGACGGCGAGGTTCAAGGAGCAGTTGGCACCTTCAGCGAAATCGGGAATGGTGAATTGAGAAGCCGTGGCCAGATCGTCGGCGGTCTCGACGTAGAGATCTTGCGACCTCAGGAAGGCCTTGTCTGGGTTGACTTGTGAGACCGTCTGGATGTCGTCGGCGAAGAGAACGAATTGATCGGCAGAGGGGATGAACGGGCAGTTTTTCGAAGCGTATGGCGGGTAGCTGCTGCCGCCATAGTGCCAGCTGCCCTTTGCGGCTGCGATGCTGGAGAAAGCGGCGGTGGCAATGACTGCGGTCTTCATGGCGCTTGACAGAAAGGATGGAATAGAAGGAAATGTAATGGAAAATCTTTCAAAGAAAATAGATTAAACCTAATGAGAGTCGTAAGGAAATCTGTTACCCAAGTGAGTGGATTGAGAGGCGGTTGATGGCATTGTTCGAGTATTGTAGACTGTTCAGAGGCTTTATAGATTCGACTTTCTGGACTGGCATGGCTGTCAGATCTGTCTTTGCATGTACAGAGTGCCCAAAGAGTACATTGCCTGGGCAATGCGGTAAAGGCCCAAACCCTGCAGTCTGTCCCTGGGGAAAGGTGGCTCGGCCTCACTGGCTCTGGTGGGCCTCTGACCTAGCTGTCGCCTCATTCGCAAGTGGTAGGGTCTTGGGCCACTCTAACCTCACCCACGCATGCTCGGGAACGGGTATATTCTGAGCATCACCGCTCACCGGAGGTTCCCATTGGTCGACAAGGTATTTGGGGCCCCAAGCAGCATTAGGGTGATCTCATTTAAAAGAAACATCAACCAAGATTCCCTTTTCGGGGAGTGGTTCCTTCAGAGTGCGGTGCCTGATGTCGGCGTGAACAAGGACGACGAGTCCGACATCTGTGAAACAGCCCCAAAAGAGCTCCGATGGCCGCTTCAACGGACCATCGACGTCTCTCGTACACCTCAAGAAGTCCCGCGAGACTTGGAAATTGTCGACGGCAAGCTCTCGCTGTGTGTTGCTTGTCTCTTCAGGCTATTGAAGTGACCGAGGTTGCGCACAATAGACTGTGAACAGAGGTGAGGGTTGCTCAGTCCACCACAGGAGGTTTCTCATCCCCGGCTAGCCGAAGTTGGATCTGATGTGAGGAGGATCCCAGATTAGACGAGCAAATACGGGGTTGGGTGGTGGAGACGCGATATTGGTGGATATTAATACCAGCTCGGTTGAGACTCTCGGGAGGAATCCGAAGATCCTGTGGGATAAAACGGATTAGGAAATCATCGGGGACATGCGTGTGTTTGGTTGATTGCTCAAGAGACGAGAAGATGGAAAAGATGGAAAAGATGAAAGGCGGTGGCTGTTGACACGGCCCCCTACAAATCTATTCTTGACATATTCTCCAGCATCGCTCGCTGCTTTAGCAGCCTTGCCTCATCTTCTTGTACGCAGCCTCGTGCATGTTTTTGCTCTCCGCGTCGGACATTCACTCCTTCGACGTAGACCAGTCTGCATGTAAGCTCCGGCAGCTTCGATCTCTTCGATTTCTTCTCGGCTCCGTGTCTCCGACTCCGGATTTCACCGCCCTGCTCGTTTGACAGGCTGTGGACTTTCTAGGGAAAAGGCCGTAAGAAGAGATTCGAACTGCTTTCCATTGAGTCCCTGGGGGAATTAAGTGGTACATGATGGCCAGCTAAGGCAAACCTCATGTCTGTCTGGTCCTAGGTAGCTTTCGCAGTCATTTGGCCCACAATACAGCTCACAGCTTAAGGACTCCCCTCGCCAGAAGGATCTGCACCGCTGGCATTGAATCGCTCATGATCTCCGTCTTCTTCAACACAATCCCATCATGGGGAGCCCCCGGTTGCTTCGCATAGAAGAAATGAAACCCTCCGGGGATCTTGACATCCCATTCCCTCCCCTGCAGGTCCTTGACTTTCTTCTCCTGCGCGGTCGGAGCTCCCTGGCAGTTGGCGAACAAGTAGGCTTGGCCGATCATCTCCCAGCCCTCGTCCGTGTCGAAGCAGACCAGAAAGTAGGGCTCATGGAACTCCGCGGAGAACGGAGCGTACATACTCTTGGCCTCACTGAATGCCTGTGCATTACCGGTGTGAACTGAGCCGTCGGGTTTGACGAGGGTGGTATCAGCAGAGAACTATAGGCTTCTGTGTCAGCGGTTGGGAAGCTGGAGTCTTGCAGCAGTCCAACATCCAAGAAGGTCTGGTCTCACCCAGTCACATTCCTCTTGACTCCAGTCTTCACGCTTGTTGAAGTTGATTGTGTATTCTTCCATCCACTTCATTGCCGGGTGCTTGCGAGTTTCATCGTCCCAGGTCCCAAGATGAACGAAAGCCGGGCGGGTCGGGTAAGACATGGTGACCAGAAATACAATGGATGTTTTCTTCTGTGGCCCAAAGCACAAGAGTGAGGTATGGTACCGGAATTACGGAGCTGGAGGGTTTGGCTGTTTAGGAGAAGAGATGAGCGGCATCAAGAGCGAGACAAGGCAGGATTATATAGTCGACATCATCCACCACGAGAGCAGATGCATGTCCGTTCAGCTCAAGCTCTCTGATGATACAGAGCTAGACTCAGCCGCTCCGCCAACAATCCATAGCATCCAGCCCATGTGAGCACTGCGCGGGCGTCACTGCAGAGCTCATTCGACTCCCAGATGACAGGAACAGGTAAGGGGTGCACGCAGCTGGCAGAGCTCCCCGCGCTGCTGAAGGCTGAAAGGAAAGCGTTCGTAAGCGAGGCTCTCTGAGAGGACAGCCACTGTCCGCCATGCCCCGCAACCGAGGAGCGTGCTAACCGTCTTTCGCAGGCGTTCTGAAAGTGTCAAAGACGGGGAGTATACGAGCGCGGCGGAGGGCTTGTTCAGCTCTGCCTGCAGTGATTGAAGCCACATTCTGCGCGTGTGTCGTTCGGCTGGGGATGAGCCTGGAAAGTAACAATATGAGGGTGAGGATTAAAAGAGGATGGAATGCGGAAGGACTAAGGAGTAGAAATGCTGATGGAGTCGAGATCATCCAATCAACAAGATTGAACTGCTACAGTACAAGACGAAGACCACCAAGAAGGAGATGCTTACCGCTTATCCCATGTCGCACGGACGTCAAACAGCATCCCTATCTCGCTGCCTCCCTCCAGGTGCCTACCCAGGTACGTACCTATATACTTCCAGCCAGCCCTCCCCCTCCCGCTCCCCCCATCCTCGGTCGTCTCCCCTACTCACCTCTGTCTCTCTTGTCTCGCTTCAACAAGCGGATTCCCCTCGCTTATTCCCTGTTCTCAGTGGCTGCCCGACCCAAGACTCGCTTCCTTCTCGCTTGGTGACACTCTCAATGTAACATCTTAGCGAATGGGAAGCGAGGTTTTGCAGGGGCTCCCCGGGCATCCTACGCTGCGCCACCTCGGGAAGCAGAAAGAGTCTTATCAATCACGATTTGATAGAGGGCTTCTAGGTTGGCTGCCATTCGGAATGCTTCAAGCTGTATACCATCACCGACTGGCTTGGGCCATGAATCGCGCGCAATCAACACCGTCCGAGAGGAGGTATGCACGGGGATGGATCAATGGATGGTGGTCGTCATTATGAGTTGTTCTCTATGTGAGTTTTCCGTGCTCAGGCTCCAGACACAGGGATGCCTCTGAAAGAAACTGCCCAGTCCGCTCATCATTCCTCTGCTATTACAAAAATCTAAGTACTGTCCTGCTGAATTCGGGACCAAGTAAACCAAACAAAAGGTAATGTACAAATGTCGAGGACCCGAAGCCTGTATCACCGTTTCCGCGTAAGGATCTTCGTAATTGCGTGCCGAATCGTGATACCGGCCTTCTCGACTTCTTTCTTGGTCAGGCCGACGGTCAGACAGATCTTCAGGGCTGGTGACGGCGAATAAATCTCGGTCTTTGCACCTGAAGGCCCTGCGGGAAGTGTTTTCACGCGGGTGATGAGCACGTTCTGTGACAGGCACTATATCCAAAAAGTCAGCTGAGACCAAAATCGACAGGCAGCGAGCCAGTATTCAAGTGAGGCTCACCTCATCCACGATGTCCTGCAGCAGCTGTTGTTGGTCTTCGGTCGTCAACCTCCGCGACGAAACCACTTCGGGCTTCAAGACCAGTATCATGATTGGGTTCTCCGGTGCACTGGTACAGTGCATCCAATCACTTCTCGGGTCAAGCTGCTGCCACATGGCCCTGATATTCTCTTTCAATTGAATAAACAAGTCCGGTTGAGTCTGCAGCATCATCAATGTCTCGCTGGCCGTCACGGCAGACATGGCTGGAAGCGCTGCTGAGAAGGTGTACGAGGCGGCGGATAATCGCTGGTGCTCCACCACTTCGTCTGAACCTGCGCAGAAGCCTCCCGCGGCCGACAACGGACCGGCCATCGAGCCGACGATCATGTCCACTTCTGCGGCGTCAACGTGTTGGTGTTCCGTCACGCCCCGGCCAGTTCGGCCCAAGACGCCAAATGACCACGTCTCGTCGAGGATCAATCTGAACTTGTATTTGAGCTTTAACTCAATCTGCGCAACCACAATTAGAACGGGCCCCCAGTCTTATAGCTGGGCCAAATGGCAACTCACAATCTTCGGCAAATCAACCACGTCACCGACGTTTTCGAACAATCCTTCAGTAATGATGAATCGTCTTGTCAATGGCTTTTTAGCCTGTTCCTTGGTAACCTTGGCCAGCACCCTCTGCAAATCTTCCATGTCGTTGTGTTCATACCATCTGACTGCACTCCTGGAAATCTGGATTCCCTTTCGGATGGCATAGTTCACAGCTTTGTCGGCAACAATGATATCCCCTCGCTTGGAAAAGGCCGGAATGACGCTGGATATCGTGGAGAAGGCTTGAGCATAGATGATACATGCCGTAGTACCAAGGAACGCCGCAATGTCCGCCTCGATCTTCATGTGCACATCCTGAGTGCCGTAGAAACCAGGCGGACCGCAGGGACCAACTCCATAAGTCCGTAATGTCTGGATAGCCCGCTCTTTGAGGTTTTCGTTCGAGACAAAGTTGTAGAAGTTGTACGATGCCAGGTTTGTCACCGTCCGGCCGTTGTTCAGTTTGGATCGGGGTCCACTCGGACTGTCGCCTCACAATCAGTACGTCGCGTATGGCGCATCTTCAGGAGTAGACTCACCCAACGATGATGGGACGCCTCTCCAATTCTGCATCCTCAAAAGCGGTAGTCTTCCCAACCAAAGGCTCTGGCGTCCATTCGTCAACCAAATCGTCAATTTCCTGGTTTCGCAGTCAGCGCTTCAAAGCTTGGTCTCGAATCGGCCCTCATGAATGTGCCCACCTCGTCAGACAACTTCACATAGTTCTGCTTTGTCGAATACTTTGGAGCCAGCAGATACCGGATTGCGAACAGCACTAGGAAGAGTTCGACGGCAGACCGGATGGGGTCGTTCTGGTAACTGGACTTCACGTAGCGGAGAAAGATGGCTGAGCCGGGGATTTTCTGGAATTGTTCGGCCGCGGTGCTGGCCAGGTTTGTGACATATTCTTGAGCGTCATGAGGGTCCATCTTTTGAGCCAGCAGCAGGTATCAACAGCCTCTCCCCCAGAAAAGGACTCGAAACAGAAATGCGGTGACCACAACGGTTCTTAAGTCTGGAGCCTGGAACGGATTGACGATGTCACAGCCCGCGAAAGGGCTCACTGCGGCATGTCACGTGATGGTCTCAGGGGCAGATCAAATTTCCGAGCATCGCGGCTTCACCAACGAATCTACGAAACCAATCGGCCTTTTCCATGGCAGCCGGCTGACCGGAATCAAGGCGCAAAGGTTCTGTCTTAATTGAATGGAATGGAATGGAAGTTTATGCAATTCTCTTTTTGTTGTCATGTACAGTGCAATACCTCTTAAGCAAACAAAAAGGTTTAACCTGACGCCCATTCACCACCCAAGATGTGCCAGGTCTGAAAAACCAGCTGAAAGAAAGCTCCCTCTGCAAAGGCCGCTTGTCTATGCCATTTCAATCATTAATTTGTTCGGGTTAATGGCCGACAAAAGAATTTCAAACTCATTAGAGGGCCATGTTGTCTAATTTGTTTCTGTCCACCCTTCCATATGCACCAATGTATACACCCTAACCGTCTCCGCAAGACGTGGTGGAAACAGCTTTACCATCGGACGAATCGTCCGCCGCCACCACCAAAGCTGAAGGGGTCGTTGGAGTTGGAGCTGGTAGCTGCGGCAGTTGCAGCAGCAGTACCACCTCCACCAGCATCCTGACCAAAGTTGACAAGCGCAGAACCTGTAACGCCCGTGGTGGTATCGTTGTTGTTCTGTCCAGTGGGTTGAACAAGATCGAGAGGAATGGTCGGCAGGCCAGTGATGTATTTCCGGACAATGATAGGCCCAATGATGAGCACAAGGAAAATGATAAGCATAATGAAATACAAAATGGCGTAGCGAATGACACGCCTCTTTCGGAGACGAGATTGTTTGATCGAGTAGATCGGAGGTCTGATTTGACGGCTGCGGAACAGTTAGTCTTGCACGAAGAGCAGTTGACAGGGGTTACATACCTAGGCCTCAACCAGAATAGCATCACCGAGTGGAACTTGTCGATGTAAGGCACGCAGAGAGCGGGCAACATGATGAACATGATGATGTGCCCTAGGATAAAGTCCGCCGCGAAGAAGCCCAGCTCGGTGATCTTGCAAAGGTATTCTCGGGCAGGCTGGGACATTGAGTGCCAACCCATCGAGTACCATTTGCCAGTCCACCAGGCGATGTTGGAAGTGTCGTGTTTGAATTCTCTTGTCAAGCAGAGCGCGATGATCAACTTGAAAACGAATCGTTGCAGAGCAACCACAGCGATCATGCCCAAGAGTGCCTTGGCAAAAATCCATCCCTCGAGGAAGAACATGACTTCCCAGAACGCAAAGAGCATGATGACAGCAACTCCATGTGCGATAGCCGCAAGTACCGAGCCGAATTTCTTGCAGCACATGCTCAACACTGGACCCATGCAACAAGCCATGCCGAATAGACCAGCCAGAACACCAGCATTAACGGCGATGGGGGCAAAAGCAACAATGGCCACTCTCACCAGAGAGTTCGTTGGCGGCTGCACATCGGTTGTCACGCCAGTCTGAGCGTTGATAAAGAGGTACGGGATCAGCGTAAAGCAGACGAGCACCAGAGGACCGACAACTTCGCTGAAGAAGACGCTGGTGAAGTTAGCACGAGGAACATCCCCGGAGAGCTTCTCAGACGGAACACCCAGAGCCTTGCGCTTGTATCCAGTGAGGCGAGTACGTGACAGTCGGCAGAAGGCGATCCAAGATGAGGCATGCGACCGCGAGTTGCCCCTCGATAGCCACCTGAGGTAGTCTCTGTAGTCGATAAAGAAATCGTTCCAGGCGAATTGATGAGGGTTGAAAATGAAGGGCGAGATGCAGAGGCCAAGCAGTGAGACCCAGAACCACAAGAGCCAGGCGCCCCAAACGGTGATGGTGCCGAAGAGCAACATCATCAACGACCGGGCTCCCAGATAAATCGATGGACCAGCGAAGCGAGAGTAGAGAACTCCGAATGGGATGCGCGCTGTCGCGAAACCACGGCCAGTACCGATGTATCGTGCGCCACCAAAGGAAAGATCCTGCTGAATTGAGCTGGCATAGATTTGGCACACAAACACCTCGAAAATTGGAGAGGCAGAAGCAAAATGCTTAGCCAAACGGGTAGCAGCACGCCAAAATCCACGTTCCGTCAACTCCTGAACGACCAGGGGCACGAAGGAGATGAAAAAGACGATAAAGATCGAGACAACGCAACGTTCAACCCATTCCATAATAGGCGTCAAGTTCGTGCATCCGGTAGGCTTGAGAGGATCCGTTGGTGGAACGTTTCGGTTGTAGAAGCAGACGATAGTCTCGTGTCTCAGCGCGCCCAGGTTGATCAACACAATCATGAAAAGTTGCACTGACAACATGATAAACATGTTGTTGATGTGGAAACCGGGATGCGCATAGTAGAAAGACAGGAAGCGATCCAAGGGCAGCTGAGTACCGAGATAGTAGTACTCTCGGGACAACATCTGTTCACCCATACCAGTCCCGATCTTGGTGGTGAAGTTGAGGATGGAGCCAAAACCAAGATCACGGCCCTTTCCACACTGGTAGTATTCGCAATGCTTGATGCGGCCGCCACGGATGAGAGCATTCATTCCAGCGTAGATATCTTCGTTGAGATGGAGTCCTTTCTGTGCCTTGGAGACACCGCCTCGAGTTGTCATGAAAACACCGTTGAGGAAATCAGGGTGACCATAGTGAAGCTTACCACCGATTTGAGCCAGAGTACGAGCGAAGAGAGTGCCGAATGTTTGTTCTTTGCCAGCAGCGACATCGCCAAGCACACCAATGTTCTCAGAGAAGATGTACTCACGAGCACCGAGAATCGCAACCGGGTTTGTCTTTGTTGGAGGAAGTCCAGGAGTGTACGGCGAGACATTATCCGTCGTCATCTCCTCGAATTCAGCCAAGACACTTCGGATCTTCAAGCATTCTTCCAGGTAGTTGTCTTGATTGGCGTCGATAAGCTGGATGTATTCACCACGGTAGAAGATGATGGCATGGTTCTGGTTGTCGGATTTGCCATCACCGAGAATAGGATTGCCGGAAAGTTGAACTCTGAACTTGGGTCGACGCATTCCATTCTCGAGAAGCTCCGAGTGGCCATCAATTAAAGCTGAGTACAAGCGAGGTTCCTCCCCTTCGTTCTGCGGTGGCTCTTCATCCAGGTAAGCAATCTGAAGGTCGGGATAAGCACGGAGCAAGAATTCGGTGTTTTCACGCTCCTCTTTCTTGAACTTGGCATAACGCTGCATGGAAACCACAATCTTGAATTTGCGTCTAGCCATACGTTCGAGTTCACGTTCGAGCTTATCAGAGTTGCCGCCGAACATCTGAACCACTTCGGGATTCTCCACGCGGTACAGGAGCTTGATTGCTCGGCTGTAGTTCATGAACCCGGAAATTGTGCGGTACAGGGTTTGAGATCGGAGAGAGGCCCAGATTCGAGTTCGCAGAGTATACTCTGGCGCCGCAGACTTGAAGCCAATACAGTAGAACGGAAGATCATCGATCTTGCTCTTCGCAGTATCTTTCTCGGATTTCTCATAGTCGCCATTGAACTGGGACGTCTCATCCGCAAGGATCTTGGTATCTTTGACAAAGCAGTCCCACTCATGAGGATGGAGCTGTTTGAGATACTCAAGAAGGGTGACACGAGAATAGGGCTCATCCTCACGAATGATCTCTCGCAAAGACAGAAGGATCTTTTCGCCGTAGTGAGGGATAAGGACCGTGAAAGTTGGCATATTGTCGACCGGAAGAGGCTCAGGGATAGGTGTAGACAGAGACTGCGCAAAGAACGAGATACGACGTTCCGCTTCGCTCTGTGACGGGAAGAATTCGGTCTTGAACGAATGATCTTCCTGAGAGACGAAGAAGGTTGGTGCACGAAGTGTCCGCTTGCCCTCCTGCTCTGACGGCACTTGATGATAGAGCAATTTCTGCACGTGATCGATTGCTAGAAGATGTTCTCGATACATGGAAATGACAATGGCGTTCCAGACTTGTGAGATGAGAACCTTTGGCTTGTATTTGATTTCCATGTCAGTCGTAGCCAGGACCTTGGAGTAGATTCTCTTTGGCAAGCGAGAGAAAATGTTTCGCCATGGTGTCCAGATGGATACACCCAGGTAGAATGACCGAGCGACCGAGAAGACGCAGTTCCAGATGATATACCACAAATAGGTATCCAAGAAGAACAGAATCAGATCGGTGAAAAACATGATCCCGAGCAAGATCTGAGGCTGGTACTTGCAAAGGTAGTCTTTCAGGATCTTGTCTCCCTGGCAATGGTGGATTTTGGTGTAGGATAGGATTTTAATCGGGTCTCTGAAGGACAGAGTCAGGAAGAAGTACGACTCTGCCAATTTCGCAGCAAAGACCATGATCCATAGACCGAATGACATCCACATGTCGTTACCCTTAAGACGAGGGTACGAAGCCGTGAAAGTTTGACTGGCAACATAGCGACGACTGTTTCCGGTCAGGTAGCTCCCGAACAGCCCGCCCAGAGGCATGATTGAGAAGAAGAAGAACGTGGCTAGAGCAACGAGGAACTGCACCACGCCCAATATCAGAGAAATTTTGGAAGTCTGGGTAAATCCAAATATGTAGACACTGGGCGCAATGTTGATGATGAAGACACCGATCAAGAAGAGAAGTCGCTTGGTCAAGTGCTGAGCACCAGCCCATTTTCGTGGAACGTACGACCATTCAATCAGAGTAGCCAAGATGTTGATCAAAGTCGCGATTGTGCCACCCAACGCGACGGCGGACCACTGAGCAGCAGCGTGTGGCTTGTTGTTCAGTTGTTGCTGATAATTCTTAGTGTACAGCGTTGGGGAGTTGAAAGCCGTGTAGAACCAGAAGGTGGTGAGATGGATAACCCAGATACGGTTGAAGTTGACAATCAAGTGGAACCAGGATCGCGTTTCCTTGTATGTCTTGAAAAAGACCTTCTTCCAGTTGACCTCGCCCAGTTTCAGGTATCTCTCCGCGGGTGGAAGATCAACAATGCGCGACTTATCGTTCATTACGATCCTCTCAATGCCTTCGGGATACCAGAAGAGTTGGTTGATGTCGTCGTAGCCAATGACCTTGTTGTGATCCTTTTCTCGACGAACATACTTCCCATCGATAATCTCGTAGGCCTGGTCACGGATGTAGGTGTAGAGAGGAGTGATGACATTGTTCAAGTAGGTGAACTCTTCGACCGGCTCGACGCGATTCTGGCATGCGGGGGAGTGCAGGTAGTCGTCCGCACACTTGAAGATGAAGCAGAGGGCTTCGGGCATGAAACGAACTTGGTTGGCTTCACCCCAGCAAAGAAGGTAGAGGGCGATCTGGCGGGCACGATCGTGCTGCGACATCTTGTTCATGCGTGTCTTCCACCGGTATTCGGCTGCCTCCAAGGAGTTGTCACCCTCCAAGGCCTCCAACGTTGCCTCTTCGTTCTGGGGGTTTTCCTTTGCCTTCTTCGCAGCAGCCTTTCTGGCCTTTCGTGTCCTGCGGTTCGCTTTGCCGAGCTTCATGTTGGCGAAACCTACCGCATCGTCGAGATCCAGATGGGCAGCGAAATACCAACGGCGATAATTTGCGTTGTCGCCTCCAATATAATCCGCATGCAGAGACAACAACGCCTGGTTGGGTGTCATCCGCGAAGCTCGTGAATCGAGCAAGGTCATCATGTGGTCGTACATGTTGCGCATGCTGTCACGCTGAAAACCGAACTTGGCTGTCAAATCCAAGAATATGTCCTCAACCTCCTCTTTCGAAAGGGGAATTTGAGCATCGGAGGTCCAGGCTGGGTAAGGCTCACGAGAACGTTGGCCGGCCGGTAATGCGTTGTTGTAATCCATCCCATAGATTGGAGTTGAGGCACCGGATGACCTGTTCCCGCCATAAGAGATCTGAGACGATGGAGGTCGGTATCCACGTCCACCTTGACCCTCATAGCCGCTATTGTAGCGCTCATCTCCCCGGCCATAGTAGTCCATTTCAGCTGCGCGAGCCATGTCTGATCTCATTGTGAAGTCACTGAATGTCTCGGAGTCCTCTTCAGAATCATGGCCGCGACGTCTGGGGCGTTGTCCTTGGTTGTATTGCTGTCCAGCAGCTCCCTGGTCGTAATATTGGCCATCATAGTAGTCATCTTGATAGCCTTGATGACCTTCGTAATAACCACCATCATTGTGGTAGGGATTTGAAGCATCGGCGTTGTAATAGCCCCTGCTTGTGTCAGTCTGCTAGCAGAAGAAAAGGAGATGAGTATATTTCTTACGATTCATCATAATAACCTTCGCCTCCATGTTGCTGGTGACCATAGTCATACTGGTCATGGTAACCGTGTTGGTCCTCTTGGTAATAGGCGTCGTTGCCATGATGCTGGCCGTAGCCATCATCATAGTCGCCCTGGTGAGGATGGCCTGACATGTTTGGTACCGTTCCTGGAGCGCGACTGAGGTCAGTATGTGGCAGCCAAAGCAAAAAATCACCGTGATCTGCACTGTGAACCTGCAGGATCCAATCTTGTTCCCACTTACTTTACAGATGTCCCATGAACAATGTCCTCCAGTTTCAAATATGCGTCACACGCGAAAAGGTTGCCCTCGTGTATTTGCGGTGTGTAATATTAGGCGTAATACGAGTATAAGCAGCGAATGTCGAATAGGGGGTAAGCGGCGCAGGGAAATGATGGAAATCGTGTAGAGTGGGCTTTAGGACTGCCACTGTCTGTCCTCGAGGAATTCCAACAAGACAGTGCTTCGAACAAGAGCTGGCTCAACCGTCGAAATCGCAGGTGAAAGGTGGAGGGAACGGATGTTGGTGAATTGGGCTGTGGTTGTTGTGAAACGAACGAAGGGGGGAGGTGCGGTGGTTGCTCAGCCAATGTGCAGCTGCAGAGGGCGCGTTTGGCGGGCAGGACAGGCGTCGCCCTTATTTACGGAACCCGAGCTGACAATTGCCCCTTCCCAAGGCTTGGGGTGAGCAGTCCTCGTTGTCCCTGCCTTCTTCTCGCAGCGATAGAAGCGAGTGAAGGAGGATCACGAGGAAGAAAACGACAGTGTGAAGGAGAGTTATTCGACAAGGAGCCAAGGTGCGAGGCTGGTGAGTTTGAATAATGGGAAAAAAGGACGACAAAGGGAGCTGGGCACTGCAGGACCAGGGAGGAAGCAGGATTGGAGGAGAGCTGGCGACACTGGAGTCCCCTCAGGGCATGCTTGTTTCGGGCTTAGAATTAGGGGGGCCGGCTGCTGGTGCATGAGAATGCGCCGCAGGCTAGAGAGACTTGGGTGGCCCAGTGGCCCTTGGGATTTGTCGGCGGGTGGTTCGGTGGATGTTGCCTCCAGGTTGTGATTTCGGGCCGGCAGGGGGTTACCCAACAGCAACAAACGGGTGACGAGGGAGCAAATGAGGCTTAACAGCTGGGCCAGGCACTCCCGACCAGGGTGGCAGGGGTCAACAAACAAGGGGGGCTGGTGGGCTAGACGCTAAGCACTGGGCAATGGGGCAATGGGCAAATCTTGAACCAGGTCCATGAGCAACGCCACACCACCCTTTTGATGCTTTGTTTGTCTCCACGCCCTGCTTTTCCCACATCCAAGTGGCTTCTTTGGCCGTCGCAGACACACTAACCGTTGATAAAGGATTTCCTCGACTTTTCCGGCCGAGTCGTTGCGATTCGTTCCAGTGTCGTTGATTGCGACACATCAAGAGCGTCATCTCTGTACCCACTTGACCTACATATCGCTTACTCGTATTGCGCTACGGACACGCTTCCCGCCTTGCTGCAGCTCGACTGCTATCTCTGGCACACCATCAACCTAATCCGTGGCTGGGTTGGTGGCTATGCATAAGAGGACAGCAAGATCGAGCCTCACGCTAAATGCCTTGATTGTCTGCCTTCTCCTCCCCGATGGGTCAACCAAATTCATCGCCAGCAAGATAATCGGTCATCATACACTACATGGGGAAGAGGGATGAAGCTCATCCTGTTTCGTTGGCGGGGACATTGCCTGGTTCGCGGGTCGCACAACCCGTGTTTCATATCGTGGAGGGCTTTTACACTGCAGATCTCAGTTGCGTCTCGGACAATTTCGCTGGCAGGAAAAATCTGCATGTATCCGTGGGCCTGCTGAGGGCGGATGCAGTTGGACGGACAATCATCCCGGGAACACTGATTCTTTGTTCGGATGCACGATCTGGTCCTATCTGAGTGACATTGTGCTAGACGATAAGCTGTATCGTAGGCATAGGGCGATGACTAGCCTTCGGGGTCTTGGGCAAGAGATGCACAAATCGTGGCGCTGACAAACAGGTCCGGAAGACGGTCTTTGGGGTTCTTCATGCACAGAAGTACCTGCGAGATCAAGTATACTCACCCGGTCCAAACGGCCTCATTGACTCCGGGCGCCGTGACCGACTCTTTGGATATACTTCTAGACATGTGGTACCTACAGTAGGGTACGGAGTACGGAATTCTATTCTGTATGATTTAATAGGTAGCCGTTATCAGGTCTAAATGAGTTGTATACTCCGTACGGGTAGACTATTGGATTGACACGTGGATGAGTGCGAGGGATAAAGAGACAAACTGCTATGCAATGCCGTTTACAAGCCTTGTCCGTTTCTGCCGTGGTTTACGTCCTCTGGCAATCCTTGTACCATGCACAAGTACCCCATATTCCGTACCACATTGTGAGGCATGAATTTGCTCGTGTCTGCACTGTGCTGCAGACAAATGTCCTGTGAATAATAGTGCGACTCATTATTCGAGCATTTGTTCTTCTCCTTCCATGATCCCACTGTGGCTTCTGTGGCTTGACGCCGAGAACGCCATCATCATTGACTTTGTGGGTCTATTTGACATCGGATCGGCAGCCATTGACGCCGGTGGAGCGTCTGTATTTCCTGATGGAGAATGCTCTCAAGCCATCCGGAGAATCCAGTTCCAGCATGGTCTTATCATTGATCTTCCGCCAGGTAAGTCATTGGGTGTGTCTTCTTTGGAGCCATGATCATCTGGGAATCCGTCCAACCCAGCAGGTCCTGCAAACATTGTGTGAGCGCTCCATGCTGGGAACATATGCGAAACCTGCTTTTGTCCACCTCGAGACATGGCATTTAGTGTCAAGCTCTGGAGCCACGGGTGAAACAAGCTTTGTTAGGAACAATACCTGTAGGTGCTGGGACCGGCTTGGAGTGGCGAATTGCTATTTCAGGTGGACCAGCGCGGCATGGACTGACCGAGAGCCAGGAGTCGTCATGTCCCAGGGGTTAAATGGTTCAATGAAGAAAGGATCACGTCGGGCGTGCAATGCCCCTGGCCATTGGATGCCACCCCGTGGAAAAAGGGGCCGTCCTCCAATCGACATCCTGATCCGGTCAGCAAGCCAGACAAATCCAATTTCGTCCTGGGCAAATGGGAGCCAGGTTGCGGGGAGCTGGGTGGGCATATCAGGGTCACCATCATCTCGATTCTGTTACAAGGCCGAGACACCTCTGTGCTTGTTTGAGCTGGAGAGGAGTGCCCAGGATGAATGAGCCGTGAGACATGCAGAGACTTTCCTCCACCCCAGCGCCCATCATTTGCTACAAGTATCTGTGGCAAATCATCAATCAATTCCTTGCACGGACTTGGACGGAAGGACAGGATGGGGGTGTACTTGTAGCCACGAGGGAAAATATCATTGACAATACCGACCCAAGCAGGAGGGTTTGTTTCCCGGTCAGGAGTTCCTTCAGCTGGGAATGGCAGTAATACCAAGGGGTCACTCAGAATTCATTAATAATGATTTCTTGGACCGATTTCTGTTCTTTTTCTTCTCCTGCCTGCCGGCTTGACAGCACCCAGTAATTTCTCAGTCACTGTCGATAGTAAAATGAGCCGCTGGTAAATCATCACAGAAGCTACGGACCATGGACGTGCAGTGCACAGCCTCGACGAATCAGTCCCTCTCCGTGATGGCTCGATGGAGAAGGGACGCGTGTCGACTGCGCGATGTTGCGCCGGCAATGGCGGCAGAAGCACCATCGAAAACAGATCTGCAACAAGGCCGAGAACCAATAGATGGTACGAGGGACTTAGGCGACTTCAGGTGCCCCCAACGGGTGCTGTTGGGGCTGCCACGAGTGCGCCGTAGGGCCTGATGTGCTAACGGGAACGCCTACGAGCGGTGCGCCAGTGCCCCCCGGAACAGAACGTGGGAGGCGGGAATGGGCGAGACGGAGAGGCCCTGTGAGAACTGAATCTTGGGGACTTCTGTCCAGTGGTTCGAGGGCCCGAGGTGCCTGAAAGGGAGGAGGGGGAATGGCATCCAGGGGGGTGGTGTGCGCGGGACTCGTACTGGTCCGCAATAATGCCCACTCCGAAAGGAGACCATACCCCATGCATTGAGGGGAGAGAGGATACGACTACGACTGCGACCACCGCTCATCCCTTGAAATCTGTCCCCCCTTGATCTGAAGGCCGCGGTCGTTGTCAATCCTCCTGTAGAACTTGTCTGCACTTGATTTTTTTTGTTACGCTCTTGCGCCCCTTGTTTACCACCTTCGTTGTCCTTCGCCTTCGCATTCACCTTCGTGACATTCTTTTCCATATCCATAACATTTGTTGTCCTTCGTTCCTGCCTGCTTGTTGGGCAGTGACAGCTCGTTACTGTATCACCAGCCCCGTTGCTCACCTGGGGAAACAACATTCCTGCTATCAGGGATCTCAAGAACACCTGCACACCTCTTAGCCGCACGGGCGCGCGCTCTTGAAAGACTTCTTCTCTCTGTTTAACTACTTTTCTCGCACATTCTCATCGCCATGAAGGGCTTCTCGGCCGCTGCGACTGCTGTCGCTGGCGCTACACTTTTCTTCAAGGCCGCATATGCAGATGTAGACCCTATCGTCATTAAAGTACGATGCCAACCAACCCATTCTCCTGCAGACGGTGAGAGTGAACTGCGCTGAACTTTTCTCTACCTCCAGGGCTCCAAATTCTTCTATCAAACCAATGGAACACAATTGTGAGTACAGCTGTTGATGGGACTTCAGAGATTGTGGCTAACATGGTATACAGCTATATCAAAGGCGTTGCCTACCAGCGTGCGTTCCTCTCCTCGACTCCTTGCTGAAAATGCCATTGACAAGTGAAAAAGAGGATTACCTAGGCAATGGGACAACATCGAGCGGTAGTGACAACTATGTTGACCCTCTGGCCGATGCTTCGACATGCCAGCGAGACATCCCCTACCTCACCCAACTGGGGACCAACACCATTCGCGTCTATGCGGTCGACCCGACTCAAAACCATGACGATTGCATGAATATGCTTGCAGACGCCGGCATCTATGTCATTTCTGACTTGTCCTCCCCCGGCACCTCCATCAACCGTGACACTCCCACATGGAACGACGATCTGTATGCTCGCTATACCGCGGTCATTGACAACCTGGCACAATACAAGAATACCCTGGGTTTCTTCGCCGGCAATGAGGTGTCCAACAACAACACCAACACCGATGCCAGCGCCTTCGTCAAGGCTGCTGTCCGTGATATGAAGGCCTACATCAAGAGTCAGAACTACCGCCCCATAGGAGTGGGCTATGCTACCAACGATGATGCCGATATTCGTGTCAATCTGGCCAATTACTTCGACTGCGGAAATCCGACCGATGCCATTGATTTCTGGGGCTACAACATCTACTCGTGGTGCGGAAAGTCAAGTTACACGCAGTCTGGCTACGATCAACGCACCGAGGAATTCTCGACCTACAACGTCCCAGTCTTCTTCGCTGAGTACGGATGCAACACCGTTCAACCCCGCGTGTTCACCGAAGTCCAGGCATTGTATGGCCCTCAAATGAGCCCTGTCTGGTCGGGCGGCATTGTTTACATGTACTTCCAGGAGGCAAATGACTACGGTGAGCTAGGGAACCCTTTGATTTCGTTGACCTCATGCTAACGGCCAGTTAGGTCTGGTCACCGTTTCCGGCGATTCAGTGAGCACTCTAGCCGACTTCAACGCCTTGTCCAGCCAGATTGCACAAATCGATCCGACTGGCGTCAATGCCAACGACTACACTCCCACCAATACCGCCCCTGCTTCTTGCCCGACCGTGGGCGCGGATTGGCAAGCGTCGTCGAGCCTACCTCCTACCCCCAACGAAGAACTCTGCCAATGCATGTTCGACGCCTTGACCTGCCGACCGAACAACGTTGCCACCGACGATGTTGGTGACTTGTTTGGCATTGTTTGCGGCCTTGCCGATGGTGTCTGCGACGGTATTGCCGCCAACGCCACCACGGGCGACTATGGTGCCTATGGCATGTGCAATCCTCAGCAACAACTCGGGTGGGCGCTCAACAGCTACTACGAGCAACAAGCCGCCCAAGGAAACGGTGCGTCGGCCTGCGACTTCAGTGGATCTGCCACGACCGCGTCTCCTACCAGCCCGAGTGGAAGCTGCGCGACATTGATCAGCCAGGCTGGTAATGCAGGCACTGGCACAGTCACCTCGGCACCCAGCGGCACGGGTGGATCTGGATCGAGCTCGGGCTCCAGCTCTGGCTCTAGCTCTGGTTCCGGTTCTGGTGGCAGCGGCAGCACGTCCAACGCCGGTATCCCTGGAGCTTCCGCTCCCGGCCACATGGGCGCTCTGCAGCTCGTGGTTTACCTCACGATCGCTTTTGTTTCGGGAGCCGGTATGATTCTGTTGTAGGGGTCTGGAGGCGAGTGGAAGATGCGTGTAGTTACATTGGTTAACAGCGATTCGGGCTTGTTCATATGGGTTTGCAGGGTCCTACATAGTCACAGCTTGCCACTTACTTCGGTCATTGGCGATGTAATTGACGGCATCAGTGGAGTTTAGCGAGCACCCAATTCAGTTGGTCTAGGGAGTAATCCCAATGAAAGACAAAAACAATCGAAACATAGTCAAACAGCCCTATCTCGCCGTGTGCTACATGTCCTCTGTGCATCACAATGCGCAGCCTTGCGTGGATGGATGTAGTCGGATGATTGTCGGCTGAACATGGTCAGACCACTCGCCTAGTATGCAAGCTGATTCTCTTGAAGGGACGATAGAATATCTCTAGGGAACCGCTGGAATGATTTCAGAATCTTGGAACACTGGTCGTGACTATGGACAGTACAGGAATGCCTGAGGCGCACTCATAGAACCATCCAGGCTACAACCTGCGCTGTGCTGCCTGTTGGTGAAAGAACCCAGATGTCACAAACCTTAGCAGGTCCCCATCCTCTGACCACTCTCTCTGTTCTCTCCCGGCTTTGGTTCTTTTGAGCATCTTTGGCCCAAGGGGAGCAGAAGTGTGTGATTGTCAACACCGACCGACTTTGTCTCCTTTCCGGCCATCTCTGGTCAACTTCAGCATTCAATATCACACCTCTCAGCCCCCCCCCCCCCAAACACACACAAAAACAATTATTTCTCCGCTTTGGCCAGGGATAATCATGGCCAGTGCCACCACGTACGGCACCCGTGAGCTTTATGGAGGGGCGATAACGGTGGAATTGCCCGTGGAATTGATTGATTCAAGGTGAGTCTCTCTTAGACAGATTGCGTTGGTGCCATATCGAAAACTGCTTTGTGAGAGTCGGCTCCGGGCTGGGGCCAACGGCAACGTGGATAGATGATAGAAGACAGCGGAGCAGAGGGAGCGAGGCAAAGGGGCACTGAGGAAACCGGCCTGCTCGTATTCAGCATACGGGCTGGTCTCCTTTTTACTTCCCTTTTGGCACGGGGCATGCCATCATCTTTCCTTCGAGCAGGGCGCATGTCTACCCACCTGACTTTGTTCTCTACGGAGATTCTTGCGCGGACCGAGTAACAACTGATGATATTCGACAGCGACATCCGCCAGATCCCGGACCACCAAGAAGTCTTCCTCTCGCCGACGACGCTGACGTCTATCATCTTCGAGATCAACGACTACGTGCGGCCCGGCGGCGCCGCGAATCCCAGTCCCTCGCCGGGCCCGACAACCACCACCTCGACCACCACCGCGCCGGACGGGACGACCACGACCACGACCACGACGGCCGTCAGCCAGACCATCGTCAACGGAAGGGCCGCGGCCGCGACCTCCCAAACTCCACAGGGAGGGGAGGAGCTGGACGCCGAGGCCGCAAAGTACCACTTCACAGACGTGATCTCGCCGCCGGACACGCTGGCCTCGCCCCTGCCGAACCCGCAGCCCGTGCAGATGGTCGACCCCAGCCTGGCCGGCTACCCGGCGTACATGCTGGCGGGGAACATCAACAGCCACGAAATGGCGGCGCGTCGGACGACGGCACCAGCGCCCTCCTCCCAACAGCAGTCACAACCACGCCCCGACCCGACGTCGCTGGTGCACCAGCTCGCGCTGCTGGTGCGGCTCCCGCCCTACAACGCCGATGTGTGCGTGCGCGTCAACGTCCCCGTCAAGGAGTTCGTCGAGGCCGGCCAGCGCATGGGCTCGGCGTCCTCCGCCGGTGGCGGCAGCAGCGGCACCGAGGCCATGATCGCCCAGGAGGTCGGCCACGCGCGCGACATCCTGGCCCGCATCGTCGGCACCTTGGCCGTCCGGGACTGGAGCCTCTTCAACGCCTGAAGAAGGGGGATGGATCCGACAGGACACGACACGACATGACCCCCATGAATAAAATACCACGCGCGCCGTTTGGAATGTGTTTGGATGGAAGAAAGGTATGGTTATCACGGACCTCCACTCCCCAAGGAGGGAGGAAATGGGAACGGGAATGGGAATAAGAAAGGGAGAAGGACAAAACAGGTTGGTAGAGGCAACCAGATCAAGAGAGACACCACCCACTGTACTCTTTCACCATGCAATGGGATAGTCCACGTCCCGCGTATGTAGGTTAGTAGTAGCTACAGCAAATGCTCGACAGTAGCTACTTAGGTAGTCACATTAGATAGCGACAAATCCAAATCCAAAGAATCATAGACACAATGCTCACGCTTTGCGGGTCACCGACGATTCGTTCAACGCTTGCTGGGCAGGACAGAGAGAAGACAGGGTTAACCGAACGGGACTCGAAAGCTCACATTGAGCTCACATGATTTCTCACAGCTGTCTTGGTGGACATTCCTAGCATCAACGCCGCACTCTCGCTCATATCATATGCCTGGTACATATACAGCCCGGGGCGAAAGCACGATCCAATCCCTCGACTCCAAAAAGCCTCCTTCTGAGTATTTATGGACGTCGCTCGAACGACGTCGGACGGCAACGCGTCCTCCCAACACCTAATCCAACTCACAGTGACAAATCAATCGGTCAGTCGCTCAGCTCGATCGTCTCAATCATCCGGCCCAGCCCACTACTCCCGCTACTATTCGAGGTTGTGCTCTCGGCACTCTCTTCCCTCTTCAGGGCGGCGCCGTTGGTTGCTTTTGTTCCTTTCTTGACGGGACTCGCTCTAGGCTTTGGCCTCACCTGTACGAGTCTCCCTTTACACTTCCCACATCGATGTTTCTCGACATCAACACTCTTACTATGTCGCCCATATTCGGCTCCACATCCCTCCTCCTCGTCCAAGTTGAGAAGGTCCATCGCGGCAGACCTCTCCTTGCGGCCGACGCAGACCCAGAGATACTTGTGATTGATGGCGTAGCTGTGTTTGGTTGTGACTTGCACGTTCCTCCATGACTCAACATCGGTCGCTCGCAAATGTGATGTGACTCTCGCAGCCCACTCTTTGAAACTTGCACCATGGGGTTGATCGCGCACGTTACTGATCATAAAGTTCGTCAGATGGCAGAACTCGTGCGCGAGTGTGTTGACCAAACGGTCTTCGCAGTCGATGATCTTCTCGGCCAGTTCAATCGTCGCAAAATGTTGCACCTTCGCTCCTGGGCCAGTAAAGTCGTGCATGTTGTTGCCTTTGACGGGCGAACAAGAGGGCTTGGTGACAGTTCTTTTCCAGTTTGCTCGGCCAGCTGTTGAACGCAGCGTTTTGGACCAGATGATACGCACACCGCCGGTGCTGGACGACAGTCGGTCGAGTTGGGAATCGGCAACCTTTTCATCGAGCTCATGTAACAGGTCCCGTGCAAGTTGTTGTTTCTGAGAGTCGAAGGCCTTCTTCCGTGCTGCAGCAGCCCGTTTCTCTTCTGCTAACCGTTTCTTTTCTTCCTTCTGCGGGCTTTTGCTCGGTGATCGTAACTTGCGTGGTGACAAGCAAGGACTAGGCAGGGAATCAGAACTGTCCACAGATTTGTCTTCCTCCTCATCGCCTGAGTCCGACCACACTTGAAACCGACCGAGGAGACCTTTCCTTGGAGACGTTGCCGGTGCCTTCTTCGGAGAGTATTCATCATTCCAGTCGTTGATCACATTATGATCCCAGAACGCATCCATACTCTGGCGATGCGGCGAATGTGGGATCGCCTGTCGCTTGGAAGGGGATAGCAACTTTGAGGGTGACTTGAGTTTCGAAGGCGACCTGGGTGGTGTGGCAGGCGGTGTCTTGAAGCGGTCTTCCGTTCTGTCGATGGGCTTCTCTGGCACGCCTCCAGAGCTATCGTCAGAATCAGGGTCGACGAGCTGCTCCTTGGAGGGAATCATCAGGGCAGGCTCGGAGGCGGGCGGGGGGAGCTGAAGATGGGCATCGAAGTTCTTGAAAGGATTCGGGTCTTGGAAAGGATCCTCCGACGGGACGGTATAATGAGTTTGAGGTGAGAGTAAACTGGGTAGTGTCTTGACCTTGGTCTCCGGAGGAATGGTCGGGGACGAGGTGAGATCGATCACTTCAATTTCTCCTCTGTCCATGTTGGATTCCTTGCCATTCAGGGAGATATCTCTCAGGGCATTTGATAGTGTCTCTGCCGGATGGTTCTCCTTATCCGACCCCTCGTGATCGCCGAAGCTGAGGCGCCGCCGAGTTGGCGATCCACGGTGCAGTCTTCTTCGCGGGCGTGCTGGCGGGACTTTCATTTTTGGCCCTGTATAATCATTATCCGAACTTGACGCTGAAGATTCGTAGTAGCTCAGTTCCGCGTTGTCGTCGACAATGAAGCCGCTCAAATCGGTATCTTCGTCTTCTTCGTCACCTCTGCCTGAATCCTCGTCGTCATCGTTGCATCGAGCCTCCTTTAAGACGAATCTGCTCGCACGATTTGACGCCGACATCTTTTTCCGAGTGCTACCCTCTCTTAACCTTGTCGGACCCTCTCGCATTTGAGACATGGCTGGTTTCTCGGCCTTCTGAAGCCACGTGGGACCAGGATTTTTCGATGTATCCACCAACACATGTGACGGCACCCCGTCTTCCACAGCCAGCGCCTTCAGTGGAATCAGTAGTGAGTCTACGTGGGCCAATTTCAAACTTCGTTGGGGACTCGCTGGAGAGCGGCGATTGCTGGAGGTGACATGGGTCTCGGCAACAGTGAGATTTCGAGGGAGAAGCGGGATGTCTCTGAGGATGGACGGGTTTGTCTCTCCAGGCTTCGTGGCTTCTTTGCGACAACGGTTCTTGACTGGGAGCCGGGAGTTATTGGGTTCAGCTTTCTTGAATGAAGCCGGCACATCTCGTGGTCTCTTCTGGGGCGATATAGGCTCCCCAGCCAAGGGCTTCTTGCGTGGGGATCGTCGCAGTCCGGTATTCGTTCCGGTGGCCATTAACGGCTTGGGCGCGAAGATAGCGCTGAGGTCTGGAAGGTCGTCTTCGGACGAGTACGCACACATGGCTGCTGGTCTGCTCTGGTCTGCTTTAGTCGAAAGGGATGTTGTCGCCATCATTGGGTTTGGAAGGAAGTCGTTGTGGTGTTTACGGTTGTCCGCAACCGGACACGCTGCCACGGCAACGGAACAAAGTTCACGCCGCTTTAAATTTGCGATATCAAAATCAATCCCTCACTCGTACGAGGCTCGCGAGGAACTTTTATCTCCGTCATCCATCCCTCAGTCGACCCTGTGTCACTGGCTCATCCTTCTCAAGCTACCATCTTCTCCTCCACGAACTCTACCCCTCGTCTTCGGAAATCCAGCTTTGTGTTGTAGAATGGTCGTCTGGACCCCCGCACGATCGGTTGAAGGTTATCGTTGGGATTGGTGGGCGTCACCTTTCAGCTTGTTCAGCACGCTTATTCCGCGTATCCATGCGTTCAGTAGTGATCAGGCTTACCTTGAAAGTCTTGACTAGCCGCGCCACTGCCTTTTTCATTTCGATCATAGCCAGATTACGCCCAATGCAAATCCGCCGTCCGGTGCTGAAGCTGAGATCCGCGTGATCCATCCGCTTGACCTCCTCGTCGCTGAGCCCGATCCATCGCTCTGGTATGAATCGCTCAGGATCGGCCCCGAATACGTCAGCGTCTCTGCTCAATGCCGCCGTGCTAACTGAGACATCAGTGCCGCCAGGCACCCAAACGCCGTCGATCGTGGCCCCAGGATCCGGGACTGTCCGTTCCAGGATGCCCGAGCCAGATCTGTTCAGCCTAAGAGACTCCCGAATGACACCATCTAGGTAGGGAAGGCTCTGCACCTCAGAGAACTGCGGTAAGTCACTTAGCGATGCCGAGAGGATCTCCTTCTCCAGCTTCTCCATTTTGTCTGGATGCCGCAATAGGGTTACGAGGATGCTAGCCGTAGTCTGTCCAATAGTCTCGCTCCCGGCGTGCATCGTCGACACCAGGAAGCCTACTACGTCACTGGTCTTGATCAGCTCGGGGGCTCTTCGACTGGCCGCCAGATATTTTCCCAGGAGGTCGAGCTCGCTGTCCAAGTCCTTTTCTTCGCGCAATCTTTTCTGCAACCTCTGCGCGGCAAGGGCGCCCAGCATCGACGATTTCTCCATTCTTTGCATGATGGGGTTCTTGAACAGCCACCGTTCCAACGTTGGCATGGGTCCCCAGTATTGCTGGTGCGTGATGCGCTCGGCAGCGCCCGCGATCGTGTTTCCAAAGTCCTGTTGCTGGCTCAAGAAGGCTTGGTCCTCGGTCAAGGCGACGCGCGAAATGGTGTCAAAAGCCCAATACCCCAGCGTGGTGCCGATTGCGACGTCGGTTTTGGTATCGTCGAGGTATTTGACCAGCGAGGAGATTGTATGGTCGAGCTCCGACTCTTGTCGGAGGAAGGAATTGATGGTGAAATTGCCCAGCAGAAGACGTTTGACGGCACTCATTCGCTTCTCGTCGAGGATGCTGATGAAAGAGGTGATTTCACGGCCCCGGATCATGACTCGGAATGGGAGATAGAACGAGGACTAGTCAAAGTCGAATGAGCCTTTGCGGAAGGCCTGCTTGAGACGGTTTTTCGGAACGAGGTCAGCTCACCTTTGGCATGACATCAGTCGTCCTGTATATCACAGGAATCGCCGACGCCTTGCTGAAGATCAACCGGTTTGGCCCCAGCCTCACCACGGGCCCATATTTGAGGTGCAATTCCGTGGTGAGCTGAGCAAAGTTTGTGCCTGTCCAGAATCTATAGGTGAACCAAAAATCTGTCAACGCGGCAAGGAACGGGCCTGGGATGTGGCGGAGGCGAAGATAGCGCTTGAGGAAGAAAGCCACGACCAGCAACGACAAGGCAGAGGCTGCGAAAGCCAACGAATGGCTCAAGATGAGTTCTCCGGCGTGCATCATGTCGATCGGTGCTCTGAGATCAAAGCTGAGGTTTTCGTCTCTCGAGGCAGGCAGATGCCGTACCTGGTAGGGACTGTTGCATTGGTATATATACGCGAAGACATCTATTCTCTTCACCGGCCAGTATCAGACACAGGCTCCGGTTGACCAATTGCGGTCGCCCTCCATGACTTCCAGGTCAGGCAAACCATAAGCATGACAAGAGAGTCAGCGACCCTCACAATCAGCGGCCGCATTAGGGTGTGCACACACAGTATATATACAACAGCAAAACACCCGCTCCCCACATGGCACAACTCGAGATGACGACGTCTTTGGCTCGGCGAGCCTCCGAGAACGCAAGATGTTTTACCCTCCCCCACACACCGCTGACGGCCCCGTTATCATCGGAAGTGGAAGGTGTTGACCACGAGAATATCGCTTCGTGTCGAGGCTTGATTTCGCTCGGCGGTGAATAGGTCGTCCAGACGGAAGAAGTGGCGCCGGACAAGGCTGAGCAGCTCCATATCAGATAGGAGGAAGAAAGCAGTCATATCGCCCCGGTTGGTAAGGTGCTGGGGTGGCTTTGCTGCCCAAACATCCAGACACAAATATATAAGACAGACCAAGTGTCAAGGCATATTTGTACCAGTTATCAAGCCAAAATCTATCGTACACTATCGGCCCCTGCCGGCGAGCACCGACCAAGCAGACGTCAGTGCGGTTCGAGCTTCGAGGTCTGCCAGCTTATATACGGATCTCCCGGCATCTGTGCCATGGCTGGCCAAGGGCGGCGTGATCTTTTCTTCTGCTGAATCACTATCGATAACGCTGAACCAGCAATCAATGGGGGAAAAACTCAACTTCCCCAGCCAACAGTTCGACCCAGTGGCGTGAGTTGACCCTGAGATATCAACACGCCGCCCAGGGCGTGAAAGTTCACGCCAGACACGATCGGCCTAGAATGCCAGGTCACGCCACGTCTGCGTTTGAGCAACGTACCAATCGACGAGGTGAGAGGTAGCTGTGCATTGGACAAGCTCCTTCTCACCTCATATTCCCGCTTGATACCGGGTTTGATAAAAGGACCCTTTCGTCCTTTGCCTATCGTGCTACAAACACAACATTCACAACATACGTACATATATCCATCCATTCATCTCCGTCTCCATCTTCTACCTTCCGTTTTGCCAAAAAGTGTTTCCTATTTCCCTTCTGCCCTTTCTGTCCATCCATCCCCCATATTATAAAGGTTCTGAACCATGAAGCCCAGCCTGGTCACCCAACTCGCAAAGCCCCGGCTCACAGCCCTGACTGGGCTTGGGATCAGACGGTACACCGCCGGCCGCATAGCCCTGGCGCCGACGGCGCTGCACCGCGCAGAAAAGGCCGCGGACATCAAGGCGCACCCCGAGAGCGCGGCCACGCAGGAGAAGCTGCCGGACCAGAAAGGCAATCGGCACTGGACCGAGGAGAACGCCACCGTGAGCGAAGCCGATGTAAGTATTTTTCTCACCGTCGAGGGAGGGAGGGATTTTTCAAGAAACATGGAAAATCAAACCAAACCACGCACGCACGCACACCCCCCCCTTCCTCTCGCTTTCTTTCTTTTTATTCTCTTGGCTTGAGGGAAAGGGGGATTTGGGATACCATACAATCGAGGTGCCGTGCGCATCCCTAGGGGTTCTTGATTGGGCTGACGTAGTGCGCCTTGCCATCGTTTCCACAGGTCAAAGCCGATCGCGAAGCGCGGGAGGAGAAGCCGTCGGGCAAGGCCCAGGACAAGAAGGCGTGATGATCCAGCAGCCACGCTCCACGTCGATGAATGGCGGCATTTGGCATCCATGAGCCTGTTGGGCAAAAGCCGAGGCCTGGGCCGTCCACCTGCGGATCGACGGCATCCGCATCACCAAGTGATTTCTCTCTCATGAGTCGATGGCGATGAATATTCAGGGGCGGGCAAACGGAGGATCCATCGCCAGCCAAAAACGCGGGCTGATTGATTTCTTTTTCAAAATTCCGTCAGGGGTTAGGTTTACGGCTACTACCAAAATGTTGAATACAAAACACCCACGGTCTAAACTTGCTCGATTCCATGCTTGTGATCCGTCTTGTCATTGCTGATCCAATGTGTTGGCCGACATTCTAGCAACCCGATCTAGCTTCTCTATGTATCCAGGACCTTTGCCAGATCAACTTCTCTCTCCGCCTCAACACTAACGCGGGGACCAGTCGTCACGCAAACCAGTAGACCTCGCCCAGCACAATGGCACTGGACACGACGATCTGCATCAAGAGCGGCACCATGTTCACCCGGGCGAACTTCCACTGACTCACCCGCACGCCTTTGTGGGCGAGGAGGCCCCTCCACAGCAGCCCTGCGAGAGAGCCGGCGAAGGTGTAGCTGAACGCCCCGATGTTGCTCCCCATCGCCACGCTGTATATCGCCCCCGGCAAGACCCGCGGGTCGCGCTGCACGTTGTCGGAGCGCATGAACTGCGGATCTCGCAGGATCTCCACGAGGATGATGGTCGCCCCGATATTCGTCCCGGCCAATGGACACAGGAACGCGGCGCTGACGAAGCCGAAGAAAAACACGGTCGCGGCGGGGGATGTGCAGGCGCGGGCGAACCCGATTGCAAACACTCGGATCCAGCCGCGCTGTGAGAGCCCGCGGACGAGGATGAATTCGGCCATGGCGAAAGGCAGAAGCGGGATGGGGAGGAGTGAGACGGTATGCGCGGTGGAAGGGAAGCGAGAGGCCAGACCGCGGAGGAGAGAGGTAAGTGACGTGCGATCGCCCTTGGTGTTGGGTTTGGAGGCGGGCACGGAATTCTTTGATTGGTCCCTCCCAGAAAGGGAAGGAGAAAGTTGTCGAGATTCGGATTCGGTCGGCTGGCTACCGTGTTTGTTGCCTGTGTTGTCCTCGTCCTTTGCCGGTATCGGTGGCGATGGAGATGCGGACTCGGAGGACTTGGGTGATGGAAGCCCCCCGTCTTCCAGATCTGAAGGCTCGCGCACTTGGTCGCCCGCTGAGACATGGACTTGGACTGGCCTCGACCGCCTGTGATCAACTTCTGACATCTCTGCGGCGGAATCGCGTGATTGCTGCCGAACAATTTCTCGACCAACCTCCGGATGAAACCAGTCGTTTACAACATTGAACAGGAACGCCGACACACCAGCCGGCGCCGTCACCATCCAGACCTCCACCGCATGGCCCGGCACGAAACTCGTGCCGACAAGCACGGAGACTGTGACCAGCATCAGCGCACTAAGAAAGAAAGCACCTGGCCGGTCACGAAGTTTGCTCCACGGGTCCTCCGTCAATGGCGTCAGCGTCTTGGGGATCTTCTTCCAAAACATGCCGAGCAGAATCGGATAGTTCAAGGCCGCCGGGATCAAAGAGGGAAGGACCGTCCACTTGGTAAAGTCGGTCAAGTAGTTGAGCCCAAAACTGCCTGTGATCAGAATGTTGGTCGGATTACTGCTCACCAGCACGGCAGAGGCGGTGTTCGCAGCCATGAACTCCGCAAAAACCCATGCCGTCGGATCAAGGCCTGTATGCTGGCTCAGATATGCCAGAAACGGTGTGCCCGAGAGGATGAGCGGGTCATTGCCCACTATACATGCCGTGAGCAGAAAGAAGGCGTAAAGATAAGTGAAGAGCAAGCGGCCGGAGCTGCCACCGCGTTTGGAAACATAGAAGGCAGTAGCTTCGAGGGCACCGGTGCCGTCAAGGGCGATTGAGACGTAGGCGAGCGAGATGAAGAGAACAAGGACGTCGTAGGGTTTGACGGTCTCATCCCCGACGATACCAAGCCGGATGGTCGAGCCATGTATCGTAGTTGTCGCAAGGAGTAGAATGACGGCGATGACGGGGGCTGTCGTGAGAGACAAGTGAATGTGAAGTCGGCGATTGGACAGGGTTTCGAAGTCGCTGAGCCCGATGACTCTGGTGTTTAGAAGCGTTGAGAGCAGAAGCCGTTGGAGAGACGCCGGCAGCGGAATCCTGACGGGCCAGATGACGAAGGCAGAGACCACGCAGAAGACGGCCAGAATGAAGCCAGAGTGGCCGTTGAGAGAGTCCTGCTGGCCATTTGTGCCGGACATGCCCCTTTCAGGATGGTCAAAGGAGATCTCCAGGCGACGCTTGTCGCTCCCATGCTGACAAGATAGGGCGCGGAGGAGAGTGCGTCCATAGATAAAACGATGGGGGAGGGGTGGAACGGCTGAGGGCTCGGGATGCGCGCCGAGCATGACGTCGATAGTCCCGGGCTTGGCATCTCTTGGCAGGAAAAGCTCAGCCTCGCCGATGACATGTACATTGACAGCCTCACTTCTTCTACTTCTTCTATCTACACGCAACCTGACCTAGTCTCTGTTGCTCGTGCAACTGTGGTCTCTAGGGCTCGCCTCATGGGGATAACACACATCAGAACGTCCATTGAGTCTCGAGTAGCCGGTTGACGCAGTCTTGAGGATGCCGGTTTCGGCGATACCAGGGCATTGTTGGTTACCGCGTCTAGAATGTGTTTTTCCATCTGTCAACCCTTTCATGGTTCCGAATCGTCCCACAAAACCTTGTCCCATCATAGATGCCGCCGATTCTGCACCCAAACAAGGGTGTGTCCCCACGTGCAGAAGCAAACCCCTGGTGACCCTCAAAGCATCAATCTCGCCACGCTCCACCACAGTGAGTGGTCGAGGTGCTTCGAAAAGATAGTGGTCTTGAACGCGCCGAATATTGGAAGACAGCTTCCCAAATTTATTCAAGAGCCACCCCTCGAGCATGTGTTGAGGGAGATTGTAAACAGGAGTCATCTCCAAGTGACTCTCCCAGGTGTTGCTTCCACCTTGATTGATCTCTGTAAACTCCGCTCGCCACTGAGATGCAGGCGAATCCGCGGTGAGTGTACCTTGCAGGCTTCGGCCCAGGGAATCACGATTACTGGGCGGCTGCATCGAGTCGCTGGGTGTTTCTGATGTCTGGCGAATACGCTCTCTTCCACTCTCGTCAGAGTTTGACGATGAGGTCTGATTCTCGTGGAGAGGTGAACAGTGACCAGAGCTCAACGAGCTGATTTTCCACAAATTCACAGCACTGGTGATAGCCCCTACCGCGGAGACCCCAGCCTGAAGTACCTGCAGACCACTCACCTGTGATTGTCGATTTGCCGGTTCTAGGCTGGGATCAGGGACACACGGCCGCACTTCTTGCAAAACCGCCTGAATGAGCTGGTTTCGCTTGCTGACAGCTTCCACAATGTCGTTCATAGCCTTGTCGTGCTTGATCTTCATATCATCAATCGTATTCTGGCCGCTGCGCAGGCGCTCTTCTAGTTTCGTGAGAAGAGCAGACATATCTTGAAGGCGCGTCTGTGTGAGTCTTGCTTCCTCCTCGAAAGTTCGGTCCATGTTCGATATGATCGGGCCCAGGGTAGCCGTATGGCTTCTGACAGTGTCCGACAGCGTAGACAGAATCGCTGATCTCTCCTAATTCGAGGCTCATGGGCAAACACACGTGGGTGGGAAGGTCCGAGATTTTCTCCAGCACAACTTGGACATTCTCTCTGGACGACATTAGCTATGTGAACGTACACATTTTGGCAACTCACAACTCCTGGAGATGTAGCAACAGGTTGATTTCTCGAATAGGTCCGGCCGTCGCATTTTTCAATTGTTCCGTTTCTCCTTTCAGCTCTTTGACTGCCCACTTGACTTTTTTGACCGACGCAATGACAAGAGAGGCATCCTGGGTAGAGGAGAGGCCCTTCTCGTACTTTTGCAGATACCTTTCGAATCGATCGTATGCCTTGCCAATGGTTTCAACTTGACGTGCAATTTCGGCGGAGTACTTTGCGGTAGGTTGAGCATCCAAATATTCTTTGACATGCTCGAGTTGGTCAGCAAAGGATTGCAGCCACAGAATAGCGTCGCTGTACTGTGCTTTGGCTCCGTCGGCACTCTTGAACGCTGCTCCAATCTGCCTCAGAAGTTTGATGGACACCACGACGTCTCCCGCCGACCAGCCAAAAAGAGGAACGACCATGACCGAGACTAATAGGCAGAAGATGAAAGACCTGCGCTGAGCACTGGTCATTTACCAGGGAAGATTCGATCCGCGAAGCGAAGAGCGGGGTGGTGAGGCTGGTAAGGCTGGAACGTTGTGTTGGCTTGGCGATACAAGAGGAGTTCCATCGACGCCGAGCTCACATCGCGCCTCATGCGAGATTGATCGGGAGCAGAATCTTCTAACCAGCACATTGGCATTCCAGCATCAGGATATCCAAAATCTTGTCACTTCGAGCGAAAGTTATTCAAAGGGGGTTGGGAGTCACGGCATAGAACGATCGAAATATGCCTGGGACTTGGGCTCAGCACCTAGGTCGAACTGGTTTGGGTTATGACATCGGAGTCGACTTGTTTTCACCGTGGACATCGTTTCCGCCTCAAAACTACAGCCCGCGGGTGGACTATCGGTCAAGGCTCGCAGAAAAGCTTAAGAAGCGGCTCAAGGAGACCTATATGCTGCTAGCACATGTTGCCTCCCTCTCGGATGAGCGAAGTGGGCCAAGTCTGTTCCTTAAGACGATCAAGAGCCCGCTTAGCTGATAACCGTTTGGGTGTCGCACCGTGATTCCCAAAGTCTCACAAATGTGAGCAAGCTTGTCAGTTCCTCAGCTGCGTAAGAATTGCTTCACAATGTCGCCCCAAATATTGCTTTTCTTGTACTCCACTATTCCAGGTGCGTTACCCTTGCTCAGCCCTTCGATGGCGTTTGCTAGATCCTCTCCATAGCCTGCGGCTTTGATATCCGTCAGTGGGTAAAGATATGTTTTGATCGTGAAGACGACAGCTTTGGATCGGGGGAGCCGATATAGTGTTTGACTCTCGCTTCGTACAAAGGTCTATATGTGCAAGCACGGTCAGTTGTCCATCAATCTTGTATGTGGTGACCCTGAACACACCTTCTGGATATCAACCGGCGACTGCTCATCCTTGTATGGATGATGGCCCTCGGGCACGAACATGCGGCCGTCGTCGACGACAACCCACTAATTGTCTCCTGATTAGAAAGGCAACGGAAGAGGTGTGCCCACTCACATTTGCTCGTCTGACAACTTTGCCGATCTTCAGGAGGTCGATCCATCTGTCAAGCTTCTGCTCCAGGTGGGATTGGAATCCAGGAACCGCTCCATGGATGTCTCTGAGTTTCATATTAAGACGGCGTCTCGTGTTCGGGCCATTAGCAAAGCAGTTGACAAATGCCTGAAGGGTGTATCCATCGTTGTCGGGTGAAGGAAGCATCAGGAGCATGTCCTCATCGACAAGTGATCCAATCACCTCCAGCGCAGCCAGTGGAGAGCTCGGAGGCTGCAAAGAGTAGGACTGAAGCGTGACCAGGTTTTTGAGACAAGAACCCTCAGATGAGGATGTAGAGAGAATATGACGTCCGACTTCTTCTCCACCCTCAATCCGGAAGATAGTAGGGAATCGTTGTGGAAGGTAGTTATCCACGAGCCAAACGTATAATTCTCTTACAGCTGCTTCTGCACCAGGTTCACATCCGATCACGGAATCCTCGTTTTTCTGAATGACTCGGATGCGCTCGTTGATGTTGTCTAGGTATGTGCGGTCAATAGAAATGAGCTCAGAGATTGGAATCGTCTGCATGCCTGGAATCGTTAGAATTGCAGAATAGCTTGTGGGATCAATACCAAAGGACAGATTGTCAGCTTGTTGGTATGGATGAATGATGCTTCTTGGGGCGTCGTGCCATTTGAAGTCTGGCAGTGGTTCGATGATCTCACCGTGGAACGCTCCTTGTTCTGTTGGTAACGAGACGGGGTGGTCTGTCCCATCAGAGGGTAATGGTCGATGAACCTGTGAAGACATCTTACTAAGGTGAAATGTGGCGACTCATGAGATCTGTGTTGCAAGTACGCACAATTGTGAGGTCTGGTCACGACGCGCTCACTCACCTTCCAGAAAAAAGAGGAGATGTATCTGAGCATTGTGAGATGTGGAAGATGAATGCTGTATTGCTGAAACTTGTCGAATGTTGGCAACCAAGGGAAGGTTGCAGGGCATGCGGCCAGAAACAACCATATGCCACTAGGAAGGAGCAATCATTGCTGTACTAAGCCATGATTTTCGACAAGACTTGATTACAGCAAACGGGAACAGCAACAATCGTAGTTCTCCCCGCACCACCTGCCACCTGGTCATGCTCATGCAATCCTTGGAAGTGAGCGTCACCTCACCACCGCTGTTGTCAAACCATTGACCGTGTGAAACGGGTGCCGATCGTATCAAAGAATGTGCTCAGCCAGACTCTTGCGGCTCCAAACAGCGGCTGTTTTCGAAGAGTCAAGACCGAGCAAGACACGTGCAGCCAGAAGAGCTGGATTGCGCGGCGCTACCCAAAGACTGAGCACGTTGCAGCAAGCCCTGCCGGACAGTCTACAGTGGCTGGGCACCTGTGTGCACTCGGCGCGAGTTACTCGAGATACCTATTGGCTTTTCCACTAGGCAGCCCTCTTATCCATTAATTGCCCCATTGCCACCCTGGACAGCACACGGAAAACCAGGTAGGGGACAGGTCATGGACCGCCTCTAGCTTTACCAGTGCTGGCAACCGAATATTTATTCGTTCTTGTGAGAGCTTTCTGTATTTCTTGCTCGTTTAGCGGCGTCTCTGGGCAGCGCAGCATCTGCGATCAAATTTTCAATGCTAGCGAGCTGAAAGATTTCTGCCGGAGAGACAAGTGATGTTCAACTACACGACACTCCTACTCCACCTTGCTTTTCCTCAAAGAATTGTTGCCCGTTTTATGCACTCCGTCTGGTCAAGGTGTGAGCTTTATATTCAGCATGTTATCAATGTCCTGGAAGTGTGGAGGTCGGACACCAAGGAAAGAAGCGCGCTACCAAAAATGAAAATTCCGATCCATATGTGCAATTTAATCTCGAGCAGACAGACTTGTGGCCCCTTTACCTGTATGAGCGATGAAAACAGGCTCGACAGCTTTCTTTCGGGTTTCAGAGACCATGGCGCAGCCGAGAGTAGCATGTCTCGATCGGACCTGATGGTGTTAGTCTCTCTCTCGCTCGCTCGCCTGCAGAACATGTCATTGATACTCTGATATTGTAGCAGATCACCTTCGAGGCGCCGAGTCTGTCTTTCAGAACATTGGCCATATCTGTCATGTCTTGACGGACCCCTTCTTCCCCGAAGCGAGTTCCCAGCACCGTGGGATGATTGACGTACTCAAAGCCATATTCGTCGAATCTCAGCTGGTCAATGTAGCCTCTGACATCCTCGACTTGGACATTGTGCCAGACCCCCTCGATGTTCGAGGCCGATCCAGTTGGCACCTGAGATGAAGGAGCACACAAAAGCTGATAAGGCTTTTCAGTCTTGTACAGGTCAAGGTCAGCAAGGAATTCAAGAGCTGTATCGACAGTAAGTGGGCCGTGAGTCGCCATAGCTGAGTACTCTAGACGGATCGTGAGTAAGCTGAATCACAACCGTTCATCGAGCGTCGAGCTTGAACATATCCGAAGCATCTCGCAGAAGGCACACCCACGAAACCAGAGAGGCAAGGCGAGTTGAGCCGTGCTCACTGCAAATTACCGATCAGGCTGAGTATAATCAGAATCAATACGAACGCCACGAGATAACATGGCATGGGCGCCCTCTGCGGAACGTCTTTGCTCGATTACTAGGCCACAAGCCGGTCGAGGATGCGATGCGCCCTGTACTCCAGACTGTACCTTGTCCCCTGTTGTTGAGTGTACACATGACTTGAAAATTTCGAATGTTAAGCACATGCATGATGCATTCTTCGACCTGTTGAAACCTGCAATTTGTGGCTGCAGACATGATGTTACAACAAAGGTTGCTTAGCGCACACTAGACCTTCGGGGAGATTTGTGCCTGAGATGCCATTGGCCGTAACTGTGGACCGGTGTGAACAAGCCAGCAGCGACTCAAAAGGAGTCTCGTATGTTCAGGGTACCTTGCCTGTGCCAGCGCATTTGACATGGGGGTCCGGGCACTGGAATAGGGCGGTTGCCTCCAATCGACAAGTCAAAGATGCCTTGGAGTCTGCCTGGTGTTGCAGAGATACCGAGCTGTGACTTGAGGTCCGGGGGAATTGGTTAAAAAGACTGTCTTCTCGGGCGTTTTGGAAGCGGCGAAAAATGTGCTGTGGTCGCAACCAATTAGTGGTCTGGCGCAGTCACTTATTTAAACCTTCGTTGACTTCACTTTGTTCCCGCAGTTCACGACGGAAAGCTTCTCAGAAGTCTTCAGTCTTTTCGCCCCGCAATTCACGGCGTATCAACATGGCTGCTGTTCAACTAATCCAGCTCAAGCCAACTGTCGGGGTTGACGACGAGAAGTGGCTGAAGATCATCTCCGGATTTCGATCGGCAGAAGGTGGCACAGGTGTGGTGTGGGCACTGCAGCACGAAGATTCGAAGATCGCAGGAATCGCAGCTTGTGAGTACATACCACATACCGAAGATCTCGTCTCTGCCTGCCAATGTAAATTCGAGTGGCTGATGATGTCTTCCTGGACAGGTTTCGACACCTACGGTCATCAACAGGCATGGGCGGCCTCAGACGCTGGCCACAAGGTCAAGGACGACATCTCGGTGCTTGCGTCTGGCTCAATCTACGAGGACGTCGTGCTCTTCTCAGAAGACCCACTTCCAACAATCAAAGCGAACGTCGTGGAGCTCGTGTCATGGATTCACCCGGTGGACAAAATCGATGCGGAGCGCGAGAAGAAGGTCGCAGATGGCTTCAAGCACTTCCAGAAAGCAATCAGCAGCGAGGCGCCAGAAGCGGACGGAGGACTTGTTGCGGGATGGGGCCAAGTCCCTTTCGACCATGAAGGGGTGAAGTCGAGACGCTTTACGTCCCTCATTGGCTGGAAAGGTGTGGATGCTCACTACAAGTGCAAAGAGACCAGGCCGTTCCTTAACAACATTCACTGGCTCATGGAAAATGATGATTCGGGCGTCGAGATGGTTCATTATGCATACAGCAAGTCGCTTGACGGTGCAGGGACAAACTTGTAAGCACGCCACTATCTAGACAAGAGCGCAGAGAGAACGGATCGCTGGAAATTCCATGCACCTGAACATGTACGAAGATAGAGCCGAATTGAAGTGGATCGCAATGCCGGACCCAAAGCACATTGTTATGCTTGTTGCTTCTGCATCTTCAATTGTGCCACCGACATTTCCAGTTGTGCCGCAGATATACCTATCTGGACCATGGTATGGATGATAGAGAGAACACCGACAACCAGCGGGGTCCAGAATGCAAACCATTCGGTCTTGTACGTCCGATCTCTCCACCGGTCACTATCTTTGTAGCCTTGTGCCGCTGGAGAAATTGCAAAATCACAGCAAGCCGAGCTCCAAGAGTGGGGAAATCCAGGTGAGTATTGATCTGCTTGTCGATCAGAGGGTTGCCAGGAACGTCAGCCACCGGAGACGGCCTTTTCCACAGAGCCGATCGAGCAGAGGATCAAGCAGCGCGCCAGGTTTAGTTCTCTGTCGCTCAACGCCGTTGAAAATACCTCGTGCAGCTTTCACTTGGCCAAAGTGAAGTCTGAAAGAAAGCAGTACTTCGCAATGAAATTGAGCATGTTTGGCATCTGATAATTGTGCCGGCCGGTCCTCATCAAGCAGCCTGTAAAGCGGCATTAGCACGGCAATGGCACCTATTTCATAGGTGTAGGAACTTACAAGTCAAAAAGAGATGGTCCTGCCGCAGAGTTGAGATACGATGCACATACTGAAGGTGCTCGAAATAGGAAAAGAGTACTTGTGGGTTCGTGGAAGTCCAAATGCGCCCGGACATCGTCCACCCATGTCACAGAGATCTGCCGGCCTGCAATCTTCAGGAACAGCGAGGCAATGTTCAGGAGAGACACAGGGAAGCTTACTTGCTCGTCGCACAAGATAACCGGGTCGAAGATCCCTGTGGCGCCTTCCCCGCGAAGTACTCTGGTAAATGGCCCCCCAGCTTCGGAGAAACGTGTTATTTTGTGGTTGGCGATTTCGGAGCCAGCCTTCTCAATTTGAAGTCCCTTCAGCGACGCGGGCGTGTACAACATCGTAAGGTTTCCTAGGGCAGCGAAGACAGCCAGACGTAGACTGTCCTGAAGATTTGCAACACTGCCAATTTCTGTACCCAAGTTATATGCAAGACGGGAGGCGATCAAGTCAATAGTAATTGACTTGTTGTCCCCGGCCAGCTTCTGGGCGCTTAGGGCGACCTCGCAAAGCATGTCAAACAGTGTCCAGGCGTGTTAGTCAGTGCGATTATCATTATCCGAAGCTCAGCCTACCAATAATGAAGTAAGTGGCGCCGGTCCCTGGGTGGGAGACTTGGCCACGAAAGCAATGAGGTGCCCACGAGCCAAGGCAAACGCAAGGCTGAGTGTCAGAAGCCCCGCCTGTTTTCAGCTGAAAGCAGCAGTGAGTGCATGCGATATCTTAGGTCGGTCGTCAGGTGACAACAAGTCCAAAAGTCCGAATACTCGATCCCCTGGGTCAGCGCACTGCAGATGGGGGAGCATGTCCAGCAGCGGCAAGAGATGCTGCGTGCTCCTGAGAGAGTTATGCCTGTTGGCGAGCAGACGATCCAATTACTTCCTCATTTTGGGGTTCGCCGCGAGCGCCGGGGGTAAGCACAGGGCGGCATGACCCTCGTCCCGATCGGGGGTGCGCTCGGCGTCGATTTATTACCTCCTCTTGGCAATCCCTCCCCTTGAACTTCCACCATGGCAGGTTGGGACCTCTTCGTTATGTATTCCTCCGCTCACTATCCAGATGATACAGTAGATCACGCACTCGCACCAACCTTCCAACCATCATGGTTGTATCCTTCCGCACTCTCCATGCGCCCGTCCTTCTCGTCGCCACCTGTCTGACCTTCGGCGGCATGATCCCCTTCTGGAACCCCCACGGAGCCATTCTTGAATTCGGACTCCCCGAGCGCATTGCCGTGTCAGAGGCGGCCCACGCCAGCTTCATCATCAGCGGGGCGCGCGTGTCGGCCCTCGGGATGGCCATCTGGGTCTTCTATCTTCAGGGCAAGCTCGCCGCGGTGGATACGATCTTGGCATTGCTCTTCTATGTCGGCGCTGTTGATGCCTACGTGTGCTGGCAGCAGGATGTGCCCACGAGTGCAATCTTCAGGGCGGTTTCGGGCATTGTCATTGGAGGTTGGGGAATGCTGGGTTTGACTGCACGGCAGGCTTGACGATCGTGAAACACAATCTCGGCGGCAACCCGCAACAAGTGGACAGATCAATCCGTACTTGGGAGCATATTGTTGGTACGTGGGGGATACAGACATGACGGTGCTGCATCAACCACGATAGGACGCCTTCATCTTCTCGTCCAAGTCTTGACTGGGCAGCGTGGTAGATTCGACCCGACGGCGGAAGGTGAGCAGGAAGACAAATAAACCGAGAGGAGAAATCTTCGTAGAATTACGTTGAGCTCATTGCACGCCCCGTCATTATCACCCATGATTCGCTTCAATGCGCCTGCTCTGGCTTGTCCACTTTTGTTACAAAATTGGAGCAGCTCCCACCATGTGTCTGTATGCTGACTGCTGTACGAAGCCTGGACGGTATGCCCGTCAATTGTTCACATCTCTCCTGGCTTGAACATATTTACCTTCCAGCTCAGTTACTCCAAGCACCTCTTCGTAGTCGAATATTCACGAGGCAACGTGGCCGATATCTCTGTTCCCACCTTGTGCGGGTAAGTGTCTGCCGTGCCGAGTCCGACCTTGCGCCCTTAAGTTCATATCTTCCTCGACTGCATACGAGCCAGACCAGCTGCGCAAGTGTTGTTGTACCAATTCATGTCAATACTGTCAATCCAGAACTGACTGACCTGGCCTTGAACATTGGCGTAAAAGCTCAGCGTTGACATCTTGTAGAAGAGATAGTTGAAAGCAATTTGCGTGAGTTGGCACTTGTTGAAGTCTGGGCATGGGGGAATGCGGAAATGTTGGGTGGCTACCACCACCTCCGTCTGAGTGACATTGTCCCACTGATAAGCTGTGGCAACAAAGTCACAGATCTGGCTCAAATTTCTGGACCCGTTGTCGCATCCGACATAAGCGGAACTGGCGCTGAACCAGTAGTTGTTGTTATAATTGCGAGGTCCAGCTCCGAATGAACTGGGTGGGATGGCACCCGCGTCCGTAGAACCACCGACAGTGTTGTTGAGCGACGGGACAAACTGGGCAAGTCGGTTGCCGGACTGTGGAGGGAACGGCTCCGTCGGTGGTGGTACGTAGGCCCATCCGTCACCCCAGAAGAAGTGCTCGTAGGGATTGAAGATAGGTGGGAAGTCTGCAGTGTTGTTGTCAGTCGTAGAGAAGACGGGTAGGTCGTCAAACTACATGTGGTCAGCATGCACTCAATCCCAGAAATCTTAACAACACCTACTCCAATTTGGAAGGGACCGGTCTGGCCACAAGCTGTTGGTGTTGCGGCGGGTGGTGAGGAGCTGGCCAAATTGGTGGATGTCTGGATCGTGACGGACCCTCCAGCTGAATCTATTGACGAGGTGCCTGACTTGGTGATGGGACCAATACCTGGGATGTAAGTAGGAGTCGCTAAGGTTCAGTCAGCAAGTCGTTCAACAGAGCGTGTTGGATGGACTGACTGGTTGTTTCCCATGAAGTGTAAGTCAACGTTGAGCCTCCGGCCCAATTATTGCACCATCCAACCTCCTGGCCACCGATCGTGGCAGAAATCCACACACAAGTCTGTCTCTTCACTAGGTCTTCACCAGCAGACAAGCCCGCATCGTAACTGTATGTGGAGACGTCGTAGCCATACGCTGGTGTTCCATATCCGCTCACAGGGTTGAGACTCGTTGCGTAGACCGTAGCAACCTGGGTGATTGTGGTTGTGTATACGGGCTGGGTTGCTTGGACTTCTGTTGAGGAAGCGAGGGGGGTAGGCGGCCCATAGGAGAAGCCAGTGCCGGTCGCAGGTGCCCCAGAGCTTGCGTCTGCAGGTCCGACGATAGACGACCCAGTTGAAGTGCCATTCCAACCAGCAGAGGGGCTAGAGAAGGGGGTGTGAAAAGTGGCGTCGGTTGTATTGTACTGGGCTTCCTGTTGGGCAGATTTGACAGCCGGAACAGGCAGGACAGTGACAGTGGTGACTTCTGCGACGATAGACGCTGACGGCGAGTAGGCCCAGTCCGTGGTGGCAGGACCCTTCGACATGTAGAAAACGGAGGCACCGGTGTTGGGAACTTCAGTGGCTTCGTAGCCAGAGACCGAGATAGAATGAACGAAGGTTTGAGTGGCAGGGATTGGTTTGGCGGAGACAGGATTCTCGATGCTCTCGATGCTGACTTGCTCCGTGTCCACGTGAGCCATGGAGCTCGCAATCGCATTGGGATCTTGCTGAAGGATAGTGACTGTTGCAGGGACACGAACGACAGTTTGAGTGACCGTGATGTAGTTCCAAAGGGTCACGGGAGAGCATGGTGGTGGATTTGGCCTGCCGGACCTCAGTCAACACGAGATCAAGAAAGGTGGAAGGATGAGAATATCTGCTTACGCTTGTCTGATGGGCAAGACACCGCCTTCACAAAGTCCACAGACCGCACCCACAAGGAGGGAAGAGATTGCAAGTCTCATGGTGACTATGCTGTCGTAGCTGACTTCAGTGTGTGATCTCGATAGTCGTTGATGACCAAAGGTCTGATGACTCTGAAGAAAGAATGATCCGATGATGGCAAAGAGAGGAGTGGTGACAAGGCCAAGCAAGGGGTAGTTGGTAGTCACTGGCGATGAAGGGAAAGAGTGATGGGATGTGGGAGATGAAGACGAGGGCGAGAAGGGATTTAAAGGAGTGTCGACAGGATGAGTGAGGGCGTCGATGACTCAAGGGAAGGGTGAGTTGATGGTGAAAGGAAGACTGAATTGGTCATGGATCGCAGTTGACCACTTTGCTGAGACTCACACTCTCTCTTTTGTCTCCCTCACTGTCCTTCTCTCACTTTGACCTTCAGCCTTTCAACGACAACGCGGCAAAATTCACCCTCCACCTCACCTTTTCTCCCACAGATCGCGTCACTTCTCTACCAGACACCATACACACCCAGTACCTTTCACCTTTTCTGGAACCTTGTCATCCATTGTACCATGATACCATGCTGTGTGCGCAGCCTGCGTCTCGCCGTCGACTCAGCCAGCCAGACAGCCAACCAACTAAGCATGTTGCGGTGACATTTTCCCTCATCTCCCTCGACTCAACCTCAAACCACTTTAGTACGAACACGACGGAGCAGATCGCAGCACGTGGCAGAAGCATGGTGGAAGGACAAAGAACCATGCACCGTCTCGTACAGCTGCATACTTATGCAAGTCTTTCCCCTGGGCTCCGCCGGCCACCGTCCTCACCCGGTCATCATTTCAGTTGCGATCTCGATTTCACCGGTCGATTTGTCCAGCAAGAGGAGGCATAACCGTGCTTTGAACCTATGAGATCGCCATCAAGATGTTTGCTATCGGCCGGATATCTGTCAGTTTCATCTCCACAGTACTTATCCGCCTTGCGTCTGCGCGACAGCCTCGAGGTTGGCATAGAATTTTCCTTCCAAATCCACCGGGTACCTACAGCTGTCGACCCTCATGCCGGAAATTTAGTGACACACAGCCCAATTTGATGAAACCTCAAACCCGAGCTTGGCCTTGGACAGCCTGACGAGATCACCAACCTGTCCAGATGTGAAGCATCGCGGCATCCCGCTGACGCCGACGCGCCCGACTGGAGTCTGCAAGGCCTTCAGAGGCACCGCAAGACCGCAGCCAGTTGCACTCCATCTGCCTCCGCGCAGGTCTCTTTACGAGCTCCTCTAATGGAGATGCTTCCACTCCCTGCCCCTCAGAGGATTCATTGCCCTCCATGACCACTTGAGCAGTTGACAAGAAGTTGCATTTTGTTGACTGGAACGGGAGACTGCAGTCGAGCCGCAGACCAATGAGGTTAGTCTCTTGGCAGATCACGCCCCGATGTTAGCCATTGCATGGCGGAGGTGCATTGCCTACCTGGAGGAGAGACACTACAAAGCTGGCATAAGAAAGTATGTGAAGAAAGCACGTGGTTTCAATCCTTCTCCGACGAGCGGGCTGCAACAAAACAATTCCATTAATTACCTGCTGGCGTCACTAACATACACGATCGTCAAAACGTAAATGGGAAGAGGAGGGCTGTTTTTGAGGAGCGGACCAGTTGAGGTGCGAATGATGCAGATTGATTGCAATAATCCATGCGTCTCCAGACAAACCAAGATCCAACTGCAGAGAACCCTTCGTATACAAAAAAAGCACATGATCGTAAATGGTCGTGGGTATTTCGTGATGCGCCCAAAGATACCACCGCTAAACGCTTGCTTGCACCCCAAAAAAAACACAAGTCCCTACCCCGAATGCATGCGTCCAATGAACCAAGAGCCATGAACAACAGGAGCAGAATACATGTATCAGAAGAAGAAAGAGTCGTCATGGGTATCTCTCAATGCAGGCCGTCAAGACTCAGTGATCAGAAGCAGTGCGCCTCGAATATATGACTCCACTTAGAGGATCGTGTCGATCAGTTTCGAAGGTCGTTTTGTCCGAGGAACGGCTTCCCTATTCCTATTAAGAAGTTGTTGTCGTCGTCATCGTCGTCGTCGTCTCCTTCTCTTCGCGTTCGACCCCGCTCTCTTCATCGGGCAGCATTATCTCCACTTGTCGCCACAGCTACCAGAGCTTCCAGTCGATTCATTCCTCCACCAGTTCCGTTGCGATCACCAAAGGAAGTCGTCCTTTGGTGACGGCTTTGTTCGATATATGGAGCTGGGGCAAGACAAACCTAGACGAGGATTAGTTCCTGTTCGGGGACAAACGTCAAATACGCGCAAGGGGCAACTCACATTCTGATGTGTTTCTGGAGGTAACGGCCCGTGCTGTGGTTCTATGTACCCACTACTGGGCATGATCATCGGGTGCACTTCAACCGCGGTCATGCCGGGGGTAGGAATGCCATCACTGCTGCTGGAATCTTCCGGCGACGTCCGGGTTGGCGTAGGTCCACCATACCATGCTTGTCGTTTCGTTCTTTTGGCTGAAGATTGTCCCTCCAACGATTCACGTGTCATTTGCTGGTGCTGTTGAGCAGACATCATGGACGGGGGCGGAGGTCCCATGTCGACGTGTCTCGGCGGCTCATTGAATCGCATGCCCACACTCTGAATTTCATTGATTGTCTGCTGGCCCCACGATCCAGCTCCGTGACCTCGGTCTGCGTGTTCGTCAAGCTCTGGGTACTGGCTGGGACGATGGCCTTCCCACGAAACATGACCCTGGCGTACACGGGGATCTTGACTTGCAGCCGATGAGGACATGTTCGTATCAATCTGCATAGGACTCGGTTGTCGCCGTGGAGGAGTGTACGAGCGGTGTTGGACATGATCGAAACTCTCGATTCCTGGCAGTCGAGGGGCTTGGCCGGCGGCCGCTGTGGCATGTTGAGCATGTGCAGGTTGAGGAGCATCTGGAGTCTGCGAATATGTCAGCCCGCTCGTGGCTGGACGCCCATAGTTGAAATTGCCGGCCGGGTAAGTTGACGCATGCCACGTTCGCCTGCGCCAGTCTTCGCCCGGTGGAACAGGCTGGCCAGGAGCGATGGAGAACGTTGCAGAAGTTGGACTAGCAAATACACTTGGATTTGACGACGCGTGGGAACTTGGCGGACCCATCTGGTTCAAATAACCAACAGGGTAGCCGGGAGGATATTGACTCTGGTACGGATTCGGACCTGATGGTACGGACAAGCGGCGGGACTGCGGCCTCGAGCCAAAAAAGCCACCCAAGCGGGCATTGCTTGACACCGGCGAAGCCATGGAGGACAAGAAGCCCGGGCTACCAGGAGTTGCGGAGAAATTGGCAGAGGTGGGCGTGCTCAGACCACCAGGAGAATTTGGATTGTATCCGCGATACTGAGCGGGAGGGGTGTGTGGTGGATCGATTCCCAAATTCGGCCTGCTCACATTATCATTGGCCATAAGAAGAGGCGGCGGGCGTCGTTTGCCATCGGTGACGATGCTGTAGTTGGAGGAGGTCGAGCCAACACTCGAAGCGGATAGATTTCGGCTGTGCCCACGACTGTGACTTCCAGTGCTACCAGCGGTGCCGGTTCGCGGGCGACCTGTCGGTCTAACACGATCGGTGCGGATTTGCCGCTGGAATCGAGTCCCGGTGGCAGCAAGGGAGTCGGTCGGGATCTCCTCATTGACATGGACGGTTTGAGCGTGTTGGCGCAAGTTGTCCAGGCGGGAGAATCTGCGATTGCAGTGACATTGGAACGGGCGTTCACCCGTGTGTTTTCTGATATGACGAGCCAGATGCTCGCTTCGAGTAAAACTGAGGTTACAGGGCGGGTAGCCGGTGCAGAAGAATCTCTGGCCCTTCTTCTTCCTCGAGGCAGAGTCTGCCTCGCCTGGCTCGGCTTCGTTGTCCGAGCCAGGCTGGCCGGTGTCATCGTCGTCCATGTCCATGGCGTTCGACATTGCCTCGCCGCCATCTCTTCTCATTGTAGACTCGTCTCGTTCAGTGTCTCCGTGATCCATCGGCGTACCTTGACTCGATGGCTGGGAGGGCCTTGAATCGCTGGGCCGGGACTGGAGGGCATGATCTATGACCGCGACTTTGGCCTCGTCCATCAGTGTCGACGCATATCGGTCGGGCCGCGGGGTGGTCGGTGACTCCAAGTCGTCTCTCCTATCCTTGGACGGTAAAGTGTCGCTAAGGACGAGGCTGGAGATGGCTGCCATGGTGGGGTTGTGAGGTGAGGCAAGGCCAGTGCGCAACGGTCAGGCACTTGAGAGGCTGCGGCTCTACGCCACACAATGATGGCACATCCGGAGCGGCCGTGTGTGAAGATGAGGCTGCGGCGTGGTGTAGCTGAGAATGGTTTTTACGATGATTAGAGGCAGGGAAGTCGGGCTGAAAGGACTTGATAGACAACGCCGCAGTCGAAGGTGGCAAGGTAACGGACACTGTCGGAGGGGCTGGAGGACGGTGATAAGGCCCAGGGTTTTCCGGGCGCGAAGAAGGGTTCAGCAAGGATGTGGTTGCGGAAGCGAACAACCCATATGATCGACCTGTTGGCCGGAGAGGGGAGGAGGGGGGAGGGGGACGAGGGAAGAGACCAGAATAGGGGAGCGATGAAGCAGCTAGCGAGAGATCTGAGAGAGACTGAGAGTCGACAACTGGCGGCGGCGAAGGACAAGATCTTGATGCGGTTGATCGCAGACGCAGACGCAGGACTCGGGAGGTGATGAAGCGGGAGGAGGGTTATTGTTGGCGGCGAGGCATGCCCCTGGTGTGAATGGTGGAGTCGGTGCTAAGTGAAGTTAAGTAAAGCAGGGCTCGTCGGTGGGCTCCAGGCGGGTGGCAGATGACGAGCCTTAAGGGCACCATGGTGTGGGTCTCGCGGGCGTCAGAAAGGCCACCCAGTAGTACTCGTAGAGCCGTCCTGCTGCTGGCATTTAGTCAGCAGCGTTTGCCACGATGCGGGTGGGATGGGCAGGATGGGGTGGTTAGGTCGATACGAGGAGGGGGATGATGGGCGGTCCGGATGAGGGATGGGTGACCACGATGATGTTGGATGTTGGCTGATTGATGTTCGATGGTTCGATGGTTCGATGGGTTGATGGGATGGTGGACGGGCTGTGGGCGATGGGCGAGGGCGCTGGGCGATGGGCGATGGGCGATGGGATGCGATGGGTTGATGAATCACGAACAAAGGAATGAGTTGCATGTGCAGTGTGCAGTTGTTGGCGTGCAGTGCAGTGCCGTGCCGTGCAGCGCAGCGCAGCAGCGCAGGGGCGTCGCATTGACCCAGCGAGCGCCAGGTCTTCCCAAAGAGGGCGGGATGCAAAGTTGTGCAGGGCCCTGTCAAGCCGACAGTGCCGTCATCAATCCTCGCTCCTCCTCGCTCATCCCACACGCTGTGCCACCTCTAACCGGAGTGCTTGGATGGTTCCTGTCCGTGGTGCCTGTCTAGGCAGTGAGCTAGGCCTCCGGGCAATTGCTTGAGGGCGCCTGGATCGTGCACCCATAGGCGGTGGAAAAGCGAGGGGCAGGAGTGATTGGCGGGGGCAAGGCTGCCCCAACCACCTGGCGGCACCGGCACTGGCACTAGAGAGTTTGCACTAGGGGGAGGATATTTTCAGGGCACAGCCCCCCGATTTTGGCCTAGGCTGCCGTGGCTCCCTAGGCTCACTGGGCTCACTAGGCTCCTCATGGCCCTCCTCGTGCCTATTGACCATGAATCTCACCGTTGATGTGCATGCTTAAGGTACAGACCTACCAGTAGTCAGTCGATGCCCCTCGCAGAAAACTGCAAGCATCCCTGCAAGATCAGCATCGTGGCCACTGAGCGGCGCAAACGAAATCTTAAAAGGCCTCATCCTCCACGACTTGGGACATCTCTTTTCGCTGTCTCTCGCTCTCTCGCTCTCTCGCTGCCCTCCTTCGAGGCCACACTTTACCCGACCAGGCCATTGACACTATCCCACACATGTCCTTTGATTGTTGAAATGGCCAAATTGCCCCTCGCCTGGCCTGATCTTGTCCTGCGCTTTTTCGCCTGTCAAACCTCAATGAACCCGTGGGACAGACGCTGTCAGGTTCTCTCCTCGCAAACACCGGCCCTGCTCGAGGCTCTTTTGTTCCTGAGTTATATTTTCTTACCACCTTTCCCTGCGACTCTCCTGTAATCCCTCTCACCCACCCAGCCTCAGCCTTTTTCTGCTCGTCGAATCACCTTGGTCGACGTCAAGCCGAGCCTGTCATCCCGGTCTTACCACTTCGTGTTCTTCATCTTTTCTTCGCCTGACTCACCTTTTGTTTGCGCGTACAACGACCACCCCCCCTCTCCCCTCCCCCTCCTCGCGGAATACCCCGCCCATCCGATGTCCGCCACTCCTGCTTGGACCAACACCTGAGGTTGTAAACTCGCAGGCAGCTTTTCTGACAGCTTTTGTCCCTCCCCCTTCGTTCGCTGACCGCATACCTGCCGCAGGATGTGCCCCGGGTCTTTCGGATTGTATGGTTGATCCAATACTTTTTCACGGTCTTCGGCCTTGACTAAAGGCTCTCTCACCCTTTGCCATCTGTCAGGTACAATGAATACGTGGGAGAGTGGAGTAGCCGTTGCTCGCCGAGAACAACTGACCCTAGAAAAAGGCCATTATGATAAACTTGCAGCAAACTTGTCTCGCTCGGTCCAGGAACAAGGCACACAGCGTCAGGTACCCCGAGTCCAGGGATCCGTGTCCTCCCCGCCCAGTCCTTTTTTCCGCCCTCTTTGCTCCGGATGTCGTCCTAACGTACTGTATCAGATGACTCTTTTCCCCTGCTCTCCTGATATCCTCGAGTCATACCCAGTACACTTCTTGATCGCCAATCTTCACCGACAACCTGGCTGAACTTATTGCCTCCAACAACAACCATGACGCGAATGAGCTAAGCTGGCAGGAAATAGCATGTGATAAGAAAACCTATGGTGCGTGCGTGCGTGCGTTCGAGACCGTTCATTCGACCCCGCATGATTCCTAGCGTACCGTGATTCGGACTGGTTCCCCTCCAGATGAGGTACATTTTGGCACGGATAAACTCGGACAGCCCAGTTTGGTACTTTTGGCCCAAGGCACTGACTCGATGATTGGGACTCGGTGCCTCGTAAACGCCTCGACACCGCGGGGAAATGGCGATAACGATAAAGAACCAATAGTCTAGCACCAATATGGTTACCCTCAGCCTTGCGCGAGGCCCATCCGTATTTCTATGCTTGACAATAGAGAGAGTAGCTAGGTACTCCGTATATGCCATAGGATCTACAGCAGCAAATTAGACAATACCCCAGAGGGTTACGCTCCTCCGCCGGATCGGCTGTGGGCGGACACTGGCCGAGACTCAGAATATTCCGACACAAGAGAGGGAGGCCGGCACGGGGACAATCCTCCAGGGCCGGCTGCCAAAATTCCTGGCATTGCAATCGCAGCGTGCATCGGTGGAATGGATGACCCTGATGCTACTGAGGAGCGCCGCACCATCTCGATGGGGTGCATGATACCTTGCCCTAAGAGACGAATTCGACCACCACGGATTCGTTTTAGGAAAGCTAGGCCTTCTCGAACACTGCGAAACACTTGGTCAGCCTCGTCAGCCTCGTCGACCGGCAGCAGGTTTGTTGATCTGGATTTCCTCTTCCTGATCACTTCTGGCACGAGCCACCGCCACAATTTACCCACCCACCGGATAATCGTGCCTGCCACAGCATCGGGAAGAAGCCGTATGACGATGCCCACCGGAATGGACATGAAGCCCAAGACCAAAGAAATGGCCCACTGGACGCCATTCAGCCTTGTCACCACAAATGCATCTCCACCCACAAACACAATCAGCACCTGGCCCACCGCCATGATGGTGAACATCAGCTGGAACAGCCAGTTTTTGTGCAGCCCTTGGAAGATATTGAGTTTGTTGTCGATGCGCCTGCTGTTGACAAGTTTGAAGATCTGCATCCACACGAAGACGTTGAAGACTAAAGTCTTCTGCTCCTCGGTAGGATAGTGCAGGAAGTCAGGCCCAGCAAAGTAGAGGATGAATGTAACCGTGAGTTGGTAGAGTGACTGACCCATGATCATCTTCCACATTGTGACGTTGATCAACGCTGTAGAGCGAGGTTCAGGCTTCCTCTCTAGGACGCTATAGTTGGGGGGATCTGTCGCAAGGGCCAACGCCGCAAACGTGTCCATGATTAAGTTGACCCAAAGTAATTGAACCGCATTGAGCACGGACGCTTCGTCGTCGTTCGAAACCGCCGAGACAAAAGTGAGTATAACGGCTGTGATGTTGACAGTAATTTGAAACTGGAGGAACTTTTTCACAGAGTCGTTCACCGTGCGGCCCCAGGCCAAGGCCTTAACGATGGATGAGAAGTTGTCGTCCATGAGGATAATGTCGGAGGCTTCCTTAGCGACTTCAGTTCCTGTAATTCCCATTGAAAATCCCACGTCGGCGGCTCTCAGTGCTGCTGCGTCGTTCGTACCATCTCCCGTGACCGCAACCACTTCCCCCTGCTCCTTCAGAACTTTGACCAGGATGCGTTTATCGTCCGGGCTGGACCGCGCAAGGACGCAAAGACGTTTAGCGGCTGATTGCAGCTCGCGCTTGTCGAGGTTGCGGAATTGGGCTCCTTCCATTACCAAGCCATCATCCTCGAGAATGCCACATTCCTTGGCAATGGCCCTGGCCGTTTCGATGTTATCGCCTGTCACCATTTTCACGGCCACCGACGCACGTTGGCAATCTTTCACTGCCGAGGGTACGCCATCGCGGACTGGGTCCTGGATCCCGACGATGCATACGAGAATCATCTGCTCAAAGACATCTGATGCTTGTGGCTGGTCGGTCACGTCTGGGTTTGAGCTCGCTTTCGTCGTCGGCGGCCACTGATCAAAATCGCGGTATGCAATTGCCAGAGTCCGCAAAGAGCGGGACGCATATGTGGATATAACCTCCGTCAGTGTCTTCCTTTGAGCGAGCTCTAGGGGTCCATGTCCCAGCTGGTCCAGAGGCTCGATTAGTACAGAAGTGCACCGTTCCAGTATGATCTCCGGGGCTCCTTTGACGAAGAGGCGATATTGGTCACTTGATGACCTGACCACGGCCCCCATGTATTTCCGGCGAGAGTCGAATGGGTACAGCTCAATCAAAGGGTAGTTGGACCTCTCAACGCTGAGTGGACCCAACCCAAAATTCCGTTTGGCCCAGTCGAGGAGGGCGGTCTCGGTTTTAGATCCTATGTAGGTCAGCGTCCCCTTTTCATTCCCTTCGAACGCGGTAGTGTTGACAGCGACCGACTGCTTTAGGAGTTCCCGTAACCGTGGAGGAAGAATTGACAGAGCATTCTTCTCGGAATCCCGTAGACCTGTAGCTCGAGTCGCAGGTAGCATTGCTGCCCCAGCGACACCATGGGATAGGTGAGTTCGTTTCATAGGTCTAGTATAGGGCGCTGGAGGCGAGGCGGAGGTCGGTTCTTCTGCGGCATTGCTGCGATCGCCGAAAGATATAGTCCCAGCCCCTATTGTCCCTGCTACCACAGTCATGATGTTCTGGGTTAAAGTTCCCGTTTTGTCTGAGCAAATAACCGTTGCATTTCCCATGGTCTCGCAGGACTGAAGGTGTCGAACGAGGTTATTGTCCTTCGTCATCCTCTTTGTCGCGAATGCTAGAGCGAGGGTAACCGCTAGTGGTAGGCCTTCGGGAACGGCCACCACAATGATTGTAATCGCCGTAACAAGAATGTTCATAAAGTGTTGGGCCTTGTCATCTGCACTTCGATCGTCTGAACCGATTCTAGCTAGAAATTCGATGAAGAGAACAGCGAACAAAAGCAGTCCAGCTCCACTGCCAATCTTCGCAATGTATCCTTCAGCAGCATCAGCACGAGTCCCCCAAGTCTCGTAGAAAGTTAGGCCTACCGGCGAGAGCACTCAATTTGAACTGTAGTGGGGTCAGATCTGTCTCCTCACGCAGAGACACCATAGTATGCCCAAAACCAGAGTGTATGCCAACTGCAGTGACGAGGAAGGTACCAACACCTTCCGACACTTTGGTACCAGAGATCATAAATGGATCAAACTTCTTGAAATCTCCTTTCTCTGCCTGGAGCGCAAGGATATGATCATCCGCGGGTGTTTTCTTGATGAGGTCTGACTCCCCGGTTGCGGATGCTTCGTCACAGCTGACGTTGTGTCCATCAATGAGGATACCGTCCACGGGCAGAACATCCCCTGGTTCTAGCACCATTACATCTCCGACCAAGATGGCATGGATTGAAACTTCTATCGTGCTGCCCGATCGGACGACCTTGACGAGCCTGTCTTCTCTTTTCCGATTGAGCTTTGCAAACTGCCGTTCCTTCTGCCAGTCGTTTAATGCACCGACAATCACAACAATCAGGATGGCGACGATGATGGCGACCCCCTCCACCCATTCGACCTTCGCGCCTTCTTCCTGCGTGGGGCCGAAGGTCTGGTACAGGCCGAGTGCAAGCGACACAACAGCAGCCACACTCAATAAGATCAGCACTTTGTCGTGCATTGCGATCCAGGCGAGTCTCCATATTGATTTTGGCTTTTTCTCGGGCAGCACATTTTCGCCAAAGACGCGTTTGCGATTTGCGAATCCATAGCGATCTCTGTCATCTCGCCCAGTCGGCTGTTCCTCGTCAACGCTCAATCCAGCCCGGAGGTCTGTTTTCAGACCCTTCTCTAAACCTATCAGTCCGCCTAATGCAAGGAGAGCGGCATGATTTTTCGGGTTCGTAAGCTGCGAAAGTTGCTCTGGCGAGAAGGCAAATAGGTTGTTGCCATTCTTTGCGTTTTCTTCACTATCCCTCGGTTGTGGGACGGTAGCGCGTGCCATGTGATGGCCGAGAGCATTGGTGCCAGACTCCAGAAAAATGGTTCAGTAATTTCAACAAGCGCAGGTCCAGGGCAGTGGTGAATATAAAGCTGTGTAAAGGCTTCGTAATGAGACACTAGAGTCGGTAAAAGAGAACCACGATCGAGTAAGGGCACAAGGTCATCCATTTTCGAATCTTGTCATGTTGGGCATCTCTTATTCACTATCCGTTATGCCCAGCATCGAGCCCGTCGTTCGATGAGGTCTGACAGGCAGTGGGAGAATTAACGCAGAAGCATCTGATTTGTACACGATTTCCTGCCGCCAAGGAGAATCAGACCACATGGTGAAACTTGGACTGCCACGCCGAGCCACTCGAACTGGTGGTCAAGGAGCCAAGGCTCTCGTGGTTCCATTGTGATCAGTGACTCGGTTGGAGGAAGGCGACCATAAGTCGGTCGTGGCGATGGTTGTACACTCCATGTGTTAGTGTTGGACATGTACAGTCCGCAGGCATGCCGTTTTGAGATGAGGCTGCAGGCGTGATTGGGTCACCAGCTGAGCCTAGTGATCCATGAGGCCCATAAGAGCCGATATCTGTGTGCATGACGGTCGCAGGGAGGCAACTGAGTACTGGCAGAAGAGGAGTAGATGCCATCTGGTATGCTCTACCTTGTTATGTCTATGCATGGAGCATGCGCGGCTCGGTGCATCGTTCGGCAAACCTGTATGTTTTGCTTGTTTGGCGGACATGGTGACAAGGTATTTCTGATGTAATTCATCATCGTCGCACTCCTTTCCTAATGTCCTTGCTTCCTTGTCGTCTGGATGACTGCCGTCATAGCTAGTGAAGTTCTATTGTACTCCTGCGTGCAGATGTCAGAGCGGCATCACTTGCGTCCCGATCGGGTATGAGGTACGACCTGACATCTTGGCGCAGCAATACGGCAAAGCTTTGGAAGCCCTTTGATGTACGTGAACATTATTTGGCCGAAGTGAGGCAAAAACCTCCACTTATCCTCGGAGAGGCAAGCCTTGATGTGATGCGTTAGAGAGGAAACTCCCAACCTCGATTTTGCCTTCGCCGTCGTGGTGACTTGGGGGTCTAACGTGGATATGGCTGCGACGACCACCCGAGGCGACTCAGGCAACGCCACGTCGACCTATATCGACATTGACGCTCTCACCTCTGACGACTTCTCACCTTACACACATGCAAACACCCTTGTTCTCGCTACCAACAACCCGTCCGACCCAACCATCGACCTCACCACACCACTATCCCGCGTCCTTTTCGACCTGCAAGAAATCGACTCGCATATCCATACCCTTACCTCCCGCTCCGCGCTCGACATCCTAACGTATACTGCGACTCAGAATGCCGCTGCTCAACGAATACTCACCAGGATAGAAGAGGAACGAGCACGTCTCAACGCCAGCTACGAACGGTTGGAGAAGGAAGTCCTGGTCCGGCATCAGAAAGCAGGGGATGCCAAAACCACCGCCCAACGGAGCTGGGAGGTTCTCCGCTTAGGACGGGGCGTACAGCGCATCCTCAATCTTGCACGGCAATTCGAGGTGATCCTTGCCGAGTCTGGTCTTGGAGGGACTACGAGATTCGGTAAGGAGGACCACGGCGCGCTTGTGCGCGCAACGCTTTCAATTCTCGGGTTTCGCGATGTCATCACGGGAAAGGAGGGCTCTGACTTGGCACGCATCAACCTTGTGAAAACTTTGCGCGGGAGAGTCTTCGAAGATGGTGAGGCTCGGATCCTCGACTTTGCAAGACGCGTTGTCAGAGAGTTCTCCATGAGTACACTGTCCTCGGGTTCTGGCGGGGGAGTTTCAACAGCCTCTGGCCCCACGTATCGAGAAGTAGAAGATAGCCGTGCCCGGTTCACTAGCGCAGTGCATATTCTTTATCTCCTCTCCCCGGCACCGAGGATAGATGGAGAGAAGATGAGAAAGAAGGACTTCGAGCCGGAATATCTGCTCCGTGCATTGCAGGGCTATTTACAGACGGCCATCACGTCGAGTTCTGCATCGATAGGAAGAGCTCTGGGGCAATTACCGACACTAGACCGTGCTTTGTTGGAAACAAGTGCACGATGTCAGAATATTGTCGCCCTTCAAGCCATGCTGCGCGGCATATCTGCCCCCGACCATCCATTACTGCAAGTTGAAGCTCTGGAAGACAAGAAATCCACCAACAATGACGATGAGGAGGACTCGGATGAGGAAGAGGAGGAAATTCCGGAGTCCTCGAAAACAAATACCCCTGACAACTTCCTCTCGTTGCTCCTCAGCGCACTCGACACAGCCTCTCTCCCCTCATATTTCTGGCGCTCACTAGCGTCCTCATTATCCATTCGTGTGCAAGAGATCCTGACAAGAGGAGGCGTTTCCGCACGCACGCTGCGAAGTCAACGGGACACTGTCAGGCAGGAGATCCGCGAGTGTGTCCTTCGCGGCTCGAAGCTGCCGAGGACTCTGCTGGTAGGTGATTCGAAAGCAACGTCGACTGCAAAGGGCGAGCAAGAAGCAGATAATTGGGAACGGGAGGCGGCGGTCATGGTCGGGAGTGTTGTGGGTTTGCTGGGGCGGTAAAGGACTGAAACCTTGGTCACACCGGATGCCTGTGGTGCTCCTAAACACGAGTGAAGATATTTATTCAGAAAGCCCTTCCCACCGTCAAACCGAAACGCAGGTGATTTTCCGAGTCCGCGCTATGCAATTCTTTCTTATTGTACATCCCCAGCCCTGTCTGTACATTTCTCTTCATCAATATAGGCTGAAATGTTGGGCGGTCCTCTCCTTAGGACCAGCACGGTCAACTCTCTCGAGCTACCGAGGTCCCATCTTTGGCATACCATATCGCCGAAACACGCAGGTGACTCTTACATGCTCGCGAGCCCGTGGCAAACCTCGTCCAAGCCGTATGCAAACCCAGCACATCCACCTGTTCCTTCACCCGAACCATGACTTGCCTTTTCTCTCGGACTTTGCCTTTGCAGCAGCCGCGGCGTCTTCTTTTGCAATCTGCTCTAACGTGCGATCTCGTTTGTAATCCACGACTCTCTTCTCCTTAAAGTATTTGATCTGGAGCCACAAAGCATAACCAACATTAGTATTCATGGTTCCGGCGGATGCAGCTTTGCGGACTCGCAACCCTGAAGAGACGCTCAATCAGATTGTACTCACCCAACTTCTCGCACAGTCCTTCTCGTAGGCGGCCACCTCCGCCGGACAGACCTTCCGTGCCTTCTCGTCCTCCTTGACGGCGTCTAATATGTCGTGCCGATCTAGGCACTGGAAGAAAATATCGCGGGACTCGTAGCATTGTTCGCGAGACGTGCGGTCGGGCGCCACGTAGCCGCCGTCTTTCGATCGCGGGGGGAGGTTCGATGATTGTGGTAGAGAGGGATTAGAGGAGGCAGAGCCCACCAGCCAGGTTGGAAGACCCCAGGCCATGGTCTGCGAAGATCGAAACGTGCAGACGGAAGAGAAGGAGCTGGGGAAGTCGACAGGGCAGTTCTAGTGCTCAGGTTGTAGGAGAGGCGGGAGGCTGCTTTTATTTGCTTTCCAGAGGCTGTGTGCTCGCTGATCGTGTATAGAGGTCCCTCATGAGATGTCACTGGCGCCGACGGATTTATTCTTCAATAGCGTTTTGGAGATGGTTAGAAGCCCCCAGCCCTCCACGTGACGAGGCTCGGAGTTATTATTGCATCGTCATTTTGGTTCGCTGTCCGACTCCAATTATTCAAACACCTTTCAACTATCCGCGACCGCCATGTGTCTAGATCGAGGACAACCCCCATCTTCATGGCGATGCTAACCTCTGCGGCCCCAACTCACACACTACGGTCTCTCTACTTGTAAACGACGAGGAGTGACTGCTCATGCCCCCTCGACGGCGCAAACCTCCCCGCGCAGGCGCCCTGACCGAACTGCCGCCGCTGAAGATCATCCGCTCCATCCTCCTCCTGCAACTCTCATACTACGCGACGGCATTTGTGCTGATACTGTTCACGACTTTGGTTCTGGGCCAGCGATTTTCTTTGAACTTGATATTTGATTGGAATAGCGTGCGCGGGGACACGACCGTCGGCTGGACCGTGGGCTTCTTATGGGTTGTTGACGGCTTTATAACGTATGTGGCAACCCCCCCTGCCCTTTAGAATATCTAACGGGTACATTGAGCTGACATTTGTGAAGAGTAATACCAATCCTTCTCCTGATTTCCCGCTCGAAACTTGTCCCCGACTTCGCCCTGACGATCCACTTCATCCACCTCCTCATAACCTCCTTCTACACGGGCGGCGTTCCCACGAATTTATTATGGTGGAGTCTAGAGGCCTCCAGCGCGATATTGATGATTACTTTGGGGGTCTGGGCTTGTCGGTATCGGGAAATGCAGCCTATATCTTTCGGCACTCCGGCGCCCAAGAAAGCGACTGGTCAAAATGCTGCCAACGGCTCCGCAGAGGTAACCGTCGTTGATGACCATGTACGAGGCAGTCCGGGAAGGGGCATGAGGAATGACGCTGGTCCAAGCTATGAGATGGTTAATGTGAGAGGAGACCAAAATGTATAATTGAACAAAGACATATGAAACAAGCCTTTTCGATCAAGCGGTGTTGCCACCCATTGGGCCCCTTCAAGCCTTCGCCCGCAAGCAGAGACAAGTTCCCTTGGTCTGTCTGGGCTTTGATCGAGAGCAATCGACGAAGTCATGTTCACTGAAATGGTCGGATCGGAGGAGCCTCTGTCTGTATTGGCTCCATGTGGCTTGGATGTCGGGTGAATCCACTATATGGCAGAACAGACCTTGGAGCAAGCTGGCGGCCAAGTCCAGAACTGGAGAGAGGTTCCTTGGATGGCCGACTCCAGAGTCAGAACGTCCCCCGCTTTACATCGGAATCCCGAGAGACCATGGGCAATGAGTTGAAAGGCGACAAGTGGAACACCGTCTCAGGGGCTCGGAACAACGGTGCTCAACTTTTGGATTAATGGCTTGTTGAGCATGGGAAGATGGAGAACACGACCTTTGGAGTAAGGACTACGAGTAGGTCTTGGAGCACGGCGGTCATATTCCTCCTGATATCAGCATCACCGACCACATAGAGCCGAACGAGCATCTTTCTTTTGGGAGCTTGCCAGCCCCAGCATTCCTGCGAGTTTCCACCCTCTACGAGGCGGCCGTCCCAGTATATCCATGGAAATCGGCCCCTTCCTCTTTCAAGATCTCGGCCAATTCGAACATCTGGAAGCTCTCCTCCATACTTCTCTGTCCGGGTTGCCATCCGAGCTCCCTTAATCTCACCGCCCTGCTCCGACTGTTCAAACCTACCACGGCGGCGGAATATTCCCCAAACAGGTCACCCCATAAGTCCTCTGGAATGGTCTTTGGCGTGGGATCTTTGATTTTGCCCGCCTTGTGGAGGCCCTCGCCAATCATCTCTGCGACTTCGCGCCACGAAGCCTCACGCCCGTTTTCGCAGAAAAAGTATGGGTTGTCCATGAACTCCTGGGCCGGGGCTTGTTCCATGTGATGCAGCAAAGTCACATACGCCTGCGCGAGATCGAGCACGTGGATTTGTGATTCGACCGCTAATCCCTTCCCCAGATGTCCCGCGAATCCGTGCTTCATGGCGAACCGGGTGAGGGTCGGGATCTGGATGGTCAGTCGTCTGTGTTGAGGGTTGTACCCGTAAATCAACGGTGGGATCATGATGGCGATCTTGGCCTTGTCGCCGATCTCCTTCTGGTATTTCAGAATCGCCAGGTCAATCTGTCGATGTGGCGCATCGTCCGGCACGGAATCTATCTCGGCGCGGTTGTTGTCGTGATAGACCTTGTCGCCCTTGAACTCGCCGCGCGCATTGTCGGCCAAGACGCTGGTGCCGGACGTGTGGATGTATATCGTCGACTTCCCCTGCCGGGCACGCTCCGCCACGCCCTCGCAGACGGCCTCGGCGCTGGGTTTGTGGTCCGCGGTCGCGGTGTGGAAGATGATGTCGTTCTCGAGCGCCTGCGTCTTGATGAAGGTGGTGTCGTTGAGGTCTCCCACCACGGCCTTGGCTCCGGAGAACTGGATCTGTTGACCGTGGGACGCGCGCCGGACCAAGCCAGTCACATTGTAACCTTCTCGCACCAGGTGGTCGAGGACATTCCAGCCTATGAAGCCTGGGCCGACGATGAGGACATTTTTGCCATTCGACATGCTGTTTGTGACGAAGGATTTGAGAGGCCCTTGGTAACGAGGACTGAGCTATTACTTTGGTAGATCAGATAAATGGAAGAGAAAGGGTTGTCAATCAATACAAAAGCGATTCTAGAATTAATTTTTCAATCTTCCTTTTGCATTGTATTCATCGCTATCGCTTCACAATACACCCGTTTTATTTTTACCCCCTTTCCCCAATGACGTCAACTGCGCTGGAAATGACTTCAGCCGATCGTCGTGGCCCGGAGCTGGAGCTGGAGCAATGCAAGGCACGGAAACCAGGGGGTTGATCAATTGGAGCATGCGTGGACGGGGCTTGCTATCAATCGTGGAAGAGGAGGTTGCTGTCGAGAAAGGAGACGGACGTCCAGGACGGCTGGTTAGTCCTTGGGGGATTTACCAAGGCTTTTGGCAGCCTCGGCTCACCTCACGGCAGCGACTCGCCGGACTCGAGGGCTTGTTCATGTATATCGTCTCGTCTCGTCTGGTCTCTGTCGAAGCGCTGCGCCTTTGGCATCCCCTCCACCAGAATCTCCCCGTACCAGAAGCATGTCAGGTGCTGTGCCCTGTGTATATCCCTGACCGGTCTCTCTCACGCACTTTCCCGCTCCATGTCCTCGATTTCCCGTCGTCATGATTCAAGGTGAGGGGGAGGGCTCGATGTGGAAGGGATAATATCGCTCGCTGTGACGAGGGTTAAGAGATGCGAAGGTGTGATCCAGCCGGTGTGTTGAAGGAGGTGGATACTCAGGGAGTATTCTGGAGCGCAAGTCATTAAAGATGGGACAGTTCATTTCCGGGCCTTTGTTTTGACTGCGTGGACCCCCAGCACATGGCAGATTAGGTAGCTGTCGAAAACAGGACTTTTGGTTTGGAATGAGGATGAGGATGAGGATGAGAAGGACGAGGACGAGGAAGGCAATACAGAGGGACCAGCATTGAAAGATCGAGCGTCGACATCTGGACTCGCCCATGCGAAGGAATCCAAGTGTCCTGATCAGCAAGGGAGTGAGTGGCAATGCAAGACAATACCAAGGGAGTCCGGATCAAGTTTTCAAGCCCCTTTGAAAAGGCGTCCAGGTGTCAAATGCACGGCACCGATTCACCTGTGGGAGTCGCCTCACAAGCTTCCAACATCGATGGCCATTTCGCAAGCAGCATTGACTTGTAAAGAGGACACCAATGAATGGCTCGGTGATATGGGGCGCGGTATGAATCAATTCATGGGTCTTCATACATGGCAAGCATTGGACCTAGGTACAGCGAACAATGATTCTTGCTGTAGCGAATATAGAGAAAGGCGTGCTCTTACCTACGTATGTAACTGTATATACATTCTCAGCATTGCGTCCGCCCACCACCAAAGGTGCGGTCCAAACGTACCCACCCAAATAAAATCACCTTTATCATGTTTCTCTCTCCAAAATCTGCCACACAAAGACCCCCTTACCTCGACGAGGGCGAAAAATTCGAAATTCGAGCGAACCCTATCCAGGTCCTGTGCCGGTCGAACTGGCACCCGAACCAGGAGAGACAGCAGGACCTCGGATTTGAACCACACTTCGAACACGCCGAACGGATAAATAGGGTCTGTCAGGTCGAACTAACACCGGGTTAGCAGGCGCAGGACCTCCCCTCTGCCCATTTCTGCCCCTTCTGCCCATTCTCCCCCTTCTCCCCCGTCACCTGCTCCAGAAAAACCAACCCGAAAGGGCGAGTTTCGCTTAACGCGAAGCAGAGTCTCAACTCTGCTTCGTGGTTGAGTTTTTGCTCTTCTGTTTTCCATCACCCATAGATTCCTGGGATGTATCTCCAGTAGGATCAAAGCAGACAATGCATAGCACTATGGAGGTCTGTCTGATGAATGCTGCTGCAACTCATTGGCGCATGGACATATCGTAGCTGTGAGAATCTGCTCACGTGCCCTACGGAGCACAACGGCAGCCACAAGCTCCTGTTCTGATTGATGAACACGTCTCTGTCCTCGAGTACCTCGTACTGGGCCGGTCTCGTCACCCCCATGTACGCAATTTCTCTTACAGACACACGGCACATTCTCGTTCATCCAGTTGTGCCGCCACGTGCAGTGGAGGGAATGGCAAATCAGGGACTGGCGGCAAGGACTCTCGACTTCTGTTATCGGTGCAGAGCGAAACCCGTCACAGTCGAAACGGCAAGAAACGGCAAGGAACGACCCCATCCCGTCTACCTGGTGAATTCCTGTGAAGGAGGAGCAGCAGCTGTATCGGTCGAGAGTCCATATTGGGCACCAAAGTCCCATGATCCGGTTAGGCTGCGGGACAGACATGGTTATTGTGCGGGCATTGGACTCGCAGGTTTCGTTGTCGTCCAGACTGGCCTGGACTGTACGGCGCATTTCCGGAGAGAGTCTTGGTTTCCTGCCTAGAAGCCACCAACTCCCTGGCATCCAGCAGGCCGCTTCCCAAAATGTCCACTTCGTCGAGCCCCGGACGTTCAGAGCTTGTGCGAAAGGTATTCCAGGCGCGACTGATGTGATAACGAACCCCAAGCTCTTTCCCCTCACAAGGTATCTGCACTAAGTCTTTAACGATGTGATGGGTTTGGGGGGCCTTGCTCCACCGGACGTCCGGCCAGATTGAAACGGCTGTTGTGCGTCGCATGTGAAAGTGGTTGCGGGAGTCTGCGGCACCGAGGGGCGTCCTGGGCGTTGCTATGAGCCAGCCATCAAAGGTATGTTCGCTTGCGGATAGCTGCCTGTACACACTGCCTTAACTGTTTCACCACCCTCCGTGGTCTCAGACCATATGCGCCGCGGAGTCATTGGTGGGCGAGGCGAGGCGGGTCGGGGAGCCAACGGGTTTGGGCGCGACAAGGGTATACAAACCACTAGTCGGCTGTAGTCAAATGCGGAGTACAACGGCATTGGCCTCGAGCAGTACCTAGGCGCAAATCCATCCTCGGGTGATAGACAATGCATGCCTAAGGCGTTGGGTTAGCTTGATCGCTTGGCCTGGCAGAGTGTCTCCCACTGCTGTTTCAAGGATGGTGTCGAGCTCGGGCAACCATGGCCAATGCAAAAATACCAGACCATGTAATCCCCCCCAGTAAAATGTACAACCGGGGGTTCTCCAGGGATAGCACAAGCCGTCGTTCGACTTCCCTGTTCAGAGTTCGCCAACGTGGACGGGATCAGATAGTCAATGACATGGGGGCGAGAGACCGTTGCGTTTCGAACATCAATGGTCGATCCGAAAGAGGTGCGGATGGTGTGAACGGCAACGTAGCACATTCGATAAAGGTCTAGACGAGCCTCGCTTGTTCCGAGAAGGAAAAGTGACCTGGACTTTTGTCTTTTTGCAAATCCTGCCACACTAGTTCTGGCGTAAAGTCAAAGCTGAAAGAGCAGACAGGGGGACCAGTTCATGTGGAAGAACATGGGGTATCAATTCGTGAAGTGACAAGGAACAAGATATGCAAGGCCAGGAAACCGGACCAGATAGCTCCCGCTCTATCCGAAACCTGGAAAGCCTGCAAAGGGATTTCCCCCAGGGAAGCCTCCGCCACCAGTTGAGAACTTGAACTGCCTCTGTCCGCCGCCGCCGCCACCGCCAGGGAATCCCTGTTGGAAGAAAAACTGCTGGCCTCCTGCGCCAAAGGGGCTACCTTGGAAGGGGTTGCCACCCTGGTTGGCCATGGGATCGTTGGGGTCCTCGCCATTGTCGAATTTGGCCTTCAATTCAGGGTCGCTGAGGACTTCATACGCCTCATTGATCGATGTCATCTTCGTCTCCGCTTCCTCTTTGGATATCCCTCTCGCAGCGGCCTTGTCCGGATGGAACATCTTGGTCGCAGTGCGGTAGGCCTTCTTGATGGTGGCTTCGTCAGCATCACGAGAGACGCCCAGGACCTTGTAATAGTCCTTGGTTTTACTACGCTTCAGGGCGACTTGCGCTTCGTGCAATTTGGAATTGATCGTCCCCTGAGCGTCAGGGTGATTGTCCCGAGCCGTGTTGAGCGTCGAAATTGCAGCGTCGAAGTTTTCGGCCTCCATGTGTTTCTGCGCTTGGTACAACAGTCCATGAAGAGAGCTGGGTCTCATGGTGAGCACTTCGGAACAAAACTTGCCGGCCTTGTTCATGTTGTTCATCGACATAAACGCTTCACAGGTCTTCTCCAACATGTTCGCGTAGAGATCCGAGGGCGCTTTTGCATGTATAACGCCCTTTGCACGGTGAGCCTCGACATAGGACTTGAGTTCCGAGAGAAGCCCAGGCTCATCATCGGTACCCTTGCCCACCAGCACCTTGCTCCCGGAGTTGAATTGCCGTTTGTCGAAAAGCGCCTGAACCTGGTCGACTTGCTTCAAAATGCTCTTCTCTTCCCTGAAGAGAGATTTGCAGGGTTTCGAGTCCGGATCTGAGTGCAAGCATTTCTTGACTTGGTCCATGCCCAGTTTCGTATCTCCCAGACTGTAGAACAACATGGCCGAAATTTGTAAGTGTGGCTCCACTAGGCCCGGATGGATTTGGAGGACGTGCTGGAGGTCACTGATACCCTCTTGCACCTCGCCACGCTCAAATCGACATCGAGCGCGTAGCTGTCGCAGTGACAAGGCCGTTCCTGCGGTCATGATGGCAATGCCTGCTTGGTTGATACATGCCTCCCAATCTTGCTTCTTTTCCGCTTCGACTGCAAGATAGGCTGCGCCCTCTGCCTCTTCGAGTTGGGCCAAGTCTGCCGCTGCTCGATTGCCTAACGCAACATAATCCTGCCGCGCCGCAGCCCAATCTGCATTCTTCGCCTTGATCTTGGCCCTCTGCAATAACGCCCCTTCGAACCCAGGTTTTATTTTTAACACATTATCGAAGTCTGCGCTTGCCTGCGCATTCCTTCCGAGAGATAAATAGGTGATTCCCCGTTGGAAGAGCGTAAGGTAATCGGAGGAGTCCTTGGAGACTGCTGCATCGAAATATGCGAGGGCCTCACTGTTGGCTCCACGAGCCCGTGCAGCCTTACCTGATGCGATCAACGAAGAGAGGGAAGCGTCCGACGGTATGTCGACGGCATCGACCGCACCGAGGGATGTGAGGTACAGCCCGAGGAGGGCAGCGAGCAGGCCGAGTCGTTGTAATGGAAGAATCATTGTAGCATAGTGTGTGAGGGTGGTTGTTGTACAGAGGGAAGAAAGAGAACAAGTCTAGGGCCAAAAGCAAAGGAAACAGACAAAGAGACGTGAAATGAGTGAGTGAATGTGTCGCCGTCGAGGTCGTTGCGGATTCCTACCAATCTGTCCTCTTAATGATCGTAGATTCTCAAAGAATCCACAGCCACATTCCCATCAGCCACGGTCATCCGTGATTGGCTGAGTTGGCGGACGCCGCTTTTTGACCACCTTGTGGCGGAGGCTGCAATGTGATCTTGACAATTGCATCTTGGGACATGACTTGCACCCAGCCCATCAAAAGGCAACCCACTGCTTTGTTCACCGTATCATTCGAATATAGCATCGACATTCATTCTTGCTCCCGCACTCCCTTCTTCGGAGTCATGAGCTTTGCACACGCACAGATGATGCAGTCATCATGCCTTCCGCGATAGTAAAGACAAATAAGACCTCGACCTCAGTCCTCCAAGAAGGCTCCCCTCACCGCTCCCGTCGTGCCTCATTGCAGGTGTTGAATCGAAACATCCATCAGGTTATCCTGGGAAATCTGCTGTTCGATGCGTGGTATTATTCGCCCTACCCTGACAGTATCATTCTCCCACAACCAGGTGGCGGCTCAGCAACAGCAGACGTGAGAAATGGCCACTCTCACAGCCATCTGGGAGCATATCACAGTTCGATAAGGGGACAGGAGCCAATCTGTCGCCTCCTCCATGTTTGCCCGTGCTGTTTTCGCTACACGCCCCTGAAAGAACAATTCATCCAACACCTTGATCATCACCGCCATCTCCGCTCTCAAAACCTTGAACCAGACCAACCTGTCCCGCAATCCGCATTCAAAGTCTACGAATGGGAAGGGTATGCGGTCTGGGAAATAGACGGTGAGAGGGAGAAACTCTATTGTCAGAACTTGAGTCTGTTCGGGAAGTTGTTCCTGGAACAAAAAAGTGTCTTCTTTGATACTGCGGGATTCAAGTACTATGCTTTGACATACACGAAGCCTGAAAATCCCCCATCGCCAGTGTCTGCGGCGACCAAGACCCGAGGACAGAAACAACGAAGCACGTCGGCGAATGCGCTAGAGGAAGACGACGCGCTCTACAGTACACGTGTTTTGGGATTCTTCTCCAAGGAGAATCTCTCGTGGGACGCAAACAATCTCGCGTGCATATTGATCTTCCCTCCTTTTCAACATCGGCAACTAGGTCAACTGTTGATGGCAGTATCGTACAAGCTTAGCGGATGGGAATGGGAAGGCGGGGTAATTGGCGGTCCTGAGAAGCCCTTGAGTGCAATGGGCCGGAAGTCATACCTAAGGTTTTGGTCCGAACGCATTGCGCGGTTTCTGATGGGCCAGACCGCAGATGCTGATGCACAAAGAGTTTTCGACCAAGCCAAGGCCAATGGCAGGAATAGAAAGACAGTTCAGCCGAGAAAGGAGGAGATGACGATCAAGGAAATTGGGGACAGAACCGGAATGCTGGGAGAGGATGTAGTCGCTGCGCTGACGGAGATGGGTCTGTGCAAAGTGATGGTGCCCAAAAGGAAGAAGGCAAAGTCTTCCACGCCTGAGGCGAACGGGATCGCATCCGCAAGTCTCGCTCATGCGGCGGAAATTGACCCTGAGGAACTGGCAACAGTGGTCATCCATCGCTCGAAAATTGTGGAGTGGGCGGAGAAGAACGGCGTTGACCTGAGAAGTCCCGTTAAGGAAGAAGGATTCCTGGGCGAGTGGGCACTGAGTGATCATGCTGAATCCGACAACAACAGTCGGAATGCCTCTGGCGAGGAAGATAGCGAAGCTTAATGAATGTGCCTATTCATGCAGGAGGATGTCCTCGGAGAAGGAGTCTCCCAGTGTACAGAAGCCCCAGCTTGCTGAAGTGTCCGATTGCGGTTTCAAACCACAATAGTGCTGTCTCCTGTTGGCCAGTATCGTCGAGAGTGGCCAGTAATATAGTATGATATTAAGCACCAGTAGTGCAGGGAGATGGAGAGCTGCGTGCCGGATGTGCGTACCGGGTGCTCGTACCCCGTTCGGCACCAGCCCGATATAGCTGCCCGGTTCTTGTTTCCAAACGCATTGTCGATCCAAATAGGGCGCCACTGCCTGTAGAGAGCAGCCGGACGAGGGGTGAATAAGCTGGGACGGGGCCACCAGGGGCCCTTCAGTATACGTCGTAGTCGTGAGCGGGATTCATGGCGCAGCTGTGCTCCATTCCTGAATTGTGCTGTGATCGGCAGTGTTTATTTTCCTTTGGGTAGGCGATCAACATTTGCTACCTGTTCACAGACTAGTGTGACGAGGTTGGCACTGATCCGGGCCGGTTCCCTGTATCCTGCGAACCCTGCTAGGGTTTGGGTAGTCAGTTGTGCCTCTGGAACATAGTGCCCTTACAGTGGATGACGATGATCACCCGCAAGGGCTCCGTAAGTTTGTGGAGGGTTTCTTCCAACGTCGGACTTCGCAGTGAGGTGGAATGACCTTTGCGATGATCAGCTCAAGATTGTGCATGATCCTCGAGGATAGGAGAGAGTGAGGGGTGCGAGCAAAGCGAACCCGATGCAAGATGCAAACAGCGAGTCTTTGTGCCAGTGACCTGAATGGGTTACACGACAGTGTATATCACCAGGGCGCAGTCACAAGCCAAACGGCTTGGAATCTTGCCCTTTCCTCACGTTTTGGACCCTTCATTTCTGGTAAGTTTTTGGGTTGGACCCTTTCGCACATCCCCCGAGCAATCAACGGCCTTCCAGGGATCGCACAGGCTGCAATCATCTCATTACCACAGGTTCGACTGCCCACAGTAGTGATGGATCTCAATCGAAAATTTCGACAGAGGCATTCTCCACATAACTTTCGAAGACGTCATGGATTCTGATACACACTCGAGACACCAGAAATCCCACTCACACATCTTTTGCCCGGATGACAGTTTACCGAGGGTGACTTTTGAAGGAGGGGGGATAGGATCGATGGTTCGGGTTGTTTGTTTGATTAGCTCAAGCTTGCGATTTCTGAGGGGCTCGCCTCGAGGAGTAGCCTGGGGTCCGAGTCTGTCAGGTCGTGCGTGACTCGTGAGGAGCGTCGAGAGCCGAACTTCCAGATTCCCAAAAGGCGAAAGGCACCAGACTCGAAGTCTGCATCCGCGGTAGTCGGTCTAGCGGCCAAACTGTTACGCGCAAAGTCGCGATTTGTCCGTTCCCCTGCATAATCCCCATGCTCTACCGAATGCAGCCTTTAGGCACCCGGGACCAGGGTAATAGCGGAGGCGCGAAACCATGTCGGGTATCGTGTAGCCAAGTTTGGCGCACAAAAGCCTAAAGCATCCCTGCAAGCTTGCACAGAATTTTCTCCGGCGGCATTCCATCCCAGGCACTTTGGCGTGACGACTGGTGCATTGACCTGCCCAGGGTGGGAGATGGCCGCCGCCGCACCACTCTCGCCGTGAAAGCAGAGGTAGGATTTCAAGCCTGATGATGCTCCTCAACCAGTTGTTTGGTGTGTGATCGGCCAAGGATCTTGACAAGGAAGTCAAACGTGACTTAGGGGATTGAAATCTGCTGGAGTCAGCCCATGGCCCAACTCTGTTTGACGCGTCTGCCAGAGTTTGTGATCCCGGTCGTGTCTTGAAATAGTTGCCTACCCTATACCCCGTGTTTGCCAGGGGACAAGACCTCACAGCCACGAGGGGCGAAGACATGTCTGATATTACTGATCGGCCAGAAGTAGCTGCAACAAGCCTCAATATGTTCCTTGTGATGAACGTCATCAGTATAGGTGCACCCACGCATTGGAGACTGGACTCCACAAGCTGGTGAAGACTGAATCTGGTATGGCTAGGTAGCATTAGGCATGGCAATGGAAGGAGGATGATAGTGATGGGGAGTCGTTTCCGGCAGCTTTCACATGCGGTTCTGCACAGGAGAAGGGCCGTGATGAGCTCTCGTCGACTCGCCAGCCCTAAGCCTGCATGCTGGGTCAGTTAGGTGAAGCTAAAGTCGAAAATTCTGCGTCAAAGCCGACTGGATGGGCACAGAAGGAAGAGGCTTTAGGGCTTGAGGCTGCATGTTAGCGAACCAATACTGCGGGCTGCTTGGTGGGCCTCCGGCATTCCCTGGTTCAGGTCGGGTGATTCCAAAGCTGGGCTGCTCTGTCGAAAACCGCTAGTATTATTGACGATGAATTGATCCTTAGCAAGAGAGCCCTGCAGGCAGGAGGTAAGACTTTGAAGATACAGAAGAACCAGAGGATAAGCCAAAGCGAGGTGTGTCAGGGTAGAACTCAAATGAGACTTGACCAGGGTGACTGACCGCACACCAAACAGGGCCAGACAGAAATCTGCAAGCAATGAAAGTTTGACAGTGACAGACCCTTCGACCCCTCTAAGAGCGGCATCCCCCGGTCACTACTGGTAGATAACGTACAGGAGGAGACAGATGAGGAGCAGGAAGACGGCAGCCAAGTGCGAGGCACGGAAGGGAGGGAGGGAGGGAAAGGGAGTGGAAAACTCGAGTTGCCGTTGTTACCGCAGCTACACTGGCCATCTGCCCTGCGTACGAGTGCCCTACGCTGCCCAAGACAAAGATAGAGGATGTGGGTGACTCGTACTCGTAGCCGTATCTCTGGAGGAGCCCAATACACTGGGTGTTATTGTGTTATTCCTGGTGGGATCCCCGAAGTGCCGACAGAAAGTCCCTGGGGGGGACCAAAGCGTCAAGGGCTGCCGAAATCTGCCGTTACGCATTACGGCATAGTTAGCCTTGGGGGAGCCCTCGCTACTCTAGGTATACCCATGCCTAGAAGCTATGCCTAGAAAATCATAGCGCGACGCCCAGAACTCAACCCCCCTGCCTCCGAATATCGAATCCGTTCCCCTGTCGCCCTTCCGCTGTCCGGCCTCCATCGTCAATTACTCCACCTCGAACTGCTCCACACGACTAAAATCTTGCATTTTCGACTTGCTCCCGTTCTCTAGTGCCTGTCGCTCTCCTAGTGTCCAGTCCTTACAACGTCCTCAAGAACTCGAGCCTCTGGACTCACTCGTCTACAAACACTCGACCTCAGGCTCCGAGACATCGACATACAGTCCACCAACATCGCAGTTGGCCGTTTCTCTGCCGCACCAGACCTACACTCCTTCAAGTTTGCTTTCAGTGCCAGTGCACATACCACACAGCACCTTGCACGTCTTGTCCCTCATTGACCTTCGCTTTCTCGGACTGTGCCTCTCGTTCACCCTGTCACAGAGATCTCCTTTGAAGTTGAGCCTGCCTGGACTTTCTAACATCCATCAACTGACATCTTCTCCCTTCGGTTCAACTAAACACCTCCAAAGATTCTGTACCCAATTTCTGCGGTAGTCCTACCTCGAACTCGCACGCCTTGTCTCTGGTTGCCGCACGGTTCACAAACTCTACCGTCATCTCGCTGCATTGACCTACGATCCTGAAAGGTTTCACAATCTCGCTTTTGTTGACAAATTCCAATGCTGTAAACAACGGACCGACGATCAGGTATCACAAACACACGACGTTGGACCACAAGAGTTTGGACCTCGAGGAACTGGGACACTTAATCTTGTTTCCGACTCGTTGCTGCACTCACGCTGTGGCTGCAAGGACGTGGAAAGAGTTTCGCTACCCTTCATCTCCAAAGCGAGATCTTGATCTCAAGCCCATATCTTGGCTCGCTTCCTTTGTCTCTCGTGCTCTAGCACTGGAACTCTGTTTATATATCGACGTTGAGCTGAGAGGCAGTCACCATGTCTTCTCCCGAAGGAGACGACAACTCGAGGGGTGCGGCTTACCCATGGGTTCTGGAGCATTTGATAACCTATCCTGCGACCTACGAGATCCCCCTGCGAACCATGTACACTCTCAATGCTACAACCCAACATCAGCAGCAGTGTCCGCCAACACCGTCCCCGAACACGGTTCCTGGCAATGCTTTCCCTCGCAAATTGTCCGTCACCGCTGAGGACCAGCAAAACATGACCACAATGACGGCTGCCGCTCAATTGCGTGCCAATCTCATACAACACATATCGCAGCTGCCCTCCCAGCCGACATCTTTACCTCCAAGCTTCATCACAAGCTTTGTTCGAAAATGTTTCCCCCGCGAACTGGATCAGGTCGATTTCCCCCAGGCTTTAACTGCTATGGACTACCTAAAAGATCTGGAAGTTAGACGCCGGCGGGAGGTAGTGGCGGCTTTGGATAAGCTGGGTATCGACCAAGAAGACCTTAGCCACCGAGATAAACTGGCACGGAAATACCCCGGCGTCCTGCGCTGGGTTTCCGACATTGAAGAGAGGGAGCGCAAGGTTGAAGCGCTCTACACTCAGGTCTATATCGGGCTGAGGAGATGGACCCTGATCAACGAGCTCACCTTGACCCCTTTCGACAAGGGCAATTGCCTGGCCATGCTCAACACACTGTATCCTCCCATCAACATGAATGCCGGGCATTTCGTGCAGCCCACCGCACAACTGACGCCTCATATTCTGACCCAGCAACGCAACGGCTTCTTCAAATATATCACTGCAGTGGAAAAGAACGGGCCTGCGGTCTTGTCCAACTTGATGAACCAGGCTAAGAAAGCCGAAGATCCTAACGGCTGGGTCAGTCTCCGAGATACTCTTGACAAGTATGTTCGCATGGCAAACAGCATCATCGAAGAATGCTACGACATCACCGGTCAGAGCCCGTCCCCAACCACTACCTCTTTCAAGTCTTTCGAGCATGAGGAGGAGGGGCGCCGGAAGGTTGATTCTGCTATTTCTTTTGGCTCCGGAAGTTCATCAAATCGCAACTCCGCCCAAAGCAACAAGTCTGCACATAGCCAAAAGAGCCATACGACCAGACCTAGCACAAGCAGCAGCCTCAGTAATGGCAGTCATAGCCATAGTCGTCATGCCTCTCATGACAAACAACTTCCTGAAAAGCCATTGCCGCCACCCAAGGATGACGAAATTACTATAACACAGAAGTCGTCAGGGTCAACACTGGAGCGGATCGCTCGTGAACTGCGGAAGATCAAGAGTCGGACCAACATCAAAGACGACGTACGTCCGCGCACTCCGTCATATTCTGCGGATATGATGGGAACCGACAACCATGACCGACCACCACCAACACCTGCCAAAGACCGCAGCTTGAAGAACAAGCTTAGCATACGGAGAATGCGATCGAACACTGCTCTCTCGGAAATTACTGGCATTCGTTCTCCCACTCGCCACGGAGAACCCACAATCCAGGAGATGCCGGCGTTTGACGCAGACGAGATGAACAGGAGCCGACAAAGATGGGAGTCTCAGCAAAAGATGAAAGCGAGGGGCGCTGATGATGGACTGAAGACATAATGTACAACGTTGTACCAGACAATGTTTTTTTTACGACACGGTTTTGGAATTTGAAAGGGATAATGGACTGCGGCTACTGCCACCGCACCGAGTCTTAGCAAGAGAGGTCTCGGCAAATGTGTAACGATACACCATGAAGAATTACGAGAGAAAGCAAGTGATTATTGGCTTGGAAAATTTAGGGCCTTGTGAAGACCAACTGGGACCAGAGATATGAGGCTCTCACGAGCAAAATGGATGATTTGCGGAAAGGGGCGTGGACAAAAAGTATGGTCCTCATAGAGGCGATACCCATAGCTTGTGCTTTGACCAATGAACCCGATTGAAAAAAGATGTGCTGCCTGGTTCCTAGCCAAGTATTCGAGTGAAAACGTAAGTCTAGGAATTACAGTTGACAGGCACGCACTTTACCCCTACTAGGTATTGAGTAGTTCGTATATTACTATCCCGATATACACCAAGTAAAATGTGCTCCGGGCTGCCCACTTGGTACGGAAAAACAGAAGTTCCGGCAGACAGCCGAAGCAATTCATTCCCCCCGCGCTGCCGTTTCTTGCATTTCAAACCCCAAGTTTCCCAAACGCAGGAAGAAAAACGTCAAGTTATGATCCACGGATCCGTACCGAACACTCTGATCCAAGGACGGAGATTGTGACTGCAGCTCGTCTTTTGATACTACTAGTTCACCCTTCTCGCCCGTTTTTGTTTCACCCGCCCTGTGGCCCGAGCCCGACGCCGCCATGGACACCGAAACCAACCCTCGAGGCATCCCGACCTTTCCTTTCATGAACAACGTGGCCGACTATGTCAAGTCCGTCGACGAAGTGGAACCCACGCTGCAGAGATTTCAGGAAATGGTTTCCAAGTATACATTTATGCAGCAGAACGTGGAGCGTCGGGCGGTGGGCCTGAAGGAGAAACTGCCGGAGATGAAGAGGACGCTGGAGGTTGTCAAGTTTCTGAAGAAGAAGAAGAAGAAGCAGAAGAGACGGGATGTCGGCGAGGAAAGCGGTGGAGAGGAGGATCTAGAAGGCGACGATGATCTCCCGGGAGAACAGGCCGCGGCGAGAGACGAGATTGAAACCACGTTCAGCCTCCAAGACACCCTCTACGCCAAAGCCATCATCAAACCCGCCGAGATCGACGATGTCTACCTCTGGCTCGGCGCCAACGTCATGGTCGCCTACCCTCTCGACGAAGCAGAGGAGCTCCTGCAGGGGAAACTGGACAAGGCGAAAGAGAGCCTCGCGGCCTGCGACGAAGACCTCGAGTTTCTGAGGGTGCAAATCACGACGCTCGAGGTGGCGATTGCGCGCGTCCACAATTGGGATGTGGGGGAGAAGAGGAAGCTGAGGGCCCAAGGCAAACTGCCCTCGGGTGAGGGGGGGAGGGACAACGAGTGAGAGCTGGAAGGTATAACCTTGGTCTCTTGTCATCGCCGTCGTCTCTTATCACCCGAGCACCAAAAGCCAATAGTCAACTGACAATCGCCACCCTGCCACCAAGCGCTGTTTCACGGCACATCTGCCACTTCCAGCGTCAATCGGACATGCTGCACGCCTCCCAAAGGCGGTCGACGTGCGTGCGTGGGCCCGTGTGTGTCCTTCAGAGCAACCCCGACAAGTGCTTCTTCTCTACCGGGCATGCCGACAACGTGCGAGTGACCTGAGGCCTCATCTGACATGGTTGAAGTCAGCGCCCGACCTGACATCTCTTCACATCAAATCGTGATTGGCAGGTCACCAAATGCACTGGGGTGAGGCTGGGTCCTGGTGGATACTCGCTGAAGCTGCATGCCCATTCTTCCCGCCGGCAAGGCAACAGCCAAGCTTGATTCCGAAGGAAACTGCTCTAAACAATCAGGATACGTTTTCTAGCCGGAAATATGGGAGCCATTCCCTCGATTCTTTCCATATCGAACCTCTAGCAGCGAGCGGTGACGTCGACGGAGACTGTGTTTCGGCGGGAGGCTGACGAGGCTGAGACACCCCTGAGTGAGGATAGAAAGGCTGGCTACGTGTACTGTACATTGCTCCTCCACGAGTGCTTGTTGTCGACACGAAAGTGAAGAAAAGAAGAGACCAAAGTGGAGGTATTGAATGCCATGCCTGGCGTCTGTACGCCAGTAATTATAGACGTGTTCGTTGATGCGAATCTTGTCTGTTCTCAAAGACTGTCCACTCCAATCACAATACCATGGGATTTCTCATTCATCGCCTGCATCATTCGTCTCATTCATCTCAATATGCTCATTCCGCATCCCGCATTCTTCAACGCGCTCGTCGTCTCCCTGAACTAATAATAGCTTGTCCTCAAGTCCAGGTTCAACTGCAGTGAAACGACTTCGCTACGCATTGGCGCCATTCATACAGGTCATCAATCATACAAATAAGTTGGAGCCCTCTCCTCTTTCCAATCTCCTCGCTTAAGGTGTCAGCTGCTAGAACGGAGCTCAATGCCTCCAGTATGCATGATGTTGTTAGTATTCTGATCCTTCACATCACGAGTGCTGCTCCGAAGGATAGACTGCGCTTTGCTTGCCAGTCATCTCAGCTCTGCCAGGCGGTCCGACGGATGCAGCAATAGATTCGTCTGGTGGAGACTTGACATGGTCTGGGGCTTGGAAGACCGAGTCCAATCCTTTCCGGTCGCTTCTAGCAGGTTTCAGAGTGTCGTCACTCCAACAAGTCACATCTTTCCCAAAGGTAGGACTGCCAGACGCGTGTAATACTCCTTCTGTCAACGGTCTTCGATGCTGTACATCCTCGTTTGCACCACGCGTTGTACGCAGATCCATTGGTGGAGACATCGGCGGCGAGCTGAAACTTCGAGCTTTGCGAGCAACATCCAGAGTCTCACTGACGCTCGACGGGCGGGCTTGGTGCCCCTGGTGACAGCCGTTGAGGTCCTTGTTGGCTCCATTTGCTTTGTTGAATTCCGTGCGCCCAGGATTGCAGGTTGTTGTCGCATTTTCAACAAGACTGTTACTCCTAGACTTCCTACGTTCATCAGCGTCGCGCAACATTTCAGCCGGTCCTTTAACAATAGCGCCTCCCACAGCGAGCATAATCGCCACACTAAATTTGCCCCAGAGGTACAGTGAACGGCCCCAGCCACTTTTTGGCTCACCGGATAGAGAGGTGGTTTGAGGAGCGGGAGTCCGTGCTTGATTCTCTTCCGCCTCGGTCTTGTTTCCAGAGTGGTGGGGAGCTATCTCGCATGTAGGTTGGATTGAAGCTTTGTTGAGAGGAGAATCGACATCGTGAAGACAGCAATCATTGGCAATGCTTTCGCCGTCGTACTTGGCCCAATCCCAGTCTTGATGTTCAGGCTGTGGCCGCCTGTAGCCAATGAACAATCCAAGCACCCACCAACTAAGTTTTCCAAACATTGCCCAGTTTGAACGCCAGGCATTTGCTATGACCCGTCGTGCTAGAGACAGTGGATCTCGTTTGAAGCCTTGAATATACGTAGTGTATCTCGACAAGGTCGCATAAACCGTCTGGATCGTTAAGGTCGCCAAAGGCCTCGAACCTATATTGCGATGCTGGAGCATCTCAAGAGGGGTGCGTGTTGGGATGGTCGCTGGCTTCTTAGGAAGGGTGGAGGGTTCGTCCATAGACCCTTTGCCCTTCTGTTCGGTGACAGAGCAAGGTGTGACGGCTCCAGGGCAACTAGGCGGACACATCTGGGTGTTGAGGGGTCCATCCCCGACAACGTCAGCTTCTGTGCCGTGCGGCTCGTATATTGAGCTTGTTTTCCTGCGCTTCCGAGGATTAAGTGGCGAGTCAGGGTAATTAGTAAAGGGAGACGAGTAACCTCCGCCGCGGATTCGATGTTTTGAGAACAATGGACGAGGAATTTCGACATTATCCCGGTATTGTAATGCGTCTAGAGTCTCCAGGTCGGAGGCAATATCCTCGTGATTGAAAACCTTGCAATTTCCGGCTATGTCCTGGCTCTTTTCACTCAGTACTCCAGCCACGGAAAAGCCGTTGTGAGGGGACTGGCATGGCACATCCCTGGGCAGCGAAGATATTGTCTGTGAGACCCAGGATCTGATCTGTGGACTGGAGCATGGTTCAATGGTTAACTGAATCTTACCGTTCTGGACGGGAGTTCGATACTGCGTCATATGGCTTGAAAATGAAAGATCGGCGATGGGCTCTTCCACAATCTCTGGCTGAAAATGTTGCTCATCACTGGCAAAGACTTCGTCCAGGCTTTGATAAGCCGGTCCAGGTCGACCATTCGCACTTTCTGGACTCGGAAATGGAGTCTCCAAGCAGTGTGTAACAACCGCGGGTGGAAGAGAAGGTGGATCAGATGTGGTTATCTCAGACTTCATGTGGACGGGGAGTGGTCGAGTAGGCGACATGATCGGCGAGGTTGAAGGAAGGTTACCATTTTCCGCAGTGAAGGTTGGTAAGAGCAATGGCTTCAACTGGGTAGATCCCGGCATGAATTTACGAGGTCTCCTCTTTGAAGGATGCCTCAGGACTGTTTGCGAGCGGCTTTCTGCTCGCGTGTGACCTCCAATAGGCACATTTGGGCTGGTTGAAGAACTAGAAATGAGCGTCGACCGTCTCGACTCAGTTCCGTGGCCCACTTGCGGATCTGTTTCGCCCAGCACGGAGTCGATCGAGTGCCTCTCATCTATAGCTTCCGGGGAGCGGGTAGCGATGTCAAATGGACTCGACGACAATGGTGACGATGGGAAATGTCCTGCGAAGTAGTCAGAGGCCGCAAGTGCTGGAGATGCGACGATTGACTGGGGTCTGCTCTGAGAGGTTTGAAGCACTGGAGATGTCGGCAATCTTGGGATGATGAGCGACATAGGACGGCCGCTTTTGCGCCTGGGCGTAGGAATGCCAACGGTGGGTTGAGCTTTTGTCGGTGATAAGGCCAGGAGCTGGGTCAACACCTCGTTGCGTTTTGTCATGTCACGATTTGTGGTTTCCAGGCTAAATCTTTCGTCTTCGAGCTTCTCAATTCTCGCCTTTAGGACTTCCAAAGCATTTTGATCCGCTCTCTTCTCCTCGCGATCGCATTCTAGATCGTGGATTACCGACTTCTTAAGTTCGACCTCATCTTCCAGATCCTTAATCCTGCGCTTCAGCTTCAGCTCCGTCTCCGCAGACCGTTCGACGGTTTCATGAAGTTCGAATTCAAACGAGGCCCGGATGGCTTCCATCTCCTTCTTCAGACGATCGTTCTCTTCTTTTGCTTTGCGGAGCTTTTCTTTCCAGGGCATATGAGTTGTCGGTGAATACATGGCGTCCTTTACCATCATTAACTCATTTTCGATGTGCTCTATGTACTCTTCCGAATTGAACCTGGGCTTTGTCTGAGATGCTTTACGATTTGACCCAGAACGCGGAGGGCGATAATATGGCGAATCTTTGCGAGGCGAAGGCCTCTGAAGGTTGACCGAGACTTCTCTAAGACCCATGTTGGTCGGACTTTCTTGCAAAGAACTGGGAACCGAAGGTGGATGGATGTCACTGGATGCGTCGTGGTAGACAGACGGTGTGTTGGCTCCCGTGTCACGGACTGTGGGCTTCTCCGGTGAATCCTGAAAGACGGGTATAGCAGCACGCTTTTTCAATCCTCGAATGCGGCAAGCATTGGCATTCGAGATCTCAGCCAGAATGGCAGATTCTGTGGACACAGTGCTCAGTTTCTCGGCCTTGTTCGAATCATTGCCATTCTCTTCTCGTCTGTTAAATCGTGGTGAAGGAAAATAAGGAGAGTCGTTCTCGGCAGAGCGGGTCAACGATGGAAATGGGACGCTGATGCCATTGACTGAGAGTCTTTGGGCCGAGAACTTCGCATGACGAGTCTGGAGGAGCCTCTGCTGTCGAGTGTGAGGGGCAGACTTTGGTGTTGTGTGACTTGTAGGATACTCGCGCAAAGACGGCGGGATTGATCTTGAGCGGACGTGGAGGGTGGGCGTCGGTGGTTGGGGGTGGGCATGAGCGTCGTCCATAGTCTTGTGGCAGAAGAATTATGTTGTCATGGAGCTCTGACGCAGATGGAATGATTCGCAAGCCCAACACCGCTCACCATTGGCGACAGACACGGCAGAAACGTGCTAACAGACAGACTTTGAGGGTGGAGGGACGAATGATTCGACAGAATTGAAATTAACCAACATTCCACACCTCGCGCCGCGAGGAGTGATGCAATACGGTGCTCCGAGAGCAAAGGAATGCGAGAAGGGAAAATCTGCGTGGCTAAAGGAGAGGCTGCTCAAGACACTCAAGACGAAGAGAAGAACATTGAATTGGAAGAAGAAGAGAATGTCCAGCGCAGGCGCAACCTGAGTCCGGGTTGACACGGAGGCAGGAGGAGCAGACCACCAGAAATTAATTGCTCTGACGAAAAAGTAAGTGTTTACATTGTACTCATTTCGGAGCATCGCTGCGCTGAGCTGACGGATGGAGCAGTGGGCCGATTAGGCGTTGATGTGCTGCCAGGAACCGTGGTATAAGGGAGTGGATGGGCAAGGAATAGGCACCTAATAGGCAGGGCTCCCCCGCTGTGGCCGCTAAAGGGCCTCGCTAAGTCGGAATTCTTACCCAGAACAACCCTGGAAGCTCACTAGAACACTTAGCCCATTGGCAGTATCAATGCCGAGGTACGCCTGACTCGGATGCCTCGCATCGGCGGGACGCGCTATCACGTGGTAAATAGGACTAACCCATTTAGTCCCGTTTCTTGGCATATCAACCCTCGCCTTGACTACTACCCCGTACATCCTACAACCTCTCTTCCATGATCATAAGACTCTACTCAAATCGCCAAGGTTGAAGGCTTCCCACATCGGGGAACAATAGTAGCTATTCAGCATACATGCTCATTGAAGTCCTATTGATCCCCTTTGACGCCGGTTTACTGTCCGGTCTCCGCCCATCTCTCTTTGTCGACAATGGCTCCTATTCACTCAAGGCCGACACATTGTTCATGCTCTTTTGTCTCTCACAAATGCACTGAGCCTGATATCAAAGGGCCTATTGTTGGCAGTCGTATTATACTCACAATAGACCACAAAGCAAGCCACTGAATAGTAGGTAAATTTAGAAAGACCTCATCTCAAAGGTAGGTGGGAGTGCATCTCAAAGAGCGAACCACAGTGATATTGCTCATGATTCCATGTTTCCATTGACCTGATATCCTTCTGTTTACCTTCTTCTCTCCGTGTATGACAACCAACCGAATAATCTCCTCCAAATCTGCCTCGTGGAACCCACCTCTCTTTTGTTCAACATGTGCAAGATCATCAAGTATCGCTATACCAAGTGCTACAAGCCCGCGGATGCTGGTGAGGACTATGATGAACACGATCCAAGATTTCTTTGCGACGGTGGTGTTGAAATAGCAAAAATCCCCTGCTTTGTCGAGGTTTGCGACAAGCACGAAGATGGTATTCCCCGACACCACTTCCCGTTCCGTGGGTACGTGAATGAAATGCCAAAATGCCAACAGACCGTGGAGTTCTGTTATATTCCAACCTACTGCGCCTCTCATCGCGAGCACTTGCAACAGAACGGTCAACCTATTCCCCCCGACGATGCAAACATTCACACCGAGCCTGAACGACCTCTGGGAGACTTTGTCTGGCATATTCCCTCGATTCCATGGAAAGATCCTGGTTTCCGCATGGTGGACTGGAATCCAGAACCGAGAAGAGTACCCCTCGACCGCCCGGAGAACAGCCCCAAGACACGATCTACTTTCGACCATGAGGAAGGCGGCGTCATCAATGCATTTTACGACGCTGAACACTGGGTATCAGCCGATGGCCGCCCCATAGATTTGCTAGAGAATCATTACGACGACCCGGACATCAACGACAGGCCCGCCTTTCCGAGAATGAAAGGCCCGGCTATGCCACCACAAGGATCAATGCCTCCCCAAGATGGCCAGAATCCAGGCCCCCAATCGACCCAACCCGAGTTAGAGCCTGCCAACTCTCAAGTACAGTCACAGGTCAACCCCTCCCAAGGGCAATCACAATACAACATCACTCCAAGAGCCCAGCAGACCCTTGGCCCAGCCATAGGGGATGCGCAACCAGCGGCCCCTCCGTCTCGCCCTATGTTCGGAACCTGGCGAGAAGCCTCGAAATCCAGATTGTCATCCGAAGCTTCGTCGTCGTCATCAGATAGCTCCGCATCGGAGCCATCCCCTGGTCGGCCAAAGATAACACTAAAGTTACGCATGAATCAACTACAAAAGCCCAAAGAAGGAGACCAACCAGGGACTAGGTCGCCCGCCCAGTCCTCTTCGCGTACCACCACCACTGCAGGCAACGGAACGGGGTCGCCAGAGCCAAGCAGGCCTCCAACGAAGGAAGACGACATCTACCTGTCTGAGATGCTGTCCGGGGCTCCGCTAAGCTCAACACTTCCCTCCTCAGTGCAGGCCCGGCCCGCCTCCCCCTCAAGCACGCAGACACTGGTGCAAACTGAAGAGCCATTGAGCTCACGGCCACAGGGGCCACCGTCACCACAAGGACGAACAAGCCCCGATGGCGAAGAAGGAGAAGAGCAAGGGCCTCCCAAACGACGCAAGCTCAATTCAGGAAGAGCAGCTACGACTGTTGCACAGCCACATCACATGAGGCTCAGGAGCAGAGGTACCCGCGCCGCGACGGTCGGGGCCCCTGGTACCAGAACAGCAACGAACACGCACGGCATGAGGCTCAGGCCTCGAGCACCTCGGCCGCCTCCTGCTCCAGCCCCAGCCCCAGCCCCAGCCCAGACGAACAATCCAGCAGCCAGAACAGGAAGAGGGAGAACCCGCACTGCCGGTCGAGCGGGGACCCGAGGGGCCAAAGGCACGTCCAACGCAAAGGGCAAAGCCAAATCTACCACCCAAAAGACCCAGCCTCGACATTCCAACAAAGCCCAAAAGAAGACGAAGAAGCCGAAGACGCAGACTCAGACGCGGACCCAAAGACAACCTCGAAGACAAGCGGCGCTGAACCAAGCAGGGCCATCGACAACGCAAGCTCCAGCCCCGTCAACATCCGGTCTTGGACCCATGACCCGCGCACGCCGAGTAGCACAAGGCGCACAACTAGCGAATGGGTTGAATTAAGGGGTGGTCCCAGCCTGATGAAAGGGTTTAACGAGGTACTCAGGAATCATCTCACTGCTGGAAACGTGAGAAGGACGGGAAAGGAAGGGAAGGGAAGGGAAGGGAAGAGGGGGGACTTTATCCGCACATGTCCAAGTACAAGCCATGTACCATCACGCGGGCCGTGTGTATATCGCTGTGCAGGTCCGTTTTGTCTCCACCCCGACCCTTCTCTCGAGCATGGATTTGTTGCAAGTTAGATATCAAGCCCAAGCCGGTTTCCGTTCCAAAGACGGGATGGTAAACCCATGTCCGGCTCACCGCAAGGCGTTCAGGCGGGCAAGGAGATAGATGGAGGGGAAAAGTACGCAAAGAGATAGATAGGCAAGCAAGCAAGCCGAGAGAATCTAGCTAAAAGCAATGTCAGGCAACATAACAATACTTCTGCAGGGTCGAGCAAAAGTGACCAAGACGTCGTCGAGTCGAGGAGGACCAAGGGCCCCTGACATGAGCTAAAAACCTATGTTTATGTACTAGATTTTATATGTTCTGCCTGCTTCTGGTACTGTCGACCACGACGTCGTCGAAAGGTCCATCATTTCTTGCCTCGCTCCTCTGGATTGGGTTTGCTTTTCCCGGCCAGACCAGCACCGGCTGGTTCAAAGGCGGCAGGCATCTGCAGCTGCTGGAATCTCCATCTCGACAAATCCCACCCTCAACAGAATCAATTCTCTGCTCCAGATACGCGGCGAGGTTCCCGCGTCCGAACGCCCTTGCCCGACATGGTACAAACCTCTAGACTCCAGGGTATCCCAAATCCAGGTTCCATTCCCGGTGTTCGCGCAGGTAAATCTGGTCTTTTTCCTTTTCCTCCGGTACCTTACGATCAAGCCAACTAAAGCGGCCGCACAGAAAACCGCACAAATTTGTCGCGTAATGGGTATCTAGAATACAGTGAAGGACAATTTGGATTGAGCTTCCCGCATACCACTGGCCCATGAGTAAGGATCCAAAAGGGAACTAAAAAAATGTACTCTGAAAACGTGAACGTCATAAATCATGACCTCGTAATAAATATTAGCGAGTCTTGTTGATACAGCTTTGCGTGTGCCGCCGAAAACATCAAGAGGTTGTACAGATGATTTGAGTGGTTGGGCCAAATAAATAATGCTTGCCTAGACCGTTTGGTAGGCGGGCCATGGTTCTTCCATGACATAAGTGAAGAGGATCATGCACGCCTTGTTCGGGTTGTAGGTGTCCTGGGTCTTCCATCAACGCCCATACGTGACAACTATCGGCTTCGCGTTTCACATGGGTGGACGAGGCTGCAATATGTCGAGATGCTGCTGGTGCTGGTGTGGCCGTCCGAGGTCGAGTCACAGAGGAGGAGTCGATTTTCTTGTGCCTGCCATACCTTGAGGCGGATCTTCGAAGGTCGAGGGCCCAAATCCGGGCTCCCAGGTGCCATCTTCTTTGATAAGAATCTCCTTTGCACACAATAATCGATTGTTTTCCGAAAGATTTTTGCGTACGTCTAGCAAAAACTCGTCAATCACGAGCTGATTGGGGCGTGCCTCCCGTCCACATATGGGACAGTTCCATCGGTTTGGATCCGTCAGACCACCATGGTTGACGCCTTCTCGGCCGCGGGACAGGAATCCTTTCAGGTCGAAACATTCCCGGTGTCGACACTCTTTGCCTCGAACAGGTGTCCTCCACACCCGAAACGTGAGCGGGTCTATTACGTTGATAGCGATGACCGACTGAGTGTCAAGGCTACCATTTCGGCTCTTCATGGAATCGGTGATTGCTCTCAGAACATCTGTCGTGGAAATTCGTGTTGCCATGGCCTCGATCTGGTCGTAACTGGCCATGCAGACGATCTCGACCGCCATTAGATACGCACAACCTGATTCTTTTTCCGCCGGGCGAAACAAAGCATTCACTTCGACCTCGTTGTTGCCCTCTCGCAGCAGATCGGTCACATCTGCAACCGAGTCTGCACCGCTGTCCCCGCCGCGTCTCAAATCGACGTCTGAGTCATTTATGACTATAGACACCATCGATGGCCACTTGGTGGGCCGAGCAGAGAATTCTAACTCGGTAGGGGTAAAGAGTTCTCTCCCCCTCATATCGACAACAACTGACCTCAACCGGAACCGCACGCTGGTTGGGGCATCACCTTCTCTAGGACTGGTTTGTCCTATTGTGGACGGAGTGGTTACCCTTCGCACCCAATGCTCTTGTGAAATGTTCACGTTCCATTTGATTATGGGGGAATCTACGTGAACACATTCCCCGAGCACCACAGAGTCCTCGACAAATTCATAAGTGGGAGGTTCCGTGTGTGGAGCTACATTCTGTGAATCAGTCGTAGCTTGCATCGTGCTTGAAGATTGCGCGGGGGTTATCGAGAGCTGCTGTCCAGCTGCTATTGGCCAAGATGTAATGTGATCCATGGCGTTTGGCTGCTGGTAACCGCTCTGGAGTTGGGGCAGTGGTGCTGGTGTGAGGCTCTGGGAAGGTTGGGCTACTTGCTGTGCCTGTCGGGCGGAGGCTGTTTGTTGAACGCCGGGAGGAGCAACCGACTCTTGGACCATAGGGCTTTGAAGAGACAGGGTGGAAGGCAGGGCATGAGAGGGCGTGGTACTCGTACGGTGAGTTGGGGTTGCGGGAAGCTGGCTCGCCATATGGGCGTCGGGAACTTGCGCAGTAGACGTGCGACTGCCACTCGACCCTTTCGTTTCTCGCTCAAGAAAGCCGCGCGAGGACGTCTGTAACATGTCCAGATTACCAGGGCGGTTGCTAGAAAGGTGGGAAAAGGGCGCCTTCTGCATGGTAGGAGAAGATAGCCTCAGCTCAGCCTTCAGCTCAACTGGAGCAGGTGGACGGAGTCCTTCGACTTTGAATGACGACTCTGGTAGTTGGCTGACGGAGCCGCTTGACACGGCTGGGGAGGCGTTCTGTGTTAGTACACGCCCTGAAGACTCTACTTGTTGGAAAACAGTCCTGGAACGGAGTGCTCGCTCATGGGACGCGTCCGTGTCAATCCTCCGCTTTCCTGCGCCAGCTGAGGAAGTCAGCCGCTCTGGAGGCAGGGTTGGAGACAAAGACTGGGCAAGCGTAGACACGGGCAGGGGCAATCCGCGATTCGCTCGGGGGAGAGGAGCGACATTGGAAGACACAGTGTTCATCTCAACAAGGGTTGACAGTCTTGCTCGAAGATTGCCCCCTCCACGGATATTTGACGGTGGTGCCAAGTCGTTCCGCTCCCTATTCTGCCCTGCTAGATCCCAACAACTTGTCTCTTGGGTTCCTTTAGCCGAAGCTGGCAGCGTTGCACGGCTAGACATGTCGAGAGCTCTCGACATCGGCCTCGGTCCTGCCCGCAGAAGGCCATGCGTAGCTGGAGTTTGAAATGCTGGCGTTGGCTCTGAACTCGGGGCACTGAAGTTGTCAGGAGCATGCTTTGTGGATGGTGCTAATTCCCCTTGCGGAATGATACCCGCCGTATTCTCTGGGAAAGCTGCTTGTGTACATTTGTTTGTAGAGGTCGAACGGCTGCGGCCGTATGCACTCCCTTCCGTGACAGGGGTAGAAGAATCCTTCCGCTTATTCTGGGAATGACACTCTAGGGACTGTGTCGGCGTCGATCCGTTCCTGGAACCTAAGACGGTCGACACAGCAGTCGATGTGGCTGGTGAGCCAGAACTAGGGCCCAGATAAGGTAACACCTCGATGGTGTCTCCATCGAAAGATGGTTCCCGTAAAGGCGAGCGAGATTTGGGCGGCAGCCGTCGCTGGGACTTCGGGGTCGCTCTGCCGCGTCGGCGAGTCGACTTGATGGGAGTGGGGTCAGCATTGTCGGCCATTCACGATGATGGCAAAGCCAACGGGGTAATTCGGGCGATAGCAAGAAGTTGGAGGTTATTCAGGTTTGCAGGATCAAGAGTAGGGTTGAGGTTGGCGCGCACGTTTGGCTGAGGCACCGACTAGACTTCAGCGGCAATCAAACGTCAAACTAAACTGCATCTCGGAGGACAAGCAAGCGGGGAAGTCGCCAAATTGAATGATGGGATGGTTATCTATGTACAAAGGTCGTGTCTCGCAGACACGGAATTGATGTCGGGTCTGGAAGGAAACGGTGACGAAAGCGGTTGAGCATCCGTTGCGGTCAAGGATCCACGAAGACGGGATTGACGGCTCGCAAACGAGGCTGCGGCGACATGCGGTGGACGTGGAGGAGACAGACTTGCAGTGGTGAATGCGCAGGAGATCCAGCGTCTGGAAATGTCTGCGCAGGAGGTGGTGAAAGAGAAAGAGGGCGAGCCCCGGGTGAGGAACGGAGGAGGAGGGTGAGGTTGCAGAGGAATCGTAGAGGCGCTGGGGAGCAGGTGGATGAAGAGACTTCGACGCAGGAAATTCTGGACCATGCAGAGTTTTTAGCGGCAAGTCAGTGCGGCAGCACGCACGTCGGTGTCAATTGTTTGGTGCGGAGTGATCGACCCTCCTCCTTCTCGTTCCTCCTCGTGCTGGGCAGGGCACGCAGGGACTAGTTGAGCAGACTGAGCCGGAGGCCAATGGAGTGCCTGTTCAGGCTGCTTGAGGCTTGCGCCGGACCATCAGAAAGGAGGGTCTCAGGCGCAGAGACAGCGAATCATGGGTGGCCCAAGGGCGGTTGGGGGGAGGGCCCCTGCAGTGCATCCAGGCTTTTGCTGGCCAGCTGGATGCGCGGGTGGTCTCATTTGAGCATTGCAGCATTGTAAGGGGAGAGAGAGAAAGAGAAATAGAGAGGGAGCGGGTGCAATTAAAGGGCCAGCCTCAGACGTTTATTCTCCAGACCGCCCTGGCTGCGACACCTTGCCAGGAGAAGACCCAAAGACACGAAATCCATCAACGACAGTATAGCCGACGAGGTGCCCGTCAGTCACGGTGGCCAAACCATTCGGGTGGTGACACCTCGTCGTCGGACAACAGCATCACCCTCAGATCACCCTGCACAATATCAATTACTCCTGCTTTTCCGTTCCACCACCCGCGTGCGACTCTCCAGATCGATCTCTTCCGCCCATCTCGACCTTTTCTTGCGCCCTTCACCCTGTCAGTGCACTGGCAAGAGCTGTTCCTATCATGCAGGCACTTGTCACTGCGCGTCCGGTCGATCTCCCGACAACTCACTCACAACTTTTCGTGGAATATCTTTTTGGTTAGCTGGCTCATTGCGACGCCCAACGCCTGCGCATTGACGACTGGCCTTCACATCATGTCGACTTCTCTTCAACAGCGGCCACGGGCGGCACTGCAGCCCGGTGACATCCTTGTCGCCATCCGTGCGTTCACCCGTTACTTTCCAACTCCGTTTGAAGATGTTTTCGCTGACCCCCTCTATGTAGATGACTTCGACGCAAGGAGTGCTGATGAGTTGACCCTCCGGAAAACTGATCAAATCGAGTTGGTTGAGCTGGACGATGGCTTTGGTGATGGCTGGTACCTAGGGAAGCATCTTGGGACAAGAACGACAGGTCTGTTTCCTGGAGGTATGTTTATCTCACTCCCGAATCACTTGGTTCATTCATAAGTGATTGACATGTACCCAGTCTATACCGCTAAGCTTCCTCCAAACTTCGCGCCAGTGGGTGCTCCAGCAGCCAAAAGTCCTCAATTCTTTGGGAAACCATCCACCGAGTCCAAGAGCGAGCCACTCAAACAAGCAAGCCCAACCACTGATACCTCCAGTCACCGCACACTCTCCTCGTCCCCACAGCCACAGTCTAATCTACCTCTACGAAGCTCCGTCCCGTCTTCTCCTACCTCATATATTCATCGAAGCATCAGTCAGGCACTGTCAAGCAGAGGCAGTGGAGAGGAAAGCCCAGTAATGAACGAAACACTGAGCGTTATAAATGAACACATTACGAACCTGAGCACGCCGCGTCAGAGCCTGTCCCCGCCGCTGCCTTTGACGGAGGATTCAGAGAGCGAATATAGCAGCCATCTCGACCGAGCCTCTTATGTCGCCGGCCCTGAAACCGATAGCGAGGACAATCTTCGTCCAACAGAAGCCGATGTCAAGCACTGGGATGCGAAAGAGACGGCGGAATACTTGAGAAGCCTCGGTGTGGACTCAAAACATTGCGATATATTCGAAGAGCAGGAAATAACTGGCGATGTCTTGCTAGAGATGGACCAGTCCTTCATCCACATGAAGGAGTTTGATTTTGGCCTGATGGGCCGCCGCCTGAAGACATGGCACAAGATCAGAGACTTTCAGAATCAGGTCCGCAGTGGTACGGCATCGCGAAAGAGCAGCCTCAAGCCAAACGGGTCGAACGAGGATGTCGCCCGCGTCCAAACACGACCCACTACCATATTGCCACGAATACCTAGCCTGATGGAAGAACCGGGACTCTCCATCCGCCAGGCGCAGCACACGTACCCCTATGTCATACCGACCTCACCACCATCTTCCGAGCAACCCATGTCTCCGTCTTCCTTTACTCGGTCCCAGCTTGGTCGGAGCACACCCCCGTCGCCTTGGAGAGCTTCGATGGCTGCTGAATCCCCGTCACGACGGTCGGCCGCTTCTATACGGGAACTGAACCAGTCTCGCCGGCATTCCTCGATCGATTTCACAAAAGCAGGGGTTCAGGAGACCTCGCCGCCAGTCGCCTCCAGCCTTTCCCCTCCGCATAAGAAAAATGCGTCTTTCGATAAAGACTGGTCGATGAGCAACGCAACCACTGCAAACACCGGCGGGAGTACCCCGTCGCTCAGACTGCAAATCAGTTACCCGGCGACAAGCGTAGATTTGGATGCAGATGCTAGTTTCAGTGGTGAGCTTTCCACCATCGATCTCGACCGGGGTTACTTCAGCGGGAATGAGGTCGACAATAGAAAGGCAAGGAACTTCCTCAAGAAGCGAGGCGGCGGGGAAAGTGTAAGCCATTCCCGTCAATCGAGCGTGCTCGATGACTCGTCCAAGGATGGTCTCGGTATGAAACGACACTCGCGACTCAGCAGCCTTGATTCCATCAGGGCTGGCGCTCCCCTCTCTTCAGCCGCAAAAGCGTACCACAGCAGATCATATAAAGGACGGTTTCGTTCTGCAAGTGCGAGAAATTTGACCATGCAGCGTTCCCCAATCGCGCAGTCGCCAACAGTCACGAATTTGGAGGATGACGGCATCTCAGCTCTGTCCTCACCCAAGGCTGTTAGTGGATCAGTGTCCCCTGCTGCGGCAGCCACGACGCCCTGGACATCATCAATAAAGGCGCGGAAATTGTTGGGTATCCGAGCAGCATCCGAGGCTGTTACTGGAAATGAAAAGGAAGCCGCCAGTTCCTCAAACATTACGTCTGACCCCTTGAGGGAGAGCCCTACCGCGTCACCTTCGGGGTCACAAACCCCTTCTGCGACGTCACGGAGCTTCGAAATGGACAATACGGACACCTCTTCAAAAGGTACAACTGAACAGCTGGGACCCTTACTGCACACGAAAACCCCCGTGCGTACCAATCCAAAAACTAAGCGACAGACAAGTGCCTACACACGAGGCCTGCTACAGATATCGCCCGCGGAAGCACGGAAACATTGTGATCATCACGGCTGGATGAAGAAAAGATCTAGCGGCATTGTATCCCAGTGGAAACCCAGGCTGTTCATTCTTCGAGGCCGGCGGCTATCGTATTACTATTCCGAGAATGACACAGAGGAAAAAGGGATCATCGATATATCTGGGCACAAGGTTCTTGTTACTACTGCCGATCCTATCACTTCACTTCAAGCCACCATAACGGGAACCAAATCTACACCGTCCATCAGTGCGCCCGGATCGTCTACAGAAACGTCGCCGAATGCGACCCGAAACACAAGCGGAGGCTCGCCTTTCTATTTCAAGCTTGTCCCTCCCAAAGCAGGGACTTCCAGAGCAGTACAGTTCACCAAGCCTACCATCCACGTTTTCCAGGTTGAAAACATCAACGCGGGGAGGAAATGGATGGCTGAGATTTTAAAGGCCACCATCGAACACGATCTAGCAAACTTCGAGACAACGAATCGGCAGAAAACCATTAGCCTGGCCAAGGCCCGAGCAAGAAAGGAACGTCCCCCGGCTCTGAAAGGCACAGAAGATATAGCCGAGTTGGCCGAGAGACCAACGCCGCGGGAAGAGAAGGGCGAGCAAGAGAGTGGCTTGAATATTAAGGGGCTGGATTTCAACGAGTCGGAGATGGATCTTCAAATAGGCACAGGCCTAACGAGCGGGACAACAGCACGTCCCGAGGATGATGCGAAACGGGAAATAAAGACATGATGATACACAGGAAAGATTTATTTATCTTAACCTGCATATAATAAATCTCCGGGAATACATAATGCTTCGCTTCCCCAGCGAGCCAGCCTGCTATTGTATCGATTAGCCAATGGGAGAAAGGGAGGTGCGCAAGCCTGATATCTGCAAGGCTGGCCAATCAGATGTCGCACAATCGAAAGGCACGGAGCGCCTCGCACCCGCGTTTGCTACCCCCAAGTCGCGACTGGGCGCCTACGGTCCCGAAAACATGAGCCCACGCTTCTTGATCTCTCTGAGTTCCATATTTGCTCTTGCGTTTGGCTCTTTCGTTCTGTTTCTATTTTGGTTCGATGTACATGTATGGACTTGCAGACAAGTTGCTGCGCCTTCTGACCCCTGTTGCGATCTGCTTGACCACCTACCTCTACCTCTATCCCATTTTCCACGGATGCGTCTTCCCATCGAGAGACACCTCGCCCGTATCCGCATTCACTGACACCCTCAAGCAACACTGGCCCCCTTTGTGCGATGCAGACGTCCACCCCGACCTTTCACGTGTTCCTTTCCGACTGCTAGCCCTTGCTGATCCCCAGCTCGAAGGTGACAGCTCCCTTCCCAAACCGGAGGATGGTTTGATACCTAAGTTAAGGCAGTATTGGGCAAAGCTGTCCACCGAAGAACGGCAACATTGGCCACATTCTGCGTATGAGGCCCTACAAGAAGTGGCTCTTAAAGACCTCCCTGAGGCACTGCGCGCCCTTCGAAAACGACTTGATCTATTTGGGAATGACTACTATTTGGGCCACATATATAGGACGCTTCATTGGTGGACAAAGCCTACCCACGTAGCTGTGCTCGGAGATCTCATCGGCAGCCAATGGGTCACAGACGAAGAGTTTGCGTGGAGAGGGTGGAGGTATTGGAATAGAGTCTTTGCGGGTGCTCGTAAGGTAGAAGACAATGTTACCAGTCTAAGCAACAAAGACCAGGAAATGATTTTCGACATGAATGATACGGACTGGAAGCATCGACTGATCAATATTGCCGGCAATCACGACATTGGATATGCCGGCGATATTTCTCGAAGGAGGCTTGACCGGTTCGAGAAGATCTTTGGAAAGGCAAACTGGGATGTTAGGTTCCGCTATCCCAGCCTGAACAGCGCGAAGACTACGACCGAGACGAATCTTCAGCCATCTTTGCATCTGATTGTCCTGAACAGTCTCGTTCTAGACTCCCCTGCTCTTTCAGAGGATGTGCAGACCGAAACCTTTGGATACTTAAACGACCTGATCTCTCACCGTCTGCGTCCTGTGGAAGACAATTCATCTTTTACTCTTCTCCTGACGCACCTACCACTTCACAAGAAAGAAGGAACTTGCGTTGATGCCCCCTTTTTCGACTACTGGGGCAACGACGATGGCGGTGGAGTTTACAAACCCCATGGAGTGAGAGAACAAAATCACCTGAGCGAGCAAACGAGCCAGAGAGGCACCTTACAGGCGTTGTTCGGCATGAGCGGTGATCTTAGTGCGCCAGCTCAAGGCAAGGGCAGAAGGGGTCTCATCCTCACTGGTCATGATCACGAGGGCTGTGACGTTTGGCATTATATCCCTCCTGAATCTGTCGAGTCAACATCAGAGGACGGCAATGAAGAAAAGCGGCAAACCTCGTGGGACAGCTGCAGATGGCAGCACGCAAACCACAGCAATGCACATACGGGAATCCGAGAGATCACACTCCGAAGCATGATGGGAGATTACGGGGGCAACGTTGGACTCCTCAGTGCTTGGTTCGAACACGAAACGAGCGAATGGAGGTACCACATTCAGATGTGCGGTCTGAACATTAAGCTCTGGTGGGCCGTCCATGTCGTCGACTTGATTGTTCTGTGCCTCTTTGGCGTTTGTCTTTGCCGTCGTCTGGCGCGTCCCGTCATGGAATCTTCAACAACTTCCACAACCAGACCAGATGTTTCAGAATCAAAGCGCAAAGCACCACGTAGGTGAACGCTATTATTCTGCTCCGTACTTGGCGTTTTGTTCCTCTCAGAAGACACAAAGAGCGAACGATATCTTGGCAAAGCTGGATGTTTCTACCGAAGCGACCTCCATATCGGACTTCTTGCTTCCCAACCAGCGCTAAAGTCTTGATCACCATGTTGATGTGCTTTGGTTACTCCCGGAAAGAGCTCGGTGGGAGCATTGATTCATCAAAGAATGAGTGTTCCAGACTTTGGATACCTTGTGCCAATGACACCAACGGCAAGAACTACCACCAAATAGCTAGGAGAACGGGCGGCGAGAAGCCAGAATGTTCATCAGGCTGAGAGCAGACGCATCGAACATGGTCGCCTCTTCCCCATTCTATGTGCTTCGGCCGTCGACGATATAAAAGCAATGAGATATGTTGCGACTGGGATTGGAATAGTATAGTGACTGGGTGCGACTACCTCCACGTCATCTTCTATGTTGGCATTCTGCAGAAGCTGATATGGGGAGACAAGACTGGGCGAATCTGCACACGATCCCAGAGGTAATGATCTCCTGATATCTGGAGGCCTGAGGATGGGACACATCGGGATTTATACCACGTCAACAAAACCGACTGTTCAGCGTCAGAAGCATACTGGTACATCACCATGACTCTATCCCCAGCATTGTAAAAGACGATACCGATGGAACGATTTGGGCTGGAAACACCATAGCGTCGATAGCCGCACGCGATCAACGCGATAACAAGGCTGAATCCTGAAGCACATGCTGGAGTTTAGGACGACGAGAGATTCACAGGGATGGAAAAAGCATTCAGCGGTCGCACATGTCTTGTTGAGTCTCCAAGAACCGTCACTCAACTCAGAACTATCACATTCATCAATCTACAGCACAGGAAGATGAGTGAATCAAAGGTCACATGGCATTCATCTGATGTGAAACCAACAACGGATCGTCACCAAGGTCGTCACCAAGGTGAAGCATTCCCTGGACGGCACTCATGGTCCGTGACTGTACCACTTCAACACATTCTTTATAAATATCTCTTCTACACACCTGCTGCACGTCCTCTTCCTTGTCTACTCTTCCATTATTGAGATTGAGCTGAGGGTGATCAAGATGGTGTTCCTCATTGCCTTCAAAACTTCCCTTCCCCGTCCGCTCTCCTTCCACTGGGACCACGATATCTATGAGGCATGTCCCGTCTGCGTCCGTGCTCACGAGCTCCGAACCTGCGACGGCGAGACGAAAGTCACCTTTGAGACCTGCCAGAGGCACAGTGACCTGTAAGTTCTCTATTGTTTTCCGTTATCCAAATACGTATTCCGAGTCTCTAGTTCTCTTTCCGCTCATGTTACCTTTGATGGATATTTCGTGCCCTTTTGGGGGGGGGGGGGGGTTGTCAGCCGTCATTATTCAGCGTCTTATGGCACTTGAGATTGGTATGACGACCCTCCTGATGAGGATGTGAATGGACGCTTTGTTTTCAGTCCCGCTTCTGAGCTGGTGCCGTCATTGAGAGCAGGTTGTCGAGCAGATCGGCATGGATGGATCGGTCCCATGCTCTCAAATGCACCTTGCGAAATGGACTATTTCATTCATTACCACCTGCATCCCTGCCCAATTCCTTCCAGCGTGCACGCGGGAGTCGAGAAGAGAAAAGAGACAAAACTAATCTAGCTAGTCGTGATGCCAGAGCTGAATACACAGCATTAGATGATGCCGTGCTGAACGAGATCCGCACCCTTGTCCACCCATTGTACTCGCCGGTGCCAACATTCCCCGTCGTCACGGGCACGATCACAGCCGAGTCAAGGGAAGAGCTTCGCAAGAAGGTTAAGGTAACAACCGTAAACGACCAAACTGTCGTCACCCGTGGGAGGGTTACGGCGAGAGCACACTTCACGGTGGCAGCTGGCAATGGGGGTGATATCTCAGGCCGGGGGGCTTGGGGCATGGAGGCGAGTGAGTTGGACCTGCCACGGCCGAAGATCACGTACGCTCACGGCGGCGGCTGTGTCTATTCCCCAGAGCCAGAAGTGGTGCTTAAGCCGAGGGCGGCGGTGGTCGCGATGGATCAGTACGCGAGGGAGAGGCTGATGAACATCACCGCGTTGCTGGACAGCGGCATCAGTTGCAATCTGGGGGCCGATCTCGACATCGGCCCGGACGCTGACATGGATTCTCTGTTCGGTGATGTTACCCAAGGCTCGAACTCCACTTGTTGCACCGCGGAGACGCCCTCAGGCCCAGACGCGTCCATATGGCCAGCCACTTTGCCGTCCAGCGGGTTGACTGGCGACGAGTGTGCCCCTGGCAGCAGGAGAGATGATACACCCTCGACTAGCACTCCGCAGAGCTTTTCCGGCAGACTGGATAAAACTCCTAGCATGCTCTCCGGACCATCGCAACTTGAAAAGGCCGTTTTCTCCCACGTCACAAACGCCATTTCAGACAACTATTGGTCACGCAGACAAGATTGCCTTAGACAGCAAGGCGAGGAGGCTCAGCAGGAGTACGAGAGGAAACTGAAAAGTCGGAGTCAATCGCCCCTCGCTATTGAGCATGCGCTACAGGGGAAGAACCAGATTGGGGCTGAACACCATGCAGCCAAGCGGAACGACAGCGTCTCTATGGCCATGGATCAAAGTACCCCGGCGACTCTGGCCCGACGTGCGATCCACGCCGCCGCTGAGCGCGAGGCTTGGGCCCTCCTGCACGCCGAGAAGGAGCGGTTGCAAGCAAGTCTCGCCACCAGCTCCCTGGCCAAGGGGCTGTACTTCAAGCGGTGTAATGGGCAGTGGGTCAATGCAGTGGACGATGTGCTCGTCGTCGGCAGTCGTGGCGATCGGAACGGCGACGAAGGAGGCAGGGTATTTTGTGGCACGGGAGTTCGAGACCTACAGGGCGATGAAGACGTGTGTGGCGAGAAGGTGATGGAAAAGGGGAAAGCGGCGGCGAAGGCGACGGCGACGAAGGATGATCAGCTTGGAAGCGTTCATGGCAATCATCACCCTTCCCAAGGCCACGATGAAGAAGAGGCCGAAGCAGACTCGTCAACGCCGAGCATGACCATGAGCAGTACCACGGAAACCACAAGCATCTCGAGCATCTCCCTCGCAAGCCCGGTTCCATCCTCCCGCAGCAGCAGCAGCCTTGCCCGACCATTGACAACTACACCATGCAACACCGTCGATTGCCCCGAAGAGTACGAAAGCGTCGACACATCAAAGGCCGGATACGGCTACGCCCTCCTCCACCACGGCGACGCCACGCAGAGTCTTGTGATTCCAAGTTCCTCAGCACTAGCATCATCATCATCATCACCGTCGTCACCGTCGTCGTCGTCACCGTTACACTTCCCCTCCGCTGCGGCCGGTCGGGCTCGTCTCTCTCACGACACCCCGTCGTTCGAATACCTCGTGCTCCAGGGCCGCGAACAACTAGTCCGCTCCGGGCAGTGCACGGAAGAGGACCTCTGCATGACGAGCTGGGGACACAACCGCTTGTCGAGAACGCTATGATGAGGAGCCAGCCATAGGCAGAGTTCGCTCAAGGTGACGACGGATGCGGACGAGCGACTGGGAAAAAAACGGGGGCGGGAAAAAGGATTGGATGGGGCCCAAAGCGAGGAGTAAGCACCCAACAACATCACAAAATCTAAGGGCGAGACAGCAGAGCATATTCGAGTTTGAATTCGCATAGTTTTTGGTCTGAAAGAACTCTACCTAGCCTTTGGCTCAACACTTGTTATCAACATCAACACCAGCCACCAAATATCCTCTACTGCACTGAGTCACATGCAGCTACGCCGCACTTACAAGGACGCCGCACGAGCTGCTGTGGTGACAGTGACACTTTTGCCTGGTCGTCTCACGCGAAAGGTCAGATAGACAACTAGGATGAGCATGGAAAATACAGAGATGACGAAAATATCATCAAGCATGGCGTCACGCAAATGGAGAAACAATGATCCGATCACATATTGCTATTCTTCTCCTGTGTCTTTGGGTCTAAAAAAGTACCTAAAGCAGCTACTCTTCCATCGGGGGATTGTTGGTAGTCGCACAGCCACCGCAGATTACCTTGTCTGCCGTAGTCCCATCTGCAAAAAGGCTGTCGGTGATAAAGGGGTGGGGAATATCAGTGGGAGGATGATAAGTGGGAAAGATTGTTGCAAGTGACGCTGCCGCCCAGCCCTTTCTCATCGTCTGCTCGCCGAGACAGCGGGGGATATCTTTGCCAACGGACTTCATGGCCAGTAAGGACACATCCTCTTTACTCGGCCTTCTCTGTGCTAGCCTCGGGCGCAGGCGCCGCCTCGGACTCCTTGGGAGCTTCGCTTGACTGAGCAGCTGGCGCCTCTTGGGGCTCGGCCTCGGAAGAGGTCCAGAGAGTCTATGGGCTGTTAGAGCAAGACATCGTACGGTGGGGGTCGTTCTCGGAACTTACCAGGTTGTCTCTCAACAGTTGCATGATCAATGTGGAATCCTTGTAGCTCTCTTCGCTCAGGGTGTCGAGTTCAGCAATGGCATCATCGAATGCCTGTTTGGCCAGGTGGCAGGCTTGGTCGGGAGAGTTCAAGATCTCGTAGTAGAAGACAGAGAAGTTCAGGGCAAGACCAAGTCGGATGGGGTGAGTGGGCGCAAGGTCGGTTTGAGCGACTTCGGTGGCAGCCTTGTATGCCTCGAGAGACTTGTCCGCGGATTCCTTTCGCTTTTCGGCAGTAGCGAATTCAGCAAGGTAGCGGTGGTAGTCGCCCTTCCTGTCCAACAAGTCAGAATCGGTGTGACCAATAGGGAAAGGTCGGCTTACATCTTGTGATAGAATACCTTGGATTCACCGGTTTGAGCAGATGGGATCAGGTGCTTGTCGAGGACATCGAGGATGTCTTCGCAGATTTTGGAAAGCTCTTTCTCAATGTTTTGGCGGTACTCCTTGATCAGCTTGACCTGGGCTTCGTTGCCTTTCGACTCCTCCTTTTGTTCAATGGAGGTAACGATTCTCCAAGAAGCACGCCGGGCACCAATGACGTTCTTGTAGGCAACCGATAGGAGATTTCGCTCTTCGACGGAGAGCTCTTGGTCTGCAGAGGCAACGACCTTCATGTTCTCGACCATCTCTGCCACAAGGATTAGCGGAGAACAGGCCAGATCGAGGAGAGATGGATGGTACCCTCATATCGCTCCGCTTGCTCAGCAAGCTTTGCTAAGTAGACTGACTCCTCTACACCCATTTTTGATGTTTGGATACCACGAAGTGATTCAAAAAGGAAAGGAGACCTGTGGGTGGTGATTGATTAGCCACGTCAACCAACACAAACAAATGGCAAAAAGGTCAACAAACAGCCCGGACAGCGATAAGGCCGGATAGGATCGGTAATAGTTGGTATTGCGATTACAGAATATGCACAAGGAACGATTTCCCTCCAGTTCCGCCGCAGTCGCAGCTGTGCAAAACTGAGATAGTGGGTGGGCAATCCAGGTGCGGGAATTAACGTCAATGAGGCCACTTCTGTTGGGATCGCGGGCCGACAGGGTGTTGAACAAGTGAAGGACGTGTATCAAGAGACCCGCGCGAATTCAGGGCAGCTCCTTGCATCCGACCGAAGCCCAAGTGACTGGCGGCGCAGTTGAGGGTTGTCCCGTGCAAGTGCAAGAAGACGTGGGGTACGTGTAGACCGCTGGAGAAGGAGGCGATGATGCTGGGGGCGGTAGCTTACCGTTGGAAGAAAATAGAGAGATCAGTGGGACTCGCACCGGTGACGACTCGAGAGATTGAGCAGGATTGCAAGGGATCCAAAGAGGAAGAGAGAGGGTGGTGGTGATTTGCAAAAGGTGTTGTTGGTATGTGAAGAAAGAAAGACGAAGGAGAGTGTGCGCAAGCCTGCAGGCGTCGCCTACAGTAGTGAAAAAGGTAGCCGCAGGGGAGTGGGAGGAGCAGGGTGGGAGGCACTTGGTGGCACTGGCCGGTGACTGGAGAAACAGCAGGCCCCAAACAGGGCGACAGGAGCGAAGGGGGGAGGGAGGAACCAGGAGGGAATCACCAGCCAGAGGCTTGGCCCCGATTAAGGTGCAGGGGCCACCAGGGCCACAACCAAGGCCCATCAGCCATCAGCCCATCTGGCGAGCTGGGCCACCACCAGGCCACGGCTGCCACTGACATAACCTGCCGCCGCTTGATTTGCCTGCATTCAAATTTCCTCCCCAGCCTCACTTGTTTCATCGACACGCATTGACGGTTCGGATGGAGATTTGATTGCCTGACACGAGCCTGCGGATCCAGGCTTTGACTTCTCCCCTTGAGATAATAGCCTCCTCGCCCCCCCTAGGGCTTCCTTTGATGATGATGAGCGCCCTTTGCCGCTTTTAGGGGGAGGTTTGGCACGGGAAGAAAGTACATCACGTGCCCATTCCAGCAATCACCCCGTCTTCCCGCTCCTCCGTAGGGATAAGCAGCTTAGCCATACGGTGAGGCACTCAGTAGGCTTTTCCGTGCTCGTCATTATTCGCTCCACTGCACCCAGCTGTCACCTACAGGCGAGCTCCTCAAGTCAATCCCGCACCCGGACTTCATCGAGCAACCATTCTTCCTTGATCACATCCAATCCTTATTCCGGCCCTTGCCATCCGAGAAGATGCTACGAACTCAAGTCGTAAAGCTCGCAAGGGCTTCTGCAACTCCTTCGATCCGTCGATCCTTCTCCATCACGGCCGTGCGAGCTTCTGAAGGAGATACTGGAGCGCCCAGATATGGTGGATCTGCTGCTGGGTAAGTGTTCTTTCACCTGACCCTTCCCTGGAGCCTCCCGAAGGAGGTGTACGTGTGGCACGAAGCCATCAAGATCTCTGCTAATACTTGGTTCCATATAAACAGTGATGCCTTCACCAGACGCGAGCAAGCCAGCGAAACCAAGTTCATCAGGGAGAAGGAAATGGAGAGGTACGTTTGCGGCAATCAAGATTAAGGAGGGCCTGTTCGATCCAGTGGCTAATCTGTGACTCTTCAAACAACAGCTTGAGAAAATTGAAGGAGAAGCTCGCCCAACAACGGAAACACCTTGATGAGCTAGACGAGCATATCCAAGAGTTGGAGAGGGACGCCGGTGGTGAAGACCCTCAACACACCAAGGGCCAATAAATGGAAGCGACTGTTCTCGTCTTCTGGACAAACATTGGAGGATCTGCGCAGATGTAGCGAGGGCAACAGCGACGCTACGAAGCAAGTCTGGAGGATGAATGCCAAAACGCAAAGCAACGGAAAATCCTAGCTCAATGGACAAACATGATTCATCAGCTGTACAGAAATTCGGCTACGAGCCTGGCAATGTCATACGTCTTCACTCCCATGTCGACCGAGAGTCCATTTATTCATTCGAACTTTCCGATCTGATCGGTCTAGTCTTACAAAACTCGCAATTTTAGCTGAGGTGTTCATCACCCCGTTCCGTTGCTTCCCACAGTACCCAAAGTGCCTTCCATTGCAGAAAGCCAAGTTGATTCGTTGCCTGATACACTGATACAGTCCATTCTCGTATCATGATCTCCTTCCCATGTAACTCCGATAAAAGTCCTGGACGGCAGCACCGGTATTGCTCCCGTCGGTCGTCGTAGATGACCTGTAGCCAGTCAGATACCCCAACTGACTCGCCGCCTTTTGCGCCACAGCAACTTTCTCTTGTAAAGCCTGTGTCCCTTGATCAATGGCCTGCAGCTGGATCAAGTGCGAATTGAGGATCTTGACGATTTGTGTGATCTGTGGCGGGTTAGTTAGCTCCTCCTTCAACCCCAAACAAACTGAAAGAAGGTCAGATTTGCTTACCGGTTCATCGCCCTTCCCGCTCCTGCTCAGGCTCGCATTCGCGGCATTGACTTCGTCAACCATACTTCCCAAATCTCTCTCCATCTCCTCCAGTCTCTCACCCAATTTCTCCGCAAGTTTGTACGTTCTCTCCCTCTCTTGATCCGGACCACCCATTTCACTGGGGTTGGCGGAATCTTTGGCAAGCATCTCATCCACATCGCTCTCGTATTTACTCAACCAAGACTCCAATTCCGCTTGCGAGTTTTCGACGGCGGTGAGTTGCATATCGACACTCACAGTCTGTCGCTCGCATGTCCGTGCTCGCACATACAGCTTATCGATTTTCGAGGAATTGTCGACGATCAGTTGATCCCATCGCGCGATGGTCTCTGCGTGGTCCTTGAATTCTTTCGAGTAGCGGGACATGTCAGTTGCCCAGCGGGTGAGGATTTCGTCCATGGTCTTATTGCGAAGACGGGACTGAGCTGGCGGGGTTGGGCCTGTGGTTGAAGTCTGACCGCCAATGGTACCTGGAAATGAGGTGGGCGCTGTAGTCGTGCCAGCTGTCGGAGCGGAGGTCGTTGCAGGCTGTGAGGTAGACGAGGCTGCCGGCTTGCCAAACGAGAAAGGGCTAGAAGCGGGAGCAGTTGATGTTGTGGCAGCAGGTTGCGCTGTTGTTGGGACCGGTTTACCGAAAAAGGGGCTTGCCGGAGGGGCTGAGATGTTGGCAGACTGAGATGTGGTCGCAGCAGCTGGAGGACCGAAAGAGAATGGGCTTGCAGTGGTTGCTGGTGCAGGTGTGGTGGCCGTAGTGGTTGCTGGTGCCGAGCTCGGAGTGCCACCAAGGTTGAACCCTGAGAAAAGCGGCTTTTGGGCAGGAGCAGAAGTCGCAGAGGACACAGGCGTAGCCGCACCTGAAGCCTGTGTTGCGGGAGGCTGGCCAAGTGAAAAGGTCGGTTTAGCGGCTGACCCTGGAGCTTCTGTTGTTGCTGGTTTCCCAAAGAGAGTTTGTGTTGTAACCTGTTTCGGTGCTTCGCCAAATAACGGAGCAGCAGCTGGTTGCGAAGTTGCTGGTGCTGAAGTGGTCGTTGTATTTGAGGCGGGCTGGCCAAACGAGAAGCTCTTCTGCTCGGGGGCAGGGGCAGCAGCAGTCATTGACGGTGTAGCACCCGATATGGATTCTGCTGGTTTCCCGAAACTGAACCCACCGGATGAGCCACCGAAGAGGTTCGCAGAAGTCGACGGGGCTGTCGCGGGTGGTTTACCAAGCGAGAACGTTGGCTTGGACGCATCTGCTGTTGGTTTTGCGCCGAAAATGCCTGCACCAGCGCCTGCACCAGCGCCGCCTGTACTTGCGCCAAAGGTTGAGCTACTTGGAGGAGGTCCAGCTGGGGTGGTTGAAGTCATGCCAAAACTTAATGGCTTGCTAGTAGCGGGAGTCGTAGAGCCGAACAATGACGGGGCAGATGTTGTAGGAGTAGATGACTTGTCTGGAGTACCAAAGCCTGCAAATCCTCCAAATGCCGGCTTTGTACCATCACTGCTTTCCGGCTTTGACCCAAACACGTTCTTGGGCGCCGAATTGCCAGAGGCGCCACTCTGCTGTCCAAAGATGCTGGGAGAGGCAGGCTTGTTATCTTGTGCACCACCAGTGCCAAAGAAGCTTTGCTGTTGACCAGTTGTCGCTGGTGCCTTGAATCCGCCAAAACTGAATGATGACCCCGTGTTTGCTGCTGATGTTGGTGCACCTGCGAACAGACCTCCTCCCGATGTTGCAGGTGTATTAGATGTTCCAAATAGTGGCTGTCCACCCCCACCGCTTGTCGACGGCTGCCCGAAATTGAAGGCCATCTTCACGACAGCAGGACGGGGAATTTCCAATAAATGAACCGTGAGGAATCTAGGAAGATGGCATCGCAGGAGATCAAGGGCTGGGAAGGTACAGGAGGCACTGAGACAGAGGTAAGACCAGATGAATGTCTGTGATTACACAAAGAATGGTTTCGGCGAAGGGTGCAGTTAGTGGTGTTTGATCAGGACGTCAGGACGCGCTCAGGCGCGGAGCAAAAAAGTTGGTGTAGACGCAGTGGTTCGCGGAGTTGGTGCCCAAAAAGGAAACAGACGCCAATGCTGGCTGCGCCTTGAACCAACTGCATGCCTCTTCCCTCTCACCATTCCACCCTTACACCGTCTCTTTCTCCTCATTCAAGTGTCCGATCAGTCTTTTCTGGTCTTACACTGGGAGCTAGGTAGATACTCGTTTAGCAATAAAGATGCCGAGACCAGCCTCTTCAAGAGACAGTCTGCATCTTGAGCCTCCCAGGAAGAGTGTCGAACTGGAGGATCCCGGTGCTCATGAGTGTAAGCCCACCCCAAGAATCCCAAACAAGCCACCGAAAGAACTAACGGCTACCACAGTATCGTCAGAAGGCGAAGACGAACACTTCTCAGATGCCTCAGAAGGCCAGAAAAGACCCTCCCGACCAGTCACTCCTGCATCTCCCATTCCAAAGACACGGATTGAAAAGGTCGATGACGAGCCACGATATGGCGAGGTCCCCGGTACGCCTGCATACGAGAAAAGGGTCCTCGATGCGGTGCCTGATGAGGTCGAGATCGTCCAAGAGGGTCGTCTCAGTAAACGCTCCTCTCAGCTGCTCGAACCACCCACAACCCCCGGAGGCACTCTCATCCCGCGTACGGTAGTTGAGAAGCTCGACCCTGAATCTCCAAGCTATGGTGAAATCCCAAAGACTTCGGCCTACCTACAGAGACAGATGGATGCCGTTCCCGATGTCATTTTGAAAACTCCCGAGCCGGGGAGGAGACAAAGTTTCACCGACGATGAGGGAGGAGATGGAGAAAGATCTTCCGCTTCCCCAGATATTCCAGTGCCAGAAACTATCGTTACCCGAGTCGATAGTATCCCCGCCCACGGCGAAATTCCAGCTACAGAAGCCCATAAGAAACGAACTCTTGATGCTGCACCGGATATTACCGAGAAACAGGGCAGCGGAGCAGGTAAATACAGCGTATGAACCAGCCTTTCAGCAGGACCATTGACCTGTGTCAGGGTCACCAATTCTCAATAGATCTTCGAATGCGACAAGACGGAGATCCACCTTACATGACGACGATGACGATAATGGCAACGACCGCAATGAAAACGACTTCGGAGACGATTTCGATGATTTTGAAGAAGGCGCACAAGCTGGGGCTGATGATGACTTTGGGGACTTTGGCGATGGCTTTGAAGAACCTGAAACTGTCGAGTCGCCACCTCCTGTATCTACTTCTCAATCAAGTTCTGTACCAGCTGATGCGTTCGTGAGTTTCCCGCCTTCGTTCTTGCCCTCTAGTGTGGCTGATACGCTCTTCGATTGCAGCCCTTGATCGAGTCTCATACCCTTTCATCAATATCAGACTTCCTTACTGCCGCACAAATGCACCTAGACGCCATGTTTCCCGCTTCCACCACTGATTATTCCTCTCGAATCCCACAACAGCAACCGATCTCAGATTCCTCACCTATCTTCCCCTCGGACCGCTCACGCTCACTCTGGAAGCAACTGATCACACCACCTCCCCTTCAACCGCCGAACTGGACACAATCGCGAATTCGGCGGTTATTCCTGGTCAGCCTCGGGGTACCGGTCGACCTGGACGAAATTCTACCGCCGAGCAAACAGAAGAAGCTTGTTCTCCCGGACATAAATCTAGAACCCTCACCACGCAAATCGGAAGGGGATAGGGCAATAGGTTCCCTAGCACGTCTCAAGGCAGAAGCCGGTGCGAACGACTCATCTGCCTCTATCGACAGCACACAGTCTGGTGCCGCCAAGGAAGGCCAAAGAGTACCTCGTTCCAGGAAGCCTAAAGGACCCCCGCCACCGCCAGAATTAGATCTAGCAGCTGTTAGGCGCCTCTGCGCCACCACCGAAGAAAAGCTTGAAGGCTTGACAGATGAAGAATTGCAGAGCCACGTGAAGGAATTAAATGAACTGACGGCCAAAACAAGTGAAGTTCTTGAGTACTGGCTGAAAAGAAGGGATGGATTGGTCAAGGAAAAAGAAGCGTTCGAGGGCGTCATCGAGAACCTGGTCAGGCATGCCAGGAGGGTGAGGAAATAACCCTCCTCTCGCCCGCCACAGAAATATACAACTTTCTTGATGAATACACTTTCTTCAAGTGGAGAGCTTTGGCCTCTTGAGAGGCTGTGTTGTAGCAATTCTCTGCAGGCAGCTGAAATACACTCACATCCTCGCATCAAGGTCGGAGAAGAGGCTGTCCCAGCCCGGCATCCCTATCTTGGGCCCTAACTCGACGTACTCCTTCCAAATCTCGTCAAAATCTGAGAGGTAGTGCTGACTGATGTCTTCGGAGGGCCAAGCGTTGTCGTACGACTGCGATCCTTGTTGTACCGCATGACCCAGAGGTATTTGAGGCTGCAAAGGCTGCTGAGAGGGCGGTGGCTCTGTGGCATTGCCCGGCCCAGGCGGGTCAGGCGCATGCAAGCGGACCTTGTGCTTTCTGAGCACGTTCATGAGGGATTCGAGAAACTCATGCGCCATGCGCGACTGGGACTTGGCCTCTTCCAGCATCTTGCAGGCTTCCGCGACCTCGGCCTTGCGCGCAGCGTCATCTTCCCCTTCCGCAGCCTCGTTGAAGCAGAGGTCCATCACCAGCACAATGGTCGCCATGAAGATGTGGTAGACGACGCCGGTGTGCTTGGCGATGACTGACATGAAATTGCCCGGTTCATCGAGTTGCAGGAGCGTCTTCATCCGGATGACCGAGCGAGCCGACTTGAGCGAGATCTCGCGAGAGTAGTCATAATGGCGCTGCACAGCGCGGCGGATGAGAAAGGGTTGATGAAGTTTGCACCGTCTGGTTTGTCCGATCATGCCCAAGGCGAAGCGCTGTACTTGCATCTGCGGGTAGCGACGCATGACCGGTTCGCTTTCTCGCAGGTGGTATTCGTCGACCTTGAAGAATGGCGGTAGCTCCTGAAGGAAGGACTCGAATTTGCTATCAAGTCGGATCACTTCTTGGTAGTCGATCGTCCCCAGTTCTAGGCTCGATAAAGGCATCACGTCGACGACGCTGCGGCAGATATCCGCGAGCTTGATCCTCTGGATATAGTATGACATGATGGTCGGCTCCGATAAGGGTTTGTCGATGGGAGGGCTACCTGGGTAGAGGTCTTCGTCGTCGACGTTCCTTGGCCGATTCACGCGCATATGTCGCGGCTGGATCAAATATGTCCCTTCTTGAGGACCTCCACTCAGACTCAATAACCTTCAAAATGCTTGTGAGTGGTTGAGATTTTGGGCGCAACGAGCCAAGTACATACCAATCAGTTGCCACGACGTGCCACCAAACCCTGCGTTCTATCTCACTCTCCAATGTGGTCCGTTGGTTTCCGGCATTGCCTGGTGCGTCAACCTTGTGCAGTGACAGATCGCGAGCCATGGCTGCCGCAGTAGCGAACAGGCAACGAGCTCTGGTCGAAAATCCCTCGCTATGAAACAGAAGGAAACCAAGAATGATGGCGGCCTGGACATCCTCCAGCTTCCTTGAAACCGTGCGGCGAGAAGACTCTATTACCTCCAGCGCAGCATTTATCCAGAATGAGGACGCTTGAGCTGCGTCCGATGACGAAAATGACGGCCGGGTTTCTCCCAGAAAGTAAACGCAAAGGGCCGAAGCACTAGCGAAGATGCTGAGCATTAGCGCAACTTCGGAGGGGACGACGAAGTGACCTTGCTCCAGACTGTTATAGAGATTTTGCATCATTCTCTGGACGGTCGGAACGTGGACGACATGTTGGAGGTCGTCAATGTATTTGAAATAGTGGTTCATTAACAGTGTCGCTTCCTCCTTCGGCGGCAGACAAAGGCAGTTCGAGGCCGCCTGAAAATAGAAGGGTTTGTCAGGATCGAGGGAGATTTCGCGCACGGACATTATGCGGATGTCATGGCCTCGTGGTAAGACCAATGGTGTTTCGTGGGCACCAGTCTCTTCCAGGCTGTGGACGGCTTGTTCGTATTCCGAGGCTGGTGAGAGGCAGGCAAGGCTCGGCGAGGAAAGGGTTCTGGATTGCACCAGTGGTGGAGATGTATCAGGGGCCGTGCCTTTCGTGTCCAGGGTAGACCTCCTCCCAATGACGATGTCCTCAAGTCGCTTCAATCGCGCAAGAACTGACTGGCCGTTCGGATCTTCGACCAACGCGGGCGGGCGCCGGACATAGGGGGCCAATTTCCCATCGCAGGCAAGTCCTCTAGATGCACAATTCGAACAGGGTTGCTGCCTGTCACACTTCAATTTCTTTGACCTGCAGAACTGGCAAGAAATTGGTTCCTGCCGAGGCCTCTTCAAGGGATTCGGAGGCGCATCCGCACGACGCATGCCGGAAGACATCGTTCTTCAGCCTTCTCGTCTTGGACATGTAAAAGCGTCGCAAAGGATAGCTTGGTCTTATGCCACGGAGAGTCCAAGAGGCATGGAGGGCACACTCGCCTGCAGGGGGGATGAATATTGCGTGTGAGAGCAATCCAGCCGCCACTCCCACCCACATATGGACGACGGGACGTTAGCGAGGACTGGGCCAGCCTTGCCGAAAAGGGACGCCTAAAGCCAATGTCAAGCCCTATTTCTATTGGTCCAATGTCTCAATTTTGACCCACTTCGTTGAAAATGACCAATAGTCTGGTGAGATAATGTGGGACATTTCCACTAGGAAACTCCTCGGAAGCTCCGAGTTCTACAACTCCATTCATCGGTCCCTTTGGCAAAGTGTGCCCAAGTCGACAACAGCCGCAGGCACAAAACAAACCATCTCATGCCCGATCATCAAGCTCAATACCACGTCCTATTGTTTCAGCCAATCGTCAAAATGCATGGGACATTCAGCTCCCTGGACTTTCCGGCTCGCTCAAGAGTCAAGAAACTGATAAAAGGCCCGGCCCTCGTCCTCTCCATCGACATGGGTATTCGAGCAGTAACTCGCCTCCGCGACCTTTCGACATGGCACAAGACACGAAACCCGAGTTGATGCCAGACCTGGAGAAACCAGAGAATAGACAGAGTAGGAATAGCAAGGGGGAATTCAAGTCAGTACTCTTCTGCGTTCTTCTAGCACTAGTTAACATCCCTCCCACAGCACAAGGTCGATTCTCACCCTCGTCGGCTCCGCCTTGTCAACCTTCTGCACAGTCGGCTTCCTCAATGCATTCGGCGTCTTCATAGACTACTACCGAGCACATGAACTGGCTGACAAGTCCGAGTTTGACATATCCTGGATTGGCTCTTTCTCCACGTTTATATTCTTCCTCACTGCAGCGCCAGCAGGCCTCTTGGTCGATCGTATGGGCCCTACGGTAAGTGCTGTCCAAACAGACCTGCGCCTCTCCAGATCAGCCGGGTTAATCTCTTATCTAGATTCTCCTCATTATAGGAGGCACAATAACCATCCTTTCCATGTTCATGATTTCTTTATGTCATGAATATTACCAATTTTTCCTCGCGCAAGGTCTTCTCTTGGGCATAGGGCAAGCATTCCTTGTCTGCCCAGTTCTTGCCATGGTCAGCCGGCACTTTCACAAGAATCGCGGTTTGGCGACCGGCTTCACCATCGCAGGGTCGTCTCTCGGTGGCGTTATCTGGCCCATAATGGTGGATCAACTTCTCAACAAGGACCACCTCAGTTTCGGCTGGACAATCCGTATCGTTGCATTTACAATGCTTCCACTTGTGGTCATTACTTGCGCCACCGTGCTTCCGCCACTGTCAGAGAAGCCCGAGGCTGGGGAAACCGTCCAATCGACCGGGAAAAAAGAGCCGAAGAAAACAGACTTGTCCATCCTCAAGAATCGCGTCTTTCTTACCTTTTGTTTGGGGATTGGCCTCTACTACCTTGGAATGTTCTCCCCTTTCTTCTTTGTGACCTCATACGCCGTCAGCATTGGTACATCCACCAGTTTCGCATTCTATCTGGTCTCCATCCTCAATGCCGCCTCCCTTTTTGGAAGAATCTCCGCCGGTTGGGCCGCTGATAAATATGGACATTTCAATATGTGCTCACTAGCCGCAGTGACATCTGCAGTGGTTGCATACTGTTGGACGGCCGCCCGCACATCCGCGGGTCTGGTGGTGTGGAGCTTGGCTTATGGATTCTGTTCAGGCGTAAGTTTGTCCTGTGTAGTTGAAGCACGAGGTGTTACTAAAGAGTATTCCGTTTTAGTCAATCTTGAGTCTCCAAGTGGCATGCGGGACGAAACTCGCAGCGCCAGAATCCTACGGCACTGCAGTTGGCATGATAATGGGAATTGTCTCCCTGACGTGAGTTAGGGTTCTTTATGCATCGCTGAGGAGAATTGATGCTGACGTCCCTCACCTCTAGTGGCCTCTTCGGTTCTCCCATCAGTGGCCAGTTGATTAAATCCAGTTACCTTGCTCTTTCCATGTATGCTGGATCAGCTTTAGTAGTCGGCGGGCTGTTCATTTGTCTTGCACGACTTCAGCTCTCCCGGAAGCTGTTGGTTGTTGTCTGAGTACCAGAAATCGTACCGAGTACTAATCTGGACAAAGTGGTTTAAGGGACCTTGGTGGCGGCAGGATTGCACACTGGAGCACTCTAGAGGATCTTCTGCACATATTTATGCATAGTCGGATATATCTCTCACCTCATATATAGAGAAATACGCACGCTGCGTTGATCTTCTTGAAATCTCATGTACGGGTAGGGACGAATAAATGCACAAGGCTGGTCCTTGCCATTTCGGGTTAGGCTTTGTGGCAGCTAAAATCAGCAGGATCTGGACAACAGGCTGGACTGCGACTCGCAAGCCCTCATACTGTCTAGCATCTTGACCGTGCACATCGCGCGGAAGACATCCAGAGTACAAAACTCGGATTGCAAAGTTTCGTTGCGTAAGACAGATCTCCCCTCAGTTTCATCCTGCCTCTTTACTCAAATTCTCCCAGCACGTTGGCTCGTCGCAGCAGGTTCGACCCAAGTGCGAACAGCCTCTAGACACTCAACAACAGGCCATACGCGCCTCTGAAAGCAGAGCAAAAATGCCTACAGCCATGTCCTCCCAGTCGCCCTCCCTTGACTCTATCCTGCATACCCTCCAACAATCTCTAAGTCACAATGACCCGTCTCAAGCGCAGTCACAGTTACAAAAAGCGAAGCTCGCCCTCCTACAACAGAATGCCTTGATACCCTCTACTCAAACGCCCCCACAGACATTAGCGACTGCTCGTTCAATATTGGAAGCTGGCGCTCTCCTCTCTATTCGATCAAGAGACCCCGAATCCTTCGTCAGATACTACTCCCAGCTACAACCATTCTACGACTTTCCCGGTCTATCACAGACACCTTCCCGAGAGCGATCAAAAATCACGGGACTGTACCTGCTTCTGTTACTCAGCCAGGGTGACTACGCTGGCTTTCACACCCTCCTGGAATCTCTGATCGTCGCGGAAGGGGCGAATGGGTCCTCGAGCGTGGAGGCCGATCCGTACATCAAATACCCCATGGAATTGGAGAGGAATCTTATGGAAGGTAGCTACGACCAGGTCTGGCGAAAGACGAATGGGCGGGACGTGCCAGGCGAAGAGTTCGGGTTGTTTTCAGACGTACGGGTGACCACCTGTCTGCGTTATCTCCAAACTTGCTAACGTTGACACCAGATCCTCATCAATACAATCCGTGTCGAAATTGCCTCTTGCGCCGCCCGCTCCTATCCGTCTCTTCCTATTGCTTCAGCCAAGAACCTCCTCTTTCTAGAGTCTGAAGGTGCGGTAATGGAATTCGCTCGCGAGCAGGGCTGGAGTCTAGAAGAAGGGAGGATACACTTCCCCGGCTTGGAGGCAGCGAAGAAGGCGGAGGAAGGAGATGAGAAGGAGGTGATTAATCACATGGTTGAGTATGCAAGAGAATTGGAAAGCATCGTTTGAACGCTGTCTGAGAGCCTGGGGGTTTGCAGATCAAGCGGGATGCATAATGTACTCGTACTCAAGGGCGCAATCTTGCACAGGATGGTGGCATGGGTTGAGACCGTGGACAAGAGCGCACAGACTGAAAACCGCAGGAACATCAGGTCTCTGGTGTATGGGCTTCTGACCTTGCTTTACGCGGCTTGACCTTACTCCTGAGCTTCTCTCCTTCCCTCGCACAACCTCCGCCAGCACCTGCTACGCTCTGCCCGATGATTCAGGTTGGAGACATATCAAGATGGTTTCCATCAGTCTGGCTCTTCTCAGCACGACTGGCCCCCTTATCACTGGTGCTGTATCTTGAAATCATCCGCAAACTTCCACGTGCATATCTTCATGTCATAGAAACTGGTACTGACAATCGTGTATTCCGGTGCTACCTTTGCCGGGCTCTCTCCTCGCGCTTGTTCTCCGCCCTCCTGTATCTGACTGCGTTGGCTGCTGCCGTTGGCGCTGCCAGTGTCGAGCCGAGCGTCGCAACAATAGACCATACTCTCGTGACTTCCTCGGAACGTGGTCACGGGCGTGATCGTCCATGAGTCTCCTGGGGATGAGCCGGAGACGGCAGTCGTACGAGTGATGCGGATGATTGCGGCGCCGGCGTGCATCAGCGACGCGAGTATGAGTGTGTGGTGCTGAGACTTTTGGCCCTGACCTTCCTGAGATGGAACCGAGTATTGGTCCAAAACCTTCAGCCGCCACACTCCGCCGTCGAGCCTCAGTTTCGTCCTAAAGCCCGCGCGGTATGTCTTGGTATCGATCTCGAATAAGCGGATGAACTCGTCGTAGCTCCCGGTGACGAGAGGAACAATGTCTTTCCTGTTTTGGACGCCATTACCGTTCCGAACGGTGACCGGGGAGAGGGGGAGGATCGCTACCACTCCTGCGGTATGGCTGCGGCGGTCTTTCCACAGGGGCATGACGTCGAGGGACGCTGCATCGCAGGAGGATAGTGATGCTGAAGTTGACGCTGAAGGATAGGCGGCGATGGCGGTTGGGGAGACCGTGGAGGCGATCAGGGCACTATCATCGCCGCCACTAAGGATCACGCGGGAAGTGCTGTTCCTGTTTTCATCCGCGGATGTCGCGCCAAAATCGATGACTGCAACAGTCCAGGCTTCCAGCTCATGTTTGTGGACGACCTCGTTCGAGCTGGGGGCCAGCTGTTGAACGGGCTGGTGCGCCCTCTCGTCATAGAGATCTTTGATCGATGGCACGGCAAGTGTCACCACTCTCGCATCCCCGAAACTCGTGGTCGCCGCGAAACCCACATCAGTAACGTCGCTGATTCCAACAACCCCGTGCGAGCGCGCCTCAGGAAACCAAGTAAACTGCGTAACCAATGGGACCAGGCCGTGTTCATCATTCTCCGCCACGACGACAGAGCCCAGGGGGAGGAGCTTCGTAATCACGCGCCGTCCAAGCACATCGCCGTGAACAATGAACCGGAAGAAATGCACCGTCGCATTACTCGTGGCTACGCCGAGGAGTGTGCTGTCGGAGGGGTGGAAATGGATATCCAATACGGCGCAAGGGAAATCCACCCTGTCCAACGAGGGGGGCAGCATGCCAGCGTACCTCGGTTTGAATGTCGACATGACGGTCATGATCTGTAGCGACCCGCGTCGTGTCTGTCCGGTGTAGTCGGATGGCTCGTCCTTCTTCAGGAGCGAATACGTCCCAATGATCATGTAGTCCGGGTGGGATGGACATATGGCGACGGTATCAACTTCTTGGTCCGTCGTGCGCGAGGTGTACTCGATATCTTCAGAGACGGCGGCCATCTTGACGAGAGACGAGGCCGAGATTCGCGGAGGAGGAACGCCTTGCGCGGCTTGTGCGGCCTGTTCTGCGCGGTACCTTTTGATGTTGGCTTTTACCACGTTCATGAGTTCGGTGATGGAGGGTTTGGGGAGAGTCATTGCGCAGACCAGTTGAATGAAGGCTGCCGCGTCCCAAAAAACAAACCAGGGGGAGAGAGCACTCGAACGGACTTACTGGATTGATCTCAATCACGGCTTTTCAGCAGCGATGGGCGACGGACAGAGCCGGTCGAGGACAGTGAAGGGTTAATGTCTAGTGATGCTGGTGCGGCAGAAAGGGAATCCATAGCTCGCTTGCCCCGAGTCGATGTGGCTTTTCAACCTGCATTTGATGGCATCTCAGGGCGGAGTATGTGCCTGGTTTGCGACATATACACAGAGTGAAGAAAATATTAAATCCCTATCCCTCATGCCCTCCCACTATCCCCAGGACAAAATTCGAGTGGGATGCCGTCTGACAAAATGTTCAGCCTCGTCACATGTCAGGGGTTCGCCGCCTCGTTGCCAACCCCCGACAATATGTCACATGTCATGGTACGAACACCAAAGATATTGCCGGCTTGAAAAAAAGGGAGAGAGAGAGAGAGAGAGTGTGTGTGTGTGTTTTCACGCGATGCTGAGACTCGGTGCTAACTACGAACAATCGGCAGCGAATGACATTGATCGTCTAGACTTAGGCCATCTCGTACACTGAATTTTGAGTATGTAGGTCTATCAGGTAGCACGGAACTCGCGTTGTGGACATCGATTTCTAACCCTCATGTCGGATCGTTGTTGATCACTCATGTCTTTTGTTCCCCCTCCACAATACCATTTCGCCATCCTCCTTAAACGCTTCCAGGCCCTGAATGCGGGCTATGCCTGCAGCTCAGCAGAGAGGTGATCTTGAGGCTGCGAAACCGCAGTCACCGGGCGGGGGGAGCAATACGGATACACCTACGAGAGGTGTATATCGCATTTGACGCCGGGGCCATTTTCGCATCGACATGTGAGAGGAAATTGTGGTTGAAGCGTGCCGGCAGAGACCAACCATTCGTATCCTTGTTTACACTCGCCGAGGCAACAAGAGGCTGGACCGTCGTGGTGGATTCGTGTCGCCCTGAAGTCCGCGAAAATAAAGACGCGTGTTCCAGCTTAATCTGTGTCCGCTCCTCGCTCTTCGATGTGAGCAGTAGCACCGCTACCTCGGTTTTCATAGGAGTAATTCCAAATGCTCAATCATTGGAGATTGAGACCAATTGACATTGACCTGGGACTGCCTGGACAGTAAAGCACGTTCCGGGACGAGAATCCGTGACCCTTTGTATGGAGTTGCTCATAAACGCTCTTGGCTATTTCAATCCATCATAGTTCATACATTGCATTACTGTGGGGTATCATGTCGAAAGAGAAACCGCAGTTTGGTTCACTTCCGTGCTTGCTCTCTTTCCACCTCGTACATGAAATCGAAATAGGCCTTGTCGAAAGCGTGCATTCTGACGTAGCCGTCCTCGCCGCCGCTGGCGTATGCGATGCCTTGTGGATGCACGGCGATGGTGTTGAGGGGGCCGAAATGACCTCGGACGCGACCGATTTCATCCTCGAAGATCTTGTGGTAGAAGCGAGCTTCAAATTTGCCTTGTCGAGCAGATGTTGTAGTGACTTCCATCGCGGCTTGGCCGCCTCCTAGGATGACAAAGTCCTTCTTGGGAGTGATCGCAGCGGTGTTCAAGGGTGTGTCGGCGGTATACGACTTGAGAACGCTCAGGTCTCGGGAGGAAAGGATCTTGGCCGTCTTATCTTTTCCAGCTGTGATGAAGTAGGTCCGGTCGGGAGAAAACTGCAAGTCATTGATGGTAGTGTCATACTCATGGGCTTCTTGGGTCATCAGAAGTTCGCCGGTCTTTGCATCCCATTGGGTCACAGACCCGTCCTCATGTCCGGAGATGATGTACTTGTCCAGGTAACTCCATCCCGCGACTGTGGCCTTGCTTTCCTCACACGTGATCCTCAAGCTGTACTCGTCGGTCTGATCTGTCAAGTCATCGCCGTATCGGATGTCGTAGACCACTATGGTCCCCAAGTATCCCATTCGCTTTTCTGTAACTGCCAGCAATTGTTTTCCATCTTCACTGAACGCAACCCGTTTGACGGCGGTCGGGAACTCCCAAGTCTTCACGTTCTCACCAGTTCGAATATTCCACAACTTTATCGTATTGTCTGCGGCCCCGGAGGCAAGGAGTTCGGTATTCGGGGATACATCGACAGTCCAGATCGCACCCTGGTGGCCGTTGTATGTTCCTAGTCTTTCGCCATTGCTAGTGAACCATGCGCAGATAACTTTGTCTTTCGCAACCGAGAAAAGGAGGTCGCCGTCTTTGTTGTATTTGATTTGGTTGAGCGAACGCTCCTGCAATATCTGTTAGTCGGTCTTCGGCGAATTTTTCTCTGGGACTTCTCACATGGCCTTGCAAGAGTATAGGCCTCATCTTCCGATAATATGTCCGTTTCAGGAATGAGTCGAGTACAATGGGAATTTTCAAGCGAGAAGTATCAAAAGAAGAAGATCAGTTTGTGGAATCTTTGCGTTGGAAGTCGAAGAGTCGCGGGCAGGCAGGCGACGGGGTGGCTGTGGGAGAAATCCATGCCAAGCTCGGAATTCCACGAGTCATGGCTCCCTCCCTGCATGAGTCACGACGATTCAAAAAATTCTATGTACGAGCTGCTCGAAAACATCGTCTCAACCTTTAACCGGCTCTCTCAATGATGGATATACTCGAAGACCAGGGATAGCTCTCTCCTTGGTCACCTGAGACGAGTTTTCTACGGAGCTTTGGGCTCTGACATGGCCAGCAGATTATCTAGTGCGACGCGTCCAGATCATATATTGGCAGGTCGTGCCACTCTCCGTCTCTCAAATTTCTCCAATAGTTCTCTCCGCCTTCCGACTTTACCCTCTCAACTTTCGTCTCCCATAAGCCTGACTGCGATCAGGGCTGCATCTGGAGCCAGCCTGATCAGGAGAGGTGCTCGGTGCTCCAAAGAACCTCTTTCCTGCCCTAGAACCGTCTCCGCAACGGTTGGCCGGTTCCAGCTGCACTTCTCCTTCGCCGCCCGAGTCACACGAGACGGACATCTCCAGCCTTCACCGTCGCTGCACTCACGGCCATTCTCAAGTACAGCGCCAAAGAAGATGGGGGCTACAAAGATCGATGGGAAGGCCATTGCCCAGAAAATCAGGGAACGACTGGCAGCGGAGATTCGACAGAGACAAAGTGTGAACCCGCGGTATAAACCATGCTTGAAAATCATCCAAGTCGGTGATCGACCTGATTCGACCACTTACGTGCGAATGAAGCTGAAGGCAGCTGAAGAAGCGGGTATCGATTGTGCACTGGTTCATCTACCAGACTCAATTTCAGAGCCTGAACTATTACAACGGATCATTGACTTCAACAATGATCCTTCTGTCCACGGTATCCTCGTTCAATTGCCCATCCCCAAACACCTTTCCGAGCATACAATCACCTCTGCAGTCGTGGACGAGAAGGATGTGGACGGGTTTGGAGCTAGAAATATTGGAGAGCTCGCAAAAAGAGGCGGCAAGCCTTTCTTCGTCCCCTGCACCCCGAAGGGAGTCATGGTGTTGTTACAAGAGAGCGGTGTCGATCCCCGGGGCAAGACGGCTGTTGTCCTTGGCCGTAGCGACATCGTGGGTAGTCCGGTCAGCTATCTCTTGAAGAGTGCCGATGCCACGGTCATTGTCTGCCATTCCAAAACCAAATACATCGAAGATGTTGTCAAACAAGCTGATATCCTGGTTGCCGCCATTGGCCAGCCGGCATTCGTCAAGGGTGACTGGCTCAAACCAGGAGCTGTGGTCATCGACGTCGGCACAAATTACATCCCTGATGCCACAAAGAGCTCGGGACAGCGTCTCGTTGGAGACGTTGAATTTGAGTCAGCTGTTCAGGTTGCTTCACAAATCACGCCAGTCCCAGGTGGTGTTGGTCCTATGACAGTTGCGATGCTCATGCAGAACGTCGTCGATTCTGCTTCAGCTTACTTTGAGAGACTGAAGGCAAGACACGTTACTCCGTTACCGATCAAGCTTACGAAGCCCGTACCGTCCGATATCGAAATTTCGAGATCTCAGCATCCCAGGCACATCACTCAAATCGCTGCCGACATTGGCATTGCACCTCATGAGTTGGAACCATATGGTGCTCACAAAGCCAAAGTTGACCTGTCAATTCTTTCAAGGCTAGCGCATCGTAGGGATGGAAAATATATTCTGGTCAGTGGCATTACTCCAACTCCACTCGGAGAAGGCAAATCCACTACCACAATGGGTCTTACGCAGGCCTTGGGCGCTCACCTGGGAAAAGTGGCATTTGCTAATGTTCGACAACCAAGTATGGGACCGACTTTTGGCATCAAAGGTGGTGCCGCAGGTGGTGGCTACAGTCAAGTCATCCCCATGGATGAATTCAACCTTCATCTGACGGGTGACATCCACGCGATTACAGCAGCAAATAACCTTCTGGCTGCAGCTATTGATACACGCATGTTTCACGAATCCACACAAAAGGACGGGCCATTGTACAAAAGACTGGTGCCCAGTAAAAAGGGCAAGCGCGAGTTTGCTCCGGTTATGCTTCGCAGACTGAAGAAGCTAGGAATTGACAAGACGAACCCTGACGATCTGACCGAGGACGAGATCAGGCGTTTCGCACGCCTAGACATTGATCCGGAGACAATCACTTGGAGAAGAGTCCTTGATGTCAACGACAGACTCCTGAGAGGCATTACCATCGGCCAGGCTCCCACCGAGAAGGGCCACAGCAGGCAGACAGCTTTCGACATTTCTGTCGCAAGCGAGTGCATGGCCATTCTTGCACTCAGCAACGACCTGAGAGACATGCGGGAGCGGCTTGGTCGAATAGTGATTGGGTCTTCAAAGGCTGGAGACCCTGTCACTTGCGACGATATTGGCGCTGGCGGAGCCCTGACTGCTCTCATGAAGGATGCTATCAAACCCAATCTCATGCAGAGTTTGGAAGGGACCCCGGTTTTTGTCCATGCTGGGCCATTTGCAAACATCAGCATTGGTAACAGCTCTATCCTAGCCGACAAGTTGGCGCTCAAGCTTGCCGGCACGGAACCTGATGAAGATCACGAAGCCAAGGCTGGCTTTGTCGTCACCGAAGCAGGCTTTGATTTTACCATGGGCGGTGAAAGATTCTTCAACATCAAGTGCCGCAATTCCGGTCTTGTTCCCGACGTCGTTGTCGTCGTTGCTACCATTCGAGCACTAAAGGTCCACGGCGGCGGTCCAGAGATCCCCGTAGGATCGGCGCTGCCGGAAGCATACCGCACGGAAAACACCGAAATGCTGCGCGCCGGCTGTGTCAATCTCAAGAAGCACATTGCCAATGCCAAATCCTACGGCATCCCAGTAGTTGTGGCGATCAACAAGTTCGACACCGACACGGAGGCCGAACTCAAAGTCATTGAAGAAGAAGCCCTCGCCGCCGGTGCAGAGGCAGCCGTGCCCGCGAACCACTGGGCCGAAGGGGGTTCCGGTGCCGTCGACTTGGCCAAGGCCGTCATTGCGGCCTCGTCGAAGCCCAAGGACTTCCAATTCCTTTACGGCCTGGATGGTACCGTTCAGGAGCGCATCGAAAAGATTGGCAAGGACATGTACGGGGCCGGAAAGGTCGAGTTTAGCGAGCTGGCCCAGAAAAAGGTCGACATGTACACTAGACAGGGCTTTGGGAACCTGCCCATCTGCATTGCAAAGACTCAGTACTCGCTGAGCCACGACCCGGCCCTCAAGGGAGCGCCCACGGGTTTCACGGTCCCAATCCGGGACGTCAGGCTGGCCGTCGGCGCAGGGTATCTGTATGCGTTGGCCGCGGATATCCAGACCATTCCTGGTCTCCCGACCGCGCCGGGATATTTGAATGTCGATGTGGACCCGGAGACTGGCGAGATAGACGGACTTTTCTAGATGGGCTTGTGGTGGCCGCGCTTGAGCAAAAAGAAAACCCCCCGGGATTAACAGTACTACGTGTGGCATGCCTTTTTTGACGACTTTCAACAACTCTTGAGATACCCCATTTCAACAATCATTCTATAGGTGGTAGATAAACAAAAGAAACCAAATCTATTGGATTCAGTCCTATTGATTCCCGGGTCCGTCCTGTATCAAGGCGAAAGCTGACAGCCGGATTGCATCCAACACATACCGGCTTCGTGATGTCGGAATGTCTGTGCAAGCGTGTGTTCCTCATCCGATCGCACGAACTCACCGTGTCATTGTTTACCCTCGTCACAACCCCTTTTCGCACAGGTCGGCAGCCACACCGCGGTGAGCTCAGCGAGCCTCGAGAAGGCCTAAATGTATTGCCGACTCCATCCGGGGTAGAGGGAAAAGTCGGGGTGCAGAAGGCTAGCTCGATCCCTCCGGGCCTGGAGAGTCGTTTGCCTTTCCTATCGACGGAGGGCCGCAGTCTCGTGGAGCTAAGAGTATGGAGCTGCTCTTCTAGCAGCCTGCGGTAATCTTTCGGGTGGTTTCGCTGCGACCACTCCAGGTTGTCAAGTTCCATTTGAGCAGTCGTTCAGGACACCCAACAGAGGTAGAGCGAGATAAGGAATCCGATGTGATGTGTAGCGTCGGGTTTTCATGCTTGCAGCAGTTTTATGTGGGTAAGCTCACATGACATTGCCCACAAATGATGACCAGGGGGGTTCGATGTGTCGAATCTTTGATATCTTGTGCACCTTGGTTTGGTGGTCCCCGGACAAGGTCGGAAGAGCTTGGGATGACTCTCGTATCAGGCCTCACGTAAGTACTGCCTCTGCATCAGCACATCTCTCGTGTGCCAATTTTGGAATCGACTTTGTTTCACTCCCGCACGTTATCAGGCCGGGTCTGTCTCGGTTCGCCAGTCCCTTTTGACACGTTGATTAAATCCCCCATAGGTGAGCATGTGAGGCTCCGCAGGCTGGAACTGGGCTCAATTGATAAATGGCTGCTATTTCATAGAAGTATACGCTTGTCTCGAAGTCGAGCACTTGAAGACAGAAAGCCGGTCGTCTGCTTGCAAAAGCTGCCTTCCCCTTTTCTCGTCACCACGTTGAGACCAGAGATGAAAGAATCTTTCTTGGTCCAGGCATAAGATTTTCGCAGACGCCCCATCGCATCGATCAGAGGTACCGACAAAATCCAATGAAGATCAAAAAGGTGCTATTTCTTAGACCATGACCTCCACAACATTAGTCGTTTCATGTCGAATGTTGCAACCTTTGCCAGGTAGAAAAGCGGGAAGGCTATGCCGGCGTTGAAACTATTGTAAACACACATGAGCCCGAAATTCCTCCAGCGATCTCCGTAGTTCATGTTGCGGGTGACAAGATATTGATCGCCGCTTGAATACCGACAGTATTGGCAGTTTGAAATGTCGCCTGGATTTAAGAGGTATCCAAACTGTTCCTGGACAAAAGCACCAGCGTATTCCATACATGTCTGCCCCAGCGGTGGTTGAAATACGTTGATTTCCTGGGGAGCGCAGATGATGCGGGTGCCGTGGATTGCGTTGGAGATGTATCCACTCATCAGATATGTGTATGGTGAGGCATGGTACATAAAATGCCAGAATTGAGGAAGCTGGCTTAGCGGTTGCAGCACGCCATTGAAAGCGACCACAAAAGAGGCGAAGACCGTCGTCAAAACAGCTGCCGTCTGAGGATTGGGCGCCAGAGAGGCGATAGCGACGCCAAAGGTGGAGATCCACATTTCGTAGGTCATGAGAAGGAGCCACATGTAGAAACCTCTGCTCCCGTCACCTGCGGTGCTGCCCACCCAGCCTTGCGAGAAGCCGATTGGGAAGTACCAAGGGAAGAAGAACAGGGTGCCCGCCAATATGTTGAAGATTGTTTCCGTGACAAGATTCGACAGGACAAATACGCTCCAATGGTACATGCCTGAGGGATTTTCTCGCTCAGTGAACAGATTCGCCAAGCTGGAAAATTGTGGTTGGAATTGGTTCATCGTTGGCATGCCTAGAATGGCCGACGTGAAAGCTGCGAATAACTGCACAGTTGTCAACCTCTCGAATGGCTCGGGTCGAATTGACATGGAGAACTTCAAATAAAACCTACCTTGTTTTGAAGACCTTGTACTGAGTTACCCTCTTGATAGAATGTGAACCCGAGGAACAGCCCCGCCACGACATTCAACATGATCTTTCCCATGATGTATTGTGGGATTCTCCAATAATGCACGAAAAGCCTTAATTGAACTGCAAGGTACTGAGTGGCCCAGGGCTCAGCGAAGGTAGTCCCGGAGCTTGCAGTCCTGTGATTCGAGTGCCCGTGTTTTTTCAGCTGTTGGCTGGGACTATCGATGAATTGGTCATGCAGGCTTTGCATCTCTTCAGACATGTAACGGTACTCGTCAGAGCTCATCCATGTCGCGTTCCAGTCCTGGTTCGATTTCGGGCTCATAGCTGCTCCAATAACGTCAAGTATAAACTCTGCAGGATTACCACCCGCGGGACAGCGTTGGCCACTGTTCTTCTCGAAATATCTGAGGATGGATCTGGAGTGTTGACCGATCTCACCGAAGTACACCGGCTTCCCACCCTTCGCGAGAAGGAGCAGACGGTCAAACTGCTCGAATATCATTGATGAGGGTTGGTGGATCGTGCATAGGATGGCTTGTCCAGAGTCAGCAAGCTTCCTCAGCAGGCGAATGATAGACCATGCTGCGAGGGAGTCAAGCCCGCTCGTAGGCTCGTCCAAAAACAGTAGTATCTCTGGTTTTGCGACTAGCTCCACGGCGATTGTGGTTCGTTTTCTCTGTTCAACGTTGAGACCTCCGCTGCCGGGAACGCCTATGATAGCTTCGGCGAAATCCTCCATCTCCATCATCTCAATGACTTTCTCCACGTAGTCAAGCTTTTCTGAAAGAGGTATTTCCTTCGATTGGCGTAGTTTAGCCGAGAATTGAAGTGCTTCTCGCACGGTAGACGATGAGAGGTGGACGTCTTGTTGCTGTACATAGCCAGTCATTCGATGAAACGAACGGTCGGGAAGCTTGCCACTGACAAGAAACTCTCCGTCGACGGTGCCACCGCGAAGCCGTGCAGCAAGTGCATTAAGAAGTGTTGTCTTACCCGCACCGGATTCTCCCATCAAAGCCGTGAGAGTGCCCGGCTTCACGTAGCCCGTGATATTATCCAGCAACCTGCGCTGGGAGCCGTCACGGAGCGTGATGTCGTATGTCACCTTCTCCCACGTCAGGACTTTCTTGCAGGTAACAAGTTCTTTAGTTGCGGATCCATGTGATGGGATCTCCGTGATGGCTTCCTCAGAGTATTGTGCTTCTCCCTCGTCTTCGCTGAGCCTCGCTCCTCTCTTTGAGAGTCTCTTCAGCCGCTCCGGCTCGTGGCCTTTGCGGTAATACAAGCGTTCTCGAATATGTTGTGCTGAGGCAGTTCTGAATTCTGTCGCTACAGCAAGCGCAACAACAAAGCCGCATAAGAAAGCACATAGGATGCCCACATTTCTCCATACATCAGAATGATGATAGTCGAACGAGAGTTCAATGTAGTCGTCGCCGCTCACAAACCGCTGCCCTGGGTGTGACCCTGTGACGGCACAAACCTGGTTGGCAGCTGATGCATTGCTATACCCTGGGCCAGAGGGGACCAGGGCGTCGCACGGAGCCGTTGTGTCGTGAAACTCGTTGGCAATTAGAGTCTCGAAAGCATAGGAGAGTGGATTGATATAAGTGATCCACTTGAACCAAGGGTGCATGCTGGGTTTCGGGATGGTGTAGCCGGTATAAATGGCGTAGGATAGTACCAATATGCCCGCGGCACCAATGGCAGCTTCAGGACTATTGGTGAGGGCGGCTATTGTTCGAAACCAGGCACTCATGACCAGAGTAGCCAAATAGGTAGTCAGCCACAAGATGAAAAAGGCACTCGCCTTCTGCTTCAGTCCGACCAAGAAATAAAGGATGATGTCGAATATAGTCACGTTGACAATCTTATAAGGATATTCGACCACCAAACTCGCCAAAGAGTCCAGAAAAGGATGGTACATGGCGTACGTATTCTGGCGTTGAATGATCGGTCTCTGAGAATACAGAGTACCAATTTCGGCCATGGTTTGGAGGGAGTTGAAGAGAATTGCAAAGAACAAAGCGCCCCCCTTGGAGAAAAATCCCGAGGTCGAGGCTGGCACATTGTAGAACATGCTGCCCATGATCAGGGACATGAAGACAGAACTAAATGCCGTTGCCCCCAGGAATGCTTTGTCGCCAATGAATCTGTAAAAGCTGCGCCTGAGGTTGGCGGTAAATTGAGTCACTGTATCGACGGTGTAGATGCTCCGTTGTCGCTGATGCTTTGATTTTGTGGCTGATCGATAGGCCTCGTATTTCGCGAGTTCCGCATCGTACTGACCAAATTCCCTCGTGTATTCCTGGATTTCTTCTTGGAGCTTGGAATAGTGATGGCTGATTTTCCAAAGCTTTACAAAGTCTTCTGGCGACCTTGGTACCTTCGCTTCCCAGCCAGCTCTGGGCCTTCGGGCTGTTGGGTCGCTGATCGCTGTGAGGAAGTCCGCTGTTGTTTGGTGCGGATGACATTCGAAGCCCATGTCTTCAAAATAGTGCTTAGCATCCGGGACCGTCCCAAAGAAGATTTGGCGGCCTTGATAGAGTACTGTTACTTTATCAAACTCTTGTGTTAGCGTTTCACCTCCTTGGTACAGCGCGACAACAGCAGTTTGTCGGAATGTCTCGGTCATGGCTCGAATTGTATGAATGAATTCCTGTGATGTTGACGAATCGAGCCCATGAGTGGGATTATCCCACATCGTGACAGATGCTCGCATGGCGAACTGATTGTGTTAGAAACTTGCGGCACTAAAGGGCGAGAAGAGAGAGACGAACAGCTTCAGCCAACGATACCCGCTTGCGTTCGCCACCGCTGATGCCCTGAACGTACTCGTTGCCTACTCTCGTCTGAAAGGTGTGTTGCACTGCAAGCAGACTTCCATACACGTCTGTCATCGCCCTAATCAATTTGGCCCGTGATTGGTCGGCAACTTGATTCCTAGGTGTTTTTGTCTCGGAGGCAAAATCCAAAGTGTTGCCGACAAGAAGATAGGGAAAGTGAAAATCGACTTTTTGGTCTGTTAGCACAGTCCACCAACTCTCAAACTTGTCGACGTACCATCAGGAACGTAAATCGCATCTCCTTTGAACCGACTCTTGAATTTCTCAATGTCCACCCCGTTGTACTTGATTTCTCCACCGATGGCCAAGTCACCCTGTTTCTGCCCGCTTAGAGCCTTGAGGAGGGCGCTGGAGACACTGCCTGGCCGACCTAGCACCAGCAGCATTTCGCCGTCCCTGACGATCCCATCAATTCCATGCAGCAACAGGGTCTCAGTCTTCCGTCTTCGTAATATTAGATCTCGCGCAACCTTGACCGGCTTTTGAAAAATTGCTGCTAGGGTTTGTTGCGTTCCAACGTTTGACCCTGGCTGTTGGACAGAGACGTTTGTGAAGGCGATCGACGTACACGACGCTTTCTGGGGAAGATTCTGTGTATGCAGCAATTTCACAAGCGTCCGGAGTTCATTAGTTAGAGACACGTTTCCATCACTTTCTCCCGCAGAAGGCATTGCTGTCGTCTCGTCTCTGAGAGGAATTTGCGTCTCTTTCTCACGGGTGGCCCACTCATCATGAGGGTGTCCATTTCTAGTGACAGTCCCTTTGCGCCGGATGGTCTGCGTCTGCTGCGGCCGACACAATTCATCTTCTTTGTCTCTACCTGCGTGCAATTCTGTATCACTTGAGCTCGTGTCGCGACTATCGGAGTTCATGATCAGTGTAAGGTGTTCTGTGGTTCATAAAAACAGCATACAAGTATGAACAATCACATTGGGCTCAAAAGACATACCCTATGTCAAATGCACCCGCTTATAAGATGCGGGGACTGGTTCATATAGAAACAACTGGCATGGTCCTGTGACAAGATGGAACTGATGTCTTTCCTTTGAGGGAGAACCATGCGCTTTTCCGAGATACGCGTCCAATGCGACATGGCCAAGGGCTTTCGAAAAAGCTTCGAATCGGAGACGGACCACATCGCTACCCGCGGAAAGCTTCGAGGGCGAAGGTATTGAGCGAGCACGCTATGATCGTATGAAGGAGAAGGAGATGCAAGAGTTCTGAAGGTATTCGGCTCGTCACCAGGCATGGCAGAGGTGGACGAGACTCGCGAGATGCGTGGTTTTCGAACCCAAGGCGGCGTAACGCTGTCGTTTCGATCCGGTATCCGGCCGTGAAGGAGTGGGAGAAGTTGACGATGTGGCTGCGGATGGCAGACGCAGGCCAATCAACCGCAATTTACATTTCGCATCTCGTGCCTGGGTCTTGGCCTGCCACCGACTCTCCCCAGGCTCCTGTTTAGCCATGCAACCACAATGAACACGGTCTCTCGTCCTTCAATGCCTGTCACACCACATTCCATTTGAGTTGTGAAATTCATAAACTTCGCTGCCTTGTGCTTCCTTGAGGATTCGGGACTTTGAAGGTCGCTTGGTTCTCGGATTTGACTTCAAACCTGGCGACTCGCCACGGCTCCATCCAGCTCGAAAGATAACCACCAATCATCTTGACTGCTAACAGCTGATCCCATAAGGCAGAGACACCTGTCCCGTCCAATGTCGCCTAACAGCTTCGATGCCAGACCCAGGCGAGGGGTACGGGTTTCGTGTGATTCGTGCCGACGCATGAAAGTACGTTCCTTGAAGCCTTCTCAAGAGATGTGTCTGCGTGATTGGGCCATTGCGTGCCTTGTCCGTCAGTACCCCAGCTCATTTGCCTGTCCAGATAAGATGCGACAGACAAGGAAGCAACAACTGCTCCAATTGCCGGGCGCGAAGCATGTCGTGTATCCTCACCCCAGTGGAAAGGCAAAGCACCAAAGTGAAAAGGTACTGAGGAAGATGTCCCAATCGTTGGCGTGAGCTCAGCTGACAGTAGAACGCTTTCTTCGTTCTACAGAGCACAGTTCCTTCATTCGATAGAGTCTCGAATCGAGCGGATGGAAGCACTCCTGTCCGGCTTCACCGAGACACCGTCTATCGTTGAAGAGCCTAGAGTGCCAGAACCGAGAGATAGCCCACCCAGCATAGAGAAAGACCTTTCCAATCTAATCATATCAGACTCTGGCGAACAGAAATACGTCGGTAGGTCTGGCGTGCTCTTCTGGTCACCCTTGAAAGATACCACAGGACTGACCCATGCTAGGTCCCTCGGACTTTTCTCTCTTCTCCCCTCGAGGTTTGGCCTGGATTCAGCGCAAGACTGGAACCACCCGTGTAACAGTCATGTTTGAGAAGCTTCGGCGATTTGGTCCAATGTGGCCTTCCTATAGGATCGATCAGCTGTCGGGTGGTGGACGTGCTGCTGGGTGTCGCCTCCCAATCAAAGAGGCAGCTGTACAGCTCGTCAACAGTAAGGTCAACCTGCACAGTGTATATGGATTGGCTGAGTTAACGAGATATAGATTATTTCAGGACTTTCAACTCCATTTTCCCTCTTTTCGACCAGAAATCATTCTGGACTCTATTCCACCAGCAATATTCAACCGAGCCTCCTTCGAAGCGATCATGGTTTGGCGCACTGAATATTGTTCTCTCCATCGGCTGTATCACTGCGACGGACTCAATATGGACTAGCGTTCGCGACTGCGATCCGTCCTATTTCTCGAACGTATCAAGCGTGTCATGGAAGCTTTTCCAAAATGCTTCATCGGTACTGTTGGATGCCCTCTTTCATGCTAATGACCTCATGGCTGTGCAGACAGTCATCGGAATGGTATACATAATGCCCCCATTTCTGACCTTGTTGATTGTTGATTCATATCCAGGCTTTTGTCATGCAGGCAGTCATGAACCCAGAAGGTGCTTTTTCTCTCCTCGGAGTCGCCGCTCGACTTGCGAATGCTCTTGGACTGCATCGATGGCTTGAAGGCTTCGGCCTGTCCCGAGCAGAACTTGAGCAGCGCCAAAGGGTCTTTTGGATATTGTACATCTTGGAGAAAGACATGTCTAGCCGCGTCGGCAGGCCCTCTGCTATTGATGACGATGACATCGGCTTCGGTTTCCCAACCGAACAGTCGCATGGAAGCGGTGATGTCAACATATCAGGTGCTGCATCCGGCAACGCAAACTTCTACCCTTTGTACCACATGTGCATTCTTGCGCGTATGGAAGGTAAAGTATATAAAGAACTGTACGCCTATGGTGCCCGAGTGAAAACAGCCAGCGAGAGGCTCGAGGCTATCAGCAGACTAGACGCAGAGCTTCAGGAATGGAAGGAGAGCTTCCCTCTTCATCTAAGGCCGGAGCATCCCATTCAATGTGACTCCGAGAGCAGGTTTCCGATTGTCCTCCTTCACTTCGGATACTACCACTGCCTGAGAGCTGTTCACCGAGTCAATGCACAGTGAGTTCCCCTTTCACTATGGGTGAATGCTGGTGTTGGACCCAAGTTATCGTCACCGAAGGTCCCTCATCGTTGGCATATGCTAACAGATATCTATAGCCATGAATTGTGGTCTTCGGAAGCCGACGAATTTCGGAATTGCGGTTCTGATCCCGCGTCTTCTGGCTCAGATGCCCTGAGCTCTGATGGTGTACTGAACGTTCGGGTCCATGCCTCCTATGCGCTATGTCTAGCTGCTGCACGATCGATCCTTCATCTCTCGGTAACATATTTACAGAACTTGAGCGATCCCAGAAATACCCTCATTTGGATAAGTCCATACTTTCCTTTCTCGGCATTCTTGACGTTGTTCTCGTTCATGTTACACTCCCCTCTGGACCCAAAAGTAACCGCAGATCAAGCTCTTATGGAGGCAACTTTGGGCTGCATTAAAGGAATGCTACACACACTGGATCGAGCAACCATGTCATTTATGGTAGACGTTGCTGGCGAGCTTCTCACGATTGCCAAAGAGCACGTCGAGAATGTCCGTACTCACGGCTCTCAAGGAAAAGACAAGAACCTGGCAATGCAAGAGACTCCTGCCGATGGGCTTTTCGCAGGCTTCGCGCAAAATAACCCGGATGCGAACATCGATTTGACTACGATCAGTAACATACGATCATTTGTGCCAGCAAGTTCGGGGCCCCAACAGGATCCCACACCAAGACTGGTGCCGACCTCTAATGAGCTGCCAAAGGGACTCGACTTTCCGGGCAGCCAGTCTGCTACGGATCCTCTGTATTCAGCAAATGATGGCTTTGATCCAAGCCTGATGAGCGACTTGGGTCAATTTTCAGTGCAGCAGTCCTTGATGGACGATCCGTTCTTCTTTGTGGAGGACGCTGGCTGGGACTGGAGCTATTGAGCTTGGCCCGCCTACATCGATACTACATACCTACGCACAACTTTTGGAACAGCCCACGTCTTGTGGTCTATCCATAAGTCTACCGCGCCAGAGAGCGTGCAGGTGTTGCGCTTTGATTATGTCAGTCACTCATGGTTATCCTGGCCTGAATTTGCCCATGCGCTCCAGGCTCGGCATGATGGCACCCCGCAAATTGTCTCCGCAGTTCGACTTCGGCCTTTCCAACACAAATAGCGGACGACCCCTTTGCCATCCAAACCTTGAGTTTGTCAAGCATGCGCGAACCTCTAACAACAGGTCGCTAGCCAGCCATTAATTCGCTCTCCAAATCCTAAGCCGGCCAAAATCCCCGAGGACTGCTCGCAATGGTGATATCGCCCTTCAGAATCGACATACCCAACGGAGAAGTCGAACGGCTGAAAAGGAAGTTGCGGGACACGAGAATTCCAAAGGCGCCCATTGTACCTGGAGCCAATGGTGACTATGGTCAGTATGCAATCGGTTATGTGAATTTGTTTCTAGATCCTTATCTAGACAGGTCCTCCTATTGAATGGTTCCAACGTCTCAGCAACAAGTGGCGTGACGATTTTGACTGGCCTTCTGTGCAAGAACATCTGAATCGGCATTGCCACTTTCTCGCTGACATTAATGATGAGAGCTTCCAGTTGAAAGTACACTTTACGCATACCAAGTCTGCAAGGGCCGATGCCATTCCTCTTATTATGGTTCATGGCTGGCCTGGCTCATTCCACGAATTCGACCGAGTGGTCGACGCCTTCGCCAACCCCAAGGACCCTTCCGATCCAGCATTCCACGTCGTGGTGCCGAGTTTACCTGGATTCTGCTGGTCTTCTCCACCACCTCGGCGGGGTTGGACCATGCAGGATACGGCGCGCGTCTTTAACAAACTTATGAGCCAGCTTGGTTACGCGCATTACGTCGTGCAGGCGGGCGATTGGGGTTCGTTTGTGGCGCGCGAAATGGGTGCCAAGTTCATGGAGTGCAAAGCGGTCCATCTGAACTTTTGTCCTGTCGAAGTGGATGACAGCGTCACAGACCTTACACCTCGAGAGATGAAAATCAAAGAACGCTATCATGATTGGCTGAATAACCACCTCGGATACGCTGTGTGTATGCGGACCCGTCCACAAACCATTGGCGTCGCTCTGAATGATAACCCGGTTGGAATACTCGCCTGGGTTGGCGAAAAGTACATAGAGGCGGCGGCACCAGCGAATGTCGAGTCTTCGGAGCCAGCATGGGACCAGGCAATCCTCACCACATGCTCTCTGTATTATTTCACAGACTGCATCATGTCTTCGACCCTGCCGTATTTTGAAGGTGTCAAGCACGCGGATTTTGGAAATTTCTTCTTGAAGCAAGAGAACTACATTGAAGTGCCCATGGGATACACCAGCTTCCTCTATGACACAAGGCCTGGGACTGAAAGGAGTGTGAAAAAAACGGGCCGGCTAGTGTTCTATAACGGTAGGTTTCTCCTGACCCATGCACTCAAATAAGCTGCTTGAAATCTCACATCTTTGCAGAGTGCGACGATGGCGGTCATTTCGCTGCACTGGAAAGGCCGGATGTCATTCTCGCTGACTGTCGCAAGTTCTTCGGCGAGTGGTATAAGGCTTGAAGCAGGGTTGTTGCGTCGAGAACGATATCTTTCACTGGTATTTCGGATCAAGGTATACGCCGCGAGGCTGGAGGTCTCATGAGTCTGCGCGGTGCTGGAGAGTAGCCTTGTGGTTCTCTCGTATCTATGAATCCCACCTCTACCCCTTTGGTTCAAAAGCTCGCTCTGAATCTCTATAATCTCGATACCGCCAGCTATGGACTAGTTTGTTCTTCCTGCCGGAGGTTCCGCACAAACGTTCTGGATGGCGAGAATCTAAGAGCTCACGCCGGGAAATAATACCTCCTAGTCTCAACACATCTCCAAGCAGCAGTTGGATGTCTTGACCTATGATCTTAGCCGTAGAGGTCCATTGAGTCAGACCATGCTCTCTTTCATCCAGGGTCTGGCCCGTAGAAGACACGTGTAGCGATATTGAGCCCCAGTGAGGCGATTGTCCTGAGTCTGGCACTCCATTCATAACGGCATTGCAGCCGGAGAATCGAAGATGGGAAGCTCCGAGTTGCTGGATACGAAGCAAAACGGCGGATGATAGTGGAGCAAGGGCATGATGTCATAACTCAGCCTCGTCTGCACAAGGCTGTCTCGCTTGATAAATAAACCAGGCGAGCAGATTTGCGACTTTGACTGCTGATCACCCTGACTGATCATCCTCTGTCCTCCGAACTCACCAGTCTCACCCGATCTCTAACCATGCTCGAAGTCAACGGCAGCACAGAAATGAAAGTAGAAAGCATTCAGTGATGAAACGAAAGGATAAATTATGAGAATCTGGACCAAGCTCGGGGTTCCGACCTCGCTCAGGCTGCGCCCGTTTGAGTGTTGTTGTACGCTGTCACCTCGCCCGCTGCTGATCCTGCCAAGGAGGTCTTTCCTTTCCACCTGGGCCCTAGGGTGTCGCCAGCTGCAAAGACCACCGAGGCAACATGCACGCATTGGCCTGCCTTTGTTTGCGAGACCGGCGTTGTCAACGCAAAGGATCTCGTCAGATACCGAGATAGTGGACGCCGCACTCGATGCGCCGGAGTCTAGCTTAAACACCAAGAATGGTAGAATTACCTGTATCTATTTCGACAAGTCCGGCCGCTTCAACGGGGAGCACAAGCAACTCACCAAGGCCGAGATCGGGGAGCAGTTCGACTTGCGCCACCGAGATCTCCGGGACATCGACCTGAAATCCGAGGCGGTGACACGCATCTTAGTGCGGCCGGCCACCATCCTGCTGCAGTTCTTCCAGCTATGTATGATCATCCAGGCGGACGAGGCGCTCCTGATCTACAATCAACCGCAAACCAGCAGTGAGCGGGACGACGAGGCCGACGACACCTCGCCACAAACCGACGACCGCGAATTCTACCGCGAATTCGAGCAGCGCATGTCGGGCCCCACGGTCGAGACCGCCGGCGTGCCTGAACTGCCGTACGAGCTGCGCGCCGTGGAAGCCGCCCTGGTGGCGGTGCTCTCGGGCTTGCGGCAGGATCTCATCGACGCGCGCCACAAGGCGGAGGAGTCGGCGGCGAGCCTGCAGCTCGACTCGGGCCTCGCGGCCGTGGGGCTGAACCTCGTCTTCGACCGGACGCGGCGGCTGAGCAAGATCGAGCAGAAGGCGCGGCTGGTGCGCGACACGATCCGCGAGGTGCTGGACACGGACGAGGACCTGGCCGGCATGTACCTGTCGGACCACCTGGGGGGCAAGCCGCACGCGACCGCGGACCACCAGGAAGCCGAGTACATGCTGGAGGCGTACCACAAGGCGGCCGACACGCTGGTCGAGTCGGCGCAGGCGGCCGTCGACATCCTGCGCAAGAAGGAGAACACGTTCCGCTCCTCGCTCGCCGTCCAGCGCAACCAGATCATGTTCCTCGAGGCCCGCATCGCCATCCACACCCTGGGCCTCGCCGCGGGGACCATGGCCGCCGGCCTCTTCGGTATGAACCTCCTGAACTACCTCGAGGACGCCCCCTACGGCTTCTTCTGGGTCGCCGGTGCCTGCGTGGTCCTCAGCGCCATCTTCTCCATGCAGGGCATGAGGAGTCTGAGGCGCATCCAGACGCTAAAGGGCATCCAGCGCTCGAGGGTCGGAGGTCGTCGCTTTTAGAATCCGCGGGGCATTGAGCGAAACTTTTTCGTTTTGGGGGGGGGGGGGGGCGTCGGGAGCTCTGCATACAACAAGCCTGTGTTCCTCAATGGCGTACGAGCGTGGTATGTAGTGCAACCAAGACAAATCTAATCTGACAATGAAACCAGAGCGTATTATTGCAGAAATGAATCTTGCATGAGTTTCTGGGCGGGATGCAACGTGTACCGGTGTAGAGTCTTTGGGATTTGCAGGCAAGAGTCTATACGCACCAAGTCAATGTACTGCATTGGTGTTCTCAAGTCTAATACGGCCGCGGATTACTCGGCCGCCCATGGGCGTCAGCGAAAGTCATCTACAGGCCATAGAAGATCTGGTGGGAGACAAGAAGCGGGCTTGGGAACAAAGAGGACGCGGGGACATCTTCTCATAAAGACCTGAAAGGGCGAATGAAGACTGACCCTCAAGGCTGTGGGGTTTGAGGACATTTGACAAGTTGATATGCTCGGATTGCATCAGGCAGGTGGATTCTTCGCTCAAGAAGAATCTTGCTTTTGACTGTATGCCAGCGGCATATACAATTGCAAAAGAATCGAGGAGAGCCCGGTGAATTCTGTCAAGTCCTCATTGTGTGCTATGCGTAAACCCAAGCACACGCCATGCCATTGCCACGTATATCCCATAGACGCTGAAGGGTTTTTGTCGCGGAGTCCAGCCCAACCCGCAATATTCCGTCACCTCCACCGTGTTTCATTCGTCGAGCAGCAGCCCCGGGCAGATCGCTACGGTTTGGGGACATGTATTGTTCTGCTCGTCATGAGAACCCCATTGATGAGAAAGATGGCCACAATGGGATGGAACTCGAGCTCGGTGCCACTCAAGATAGTCCCTAGGGGTATATCCTCGTGTATCCAACCAAACCAAGCGCAAGTCGTCATCATCGTCAAGCTTATCAAGCAAGCAAACGGTATCGGAGTGCCCTCAAAGTACTTCGATTTGCCAGACTTGTCCTTCGGTAGCATTGCGACAGTCACATTGAACCGTGCCAATCTAGTCAATCCACAGAGGACGTAGAAGCCGAGGAAGAGCTGGTCGACGTTTGTACGGAAACCCATCGCGAATCCCGCGGCGGCGGCAGCAACACCGAATGTGACCTGGAAAGCACGCTGTCAGAATCATGCCAGCAAACTGTTGTGTAATTTCCGAGCGCACCAAGTCCGCAAGAGAGTCCAGCTCTTGGCCCATCAAGGATGACTTTTCTCTCCATCGCGCCACCTTGCCGTCCAAAAAGTCGAAGAACAGCCCGAATGGCATTAGACCGAAGGCGAGCCAGAGATTTGTGAGATCGCTCGGGTCTGCGAGACAGTACCGCATCGAGGAGAGAATGGACATGACTGGAATAAAGGTCAGCTGCATGGCCAAAGCCCTGTAGTAAGAGACGCACATCCACAGAAGCCTGATCCAGTATTAGCATGAATATCCTGTTTCTCGACATTGTGACGTGCTCACCATTGAGTTCAGTGATCAGATCAGCGAGATGAAGCGCCCTACAAAGCGATCAGTCTTGACCGCACCCGAAGGTGCCGGCGAGCGCACCTAATCAGACTGAAATGCCCAGCGTCCTGAGATAACAGCATTGCTTGCTTCGACTGAGCATTGTCCTTGGGTTGCGCAGGAGTTTGTTTCTCGCCGCCGTTGGTAGACCCCGCCCGTCGCGACATGGCTTCGGTGCTCGAGTGGTAGAAGGCGAAAGGCAAGTCTAGAGATGAGGGTCTAAGATCAGACACGAGAGAAGCAAAGGAAACGAGCAGGGCGACACTACAGCGGACAACAGACAAAGTGATCTAAAGCACGAGGAACGCGGTGAATTTGGGGACTTTTGAGAAACCAAGGCACAGCCGCAGTCAATCACGGACCGACACGCAAACTTCAGGCTGTGCGGCTCGTGTCGTCATTATGCAGCGTCTGTGGCTTTTGGCATCGGGAACCATCAAACGGAAGAAAAAAGTACCGTCACGTGCCAGGAACAAAGATGCCAATGCTGGAGAATTCGAGGCACTCCAGCCCTTTCGCGCAGACGAGAGATCTCGAGTGGGATTCCATGGTGCAAATACAAGGGAACCATCAGTCCATGTGTATTGGTAACCGCCGTCAGCCTTCGCCCAGTTCCAGGCCATCTCTGACCACACAACTTTTATCACGGGTATCCTTCCTAACGCCGGTACTATGCGAAACAGAGGCAGAGACATTTGACAGGTCAAACAGTGCTTCACCATCTGCCGCGACCTCTTGAGCCAAACCCACCACCTCTCGCCGAGCCTCGTCCCCCTGGTGCTCCTCCACGACCTCCACCTCTAGGAGCACCTCGAGCACCACCACCAAAAGAACCCCTGCCTCTGGGTGCTCCCCTGCCGGGTGCCCCTCGTCCTCTGCCTGCTCCTCTTCCTCCTCTCATGCCTCCTTGTGCACCTGCCGCCTTCCTGACCTTTGACGCACCTGTTCAAAGTGTAAGCCACACGTATGCCAGAGGACTCTGCAATAGACTCACCTGGCGGCGGTTTGGGTTTGGGTAAGAACCTGTTGGTCGATCCTTAGCACGCGACGCTTCTCCCAGAGATAGTTCAGACCTACTTCTCCAGCGGTAATAACTTGTCCCCTCCAATGTAGAATTTGTCACCCTTCTTAAACGACGTCGCTTGAATCCCCTCTTGCGGCTTGATTGTGAAGTAGACTTGGTTGATGGGTCCCAAGATCTCATCCACCTTCCCTATGGTAGTCTATACCGGTCAGAGTGGTACAGACAAGTCGGAGAGGGTCTCTGTACCTTGTTCTCGAGGTAGATGGGGGCGTTGAAATAGGGTATCTTTGCGTTGACGGACTCGCAGACCATTTCACCTTCGGTGGCGTGCACGAAGGTGCCCATTTCTACAGCAAAATTAGTCTCGAACAAGTCGCAGACACATCCAGGCCCTTACCAAAGACTTGTGCAGGCGGTCCAAAGCTCTGTTGTTGAAACCCACCACGCCCTGCTCACCACCACCAGTCAGTCACATTTCTCCGCCGCAGGGAAAAGTGCGCGCAATTTCGAGATTCGGGGGGAGAGATTATTTTACCTCCACCTCTTCCACCAAACGATCCTCTTCCTCTATCACCACCTCTGAATCCGCCACGTCCTCGCGCATCACCTCGGAAGGCCATTGTTGTTGTGGACAGCGGGAGTTGTGGCAGGCTGTCCTTGAATCTTGGGGAAAATAATTTTGCTGCAGCTGCATCTGCATCTCCATGTTTAGAGCGGTGGTCGGACGGCACGTGACTGACACCTCATTTTTACGGACTGCCACACGTTCCCATACCCACCAGTGCCACCCAGGTGGCATAATATTCAATCTCCATACATCTCCACTCCGATCTTTCGCTATGAGCCACCAGAAGAAAGTCAGCCTCAATCCTCACGATCTCTGGGGGGTTTTGAAAGGTGACGGTATGACTCAAAACGGCTCCGCTGGCCCTGACTCATCTGCCCCTGAGGCCAACACATCAAAGAGACCCGTGAGCCCAACTTCCACCAAGAAACTTCCCAACAGACCGAAAGAAATGTCTACTCAAGCGGCGCCTCCTGCGGCGCATCAAGCGCCCAAATCACTCCCTGACTTCATTGTGGAAAGAAACCAGCTCTTCGACCAGCTGAAGAAGCAGCGTGATGAAGAACTCGCCAGCAGGGAGAAACCAACAATTCAGGTCAACCTCGTTCCCGCACCGGGCCAGGAGACCACTGTCGAGGGCAAGGCCTGGGAAACCACGCCGGGTCACCTGTTGAGGAATCTGCCCAAAGACCGGGCTGGTCAAGTCGTGGTGGCCAAAGTCGATGGTCAACTCTGGGATCTAGACAGGCCGCTGGAAAAGGACAGCAAAGTGTCATACCTCACGTTTGACGACCCCGAAGGCCGTGATGTCTTTTGGCACTCTTCGGCCCACGTGCTTGGTGAATGTGCCGAGCACGAGTACGGCTGCCGCCTCTCCCATGGCCCTCCTACGGCTATGGGTTTCTTCTACGACATGGCGCTCGAACCTGGCAAAGCCGTCCGTGAAGCCGAGTGGCCCTCTCTGGAGAACCGTGCGAAGAGATTCGCAAAGGACAAACAAGCTTTCGAACGTCTCGAAGTCTCCAAGGACAACCTCCGCAAGATGTTTGGCTACAGCAAATATAAGATGCACTACATTGAGAAGTTTGTGCCCGACGGGGAGTCCTCCACGGTGTACCGCAACGGCACACTGGTGGATTTGTGCCAGGGGCCGCATATCCAAAACACTCGCAAAATCGAATCCTTCAAGATCATGAAGAACAGCTCCGCGTATTTCCTGGGCGACCAGAACAACGACTCCCTTCAGCGCATTCACGGCGTCGCTTTCCCCACGAAACAACAACTGAAAGACTGGGAACATTTCCTCGAGGAGGCCAAGAAGCGCGATCACCAGGTCATTGGCCAACAACAGAAACTATTCATGTTCAGTCGGGTGTCTCCCGGTTCACCCTTCTTACTACCCCATGGGACTCGCATTTTCAACGCCCTCCAACAAATGCTTCGCGATCAATACTGGGAACGCGGCTACCAGGAGGTCCAGTCCCCCAACATGTACGACGTGGACCTATGGAAAACCTCGGGCCACTGGCAACATTACCAAGACGACATGTTCCGGGTGATAGTGAAGGATGACTCTGCCGAACCCATGCCGTTGAGCGACAAGAAACCAGACGGCAAAACCCCTCTCGCGGAAATCAAGGATAAGGACAAGGGCGTTTTCGCCCTGAAACCGATGAACTGTCCGGGTCACTGCGTCATGTTCGGCGACGAAGAGCGGTCCTATCGCGAGCTCCCTTGGCGGGTGGCAGACTTTGGTGTCCTTCATCGTAATGAGGCCTCGGGTGCTCTCTCTGGGCTCACCCGGGTACGCAAGTTCCAGCAAGACGACACGCACATCTTCTGCACCAACGAGCAGGTGCAGTCCGAAATCGAGGCGCTGTTCGACTTCATGTCTCACGTCTACAGCCTGTTCGGGTTTCAGTTCAAGCTGAAATTCTCCACCCGGCCCGAAGGATACATGGGCACGTTGGAGGACTGGAACGCTGCTGAGGCTCGCCTGAAGCAAGCTCTCATCAACTTCCGCGGTGACGACTGGGAGATGAACGAGGGGGACGGCGCCTTCTACGGCCCAAAGATTGATGTTACGATCTCCGACGCGCTGGGCAGAGAGTTCCAGTGCGCGACCATCCAGCTGGATTTCCAAGGCCCCCAGAACTTCAAGCTCGAATACCGCACCAGCGAATCCGGCGATGCCATCGCCCAGCAGTCCGAGGAACACCGCGAGCGCGATCCAAAGGCACCAGCACCGGGCATGGCGCGCCCCGTCATGATCCACCGCGCCATCATCGGCTCCTTTGAGCGCTTCATCGCCATCCTGTGCGAACACTTTGCGGGCAAGTGGCCATTCTGGCTCTCCCCTCGCCAGATCCTGGTCATCCCCGTCATGAAGTCCGCCGAGGATTACGTGCGAGAGATCCAGGCGATATTCCACAAGGCGCGCATGTACGTGGACATCGACGTCAGTGGGAACACGCTGCAGAAGAAGATCCGGAACGGGCAGCTGGCGCAGTATAATTTCGTCTTTGGTACGTATTCCCTCTCTCACCCAAGACTTTACGGGAAACTCTTTCTCTTCTTCTCCCCTCTTTTACTCTTCCCAGCCGCTGCACCCCCGTACTGACTTGTGTGTCTAGTCGTCGGCGCGAAAGAAAAGGAAACCCGCACCGTCAACATTCGAAACAGAGACGACCCGGCCACGCAGAAGATGGGCGAACTGATCCCGCTCGAGAAGGCGCTGGAGAGGCTGACCCAGCTGCGTGACGAGAGGAGGCTTGAAAACAAGATCGACATGACTCACTAGGTCGCTTGCCCTGTTTGCCATCAAGCCAGCCAGATACCTCGCAAGCCACTAGCCACGCACCCAAGTCAGATAGAACGAATCAGCAAAGCCCAATGAGCGAAGAGATGGATAGAAGCAAGATCAATATGAGACGAACACGTAGATGTTGACGGCCTCTGATATAACAAAAAAAAGCTTCGTTAGCTGTGCACATCCGCAAGATCGTTGTTGAGCTTGAGCGGAGAAAGTATCGGCAATGGAAATCAGGCGCCGAAAGAGATAGATTGTCACGATCAAGGTCAGCAAGCATGCACACGGCGACTCGAAGACATTGCAGGAGAATCCTCAACTCTGGAGAGGCGTGTTCCCGAGTGAAAAAGAACACCAGGACGTTGGCTCCGAAGAGAGACATATTCAGACCGAATTGACTTCAACTTTCCTCATGTCCTGGAAATTCCTTTTCTGCTCTTCTGCTCTTCCTTAGATCGGTGAATCGACCTCTCTTATAACATTGCCATTCTCGGGAAAGGGATGACTGTTGTTCAGTTCATTCCACAAGCATGCATTTTATATTTACACACAAGACACATCCAGAGGTGCGTTCGTCCAACGAGAGAAAGCCATAGACCCTCTGGGAACAAAATGCTTCTAGGACAAGACTTAGGCGGTCTGCTCAGGAGATTCGCCCTCCGCGACAACTGGGACAGGCAATCCTCGACTGGGACTCTGCAAAACCAGGGCCTCATGCCTTCTTGCCCGCAAAAAGTCTGATACGGCCCGGATCAAAATAAACCAACCAATAATCATGAGAATGTAGGAAATCCAATCTGCGCTGGTGAAACCACCCATCCCGCTGCTTCCTCCGGAAGACTGATCTCCGCCGCCATTGACGGCGTTGGGGTCAAAGCTGTGACTATTCGGATCTGGCGGGCTGGAGTTTGAAAACTGTCCCGGATTTCCAGTGTCGGATGGGCCATCGTTGGAACCGCTCATATAAAAGCCATATTGTACAAGGGTCAGGCCTAGGCCGGCACGACTTCCATGTTTGGCGGCGTGAGTGGTATGAAGTAGATAAGTGAGCAGGAATCCGACAAGTTGGAAGGACATGGAGATCATGCCGTTCCACACAAACGAGAAGACAGATCCAACGGGCAGACCGTCGACATAGACTTCGTCCGAGGACATTCCAGGCGCAAGAATAGTAGTTTCCCAGTAAGGAGGCGTCGCATCAGCGGCGGCTTGTTCATATGTCTAATAATAGTCAGTGTCATCGTGTGGAGAGTGTTTCGGGCGCTTATACGTACAGGAGGCTTTTCTTCAACTTGGTCACCACGTTCAGGTTTTGCGGATAAATTTGCAAAAACACCATCGGTGGCTCTCATGGATGCAGGCATAGGTCTGAAGACGGGGAGTTCCGTCACTCTTCGTTCAATCGTAGGCGCCGGCCGGGTATCGGGAACAGAGGTTGATGAGGGGGAGGCATCTTGTCTGGAGAGTCCAGTATCGGCTCTCATCAATCGTTGTCTGTCGTCGCCATCATTCTCGACATCGGAGCCCTCGCCATCGTCAAAAGTGTCCTCTAAATGATCTTGATCGGCGTGAGTAGATAACGGATCCTGCGCTAATAGGCGCCTGGAGGTAGGTGAGGAGGCTCTGGACCGGAATGACGGTGGAGGGGAGGATGGAATGGGTCGGGGAGTATCTGGAGAGACAGGAGAATCGACGTCGTCGTCGTGCGTGTTTAGCTGAGGAGTGTTAGTGATGTGACTGGCCAACCAGGCCGTGATGGTAGAGAATAACATACTGCTTCATATCGTTGAGGGGCCATTTCAGGCCAGGCAACCCCGTAGGTGTATCCTCAATGCGCTGAAGAATGAAGGAGACTGAAGTTCTGAGGATAACTGAGGAAAGCCGGATGGTGTGTATGAGGGAAATAGGGAAATAGGGAAATCGCGAAGCCGGGGATGATGGACGAGGTGAGGGAAGGAATGATGTGGAAGTGGAAGGACGAAGACCCGAGGGCGAGGGCGAGGGCGGTGTTGAGATCCTGACGGTACCGAGTGCAGAGGCAGAGGGCACAGGCGCAGGCTGGCTCAAAGGCCCTAATAACGCCCAGCACCCAGCGGGCAAGCGGCCTTGTTATTGTGGGCAGACACTGGATCGACCATCATCCGCCACCGCCATGCCCGTTTCCGGTATAGCCTGGTGCATTTGATTACAGGACTCGGGGGCGCTCTAGAGGGCGTCATCAAAGTATTGCTAATGAACTTGTCCGATCTTTTGGTAGAGCAGCCCCTAGCTCCGACGACTGACAATTCAAAATCTGTCCCACAGCCTCACCATGGCAGCTAATCAGTCGGTAAGTCCAGGAAGAGGACCTCAAGTCAACCCAGCTCATCTCTGTTTAGGTCGTTTTCAAGCACTGGGCGCACATCATCAAGCAATGGCCCCTCGACCGTGTCCGCCCGGCTCATGTCCATTTCCAAAAGGTCATGCAGTCCCGTCTGCAAAAGCTCCAATCACCTGCTCCTGCTGCGGCTTCTTCCAAGTCTAACGATGCCCTCGTGACGCCTGTCGAACCATTTAATGAGCAAAAAGAAATGCGACAAGTCAATGCTCTGTACTCGCTGCTTGAAGATCGATACGCGAAGGAATACCCTCTCCCGCAATCTGTCCGCCAGCCTAAAAGCAATGTTTCCCACTATGATGATTTGATCAGGGAGCTGGACGAAGCGCCAGGAAGATCATGGGTCACGTCCTTCTGGAATCGTCTCAAGGGCTCCGTGCGATTGAGATGAGAGAGAAATTGGTAAACGAATGCTGTCACCTTGCCCGCGTCCTCTTTCAATAGACCGACTTTACCTGCATGAAGCTACAAAGAGAGGTTCTACGGTCCGAGACGACATACGCTTTAAAGAGTCCGCAATTGGATCCCGGATGAGCGGCTGAGTTCGACCTGTACAGTGGACAATTTCACCCTCGACTTTGTGCTGCAACAGAATCCAGTTGGCAGCAGCATGAGGGAAGGGGCTGAGCGCAAAGCGTTGGACTAGATCCATTGAATGATGGTTTCCAGGACTCTTGTCCAGAATACCTGGCTTTCCTAGGTTAGAAGAAGGCTTATGCATGGCCTGATCAACCTGACTCCGGCGGCGAAGCCCAACGGGCAGCTCTAACCATCTGCTGCGCTGAAAGGGAGAAGTCAGACCGTTCTCGGACCTAAACCCTTCTTGGTGGCCTCCGACGACCTCGAATCGGCCTCACATGATCATGTCTGCGTTCGTCAAGGACGGCAAACCCAATTCTTTGGGTATCGGTATACCCGCGGACATGGGTTGCGCAATTCATCGATCCGCTCCAAGTGTCCCGTCAGCACAAGTCTTTTTTGGTATAGACATCAGAGCAAGCGACCAAGGTCATTGGTATACTGGACGCAGAAAGGACTGTTCCGGACCCAGTGGTGATCCGATCCGGTGTCAATTCCTCATGAAACATAGCGCTGGTCCCATAGAAGTTCACAGGCGCGGGCCACGACGTGGAGGGCCAGGCGACTATGCATAATATTGAGCAATGAAAGAAGAGAGATGTCGCAAGATGATAGTGGCACATTCGCACATCAGCTGTCCATCAAAGTCATCGCCTGCCACGAGGGATGCATTGTCAGTCACAAGACTCGATTGGCACAAATGACATTCTATGCATGTGCCTCAAACCGTGAACCCGTTCTATTGTTATATTTTACTGCCCAACCTCGCTGCTCCTCCACCCATCTCCATTGCGGCGACGCCCTCATCTTCCAGCGTCTCGGTCACAAATCTGACCATGTGCGGCACCATGCTGCTGGGCACGTCATGCCCGATCCCTTCGAAGACGACATCCTCCAGCACAAAGCCACTGCCCTCGAACCAGCCCCCCTTCCCACTGATCGCCTTGAGCCAGTCTATAAACGGCTTCGAATGGGCGTAGGGCACCAATTTGTCCGCTCCGCCAGAGAGGTTCAAGAGGCGCTTGTTGCCAAAACACCTCGTCATGACGGGCAGCAGAACGGCCCTCTCCTCCTCGGTCAGGTCGGCGTGCAGTTTTTCTTGGTCCTTTCGCCAGTTCAGCCCGGGCAGCGACCAGATCAACCCGGCGGGGTCGGACTTCTTGATCGCGTCCACCAGCGCGGGCGGGAAGTCCGCGGAGCCCAGGAAGTCGCGCCCCGGCGGGGACGAGGACGTGTAGGTCTTGCGCTTCGACAGTCGCGCGCGGTCGGTCATCAGGCGCGTGTAGTCCGGGCAGCCGATGGTGACGACGGCGGCCGAGATGCGCGGGTCGTGCATGAGGACGTGCCACGCCGCGTGGCCGCCGAGGCTGATGCCCAGGACGAGGTTCTGCACGATCCGCCTCGGGTCGCTCGCGCCGCCGAAGATGTACCCCGGCAGGTAGTCCAGCAGCAGCGACGTGTCGAGCGCGGTGCCCGCGTAGCAGCTGAACATGTCCAGGGCGTGGTGCTCGTTCCCGGACCGCCAGGCCTCGTTGGCGATCGCGGACACCAGGCGCGAGCCGTGGTTCCGTTGGTCGAACGACGCGGCAATCAGGCCCTTCTTCTTGCCTCGCCCGCTCCGTGACTTCGCCTGGTGCTTGTTCCACTCCGAGATGATGTGCGCCGCAAACGGCGCCATGCATGCCTGCGTTTGCAGACGCGGGTGCAGCAGCCAGAGGACGGCGATGTCGGTGGTGCCCCAGGGCACCTCATCAAGACCGAAAACCGTCACGAGAATCCCGGCTATATGGTGCGTACTCGAGGATATGGGTTCGGGGTGCGGTATCGAATGGGCCGTGGACCCGCCACTCGATGTGGGAGGAGGTCCGTAGGTCGAAGCCACTGGGTTGGGGGTTGCCTTGGACATTTCTTGGAGGCTGGGGCAGAGAGGGAGGGAGGAAAGAATGCAGGAAGATGTTTAGGAAGCGATGTGATCGTTGAACAGAGTCAATGGGAGGCGATTGTCAGACATCCAATGTGCCGCGGCTTCGGCGCACTTCCGATGTGCGGGGACAGGTTGGTGAGAGATTTCCAGGTCGTTACTCCAATAATGACAAGAGACAACAGTCGTCAAAAGCCTCGTATCTAAACGTGCGTCTATTTCTTGCGCGCTAGCATTGTAGGGTCGACGCCTATGTAATAAGTCTTCGGATAGTGGCTCGTACATAGACATTTCATTCCTCGAACTCCCCCGCTGCATTGAGCTCTAGAAAACCTCCACGCATTGACACAGAAGCATTCGACTGAACCGCCCTCGTTGATCTCACAAAATACAATCATGACTTGCGAAACGAACCTCCGTAGCATCAAACAAGTCGAAATTTGGTTCGTCCCAACGAGATCCGTGATCGGTCATCTATTATACCTCGCCAGGGTCTCCATGATATTCTGTACGTTCTGTTGGGATTGTTGCCCAGTTGCATAAGCCGGTGGGCCAGGTACATAACCTTGTTGCTGTGGCTGCTGCTGGTGCGGCGGACCGTGTGGAGAAGGGAATGGTGCTCCTCCATGGCCCTGCTGTTGGCGGGCAACGTTACTTAAAAGCCCTGCCAGATCGGGAGTTGGTTTGCCATTTGGCGTGGCGCTGTCTGGCAGTCCATCACCAGGCTGCCGAAGATTTGCTAGCAGTTGCTGCAGATTTGGGGCAGCTGTAGCAGAAGTCGGAGTCACGGGCGTTTGTGCCGGGTTATGATAGTGGGCGTTCTGGCCGTATTGATACTGGTTGTGCTGTTGCGGTTGTTGTTGTTGCTGGTGTTGGGGGAATGGTGCTGGCGGGTACTGTGCCGGTGGAGGAGGATAGCCATATTGGGAATATCCTTGTGGCTGATACGATTGAGGACTTTGCTGCACGCTTCCTCGTTCTCTTTGTCGAGCATGGAGCACAATGTCTGCGGCAACGGGGACATCAAGGTCAACATATTCATTAAAGTTGACATTCGATGTCCCTTGACTTCGATCGAAAACCTGCAAGGGTATCTTGCTGTTGTACTGATTGGTTTGTGTCAGTTTCACAACAGCCTGCACACCTTCAATAATTTGCCGCTTCACAACAGCGTTCAGAGGTAGTCGAGGACTGAGCCATATTGTCGAAGCACGTAATCCTTTGTTACGGAAGCCTTGTTCGATCCAGTTCATGAAGCTTGGGGCCACTGAAGGTTCCAGGATGAGCAGCTGCACGTCCGGCACATCTCGCGGGTCTCTTCGAGGCAAGGGAAGAGTAGCCTCCTCATCGTATCCTGCCGAGGGTGGGTTGGAGAAGTTGCTAGTAAAAGGCGAAATGGGTCTTCCACCAGTACCATAACGAGGACTTTGGGCAGGCTGCCGGTAGTCATCTCTGGACCGATAGCCTCGAGGTGAGGGGCTTCGTCGATACTCCTCGCGCCTACCTCGCTCATCTCGGAAATCACTATAGTTAGGACGCCCAAATCGATCGGCCTGACGCGAGGTACCACGATCTGGCGACCGAGATCGACGTCTTTTGTTTCCTTGCTGGCCCTGTTGGCTTCGCGTGTTCTTCTGAGGCTTCGATATCTCGAGGTGAATCTTCCTTCCTCTAATTTCGACGCCTTGTTCCGCTTGAAGCGCTGCTTGACACGACGAGGCCTCAAGATACTGGACGAACCCATATGCCTGTTTAATGGAGATCTGGGCAAGCCTCCCGTGCTTGTGGAAAATGTGAAAGATATCACGCTTGGTGACCTTTTCACTTGGCAGATTACCAACAAAGAGACGTGATCCCTGGGGAAACTTGTCCCAGATCCCTTCCGTCACATACCTCCGTTCGTCCTCAAGGAAAGAGTCATAAAGCGCTTGTGTGCCGGGGGTCCACGGGCGTTCATTCGCATCAAACGCCCTGCCTTGGTCGGGCGCCTGGAGAGACTGGGCAGGAGAGGTAGGCTCAGTGCTTGTGGGTGATGTTTGAATGCCAGAATACGCCCATGTGCCCGGAGCTTGCGTCGGAACAGATTGAGGTTGGAACAGCGCGGGCGCAAGAGCAGATTGATCGGTGCCGTTGGCATTGGCGTGGTCTGGACTCACTTGCTGAGATTGCCCCAATTGGTCGATGCTGGGATTAGGAAACGTGTGAACAGCGGGAGAATCTGAAGATTGTGCTTGAATTGGTGGCTTGGGGGGTAAACCTGGAATGGGAAGTAATGATTGGGCTCCTTGGTTGGCAAGCGAAGTGGCAGTAGTTGGGGCAGAGACAGGGTCTGCAGCAGGAGCAGTAGAAGCAGATTTAGAAATGGTTTCCAGAAGCGACTGATAGTCTACTCCACCTTCATTTGTTTGAAAGCTGGGCTTTACAGCGGGCTCTGCCTCAGACCTGCTCTCTCCATCGGCTTGTGCAGTGTTGCTGGTATCAGGATTGGCAGGAAGATCAGTGGCTGACGAAGTATCATTGTTCGTTTGCGCAAAATCTTGGACCTGGCTGGCAGCATCTGGAGGCGATTTGGCATGGGTCTCAGACGGCTGTGGATACGCAGAAGCGTTTGCAAGGGCTGAAAGAAGACTGGATGCGACAGCGGCATCATTCTGGATCATCTGGCCATTCGTAGAGGGGAACCGGGCAGAATCGTCGAGACGAGTGTTTTCTTCCTCGGCGCCTCTCAGGAAATTTTGGACAGCGTCTTGCTCTTCAGAGTGTGGATCGTTTGTATCATTCTCATTCATAGCGCGAGCAGAGTCTGAGTAAGGAGAGAAAGTTTGGTTATGAGGGATGTTATAGGTCTCGGTGTCATTGAAAACCGGGTCCATCTGGTTCAGCAGCACCGGGATCGTTGAGGGTTCAGGGATATGGACCGGACGAGGGGATTCGGGCGTCTGAGATCTACCAAAGCGTTGGGCTTCTGGTGGAGGGTCTGCATCAGTCATCTTGAGGCGGCGAAGGCGGTGCAAGTCATGTTCAGGGCAAGGTGAAGGAGAAAGCTGCCTGATCAGGCTGTTGACGCGGGGAAGAAAGGCTGAAGAAAAGTTGGACAAGTCAAAAGCAGTCCGGCGACATCAGCGCATCAAATGGAGATGAGAAGAAACGGGAAATGAAGACTGAGCTTGAGTATGGTGGTAGATTTGGCGATAGACCGTCTGTCGAAAGTGATGCGAAGTTGCTTGTCAACGACTCGGTAACAGCAGCGCGCAGAAGCAAGAGTCGCAAGAACGACAGAAGAGACGCAGTTGCACTATTTCAGTTTCGATTAGCCGACTATTCCATGTACAGTTAGTTCTTCCGGCTAACATGCCACAGATGATTATGGAGACATGAGGCTGACAATGGCTTCCGCGGCTTTGGCTGCTATTTGCTCCTCCGCCGCCAGAACATGTGTCGCCTCTGGCCGACGAGAACTCTCTACAAAACGCTTCCTCTCTGGAGATTGTATTCCGCAAAATCTGGGAGTTTAGAATCCGAATACGCGGCGGCAAGGGAGTGGTACAGCAGAGTCAACGCTCTACAGCATCTGCGCGATGTTGGAGAGGTAACTTATGCCCGATCCAGCGGTCCTGGCGGCCAGAATGTCAATAAGTACCGTCACCTTCAGCTTTTAGTCGACGAGTGGTTCTGACTTGGCTGCTGCAGAGTCAACTCAAAGGCTCAGCTGCGCATCCCCATCGATCGTCTCCTCCCTCTAATTCCTGCTGTTCTACACCGAGGCATCTTGTCCTCCCGGTATTACGCTGAGAAGTCGTCGAGTTTGGTCATTCAGGCAGACGAGAGTCGAAAGGCCCAAGCAAATAAGGACTCCTGCTTTCGGAAGCTCAATGAACTAATATTGGACGTGTATAAGAACAACGTCCCTGGGGAGACAACAGACGAACAGAAGGAAAAGGTGAAAAGGTTCCAAAAGGCAGAAAATGAGGCCAGATTGAAAATGAAGAAGTTCCAATCAAGTAAAAAGCAATCGAGGTCAAAAGGGGGAGATATGGATTGACTAAGTCGGTTCAGGCACGCCCAAGGACTTGATAACAGAGTCTGCCACTGTTCTAATTGCAGGATCCAGATCCGATGTTTGAAGGATCTTCTCAAGCGAACCCTTGGCCCAGCCGATCAACTCAGGGCTGTTGGATTTCCTGCGAGCCTCCTTCAGTCGGACCAGCATATCTCTGAGAGCGGACGGGAAGTCGGCAGAAGTAGGGCGAATCGAGACAAGTGGTAGTTGTACATGGCACGCGTGGCTGCTCCAACTCTGCGGGTATTCCTTCAACAAGAGTGCCGTCACATGGTCTGCAACTTTTCGGCAAGCTGGAATGTCGTCGTATTCGAGAAGCATCTTGAAAAAGTCCAAGCCAAACTTCGGGTCGAGAAACTGAGCCATAGCAGCGTCGAAGATTGCGACTGGAATGGCGCCACTCAGGGCGGGTGTCGATTCCAGCTTCTGGAGGGCAGAGGTGTCAACATCGTCGTTCTCGCTGTTCAGGGAGATGTCCATAGCCGTTAGTCTCGGCAAGCGCAGAAGATTCTCATCTGCATCCCCTGGGTGTGCTTGTCCTGGTTGATCGGCGTCCCTGGTGGTGATTCCCAGGACTTCTCGACGGAGGTGAATCTTTGCGACATAAGACATTTCCAGTCTCGCATACTCCAACCACATGGCTCTTGACCCTTTACAAAATCGAAGACCACGTTGCATGTAGCTCCTTGCTTCAGTAATGTCACCATTCTCTTCCATCGCATATTGGGCGGCATGAATCCACAAGTCGGCCTTTGTAGGGTGTAACCGAAGCACATGTGTCAACATCTCTTGCAACTTTTTGTATGCCTTCTGCTTCCTCGCAAAATCTATTGCCTCCATCCAAAGACCTATGTCACCGGGATGCTTGCGAGTGCCGCGGTCAAAGACGAAGAAGATACGACGCTTGCCATTGTGTGCCGTGGATTTGATTCCCAATCTCTTCACTCTCTTGCGCCTCAATGCATCAACATTCATCTCGAACTCGGCATAGCGAGCGAAATCCGCGGGCGTGGATCCGCGTGCGTTGATCTTGTGCTCGAAATCAGATCGCTTGCGGGCGATGCTGGTAATCTCCTGCGCGCTGAAGATACCTTTGCGTTCGTATTCTTTGAGCTCTGGTACCGACTGTTCGAGGAAAAAGCGAGCCTTGTCACTTGCGGCAGCCATAATGTTGTTTTGGCAGGTATTTCTGCTAGAACACTCGTAATGATCAGAGAATAGTGGTTTTGGCGCGACTTTTTTTCTGGTGAGGAATAAATTGACCCGCAGTTTTCCCGCTTAGCTGCTTAGGCTGCGGATAATCAGGGGGTTTGCGAAGTCACTGACCTTTCCTCTGTCCCCCATGCGCAGCTTGTACCGTTATTCGAACTCTTGACCTTTGCCCACGCCTTCTTGTCACTCTTTCACTCTTTTCTTCTTGTTCTCCAGATGCGGCTGGTCGTCTTTTAAATCCCACTGACATACCCAATGGCGCCCAGGAAGGACGGGGACGTGGTGTTCTCTGTAAGCATCCGAAACTGCGTCTCCTTTTGCTCGAGGTAACTGACGGTCCGCAGTTCAATGGCAAATGGGTGTCATGGACTCATACAGTGGTCGCGTACGCAGCATTCATCGGAGCATTGATTGTCGGCGTTTCCCTCCACTTCCACAAAATCGTGCAGAACGAGCACTATGGATACCCTGATGAATGGTTTCCTTCCGTCTCGGCCACCATTGGCGATCGATACCCTGAGCGATCAGTCTTTATGGTCTTCATTGCCATTACCTCCGGACCTCGATTTGTCCTCGTCGCCTTATGGTACTTTCTCACGAGGAGACCCAACTCGAACCTGCCGGTGATAATCGCGACCACCGGTTTACTGAGAACGTTGACATGCGGAGGATGGACATACGTGACATCTACGGACGACCATGACTGGCATGATATTTTCATGATTTCCTACCTAGTTTTCACACTACCTTGGACGCTGGGCTGCCTTGCTTTGAGTCCGCCAAATCCGAAAGCTGTCAAATATCGTAAAATTTTGGCGAGCTTGTTCTTTGGCACTCTTGTTCCCTTAATCTATTTCTTCATCCAGCACAAAATCCACAAAGTCGCGGGCGGTGAGTCTCTCAACCACAAACAGGGCATCAGCTGATTTCTCCAGCGTACACCATCTACGCCTTCTTTGAATGGTCTCTGATCTTGTTCGACGTGGCTTTTGATGCGGTCACTGCGTTTGACTATGAAACCTTCGAATTCGTGATCAAAGATGTTAAAGGCTCCACCAGAGGGTACGTGCAGTTGCTCCCAAAATACTCAAATGTACGGACAAGTCGAAGTTTGGCTTGGTGACTCACTAATCCTTCTCCAGTGACGCGAAACCGTTGAAGGATGCCTTAAAAGAGAAGGAGTGAGTTCAAGTTGTTATTCTGTTGGCTCTGCTAATGGAGTCCAGACGCGAGAGCCCTCTGATCCAGACTTCCACCTTCGATGGCCCATACTATTGGCCCGCAATGCTGAACGCGACTGCCGACATTCTCCATGGATTTTTCTTCTGGTCTATTCTCACTTCGCTCGGTGTCCTGATTTGGTACTTCCCACTCTGGCATATGGGGATCTCTGGGTACGAGGTCATGGTCATGTCTCCTGCTTCTCCTCTGATACTCGCCATCCCATTTGTCCGGTCTCTTGCGATCAAGCATCTTCGTTGGCTTCATATGTCTTCCCTCGTGGGGCTTGTGGCTTGGTTGGTAAAGGACCCAGCGTATCGTTTGTTCACCGTATCATTCGCTGTCATGTTGGGTTGCATAGCCTGGTCAGCAGAGTGGTACGCTGAGCGCAGAAACTCGGCGCGGCTTCAGAGGAGAATCCTAGCGTGGGGCATTGGATTCGTGCTTTCGAGCATCGCCAAGTTCGCGAATCACACCAACAATCCCGTCTGGCCAATACTGCATTCCGGAATTGGTGGCTGGAACAAGACTGGTCTGGTAATAGCCCTGGCTGCCGTGTGGCGCTCTACCCGGCCAGACGCCTTCAGTGGAGGAGACTACGTTCCGCCAAATGCGAAGAAAGGGTCAAGTTTGTTGGCTGGACTCGGTCTGGGAGGGCTCTTCTTCTCCATGCACTCTCTGCTCTCAGATTCCAGCACCATGATTCTGTGGGTCTGGGAGGGCTATCCAGTACGAGGTCCGTTGGCAGTACCCCACGGTGCGGTCACGATTGTCGTGATGAGCCTTGGGTTGTTTCTGGGATCTGCCCTCCCTGGCTTTTTCGGGTCGTGGACGGCCTACGGGTTGGGAGCTGTTGGCGCAGCCTTGCTCACCTGTTATGGTCACTGGACCGGCTATTATGGCGCTTTGATTCTTGCCTCCTACACGATGGGAGTTGCTCCAGTGCTTATCTCATCCGCTGCCCAGCACAGCCCGGCGTCTACCTTTGGCTTTGGCTATTTCATGTACAACATCATGGTTCTCTTCCATGTCTGGGTTGTGGCCTATGCATTTGTCCCAGGAGGGCCACTAGTCCGAGAACACACAGATTGGGTCATGATCACCATGATGCTCCTGATCGGTGCCGGTGTCTTTTCAGCCTTGACCACCAACTTGGTCTACCAGCCGAAAAGCAAGCCGAGTCCTCGTGGACGGAAGCAATCCAGCTACTATCTTCATGTTCTGCTTGTTCTGCAGCTGTTGACGGCCTCGATCGCGTACCTACGCTTCCCAACCTACGATTATGCACCATACCATCCAGAGGAGAAACTTATAACCGCGGGCATCTGGACTATCCACTTTTCGTTGGACAATGACGACTGGTCGTCTGAGCGGAGGATGCGAGATGCCATCAAGGAATTAGAGTTGGACGTGGTCGGACTGCTGGAGTCTGATTTGCAACGAATCATCATGGGCAACCGCGACACCACACAGTATCTTGCCGAGGATTTGGGCATGTACGTTGATTATGGTCCTGGGCCGAACAAGCATACCTGGGGGTCGGCACTGCTATCCAAATTTCCCATTCTCAACTCGACTCACCACCTTCTGCCTTCGCCGGTCGGCGAACTTGCGCCGGCGATTGAAGCTACGCTGGATGTTTACGGAACTCAAGTTGATGCATTTGTCTTCCACTCGGGACAAGAGGAAGATCCCGAAGACCGACGACTTCAGACGGAGTACTTGTCGAAGTTGATGGGTGCGACGCCTCGCCCCGCGATCTTGCTCAGTTACCTGGTGGTCAAGCCGGGAGAAGGCAACTACAACACCTACGTCAGTGAACTGAGTGGAATGCACGATATTGATGTTCGTGATTGGGATCGGTGGTGCGAGTACATCTTGTACAAGGACATCAAGCGCGTGGGGTATGCCCGAGTCAGCAGGGGTACCATTACAGACACTGAGATCCAGGTAAGTATCCATTGAGACGCGGGTTTACTGAACATCACTAATGAGAGACAGGTGGGCAAATTTGTTGTCGGAGAGCCGGCTTCATACACGGACGAGAGAATCTCTGAGGAGCAAGTCCCGCCCGGGCGGAGATTCCCAGCGTTGTTCCGGGGCGAGGGCGTCCGTGGACACAGATACCATGTCTTCGATGAGCCATGGTATTATGCATAAAGGGGGGGAATTCATGTGTTGGGATAATGCAGCTGGCAGTTAATTGTTCTGTAGCATGACAGGCCCGGAGCCTAATATGATGCGGCCACAGACGCGCCTCGGTGGCCCGATGCAGCCAATCAAGACCTGAGCTGGGTGCAGCGTGTGGCATGTCTTATCGTTATCGCGAAAATAATGCGGGGTTGTTGCGGCGAGTGGGCGAGGCACGCGCAGGCGGCATCAACTAAGCCCAGCAAGCACCGCCTTAACCATCGATTAGCCTCTGGTGCGGTGACTCGGGCGGTGACTCGGGCGGTGACTCAATCTGTCAACGTGACCTGAATCATGCGCATCTAATGTCTCCAGCACCCTCTCCCAACACGTTACTGCACTTTCTTCTTCTCCCCATTCCACACCACTCTCATGTACACCACTTACAGGTAATCACTACAGGCTTGGGATTTTCCTTTGCTGTTCACGGAGCTTGGTGAAAGGCGTTTTCTATAATCCTCTTCACATCCCTTCACTAGGGCTTCTGGAATCCCACAGGTGGTGGTGGCGGTAGTGGTGCTCATAAAATGCCTGATTCCTCTGCTCCTCACGCCCCCGGTTCCCGGGCTATCAAGATACCTTTGCATACCGGTAACCATGCAGACTACTCTGCGCCGAACCGACGTCGTCGAAGTGAACGCTACCTCCAAAACGCCGAAAGAGCCGAAGCTTCAGATGCTGGTCCATCGTCGCTAGGCTCGGGTTCTGATCAAGACTCGCCCTGGTCCTATAGCCCTATTCCGACTCGACCTCAACATCTGCTCCGCAACATTGCTCCATCACCAGGTGAGGGGGTTCGACTTCCGGGCTCGCTGCATTCCAAAGACGAAGCCAGCACATCACAGCAGAAAGACAAGCACAAGGCCGGCATGCCACCGCCCAGTAGCATGCCCATGCTCTTCAATGCTTCCTCCTCTCCCCTTGGCCCTTCGATGCTCTCTTCCAGCTCGTACAAGTCCATCAACCTGAATGCTCATCACGATGATCCGGACGAGCCTCCTCGATTGATCACATACACGAAATACAGTCAAGGGTTCACATGGAATGACGAGCTGTTCTTGCCAAGCTATATGTTGGGACGATATGGAGAGAGGGGTCGAAAGAAACTGTACGACGGTGACTTTGGAGACGAGGACCACTGCCCGGTGGCTGAGATCTTTGTCACGGACGAGGAGGCGGAGGCAATGATGCCGTGATCAACCCCGGAGATGATCAATCGAAGCGACGATGTATGAATTAAGTCATGATACACACGGCAGCAATGTCAGTCTGGGCGGCGTCCTCAGGCAAGGAACATCAATGGACGAGTCCACGTTGAAGGGTACCTAGTTCTGGGTTGGTTGGGCACGCTGGTAAGGATAGGACACATTCTTTTGGAATTGGCAAGGTTCTATGCCAAAGGCACGCGGAGTTCGGGAATTGGATAGGGTTCAGCGACACCCCAACGGAATCGAAGCAGGAAGGATGATCTCGACTCAAGACAGCAGCGTTACTCTAGCTATATCGGACGCTGAGGAGGGGTGGCGTTAGAGGTTGATGAGAGGGAGGGACGCTGGGCTTTGCAGTTTGTCTCTTGTGCCGTCACTCCCTCGCCAGTTATTCTTGTAACTAGTCATTCACACAGGAAGTTACATATAATCTCACCCTTGATCCACCTCCTGGTTTCTCTTCCCTAATCAATCCGTGTCAATCCTGCATTCTTGATCGACGCAGGCACATGCAAAGCCCTCCCAGCGTTAGAAGATCCCTTAGTTCCCCGCGGATTCATTAGGCGTCTGCAGGCACCCAAGATGCACCCACTCACCTCCCGCATACATGGCTTGAGTTGCGACTCTGACGGATCCCATCTCTCCAGCCGAAACAATGCCAGTGGCCCAACCAACCAGTAAGCAGCATCCCATGCGTCCAAATCCGCAACTGAGCCCTTGCGCCTTGTCTTGCTCGGCGATGCGCTGGCAACGCGCCCTCGACGTGCATGAAACAGATGGTGAAAGGTACATGCGCCAACTGCAGCTACCGCCGGCGAATGACTTGTCTATCAACAACCACGTCAATTCGGCCGAGGGCCGCTATGCACTTGGGTGGGAACCGCCATGTCCGTACCCTCTGAGGTATTTGATGGCCCAGATACCACTCTGCCGACTCGTGGATGGAAGGTAAGTCCTCGTCCCCGATGAGCAGCTACGTGTAGAGAGAATTCGTCGATTGGGTGCTTCACCAGGCAAGGAAAACATCAGGATCTTCTTCTTGGGCCTCATTCCTGTCCCCGGACGTACAGCCGATCACAGCCCTTCTCTTAAACAATCATCTCGACGACGGCATCCGTCCAAAATGGCTGAAGATCTACGTTCACTTATCAACGAACTATCGCAGCTCGCCAGCAACTACGTGCCTGCCACAGGCCATGATGCGGCGTCTCTGGCACCGAAAGCGGCTCTCGTCAGCCTCTCCAAGAAGATTATGCATTCTTTAATGGATCCAGGGATGATGGTCCAGGCCCATTCCCTACAAATGGCCGAGCTGGTCTCTGTCCGCACGCTATTGGACCTGAAGGTGTTTGAGAAGATGCCAGCTGAAGAGGGAAAGACCATCAGCGCAAAGGAGCTAAGTGAGAAGTCTGGGGTTCAGGATGTGCTGCTTGGTATGGCTCCTGTTCTGCTTGGTTCACTGCTGGTGATGAAGTCACTGCGATACCGCATGATCTGAGAGGAAAAAGTGGTGAAGCTGACACGGTAGTGATCAGAAAGACTGTTGCGCCCTCTAGTTGCGTCGGGGTTTGTAACGCAGTCGCCCGAAGATGGTACCTTTGGATCCACCAAGTTCTCACAGGCCTACACGTCTTTCCCCGGAATGTTCTTCACTTTGATGTTCGACCACTTCCTTCAGCCCATGACGGATCTCCCGAAATATCTGGCAAAACGCGGGGCTGTAGAGCCGACGTCCTTCTACGTCAACCCTTACTCCGACTACCATAACGCAAGCGACTCCGGGTTGACGACATGGGAAATCATGTCCAAAGATCCGGAGAAGTTAAAGACATTCCAGCTGGGGCTGAAAATGGGCGACAACCTGGTTCCTGTCCTTGGGTACTATGATTTTAACCAACTTAAATTAACTGAAGACGAGTTACAGAAAGACCCCAACCGAACCGCTCTGGTGGACATCGGTGGCGGAGTGGGTAACACCTTGAAGAAGGTCCTGGATGGGTACAAGGAGTTGGATCCCAGAAATGTGGTTTTACAAGATCAAAAGGAGATTATAGCCATGGCCGACAAGGAGAAGATTCCCCCAGAAGGAGTGAAGTTGATGGAGCATGATTTCTGGACCGAACAGCCTGTCAAAGGTGAGTCCACTGCTGCCAACACAAACGAGCCAATACGTCTCGAATCTTGTTGTTCTCCCAATTTCTGCCCACAAAGACATGCCTGCACGCATTCATACAAATTGAGCGAGCCATATCATGTCTGACTGACACCGATCTCCTGCACAGGCGCCAAAGCGTACTTCTTCCGCCGCGTCTTCCATGACTACAGCGACGAGCTGTGCGCCAAGGCGCTCCGGCAGATCATCCCGGCCATGGCGCCCGACTCGCGCGTCCTCATTGCCGACATGCTCCTCCCGGAAATCATGACAGACAAGGAGGCCCACACCGCGGCGCTGGACGTCGCGTGCATGGTCATGGGCGGCAAGGAGCGCACCGAGGCCGACTTCCGCAAGCTGTTTGACGGCGTCGGGCTCGAGGTCGTCCACATCCATCGCGCCCCGGAGGCGGCGGCCGGCATCGTCGAGGGGAAATTGAAGAGCGCTTGAAAAACCAGGTCGCATAGAGGGCATGTGACGTGATATACAATATAACATATGAATAGCGCCAGGTTGGAGCACGCGGTGCTGTCTGCAATAGCAATCTCTATGCCTATCAGAGAGGCCATGTGTTTTAATGAGGACCTTGACCCGATTCTGCTCGTCTATTGTGACTTTCCGGGCTGCAAAACAGCGCTGGTTGGGAAAAAGGGGATGTTCAGCCTTGTCGTCGTCGAGCACGTGATCTAGCCTCCTCCCCCAGTATACCATGTAGGAGACCTACACAGGCTACACTCTCTAAACCCTCTGCTACTACTTCTTCGAATTGATTTCTATCTTTAATGAGACTTGCTAGACCTTCTAAAGAGCGCTGATTGCTCTGTCTGGTAAAATGGCAGGTTCTGGGTACGTCCACCGTGATTTGCTCCCATGCAGCAACAGCACTGTACGAAAGGGCTTCAAGATTTCGCTTTGGCCAACACCGCCTGCACGCTCGCGTCGTAGATACTCCCATCCTCGACGTGCAGGCCCGTGTCAATGTGGTCGGCGAAGAGGCGGACCTTTTTCGCGACGTCTTCCGACCGGGGCGTGATTCTGCATTTGAAGGGCGCGGGACCCAAGACGGGAAACGCTCCCACTAAACGATGGGAATCAGGTTAGCTCGAGACTCGGGGTTTCTTCTCTTTATTTGATTCCATCACCAGGTCTAGAGGCAGAAATGTCAAGGGAGAAATGGAATACTTTATCACGACTTACCTGTTTCGTCACTCGGGGCTGGGTTGTCACCGCGGTCAATATCAAAAGCCCACAAGATTCGGCTGATAACAATGAATAGACTCGAGTCCGCGACATGCCTGCCGGGACATTCTCTTCTACCCACTCCGAATGCGAGGTGATTGGGCGTCTTTGCACCGTTGAGGACGTGCCGTGGATCGTCGCGCGGTAGCCACCGGCCAGGAAGAAAGGCTGAGGGATTCGGAAAGTACTCGTCCGAGTAATGCACGGCGTACGTGTTCGGAATTACCATTGTGGATTTGGGAATTGTCGAGCCGCGGTATGTGTCGCTGTGAGAGGTGGCGTGGAAGAATGCCAATGGTGTTGCGGATGCCCATCGATGGAGTTCTGAAACCACGGCGGTGATGTATGGCAGATTTCCGCGGTCAGAGAAATCCGGCAGTCTCTCTCTCCCAACTACGGTATCCAGCTCCTTCTGGGCTTCTCGGATCCATCCCGGGTGTTTCGCGCACGCCTTGAAAAACCACTGCAGCGCCGTCGCGGTCGTCTCCCTGGATGATCTCCATCAGCATCCAATCCTTGGATCAGAGAAGACGGATCTTTGGGCTCCGAGACTCTCGGCCTCCAACTCGAGCTTTCGGAGGTAGACTTACGTGCCCGCCGTGAGCAATTCCGCCGTCACACTGATCCGTTCAATCTCGCTGAGATGCTCTGACTCGGGGTTCTGAATAAATCTGCTCAGAAAGCAGTCCGGCGCGGTACCATCCTTCACTCGCTGTTCGATAGAATGGAGGAAGACACTCCAGAAATTGCGCATCTCGAGATGGACGGAGTATGCCTGAGACCTCCAGGGAGCAAGCGGTCCAGGAAGATAGTTTAGGAAAGGGTAACGGTCGACAAGCCAGACCCCCGGGGTGATGTCTTTGAGATCGTCAGAATCTTGATTGGCTGTTGAGGCCACAGGTATTGTAAACATACTGTTAAAGAATTTCTGCATCATTTTGCCAATCGTCCTGCAGTGCATTCAGCCGTGACTGGACTTTGAGGGTATTTGAGATAGGTATGCGATGCCACATCATGAGATTGCAATCGAAAGGGCAAACTTACGTTGGAAGAAAAGCGTCTGAGCGGTCAAATCGGGCGCCAACTCTGTAGTAACAAATCAGAACGACGTCAGGAATGGCAGACCAACCCTAATAGCAATTCCAAATTCCCTTCGAAAATCTGGAACTGGTACTCACAAAAGCGAGAACGTCACACTGGCAGAGTATCGCGACATTTCCGAGTAGAACAGGCCCGGAGCGTCCAACAGGTTTCTCAACGTTTGTCGAGATTCGTACTCCTGATAAGGGAGAAAGATCTTTGCATTCTGTATTCCGAGCAGCGTATGGATGATTTTGCGGTGTTTCTGGGACGAATCAGTTCTTGTCAACTGTCGATCCAGATCAAGTAGATGGACAGCACCCTAAACTCTTCCCCGTACGGCATATTCACAATCCTTGCCTTTCCGGTGATGATGTCTGCTTGGGGAGAACTCGTCGGCCGTGAGCTGTAAATGTGGCCCTTCTTGACCAATAGTTCCTCAATGGCCTGGACACTGCTGAGCACAATTGCGGTAGAGCGACCCATCTTGTAGGAGAAGAAGTCTCCGTATGTTTTTGCGCATGGTGCAAGATAGATGTGAAGTTTACTTCGGCGGTCTTTCTCAGCAAGCAGCACCCCTGGACCGTCTGGGAGGTTGTCCTTGGTGTTGGGCCTGAAGGCGAGGTAGACAACCAGGGCGACAGGTAGAAGGAAGAGAGACCAATACATTTTGACAGGCGGTCCAAGGCAAGAGCTTTCAATCTCGTTTCAGGATTGTTAGCATTCGTCTGGTCGACTTGTAATCCCTTATATGCCGGGGGGGACATTTGAGAGCCAGCCGATCAGAAAACGGCTGACCGTCCTTCACCGTGGTACCCAGCTGCCTTACTGCTGCTCAAGTAATCCGGACTTCACGCGAACACCGACAACAGGCTTATATTGAGGCACGTAGCGGCTCTTGGAGCATTGACAATTGCAGTCAACTAGGTAAACAGCATACCAGGGATCGACGAAAAGGTGGAACTGGTGGGCTTACCTCTTCGATCTTACTTTAGGGCTGGCTGATCGCCAAATAGCCAAAATAAGCCCCGACTCCGACGGTCGAGATGCTGGAAGCCATTGTTCAACCTTCGCTAGAGGTGGAAATTGTTCAGTCCCCGGTGCCAAGGGCCGGAGAAGGAGAACTCCTGATCAAGGTGATATGCACAGGGTGTAATCCGTAAGCGCTCGATCTGGCAAAGCTCACTTCACTTTCGAAAACAGCGATTCTTAATGGTGCAACGACCCACACTAACGAGGAGACCTGCAGCAAGGACTGGAAATCGGTGGTGTACAGCAATAAGCCACTCAACTCTGGGGATGACATAGCGGGGATCGTCGAACAAGTCGGCGAGAAGGTAGTCGGTTTCCGGAAGGGGGATCGTGTTGCTGCCTTTCATCAGATGCGCACGGCGCACGGCAGCTTTGCAGAGTATGCCATTGCCCCGGCGCACACCACTCTGCATCTGCCGGACCAGGTGTCTTTCGAAGAGGTAGGGCGAACGATACCGGCAAGACCTGGCGTAAGAGGACTGACTCTTTGTTGCGCAAGCAGGCAGCAACTATCCCTCTTGCTGCATTCACGGCTGCCGTTGGACTATACCACTGCCTGCAATTGACACCACCTTGGGAGCCGGCAACTGCACGAACTCCTCTCATTGTCTACGGGGCCTCGAGTGCTGTTGGGGCGTTTGTGTTGAAGCTTGCTTGCAGATCCAACATTCATCCAATCATCGCCATTGCTGGGAATGGGCACCTCATGGTTGAAAAACTAATCGATCGGTCGAAAGGAGACGTCGTGGTGGACTACCGTGAGGGCGAGGAGCACCTTATAAGCCGGGTGCATGAGACACTGGCCGAGCGAGGGATTGACTCTGTCGGCCATGCTTTCGACTGTATCTCAGAGCATGGGTCTCCAGAACTGATGGCCCGGCTGCTCGCTCCCAATGGACATGCGACCTTCGTGCTCCTTGAGAAGGATTACAGTGCTGTGGCCAAGAAGATTCTCACTTCGCTCACATACGTGGGCTATGTCCACACAGGCCCTTTCCCTGTGAATGCAAAGAAGGGCGTGAGGTTCAATCCCGATGGGCATGGGCACGACTTTGGAGCCGTCTATTCGAGTGTTTTCGCGAGGGGATTGGCGGATGGCTGGCTCACTGCGCATCCCTATCAGATCGTGGCCAACGGGCTGAGAGGTTTGCCGGTAGCACTGAAGAATCTGCAGGGCGGAAGGGCGAGTGCGAAGAAATATGTGATTCGAATAGACGAGACAGAAGAGAAGGGACAGACTCGTTTCTTCTAACCATGCAGATGGAAGATAGCTTTGAAGGATGTGCAGGCGGTGGTCTCAAGCCGCAGGCTTGGGCTGCACGCGTAAAGTGGGTGGCGCTGCATGACCCCAGGTAAGTCTGACTCTATTAGCTCAAAGGCAACTGTAATAATAATTCCTCAGGGTGTCTACTCTACTCCTGGGCACAGTGGTCTCCCTATCCTCATCGACAATATCAGTTGTATCTGATGTAGCGACCACCTCGTGGCCATCTAGAGAGAGCGTCTATGCTGTGATATCTGAACAAGGCGTAGCAGATACCCCTAACATAGTAGCACACACCATGATCTAGCAAGCACCTCGTTCTCAAGCATGATGGTCCTTGAACCAGACTATTCTCTTCTTTATTTTGACAACAGCACATCTTTGAACAGTGTCACTGCTGCTCAATCGAATCAGCGACGCTTAGGCCTCGGCATGCGCAGCCCCAAGGCGTCCCCAAGGCGCACTTCTTGGGGTCCCAGGTGGGCGATTGGGACGGGCCCACATCAACCAGCATGCAACAGCCACCAGCCTCAGCAACCCGGCCAAATGCCTTGGACTCTGCCGTCAGGCTGAGAGTCAACAACAATAAAGATTGCTTCACACATCTACGCAGCTCACTGCTCGCCCACCTCAAGAAGCGATCCGACTCCATGGCACCTAGCTGACGTCGTTTCAGAAGCCCAGAGCAGCACAAAGACGGCGGAACCTCCATTGAATCCTACTCCGAGGACGCGTAGGGAATGCTACGCCACGATGGCAGGAGCACCACCAACACGGCGGCTGAAGCACAGCGACTACACAGTAGCAATCATATGTCCGCTCGAGGTCGAGATGAGTGCTGTGAGGTACATGTTGGACCAGGAGCATGCTCGGCTCCCTAAAAGAGAGGGAGATCCAAACAGCTACATCTTCGGGGAGATGGGCGGACGAAACGTTGTAATCGGGTACTTGCCTGAAGGGTTCCAAGGCATTGGCGCTGCCACCGCGGTTGCAACGCATATGCAGCGAAGTTTTCTGTCTGCCAAATTGCGTTTACTCGTCGGTATAGGCGGAGGTATACCTAGCACGATCCACGATATCCGGCTAGGTGATGTTGTCATCGGGATGCCGGAGAGCGAACACGGTGGTGTGGTTCAGTATGATCTAGGAAAGGAGTCGATTACGGGCTTCATTCGTAAGGGTCATCTTGACAAGCCTCCACAAGAATGGATGACCGCAATTGTCAAGATGAAATCGGACCACCGCGTGGTCGATAATAAGATATCGACCATTGTGGCCTCGTCACGAGGGAAGTCTTCCGGATTGGATGAAGTGTATACGCCTCCGAAGCCAGAAACCGATATTCGCTCTCCAAGTAACAGCAGACACAGCTACCTATCTGGTCACAATGGATGTGAAAAATGCGAAGAGAAGGTACCAGTCCTCACGTCGGCTCGTGCATCGAATGAGCCAGCAATCTTTTATGGGACAATTGCATCCGGTGACCGCGTCGTCAAGAGTGGTAAGATCAGAGACAGAATCAGTAAAGACATCGGCGGCGCTCTCTGTTTCGAAATGGAAGCAGCTGGCTTGGTGAACAACTTCCGCTGTGTTGTGATTCGGGGCATCGCCGACTACGCCGACGCCCACAAGAATGATGATTGGCATCCCTGGGCAGCGGCTACTGCGGCAGCGTGTGCAAAAGAGCTTCTGGGCTATATGATGCCTGTTGATGGTATGTTGCTCTCACCGGTGAGGCGAGGCGTGGATGCGTCCTTCAGCAATTGCAAGATTGCATTCCATGGGTTCAAAAGCAGAACTTGAAGCATATGCTGATTTACAAGCTGCCAGACTCCGGGAAACCAAAATACTCCACGATACCAAAGCTCCGAGTCAAAGACTTTATTGGTCGAGAGCAGCAAATATCCGAGATCATGGCTTTTTTCGCCGCTGCTCGAAGTGTTGACGGGTGTCGAATCTTGATTCTGTCAGCAATGGGAGGCCAAGGCAAAAGCCAGATTGCTCTCGAATACTGTCGCCGGATGCAAAGCGTCTACCAAGGGTTATTTTGGGTGGATGCCAGTTCTCAATCGACAACAGTCCGCTCGTTAGTACGTATTGCCGAAGTACTTGATGTGTCGGCCGCCGCTTCAAGGAGCGATGATGAAAATGTTCAATTCGTCCTAGATATGGCAGCGAACTGTGATGGACGCTGGTTGGTGGTCTTTGATAACTATGACGACCCAATAGGTTTCCCGCGGGTGAAAGATTTTATCCCCGAAGGTGAGTGTACACCTCGAGCCTGAGAGCTGGCTGATTTGGATGGGCAGGGACAGAGATTCTTTTCACTTCCCGGCACAAGGATCTGGACCGCTTAGGAGAAGTGCTATCTGTCCCATCCCTACTGCCGGATGAGGAGGCACGGCTCTTGTTCAGGAACTTTAAGAACACTGACACCCAGAGATATCAACCAGCAGCTCAACAACTTGTTGATCGCCTTGGACATCTCGCCTTAGCCATTGACCAGGCTGCTGCTTACATTCAGTACCGTCGGATCAAGCTCGAAGACCTCGGGGATTTTGTAGAGACATTCGACAAGGAGCGCGAAAAGATCCTGAAGTACATACCCAGGGACTTTTGGGAATATGGGTCCCAAGAAACGCAGAACGACATTGAGCGAAAATCCCTGTCGGCCTTTACCACATGGGAAATGTCCTTCCACCAACTATGCAGGGAGAATCACGCTCAAGAGGAGGACATTGCTCACTTTCTGACCATATCCGCCTATCTAGCGCCTATTCCCATCGATGAATGGCTCTTCCACAATGTTTGGAAAGTGAGAACACGGGGGGCCAGAAGACATCCGCCTCGTTGGATGCATTTGTTCAACGCCGAGACAGAAGGCGAGAGCAACTTTGAATCCGCGTCTCGTTCTGCTGGCGAACAGACGGGAACTTCTGAATGCGTGGGAGGTGTCATGGAACATAGCAAGAAATCTGACTGGGACACCACCAAGTTCTGGGATCTAATTGAACGAGCCGAAAGCCTTTCGCTGGTACAGAACGCTTCAACAGATCCAGAGCTGAAGATGACCAAATTCACCTTCCATCCGCTGATTCGCGATTGGCTCCAACTGAGACAGCAAACTGAGAAGCGTCGCGGATTCACTAAAGAAACCATCCGGCTGGTTGGCGATTCAATACGCACCATTCGGCGCGAAAACAACGTTGTTACGAATATTAAGCAAACACTTGTTCTTCATATGGATGCCAGCCTCCAGAATGACGCAGTTTTTTCGGGAGAAGGGCGACGGCTCGGCCAAGAAGACAATGGCCAAGATGGAGCTGATTTATTTGCATGGCTATATAATGAACAGGGTCGATACGATAGTAGCTTCGAATTGTTGAACGTGGTCCGTCAAACAAGGGAAGTGCAACTTGGCCCTGCGCATAAAAAAACTTTGATAGTCATCTTCAGTCAGGGCACAGTACTGTTACAACAGTCCAAATACTCTGCGGCGGAGCGACTATCGAGGAATCTCTTGGCTACTCAACAGGGAGTCCTTGGGCCTGAGCATAGGGACGTCCTCAAAACTAGGCACATGCTAGCAGACTCACTTAGCGGGCAAGACAAACCTCAGGAGGCAGAAGCGCTTCTCAGAGAGGTTCTCACTGTTTACCAGACGCTCCTGGACGAGCAAAGCTGGGAGCGACTGTCAGCCATGAACTCTCTGGCATTATCATTGAGACGGCAGCACAAGCTGGAAGAAGCCGAGGAAGTGTTCCAGGAGGTCTATCAAATACGGCAACGAGTACTCGATCCTGACGATGTAGATATGATGATGACGAAGTTTAACTTGGCCCTGACTGTGTCCGAGCGGGGTCGGACTCAGGAAGCGCGACAGATGCTTGAAGAAGTCCTCGAGGCTCTGATAAGGGTGTTGGGTCCTACCCACCCTGATGCTTTACATATCAGGACTCACCTGGCGTCAGTGCTGAAAAGGCAAGGGAAGAACGCAGAAGCCGAAGGGATGTGTAGGGATGTACTGGAAATTCAGGAAAGAGTGCTCGGGAAAGACTACCGGGCCACCCTCTGGACTGCGAATGAACTCGCTGTCATGGCGTATGATCAAGGCCGGCTTGACGAAGCCGAGCCTATTTTCCGCGATGTTCTTGAGCGCCAAACGAGGGTTTTTGGGCCGGGGCATCGCGACACCTTGATCACGATGGGAAGTCTCGGGTGTCTTTTGATGGATCGATCCTGCTTCGTCGAAGCATATGACCTGTTGGACAAAGCTCTGCCTGGCTTTGCGCGCGCATTCGGGCCAGATCACAAAGACACAGTGTATTTTCGACGGCGATATGAGCGGCTGCTGGAGTTGATGGGAAGACAGGGACATCCCGACCAGCAGCCATCATCGCGATCGTGGACATGTTCCAGAGCAGAGGGATCAGCTCGCGTCGACTCCCGAGTCCCCTTCCAACCTTGTCCACTGGCTCCTGAGTCACTTGTCAATGCTTCGAGGGCCGGGTGAAGGCAGAACCCCTCGTGGACCACAGCTGGGTTCCAGACATGCCTTTTCCACGCCCATCAAGGCGATGAGGAACCTTCTGCGAAGACGAGAGGCATGGACGGGATGACGGGATGTCATATGATTGAGGCCTGATTCTGTCCTCTGCGCGGACATGAGCTGACCTACAACAAGACGAGTTGAATCCTGGAGGAATGACTAGAGCGAGAACCCTTCAAACCATGCTTCGTGGCGCGAAAGATAGCCGTGTCCACGATTGCATCTCCAATATGTATGTATATATTATGTATGTTCGTTAGCATTGCAGCCATAGTTTGCGGGAGAGATGAATGAATGAATGAATGAACGGATCACCATATCTCAAACCCTCCAACAATACGCCTTGTCATCGAGCTCGTGGAACGCGCGACATTATGTCCACACTGGTTGATACCTTGAGAAACAAACCACCTTTTCATCTCACCTTGACGGGTTCTGCTCTGTAAAATATTGCCCCTTGACTCGACACAACCTTCCACCCTCCACCACCTCAAACGCATCGCTCCCGACACACGTGGGACAATAAAACAGCCCCCGCGGATCGTACTTCCTCTTGATGTCCAACAGCCGCGCATAGTGGCGCGGGCCGCCGTAGAAATCGGCCTTCCAGTCCGGGTCGAAGCGGTCCGCCTCGTTCATGTACGCGCCCGTGCGGGGCGCCAGGTCCTTCATGGCGGGGACCTTGACGAACGTGACGTCGCGCTGCCTCTCGTCCAGCACGGACTGGGGGGTGTCGAAGGACGACACGCGGGCGACGATGTTGTTGAAGTAGGAGCTACGCCAGGCCCGCGTGACGCCGGAGAACGGGTCGGACGCGTCGCGGAACACCTGCCCGCCGCCGACCAGCTCGAGGTTGTTGATCGTGAACTGCGCGGGCGTGCCGGCGATGGTCTGGATCATGCGGCGCAGGGCGCTGGCGTTCTGCGTCACCGACGCGCGGTCGAATAGCCGGTTCCCAGCGCCGTACGCGGGCGACCCCACGGGCGGTTCGACCCCGGACTCGGCGTGGTAGTATGTCCAGTAGTCCGGGTAGGAGGCGTAGGTTTCGGAGATGAAGACGCTGGTCAAGTTGAAGGGGGCCAGTCTTGCTCGCGCCGCGTCGAAGGCGGATTGAGCTTGCGCGACGGTGGAGTTGAAGATTCTGAAGCCGTGGACGTAGCCGGTCGTCACGTCGCCGGTCGTCACGTCGCCGAAGAGAGGCGATGGGCTGTTGATGGACCACTGGCCGTAGCCGGCGTAGCCGGCTTCGTTGAGGTCGGGGTAGGAAGAGTACAGGACGGCAATGGCGTCCAGGAGCCCAGAGGTGTCTGCGCTCAAGGGGAACATGGCCAGATGTTGAGCGGTGGCGTTGACCATGGGATGGGCTTTGATCGTGCTCGACACCACGACGCCATATGTGCCGCCGCCGCCACCGCGGAGGGCGAAGAAAAGGTCGCTGTACTGGCAGGCATTGGCCGTCACGAGAGCCCCGTCAGCAAGCACAACCTCCAGCTCCAGCACCTGGTCTGCCCCGAGGCCGAAATCTCGAGATGCAGGGCCGTGACCACCACCCTGCATCCAGCCTCCAATGGCGCCAACAGAGGGAGTGCCGCCGTTGACGACGACGACATTGCGCTTTTGTGCCTCTGCGCCCACATCTCCCCACGAATATCCACCTGCTATCTTGAAGGCGCTTCCAGTCCAATTGCCGGCCGTACAACCAGTCGACGACTTGAAAGTGTCCTGGAACGTGATGCCGTTGCGGAGATGACGAATCCAGATTTCCAGGCCGTGGGAGCCTTCAGACCGCCCGAGCTGGTCATGTCCCGTGTTCTTGACCACCAGGCGGATGTTGAAGAGCTTGGAGAAGACGACTGTCAAGGCGACGTGTCGAGGGTCTGTGCAGTTCACCGCATAGCTCGGGCTCACTCCCAGTGTGCAGGTCCCCTGAGCAGTCTCCCCTGCCGTTGCATTGACGGGCGGACAGGTGATATTGGTCGGATACGAGAGCCCGACGACCTCATCGGCCTGGAATGTAGCATTGGCCCAGTTGACATCAACGCGGGCACATTGAGCTGGATTGGAAGCAGGACCGGGATAGCAGGAGGCGGCGACGGGCTGTGTCCGAATCAAGTTGCCGCCAACCGTGAAGTTGAACAATTCCCACAGAGTATCGGAAGGCCAGCACTTGTCGCCAGGGATCTATCCATCTGATCAGACGATTCTCGCACTGGAGGACTCGGAGATTTGTGGGATACATACGCATTTGCATGACCTGCTGCTGGGAGACACATTGGCTGGCAACGCAACTGCGGCGGAGAAGGCTGGTAGAAGCAGCAGGGAGGCTTGACCGAGGAAGCACAGGACTCGCATGGTCTCTCTCATCTTCTTGTCGTCAAGGAGATGGGGGATGGGTGGAAGTGGTCAGTCACTCGGCCGGCTTGATCTGACAGCTGTGGTGGCAGTGTGAGCATCGCAGCCATTGTGTGTGTAACCATGGCACTTGCTGCAGCAAGAGTCGAGACTCACCGCCACAGTCTGCCCATCCAAACCGACTCTAGGGTCTCTCCTACCAGCTGTGAAGACGTCAACGGCGCGGTATGTACGGTCGAAGTAAGGTGTCCGGGCTAATGCGAGGCCAGACATTGGGCAGATGCTCCCAATTGGTGCCATCAACGCCAGCCACTGGGCTCCTCGAGGCTGAAAATAGCATCCATTCAGAGATGGACAAGCCAGCAAGGCCATGTAACAGGACATTGGCTAGAGTTGAAACAAGGACACCACCCCCAAGGGCCGCGTGGCGGATAGAATCAGATTTTTGGAGGCCGGCATATATCTGACCAGGCCATGTCTAGCTCATCCTGGAGCGTCATGTTCGTACTAATACATTTTTCCTCCTGCAAAACGGTTCCTTGTCCCAATACAAGGCATTCGCCGAGATGCTGTAGATTCTCACCCAACGTGCGCCCGGCGTTCGATACATCCAGGCCTTCCAAATTCCCAAATATTCTATCTTCGCGCGGGTCTGCCCATCGCCGCCGCCTCGTGCATGTTCTGGAAGATTAATTTGAAGCCGTTGCACAGATCTCTCATGGTGGGATACGGTTGCTTCATCAACTCGAATCCTTGTGGAATCACCCTCACGCTCCAGTCCATCAGCTTCGCGTTCTGGCCCGCCTTGAACACAAGATGGAACTGGCCTGGGCGCTCGCGGTTGAGGCAGAACTGGTACATGGAGCGCTTAGGGTTCGCGTTGGTATAGGTGGTCAACCACTCCTCTGGTCCGAGCATTAGTCACGTCTGATGTCAAGTTCACAGGGGAAACAAACTTACCCAATGCAGCCTTGGATTTGTTCTGGAATTTCTCGTTATTGCACATCTCATCCACTTTTCGAGCCATGGCTTTGACATGCAGCACGATCAGTTCATCCAAGTCAGAGTAGTTGTATCGTCCGCCGATCCTCAAAGTCCTCCCCAGAGAGAACTCGTTTTCTTTGTCCAATTCCAGCACATCGATGTGCTGGAAGATGCCGTCAGCAACCTTCCAGGTCACAGCAAGATGATCATTCCCTTTGGATGATGGCCGGATGACCACGTCACCACGATTCTGGCTGCCCAGATACTCTTCCGCTTGTTTCGAGTTGAATGGCCGGAAGAGAGGGTGCTTGATCACTCGGGTGACTCGGTTGCCCAAATCTGTTTTCTGTTCCAGCAACTTCTTGTCGGCGGCCTCTTCACGCTCATCCCACTCGTCGTAGTTCCGGTCGTTGTGATGGTATCTCTTGAATGGTTTCTTCAATTGCTCGTCCCTCAAGCTCACCGTGACTATAAAGTCTTTGCGATTGATCGACGTGATGTGGGCTTGAATAGTCTGATGGATGTTGTACAGCTGCTTCGGTGACAAGGCGGGGTCTGCCCATTGACGGTCCTCCACCACTGCGTCCAACCCGCATTCGAGTCTACCCTCCATGTGATCATCGGTGACTCTCTTCAGCGTCATGGGGACATTCATGCCTCTCTGCAGGGACTCCCTCGTTTCGCCTGTGAGCATCGTGAAAACCTCGGACTCGCCCAGATTGACCCGGAACGGATTTCTCAATTCTTCGTAGGGATCGTTGAGTTCAGCCGTGATGTTCTCGAGTGTGCTGCGCTTCTTGGAGTTGAGATTTTGTTCCAACTGTGCGGCATATTCTTCAAGAACCAGGTCATGAACGCGTTCCTGTGCTTCTTCTCGTATCAAACGGCGAACAATCGCTCCCGACCCTCCCTCCTGTCTCTCGGCCTCAATATCTTCTTCATCGAGTTCAAGGGCATCAGCGGCCATTTTCCGAGCAATGTCGTAATCCTCAGGATGTATTCGAGTGTTGTCCAGATACTCGGAGTCTGGATCCGACATGTCAAAGTCGATATATAAGAAAGATGCCGCATTAGCCCACACTTTAGGTCCCATGGCCTGATGTTTGTCGTTGAGGCCCAGCAAATCCTCGCGGGCCCGAACGAAGCCATTGTTAAGGTTGATAACCTTGACCAGCTGCGAAGACTTTCGAGGTCCGAGACCGGCTACGTAGGGAAGCAGATTTGCCAGCCCAGGGTCGGTCACGGCATCATTGATGTTCACACCGGTCATGGTGACCGTGTCCACAAGGGCAGTTTCCAGCTTCTTCAATAATTTGTCTTGCGGCAACAGATTCTGGGCTGAGTGGAAGTTGATGGATACAATGTCTCGACCTAGAGCGGCGTACTCTTTCAGAGGAGATTGCATGTATCTTGCGATTCCGACACAGTAGAGGGCCATTTCAGGAACCCCAGGATTGTCGGCTTTCATGCGATCGCCCGATTTCGACATCCGCGCCACCTCGTCGTTTACCAGGATGACGTCCAAGAGGTCGCTTCGATCTTGATCGTCGTCATCCGTGTATGTCGCGCCACGAAGGTCATGGTTGCTGACCAATGTGGTCAAGTTCGCTAGAAGTTTGCGGGTATCAGGACACCATCCCGAGACTGCGATAACTTCAGGCTCTCTCCTTCGAATGACTTCCAGCAGCGCTTCAACGTCTTTGCCGTCGGAGATACCACGTTCCCGATTGCCAGGGCCGAGGTCCTTGTACTGGCCATGCTCAAGAACTCTACCCTCATCACTGACATAGGCCCAGTAAATAGGATCACGGCCAACTGTCCCGCCACCGTTGGTCATGGCCAACACTCGCGGAATAGTGCCTTTGGCCAACCCTCTCGGCTTCCAGGGAGCCTGATCAAGCTTCGCATAGAACTCGTCACGACATTCATTCCCAATGGTTGCTTCACATTGTTCCTTGAGGTTTTCTTTGACCGATCGGGCCATTAGCTTCATGATCTTGTCAACAGCGGACGAAACAGCTTCGCGGCGCTCCTGGTTCCACGCATCTGCCACGGTAGAATAATTGTCCGTTTCGATGTGCTTGTTGAGATCTCTCGTATAGTTTTGCAATCCTGGCAGTCGAACTCGAATCTCAATTAGGCCTTCTTCCTCGGCCTTCAGCATCTTTAGGAATAGGTCGGGTCGTTCACTGAAATAGATCAACTTCTGATTCCGGAGGTATTTGAATTCGTAATAAGGATGTTGTTCGTCGATCTTGCGAAGACCTTTTTCGGTACGGTGACAGTCAATGACTCCCTCGGGAAAGATTCTCTGTCTTATGAGCTTTCGAAATCGTGGGCTCGTGGCTAGCTGTTCGATAAACATCGCCTTCGCTGCTCTGAGCACTCGGGCGCCAGCAGGGAATTCTTCATCGACCATTGTATCAGCAAGATTCTCCGGGCTGTCAGAGGGATCTTCTGTGTACGTCCGGACGCCTTCTCTAGCAGCGTTTCGTGCAAATGCGTCTGCAGTTATGCCAAAGGCACGAACGAGACCGAATGCCTTCGAGGCACGAATCTCCTCGTAAACACTTCTCGTCGATGCTTTCTTCTGGGACATGTTCACGCCATTGGTCTCGCCATTCGAGGTCAGGGCCAAATCTTTGAGCTGTGAGGCATATTCGAAATACAAGTAGTCCTGTAAATCCTGAAGGTCCTCCATTGTAGCAGCCTGGGGGAGAAGTTGTTCAAAGGTGGTGTCGTCGGACACATGAGCTGATTTCAAATCTTCGTAGGTCTTCTGAAGGGCTCTTTTCTTTTCGATAAGGGCTCGATATTTGAGATCGAGCTCCAATATACGCCATAAGTCTTTCTGATTGAGGAGTTTGACGGTGTCGTCGATGACCTTTGGAGTCCCATCTTCCTGCACACCGACCACCTTAGTCTGAGGAAACAGGAGATAATCTTTTCGATGCATATAGATGAAAGGGGGTTCAAAATCCTGCCGAGTCATCAAATCCAAATTATCTGCGACAGCCCGTCTGAATGGTTCGTGGTGAATTTCGTCGTGCCCTTTCGATGGTAGGACCAGGTTGGCTATCCACACTGCTTCTTCCTTGACCTCGTCTTCGGTCAGTTCAAGGTTGCGATATGGTCTCCTAGCCAGTTGATGACGTTCGGGTATGTCGGTGAATCGAATTTCATTGTCCTCGTCGGTGAGAAGCTTCTCGGCCAGCTGAGAAGGTTCAAACACGTCTCTTAGGTGAAGGTTTTTGTCCTTTTTAGCCTCCTCTTCATCAGCCTCTTCTTCCTTTTCCAGAGCAAAGTCGTAGTCTGTTCCATCACCAAACGCTGCGCGGAAGTCTTCCAAAGCCTGCTCGTCAAGGCCGGCTGCATCAGCGATACCCAGCTCCGCGATACCTCGGCGATTATGTCTGGCTACTTCTTCGTCTTCTCGTTGCCGCTGTTGTTCATCGTCCGAGAAGATATCCTCTTCAATGAAGTCGTCAAACTCGTCCTGCAGCCCTCTTCGGTCCTGGCGGCTCCGCCGACTGTAGTCGACCGCCTCCTCTTCTTCATCGGAATGACCAAAAATATCATTGACGCCGTAGTGTTGTTGTGCGTCACGGTCTTCGCGGGGGCCCCGCTTGAGTCTCTTGAACTTTGATTCCGTCGGCTCCTCGGTGGGCTTCATTCCGATCAGCTCCAGGTCCTCTTCATCAAGATCTTCATCTTCACGATCTTCGCGGCGGCGCTTCTTCCGTTCTCGTCTTCGTTCTCGGCGGGCTTCTTCATCTTCTTCGTCCTCATCAACAATAAAGTCTTTGGCGATCTGGCATAAACATTAGAATGCGGCTTTCGGAGGTCTCTTGGAGACAAAGCTCTTACCTTCGCCGCCTCCTCTTCATCTTCGTCCTCCTCGTCCTCTTCTGAGGAATCGTCAAAGCGGCCATTCGCGCCGGTTGACTTTGTTCTCGCTTCACCGGTATCTTCATCGAAGGACTCGTCCTCCTCTTCGTCATCAAGAATTGCGCGATCGTCGATGAGATCCATGTTGACAGAGAGGGGGAGCGCAAGTCTCAGGTTCAGGAAGCCGAGATAGTTCGAGGAGTGTCTGATCCGCAGGCAGCAAGATCGCAGTCACGATGACGGCGACAGATGTTCGAATGTCCTGCAAAAGGCTCAAGGGACAAACTTAATGCTGCGGCTAAATCGCGGACTCGGCAGAGCTGCCATCTAGGACAATGATCGCCACGAGGCCAGGCTAGATATGGACAGGTGGGGGCTTCGCTTTCGGCGATTGGCTAAGCCCTTCTCCTCACATGAATCGAATCAGCCTGCTTGCGGTTCTTTCTGAACATGGGGAACTTCTGACTTGAAGCGTGAGAATAGGCGCTTGCGCTTGACCTCCTATTGACACCTATTGGCGAACTACTGGCCTATGCCATGCGCTACTGACTGATATCGCCTCTTCAGTCAACGACCGCGTGTGCCTCTTACAGCCGTGCTGAAGCGCTTGACCCCCTATCTTCGACGTGGTTTCAGTTTCACCATCTGTCAACTGACAATCTCTTCGACTGCACGGCAGGTTCCAACCGTGGCATTCTGATATTTTGACAGCTTTTCACTGTCCAGCGTTGGCTGATCTATTGAAGACTCAGAGAAAGCAGTCAGCTATTCATCCCTGTAAGCGCCTGATGGCCTAGATTGGCATTGTTCTTGGGGTCTGAAATAGCCGCCTCAATTCTCGATCCTGTCTGCACATCACGCTCGCAGTTCCGCCAAAGCCTACTGTATATCCTCTTTCGACCTCCGTTATTCCCTCGTTGGCCTCGTCGGCAGATCATTACCACCGTCGTCTCAGAAATATCCTTACACCATGTCTGACGCGTTCAAGGCCCGGACCCTGAAAAGGAAGAATGTCAAAGGACTGGCGTTGAATGCACCTGCTCCCCGAACAGCCCCCTCCGATGGCGATTCACAGATACCCGGGGCGCTTGGAAATACAGAGAGCGACCGAACTGATACTTTGGAGATCGGCTTGGAATTCAAACTCGACCTCAGAAGTGAAGATCTGATCGTGCTGAAAGAGTTGGGTGCCGGCAATGGAGGTACTGTCAGTAAAGTCATGCATGCTTCGACCAAGGTGATTATGGCAAGAAAGGTATGTCCTAGTTATGTTGTGGAGGCAGTCCAGATGCTGAGGGAGAATACAGGTTATTCGAGTCGATGCAAAAGAGAACGTCCGCAAACAAATTGTCCGAGAGTTGCAAGTTGGCGCCGACTGCAGTTCGCCGTACGTCATCACATACTACGGAGCTTTCCAGAATGAAGCCCGTGACATTGTGCTCTGTATGGAATATATGGATTGCGGGTGAGTCACTCACGGCCTCGAGCTGTCACTGTGCTGAACTGACGGCCTGTAGATCCTTGGATCGCATATCAAAAGATTTTGGGCCCACACGTGTCGATGTGCTGGGGAAAATTACAGAATCTATTCTTGGAGGTCTGGTCTACCTTTACGAAGCCCACCGAATCATGCACCGAGATATCAAGCCGTCAAACGTCCTGGTCAATTCTAGAGGAATGATCAAGCTATGTGATTTTGGCGTGGCTACAGAGACCGTCAACTCAGTAGCCAACACATTTGTCGGAACGTCAACGTACATGGCACCAGAACGAATTCAAGGTGGCGCATACACCATCAAATCTGACGTTTGGAGCGTGGGTTTGACTGTGATGGAACTTGCAATTGGGAGATTTCCATTTGATTCAAGCGATTCTGCCGCGGGCGACAGAGCCAGTGCTGGACCAATGGGTATTCTGGACCTTTTGCAAACTATAGTCCACGAGCCGGCACCCAAGCTCCCAAAGAGCGAGGCTTTCCCGTCTATCCTGGAGGACTTCGTGGCCAAGTGTCTGCTCAAAAATCCAGATGAGAGACCAACTCCCCGAGAGCTATATGATAGAGACAACTTTTTGCAGGCTGCGAAGAGAACGCCTGTTGATTTGCAGGAATGGGCGGTCTCGATGATGGAACGACACAATCGAAAATCCTACTTGGCCCCTCCTGCGCCTAAATCATTGAAGAGTGATGGGACAAGCTCGGACAGCTCTCACCCAGCCTCGTCGGCGTCGACAGCCTCATTTGCAGGCGATCCTCGTGGCACCCCGGTGACAGCCAAGCAATATGCAAGTCCAACATCTGGCAGCATCCCGGTAGTACCACCGCAATTTGGCTTTCAAGGAACACCAACCGGTATTGTGGAGAGATCGCCGCCGCCACCGCTATCTTTGCAGCATTTGTCGTTGGAGACCCGGGATGCGCCCAATGGACTTGGTCCTCGTGCTAATCGCATGGGGTTCAACGACCGTGACAATATTCCTGAGCCTGCTTCGGCTATTGAGCCTTCTCAAAGACCGATGTTCCCACCGAGGACAAGTAGTAGTGGGAACATCATCAACGGCAGAAATCCGTTGATAAGTCCAGCGTTCGTGCGTCAGCCTCCACCGACAGGTCCATTACCGGCTCCTCCGATGAAGGACCTACCTGCGCCGCCGGCATTAAAGAGTGCAGGAATAGCTAGCCCTCGTCGACCAAGATGACATTGTTGAAGAGCAAATCCTCACAGTTGGCTTGGAAGTCAGCTGCATCAAGCATATCGTGGACAAAAGAGGAACTAGGGTATGGGCATGGGTATGGGCGTGAGTTATATAGCATTTGATCCCGGCGTTTTCACCAAGTACACTGTGAGCATTTTCGAGCTTGTAGATCTTGAACATGGGAACAATTTATGGGGATCTCTGGTTCTTCGAGGTTCTAACTCCCCGATTTATATGGTGGCCGGATCTTCGCAAGACTGGCGTAGTACCATCAGTTGCGCCCCTCCAGTTGGCCCCTCGCTTTATGCAACGCTTACTTTGCTCAGCGCTCCTGCCAAGAACCTCGTCAATGGCTGGCATTAGTTGGCCGCAGGCTGAATGCGCGAGTGAATGCCCGAGTCCGGCACGTCTTGAACAGGAGGAGATTCCTCTCCCAATAACCACGACTGCGATCAATTTCAAGAGACATACGCCTCAACGCTAGTCAAGGTCATGGAAGCCACCTCTGCGAGGATGGCGTCGCGAAATCAATTTGTCTTCGACGGCTTCGCCCCGCCTCGTTCAACCCTCCAGCGCTTCATATATAATGCCTGCGACCCTATCGCCAACCTAGAACCCAATCTCGCCTTGAACCTCGAGATTGTCGACCTGGTCAACTCCAAGAAAGGCAATGCCCCGCGTGAGGCCGCATTCACCATTGTACAGCTCATCAACCACCGAAACCCGAATGTGTCTTTATTGGCCTTGTCATTACTTGATATCTGCGTCAAGAACTGCGGTTACCCTTTCCACCTCCAAATCAGCACCAAGGAATTCCTCAACGAGCTCGTCAGACGATTTCCTGAACGGCCCCCCATACGGCCCACGCGGGTGCAGAGCAAGATCTTGGAAGCCATTGAAGAATGGCGGTCGACGATATGTCAAACATCGAGGTACAAGGAAGACTTGGGCTTTATCCGAGATATGCACAGGCTTCTTCTATACAAGGGATACATGTTCCCAGAGGTGCGGAGAGAGGATGCTGCCGTCTTGAACCCTAGCGATGTATGAGAGACCCCAAAAAAAGAAACAGCGGATTATTACTAACAAGTCGTAGAACCTCCAGTCGGCCGAAGAGATGGAAGAGGAAGACCGAGCGGCACAATCAGCCAAGCTACAAGAACTGATTCGGCGAGGACGACCTCAAGATCTACAAGAAGCCAACAGACTCATGAAGGTCATGGCTGGATATGACACGAGGCACAAGACCGATTACCGAGCAAAGGCAGCGGAAGAGGTTGCAAAGGTCCAGCAAAAAGCCAAGATATTGGAAGAGATGCTTCAAAGCCATCAACCCGGCGACAAATTCGGCGATGGCGATGTTTTCGAGGTATGGGTCGTTACACTGCGATTGGCACCAGCAAGCTGATGAAGACTAGGAATTGGCCGGTGCGCTTCAGAGCGCTCATCCCAAGATCCAAAGGATGTGCGAGGAAGAGTCGGACGATGCTGAAGCGGTCGCAAAGCTGCTTGAAATCAACGACAGCATCCACCGGACGATTGAAAGGTACAAGCTGATGAAAGCTGGCGACATTGAAGGAGCCAACAGGATCGAAAAGGGGACTCTGGGCACCACGACCGGGGTGGGCAAAAATGCAGCAAACGAATTGTCGTTGATTGATTTCGAGCCGGAACCCCCAGCAGCTCCAACAGTACCGACACATACGAATGGCTCCCTTCTTGATGCTGGCCCTACTTCATCAACCGCACAGCACAAACCAACAACAGTTGAAGACGACTTACTAGGGCTATCGCTGGACGATCCCGGTGCCGGCACACCAGGTGCGATTTCTCTAGGACCAAGCACACATTTTTCAGCTCCATCAGGGTCGATCTTCTCAAACACCGCCTCAAATGTCGCCCCGAGCCAGCCGACAGTGTTCCAAACTTCATCTCAGACGTCCCCGAAACCCAATTACGATGCTTTTGCATCACTCATCAGCGCCCTCCCTTCTTCCAAACCTGCAACTCCAGCACCTATGGCGCAGCCGCCGCGACCATCGAGTCAAGCACTGGCCGACCCATTCGCAGCACTGGTGTCGTCCAGTTCGCGGCCTGCGACGCCTTCAAGACATGCCAACCCACCGCACCCATCAACACCGCCAGCTACGGGGATAAGCCAAGGACCGTCTGCACCGGCTGAAGACGAGTGGACATTCGAGTCGTCGTTGCCCGAACCGCAGACAGTACAGGTGCTTTCATCACCTCTCGGGATCGAGTTTGAAGCTCGACGGACACCAGGACAGCAGGTGATCCAAATAACGGCGCATTTCTCCAACACGACGCCGCAAAGGATCAGCGGCTTACATTTTCAAGTTGCCGTGGAGAAGAGCTACTCACTCCACCTGAAGCCGCAAAGTGGGCGCGAATTGGCTCCCAGCACGCATCACTCTGTCCAGCAAGAGATTTTGCTCAATGGAGTGCCAGCAGGAAAGGGCAACCAGGTCAAGATGCGTTTCAAAGTATCTTACGAATTGAATGGACAACCACAAGAACAGCAGGGCAATGTTCCGCCGCTGGGAGTTAGTTAACAGCCACACAGGGTTTGATGAGTTGCTCCAAGACTAGATACCACGTGAAGGCGTATGCAAGGGGGCAACATGATACTAGCGAGCTGCGCCGTGCGTCGTACCATTCACGCTCGGACGCAATAGGGCGATACTTTGAGTTGGTAGAGTTCCCCGTCGAAGCCATAGTGGCGGGACGCAGAGGATGGAATGCATTATTATTCTTTGTATGTAGCGCGCCCGTGAAATGGGGTTCCCTAAGGTTTTCCCAACATTACTATATTCCAAATAATGCACTTTGCGATCCCCACCACAGAATGCCGTGACCAGCAAGGTTTCCAGCCGTTTTTCCAGCAGGAGGCCTGAACCACCTGTTTTCCCGCAGGACGCAGAAAATGGCAGGTCGTGGGAGAACCGGGCTTTTGGTGGCGGGCGGTGGGCAGTCGTCACGGGTCACAGCTTACCCGTACCAAGTACCCTGGGCACCCTAGAGTAACTAGGTAACTAGGGAGGTACTTCGCAGTCACGCAGAGGCCCTCCGGCACCATCTGTGCGGTGCAGGTGCGTGACTTCTGGACCTACCAGCAGTTGAAGCAAGAGAAATTCAAAATACGAGACGGAAAAAGGGACTGGGGGCGACAAAAGCGAGATCTGGGTGGCGGTTTTGCGGTTTGGAGATGTTGATCAACAAGTCGATCTGAGCGTGGAGAGGAGATCCTGGCCTCGCTCGGATCTCACAAGCACCACGGGGCACAAATAGGGATCCAGCCCGGGGGGAGAAACCTGGAAGACAGTGACCATCAGCGGTGACAGTGCCGTCTATAGGTGCCTTAGCAGTGACCAACTTGTTGCGTCAGGGTGGATGGTATGGCGGATCGCGGTGGAGTCGAGTCGAGGGTCATGCTTGAAAAGCTAGCTGATGATTGCGAAATGGGCGATGCAGACCAAGATCGCCGATGTAAAGGGCGGTGCGACAGGCCTCATCTCCTGCTACCACATAACTAACTTATCACGTCTACCGGAAGTCTGCGATCCGAGAGAGATGGCGCCCCTGCAAAGCTTGCCTGCCGTGTCTGCTTGGTCAAACAGGGTATCATGCCGCGCAGTAAATCTGGTTCTTGGGTACAGTAAACGGGTTCAAACCAAAGGAAATGGGTCCTAGCCGGGGAAGTGTCGCTCCAGCATGACCGTAGGGGACGGTGCCTTAGAACTGGATTCCAAATCGCCCGAGCAGGGGAGAACACCTGCCTAACCGGATTCCAGGTGGTGGAGTTCACATTGGAGGAAGCAGTGGTACGGGGATCTGGAAATGTGTGTCTGATCGATCAACACCCAAGGATGAATGGCCCGGGGGCAGGGGTAGACAAATGACAACCCATCTCAACGGAACAGCACCAGTTTTGATTCTCACCTCCCACTAGCAGCAATGCACCGGACTTGTGTCTCCAGCTAGACTGGGACTGATGTATCGCGAGGACAACACTTCCGCGCTCAAACCATACTGCGAGATCCATCAAACCCTTCTTGTGACCGCCATCTTGTCTTTGCTCTTCCGTGGCCAGGCGTGCGCGTTTGCCGTTGGCACGGAGACGATAACCGACCACGCTAGGATCTGGCGCTACGACCGAGTGAGGGGCTGCTTTGATCTTCATGGCCGATCGCGTACTGGAGCGTGTGGTAGGAGGAAGGCGAACAGCAAGGGGGTTGATTTGCCTGGGGTTGGCCCGAATTGTTTGAGAAACAATGTATTAGAGGAGAAAAAGCCGGCAACTCGCATAGATGCGACCAGACAATACGAGGGAACTCGAAGCGATCTGGCAGGCTGAGGCGACCAGTGCAGCAGCAAACAGCAAACAGCAAACAGCAAAAGCGGGAGCACCGTGAGCGATCGACAGAAGAAAGATGCGATGGGCGGGTCTATGATCCGCCGGAAATGTGATCGATCACGGGGGCCGCGCTGGACCACTGCTGGACGACTGGAGGGAGGCCGCAACTGGCCCCATTATTATGGATTTGACGGCGCTTTAGCCTGCGCTTTACCTGCGCCTTACCTGCGCCTGGGCTGCAGCGCGGGCAACTCAATCGTGCTCCTAGCTGCCGCTTTGGGCCTGGTCGACAAGCAGCCGGTGGCTTCATTCCAACATCCCAGCATCTTGTTCAGTGCTGCCCTGTGCTGCCCATTCCCGCCATGTCTTCCTCTGGTACCTCGTGCTTTGACTTTGTTCTCACCGGCTTGTTGCTCCATGCTTGATGCTCCTTGTTCAATGGGTGACCAACTGCCGCGCCGGCAGTCCAATGGTAGCTACTGGAGGCCTGCTGGACCCGGGTTCCGCTTCATGGCTCTCTCAACTCTTTGTCCTCTTTCCCCTCTTCGCCCTTCCAAGGCCGTAGATTGGCTCCTCTGGCCCACAGCCACCGTCTCCTCGCGATCCTCGCTCTCGACCCTACTTGTAGATAAAAATCCATGGGGATCGCCTCCTCCCTCGACCATCTCATGTCCAATCGAGCCCACTTGGTCACCCTCTGGCGATATTGTGCCCTGGTCTGAATCTAGCTGACAGATACGAGCTGTCTCAGGGTTGTCACCCCCGTCCTCATACCAGACACCGCAGATTCTCGGTGCTAGCACTTTGTTGCGTGGTTTGCCACTTGCATCTCCTCTTTTATGGTCGATACCGCCCCCCAAGGCAACTGCCCCATAACGTTTTTCTACACCTTGTAGAGACGCTGGCTACGATTGTACATGCATTAGCACTCGAAAGCCACCGAGGATACTTGCTGTGCTACACTCGGTATCGTTTTGTCTGTCTACCTGTTCATCGGAAACGATATAGCTAGGCGACCATTGGGACGCCACCCACTCCAGACCTAGAGAAACGGCCATCGCATCACGGGAAGCTAGCCAGGAGCGCAACTGGACCTCAGTACCTCAATACCTTGCACAATATGCCACCATTGCGAACCCCCTCGCGCGAAAAGCCGCCAAAGACTCAAAGAACCCAGGAAGAGAACCAGGAAAGGTTAGCATTTCTGACAGTGCAGCTTGTCCACTTCCACTGACATCCGCAAAGAGCATATATTGCCGCGTCGAGAAGGAGTGACCGAACTCTTGAGGCTCGAGTCGAATCGGCACGGAGGGCTTCAGAAGTTCACAAACGAAGAACCGGGCGGGCACTCCGCATCACCGCCGAGGATGTCATGAATGAGGAGATGTATGAAGAAGAGGGGGACGACTTGCCAATACAATACCGACGCCTTACCGCCCATCTGCAAACAAGTTCGGCTGATTTCAATCGTCGCTTCGCAGCTTACTTGACATACCAGGTTGCAGCCCGGAGCGCACTAGAGCAGATGGCTCGAGACCCTCAGGGCCAGTATCCCAGTGGCGGACTGAACATGTTTCCCTCTCCCATGCTTCCTCCGCATGCCATGGCATCGTCACTGGGGGCATACCAACGGCCTGCTCCATACCCTTCGCCTCATCAACCCCATTTTCCTCAGAATAGTGGCAGGCGATCGGATTCTTTAACAACAGCACCCAATCACCCAGAGTTAATATCGCCTTCGGCACCTGCGCCCCCTCCAGATTCAATGGACCAGAGGAAGTTGTCGATTCCTGCCTCAACGCAGGTTGCAGACAACTTTCCCGGACAACATATAGGGGGTCAGGGCTCGAGAGCAAATTTTGAATTCCCACCACAGGCTCAATCTGGCGCATCTCCTCAGAGCAGAACAACTTCCTTCACGCCATTGTGGCAAGACATGGGGCCCTTCACCACCTCACTGCCTCCGGAGTCGCAGCAGATGCTCGCACATGCCCCTGGCTTTGACGTCAATGATCCTCTTTATGCCATGCTCATGCGCGGCTCGGACCAGTACCTTAGCAATTCATACTACCCCTGGAAAACTACTCAGGGTTCTGTTAAAGGCATGTCTGCCGGCGATTCGGCGTACCAAGGAATGAACGCCACGCTGGCGCCCGCTGCGCTTGATAGTCCCCGCGAGGACATACCCAAGCGCACGAGGACTTCCGCCTCAACATCCACGGCCGCACATACATCTATTTCTGCCGAACCTGCTGACACGAAATCGCTTCAAACTTCAGATTTGGATTTTGTTCCTAAGCGGGAAAGCAGCGAGCCCAGCTTTTTTGCTGATGCCGATGGCCTAGACTCTGGTCAGGCGAGCCCTCCCGGTGACGGATTCTGGGACCACTTTGTCAGGGACGGTAGCTGGGACGGTGGCGACAACGAAGCACCTGCCCACTCTAGTGGAGTCAACCCGGACAGTGCTGATGTGAATGTGAAAGTCGAGGCACAAGATTGAGCCACGGATTAAGGGGTAGTACCCTTTGTCACGTAGGAGCCGGTGCCTCGGTCACTGCTCCGTATTTCTCTGTGAGTCCTTGATGCTCCTTGAAGTGGGAAACAAGAAACAAGAAATAGTGGATTCGTCTTAGCCTGGCGTGGATTGGAATCATGGTTTCAAGAGGCCACTTCCCAAGAAGCCAACTTCCAGTCGGATTCGGTGCTCGATATGAATGCTGTTCTGTGTGGAAGTCTATCTGTGGTTTATAATAAAATACCCAGGATCTCATGGAGTCTACATGGTAAACGCACCAAAAAAAGAGAGAAGGGGGGGGGGGGGGGCAGCAATCCTATCTAGGTACATATTCACGTACGTAGCCTCCCGTTCGGTAGCAGGCAAGGAAACAATCTATACATCCCAACTCTCAAACGGATTGCGTTGTGGATGTCGAAAGTAACATGCAACCCAAGAGATGGGCAGTGATAGTATGCTCTATCCACCGCATCCTCTATCCACATACACAGATCGGGGATGCGTGCGAAACCGTCTACCTTACCTACTAGGTACCGAGACAGGAATTATAAGGATGTTACTTCTCTCCTCCTGTATCATACAACTACCGAAGTACCTACCGTGGCTGGGTGGCGACCCAACTCGACTTTCTAATGACGCCAAGGACGGTCACGGCTGACCAGCCAGCCAGCCAGCCTTGCGGACGTCACAGCCTCGCGAGGCTCCAGAACTACAGGTACGGAGGGGGAGGAACATAGTATATAGCCCATTGTGTACCTGTATAGGCAGTAGTATCATCATGTGCGGCTGAGGACTTTTTTTGGGGGGGGGGGGGGGGGGGGGAGGTGAAAGTCTAGAAAGTTGTGTCAACAGTGTGCGGACCGAAGGTACCTAGATAGGTAGCTATCTATTTTGCTCCGTATTGAGCTGACCGCATGGATTATTTGTCTCGATTCTATCTGCCTACTACTAAGCATGTATGTAGGTTGTCTCCAAGCCCATTACAGGAGGGCCCACGGAGGGGAAAGAATTCTATCTCATTTTGCATGATTCCAAGACCGGTGCGCGACGGCGTAGATGGTGGGCAGGTGAGGAGATACACCTGGTCTTTGGCAAAAGATGGGAACTACGTCCCCCGTTTTGCACGCAACCCGATATATCACCTGGTCGCTGGTCGCTGGTCGCTGGTCGCGGGGGAAGAGAGGGTAGGGTAGGGAGACAATGAGGCAGCGGGACGAAGAGCCCTTTTCACCCTTCGTCCGCACCGCGTGCGGTCAGTCATCGTGCTCTGTCATCCAGAATTCCGTCGTGTGTCATTACTCCAAGCCGTCTAAGTCGTCGATATCGCGTCGTCGGTGAGCTTCTCCTTCCTGGATTTCGGGGCTCGACAGGCCCAAACAATGTGCCTTTCTGTGCCATCTCAAGAGAGTGAGGAAGACTCTGCTCTCAGCGTTGAGTCAGCTGGCAGGACGCTCCCACTCGGTCTCGTTGGAAGATTCGTTGCTCGACCTTGCTTGCTTTTGTCCGCGTCTCTCTCTGCAGTCAGCGATTCGCCGTGCTACTCTTCCGACTCAACTCTCCGCTCGGCCTCAGCCCGCTTCCACCGTTACTGCTGACGCTTGGCCGTTGGCCCAGATCAAAACTCCTCCTGACGCTACTTGAGCTGCTTCGTCTCCGTCGCATCCTGATCTCGTTTGGATCGGCGACGTCGGCGACGCCACCGGCACGGGCGAACAAGATCAGAATGTCGGTGAGGGAAACCACGCCGACAAGACGGCCTGAAATCCGCGCTCCCGGAAGCGAAGATGCGGAGATCGAGGGTCCCGTGGGCGCGATGAATGGTGGTTTTGGCGAACTGTCGACGACCGTCCCCGAAGATGGCGAGAACGGGTCGGACGCCGGAGTGGGCATGGCGACAGGTGGTGTGATATGGTGACTTCCCCCGCTATTTAGCGAGAGGGTGGAGGAGTGGCTGGACGTCGGAGCCAGGGTTGCGCTATGTAGCAATGGCGTGGGAGGACCGGAGGAGCTCGGAGAGACGGGTTCGGTGATCCACATTCTGTGCGACTTGGTCGCGACCAGCTTTGCGACTGTGTGCGCGAGTGTCGAGAGCGGAGTGACGTGAAAGACGGGGAATGAGTCTTTGCCCTCGTACATCCCGCGGGTGGAGAGAATGACTGTGATGAAATGGATACATGTGTTGCGCAGGAGCGGCAGAGAAGTGGACTTTGTGAGGAGTTTGACGTCGACGTTGGAGATGTTCCCAATCACGTTGTAGTTGTGGTCGACGACGGCAAGGGACGAGACGCCTTCGTTGAGGAGGAGTGTCAGGGCCTCGAAGAGGGGGCGGTCGCCACTGAAGAAGACATCGGGTCAGGATTTGTGTTCATGACGGACGAATTTGCACTTACTTGATGGCAACCACATCCTTGGACCCTATCCTCAAATCGCGAAGATTTTGGAGGTATATTTGGTCCAACATAGGAAAGCTCCGGCCATTCTCCCACAGGAATCTGATCAGACGGCTCTGGCTGAGCACACCCGTGGCTTCTTTTGTCGTCTCGTCCGTCACAACCACTCGATGCACTCCTCTCCCAAACGTCTCAATAGCCTTGAGCAAATCGGCATTCCCATCAAGGAAAGTCAAGGGCTCCTTTTTGCTCAAGTCTTGGATCTCGCCCAAGTGGATGCGTTTGCCTTCCCTTGCCCGCTGGGCCAATTCCATGAAGTCTTCAGCATGTTCATCGTCATCGGGGTGGGAAAGCCCGACTACTAGTAACAAGTAGGCATTGAGGTCGCGGTGGTCAAACGTGCCGATGACTGGGGAGCCTGGCTTTTCGCGGACAAGAACCACGGGAGCGCCTGACTCAATGAGGAGCTATCATGCGTCCTTTGTCAGTTTTGAGGTGACTTTGGAAGACCGGAAGAGGATGTACTCACATTGGTAGCCGACTCTACAGGGGTGTCATTGTCCACAAACCTCAGATCGTCAGGATTGACCAGCTCTTTGACCTTCACTTCAGTCCAATTCCTGCCTGCGAAGCGGGGGTCTGGGTTCCTCATAGGTGGGTTATCGATCAAATCTTGCACGGCGAGATGGGATAGGGAGGGCTGTCTTTGTGATCGAGGAGAAGGGGGATGGCCTCGTAGCTCGTGGAAACTTTGGCGGTGATGAGCGGCCGCACTGGGCATAGACGTGATGCGGAGGGATGGTGTTCTGGCAGAGGTAGAGGGAGATTGGGACTGTGAGTCCATGCTGGAGCGAGAAGATATAGCCGTTGAAGGGGGGGAGGTGACCGGCGGGTCCCGGTTGGGCGTCGACATACTCCTATCGGCCAAGGAGCAACTGATCGTGTTTGCTTGTCGCTGGTATGGGAATTGAAGATGGAAATGCGGTGGAGGTGGGGGCAGTTCGCACCTCAATTGGCCGTGAGGGGGGGAACGGTTTGTGACGCGCAAAACAGCGGGTGGTGTGATGTTGTTATCTTCAATGGCTGAGGCGATCCTCCATCAACAATAATTTGTTCTAGATGCTCGCTGCTGATGAATTGCTCGAATCTCGTTGTTAACCGCGCACAGAGTGAGTCATGTGAGAGAGGCAGTTTGCAACTCGGATCCATGCTATTCCGTTTTCAAGACACGACGCTTGTACACAGTATGTACCGGTATGAGGCTCACTGGGCTGGAGGGTCAGGCGCCCGGGGAAAATTCTTCCCAGGCTACATGATTATTGGCTTGGTTAACTACTCAGACGGTGGTGAGGCCTGGCCTTTGTGGACAAATGTCTCTGTGATCGGAAACCCTACTTCAACATCTGCATATACTCTGGGCTCAAATAGATACCCAGGAACCGAACTCAACACGGAGTACAGCGTCCTCATTGAGATCACCTCTGTGTCGCGAACTCATTCAGCATGTCCGTAACATTCTTCCCGCTCGCCTTCGCCGTAGGTTTTGCTCTCGACCCTCGCTTCGGAGGAGGCGATGCGGACCCAGGGGTTGCTGGTTCTTGGTTTCTCGCTCTCTTCGCCGGATCCCCATTGCTGTTGGTGGTAGAAGGCCATTCTTGGGCCTTCCAGCTCTGTGTCTTGATATTCTCCAGAAAAATCGTCCTTGTCGAAGGGAAGTCGTCGACAATGTGCGACCACTGTCGAGGACCGCCCATCCACACTTCTAGGAGCGGTCGCTTGTCAGTCAGGCTGGGTCGACGATTGTGCACCAACTGACTGAAGAGCTCCAAACTGTCATAGTAGCAACCCGAGATTGAGCCAAAAGCAAAGTCCCGATCTCCAATAATTGGTCGGAGGCTTTTGGCACTCTTTTTGGCATGCCTTGCTTCCCATCCTGCGGCTTGCGCTGTTGGTTCCCACAAACCTCTGTTCTTTTGGTGCATCCTCGGACAGTCTGTGACGATGATGTGGCATAAAGATGGAAAGCAGTCTGCGTATTTGAAGATCCAGTCCGATAGATGTTCCTGCCAACCAAACATTATTACCCGCAGATGCTGAAAAGTTTCTCCCGAGCGTGCAAGCTCTGCCCAAGAACGTAGGACGCGTTCGTCAAATTTGGAAACTCCGTTGTCAATCGTGGCCTGGCCGTCCGAAAGATCAAGCACAGCGAGGTTGGTTATAGTATGTACCGATACAAGGCTGCTCGTCGCCATCTCCTTCGAGGAGATTCGGAGGCAAGTAAGCCACTTCAATTCCTTAGACGTGAGGCCGTTGAAATAATCCGTGACTGGCATGTCCAGAAACTTAATGTCCAAGAGGTAACGATATTCATGCCTTCCGAACTCTTCTGGACTGGGATATGCCGTCGCCAGAGTTCTCCAAGCGTGGAAACTCTCCGCTCGCCTGTCTCTCGATGTCAGCATCTGTCCCGACGGATCCCCCCGGTGAATAATACATTGACAACGTTTGGTCCCAGACCTTCTGCGCTATTGACCACGGCACCGTTGCAAAATGCTCGGGAGTCAGATTCCTGAACTGGGTAACAACTTTGATCCTCGACATAGCCGCCAAAGAACGGGCACCGGTCGGATTCGCAGGTGGCTTCTTGAACACACCGGCTGTTCTGGGCTTACCAATCCAGTCCGAGTACTTGTTTCGATGTGGACGTACTTCTACTTCAGAGTACACCTGTCCCGATTCCGAGTCAAACTTTTGCACGATCGCTGCGCTTGGACGATGTGATACAGGACCATAAGGCCCCGGCAGGAAAGGCCTCCTATCTGTCCGTTTAGAAATAGATTGCATGTTTCGGATTCGAGGTTCTTTGTATCTTCATTCGGTCATTTGGCACAACCGCACCCAACGTACGATGGCACGAGAGATGGTCGTAAGCTTGCCGGTGGTCTCAGCTAACCAAAACCGACCTTAGCAACTTGGTCATCGCAATGAGGGACTCTTTGGCCATTGTGCTGTTTCTCGGGGCTGCAGATCAATTTGAATTTCCTCGAGGTGTAGACAGTGTTGAGTCGGTCTGCAGACATTCAGCGTGTTGGATTTTGTTGCTCCGACGCCACAGACCCGACGCCACAATAAATCACGTGATATCGCGTTGAGGCTGTGACCATGACATCATGGGGACGCGACCTCGGGGCTTCCATCGAGTGTTGAATGCTCTTACCAGTACGAACACGAACGAAACGAGGCATGCATGTTGTGGTCCTGCTTGGTCCTCTACCTTATACACGATGATAGCTGCAATATGCTAAATCGTCTCCCTACCTGCGTTTACCTGGCTAAAGCCAGCAGATGACCATCTTTTGCAACTACGCCCAAACGCCAGATGAAACCACCAGGCGAAACTCAGGAACTTCATATACCTGCCTCGTGCACTGAGGTGGGGTCACCCGAGGTTGAGAGCAAAATTGCCACGACGGAAATGCCCTCTCAGAAGATCTGTGGCGTGACCGCAGGGCTAGATATCAGAGGCATGTCATCACTTCTGGCTACAACCCTTGTGGAAGCATCGGACACCGTTATCACCATTGAGTCAAGAGGCGCAGTTGGCACTGGCTGTCTCAGAGAGATCATACTTCGCCCTTTCCTCCGGCTGACCCTTGCGCAGGAGAGACCAGAGAAGACTTCGAGCCAGTTCCATCATCTTTTTGACCGGTCTCGCTTCGACGTTTGGTTGTCGATGCTTTCTCCGCACTTGAGCTTAGTTTTACGGGGGATTTGCGAAACCTATTCCACCATGGGTCTAAGTTCACAAGGCTGAGACCAATCACAAAGCAATAAGTGTCAAGCAACATGCCCGTTCCTGCTTCCCGTCAATTCTGGAGCTGAACCGGATTCCCAAACCCCGCAAACGGGCTTCATCGGGGAAATACCGACGGACAATCTGACAAACCGGCTTTTGCAAAATCTATACACGTCTTCCCTCTTTAGTTCGTCGGAGACATCGACCCTGTCCTTCATTGGCCTCCAGCTTGACGAGGGCTTCAACTGAACTTTGTGTGACATAGCAAGCGGTGAGCACAACATGTCATCTCGTGCGGGGTTCAACAAAATCCCAGAATTAGACGAGCAACGACAAAGCTCAAATATCCCTGATGAGGCGCTCATCTTGCGAAATCGTCAGAAGCAAGGTAGAAATCCCCCAAAATGCTCTCAGGGGTCTTTCTCGTCGGCTTGGCAGCCCTGATCACCTCGAGCTCTGCTCAGTCGAACTCCAGCCAGATACTGGTGGTTGATCAGAAGAGCTTCAATGTGTTGAAGCCCGTCCCTCCTCCTTCAGAATCCAATCTTACGACGGTGAGACATGTTGGCTCTATGGAACAGCCGTGTGACTGTCTCTCTTAGCCTGCTGACTCGACGGTGTAGGTTTTTGTACCTCCTGGCGTCACGCTGCAACAAGCCCTTGCGAAGCCCTTCCACGTCTATGACGATGCCTTCTTGGATATTATTGGGACGAACCCCACCCTGACACTAATTGCCAGTACTAACAGTAATCCCCTCTTCCACGAGGCTGTCGTCTGGTACGTCTCGAGGGCTTGATATGCCACGTCATTGTTCTACAACGTCTGTCCCATGTACTAAGTTTGCCTCCTAGGTACCCTCCGACTGATGAGATCTTGTGAGTTTCTGCCATTTCTGGGAATCCCTCTGCTTCCACCCTGTCATTGCTGGAAGCTCCGCGGTATCGGTAAAGGATAACAGAGGTTCACAGCTTCGTACAAAATGCCGGAGCGACTGCCGCTGGAACTGGCCTGAACAAGTCGAATATCATACAAAAGATCGCCTTGAGTCAAGCTGCAGCAGTTTCGTCCTTACGCAATGCGAGCGGTCAGGTGGATGTTGTGACTGTCAATGCTACGCCTCCGGTGGTAAACTCGAACGGTTGGAATTGCTGTTACTTCCCTAGTCACCCATGTTCAGAACTGATCTATATTGGCTAGGAGCAACTCAGTATCGAGGTCAACTTCTCTTTACTGGCGAAGGACAAGGCAATAACACAGCTCCCGCTTTATACGTCGTGAACCCACGTCCTCCGTACAACACGACTGGTAGGTGCAGTTTTCGCAGATTCCCCTGAATATCTCTCTCCGGGATTATTGCCTTGATGCCGCTAACGTCTGCTATAGTTCTCGTGAACAACTACTTCGGCCGCCAATGGAATTCTCTCAACGATGTAGCGGTCAATCCTATGAACGGCGACGTGTACTTCACAGACACCCTCTACGGCTACCTGCAAGACTTCCGCCCTTCGCCAGAACTCCCAAACCAAGTGTACAGGTTCACACCTTCTACAGGAGCTGTATCGGTTGTAGCCGATGGATTCGATCTGCCAAACGGTACGTTGGAAGTGCTTCAGGCCACTGCTTGTATACGTAACATTGAAATGTAGACTAACCAGGCACAACCAGGCATCACGTTCTCTCCGAATGGGTCCTACGCGTATGTTACGGACACAGGTGCTCAATACTCCTTCTTTGGGTATAACATGACCGCGCCAGCCTCGATGTAAGTTGACAATGCTTTTCCCGGATTCTCGGGCCAACGGTGCAATCACCTCCGTCCCCATTTTCACTCCCCTCTGCTCGTGCCGTCTAACAGTTACGAAAAGCTATCAATTTACCGTCCTCCCCGACGGCACGTTTGCGAATCGCAAGCTTTTTACCTATTCGAGCGTTGGTATACCGGACGGCATACACTGCGATTCAAACGGCAATGTGTACTCGGGCGTTGGGGACGGCGTGCACGTGTGGAGCCCTTCGGGGAAACTGCTCGGCAAGATCTTCCTGGGCACGACGTCGGCCAACTTCAATTTCGCGGGCAAAGGCCGCATGGTCATCTGCGCGGAGACCGAGCTCTATTATGCCACGTTGGCGGCCGAGGGGGCGGTGGTGTCGAGTCAGCTGCCGCCGACTTGAATGGGGGATTTGAAGCTTTCAAAGCCGTCGGGAAAGAGCATATGAGTTAAGATCCCACGATCAAAATGAAAGTCCATGTGATAGGAGTCTCCGTCTGGGTCTTTGGCGGCTTTGAAGGGAGCAATAACATCCTGACATTCATGTAGGCGCCATGTTCAAGGAAGATAAAAGTACCACATGGCAACGACGTGGCTGCTGTTCCAAGTAATGTCAATTGTGCCATTCAACTATAAGATAGGGAGACGACCACCGCTGAAGAGTAGCCCTCTGTTGGGAACGAAGGCCGCCTCTCTCTCTACCAACGTACCCCTTTCACTTCACACTCGAGGAAGACACCATGTCAGACTCTGGCCAATATGCCGTATGGCTTAGTTTTTGAACCATAGTTGTTCCAAACATGTAAATCACTTCCGACGCAGCTTGGGCTACAGCCTCGCCTCCTTTCAACCCCAGCCTCGCTTGTGATGCCCCGATCTGATAGCGTGTTCGATGTTTGTACTGCCAACGCCAACGCAGGGGGGGCAGCTTAAAGCAATCGATGGAGCATGCCCCCAGACAACCTCGGAAACCAAAATAGGCCATCGAGTTTCCCTGTAAGCATTGTGGGAGGGATTCAATCCCCCCATTTATGGTCCGTTTGCGTCGCAGGCCAGTCATCCGGGTATGCCTTCTTCGCCTCCAAGTCCTTGTACTTCCGGTCCATCTCCTCCCTCCGGCCCAGGGAGACGCGGTCGCCGTAGACAATGCCGTTCAGGTGGTCGACCTCGTGCTGTAGAACATGGCTGAAGAAGCCCGTGGCGTGGATCGTGAGGGCCTCGCCGCGCTGATCGACCCCGTTGATGGTGATGGCGCCGAGGCGCGACACCGACGCGGAGATGCCGGGGTACGAGAGGCAGCCCTCCGTCATGGACAGCGTGCGCTGCAGCGCGTGTGGTTGATGATGATGATGGTGGTGTTGGTGGCTCGAGTGCGCCGGTGTATTAAAACCCGCAGAACCCGTCCCGCCTGGTGCCTCGTGGCTCCCCCCGTCGTCGTCGCTGTCCCCAAACGCCTTCTGGGACGAAGGCTCGATGATGGGATTGCACACGGCGCCCCAGCGCCGCGTCCCCCGCGCGTCGTCCATGTCGTACACAAACACCCGCAAGTCCACGCCGATCTGGTTCGCGGCCAGCCCCACCCCGCCGGCGGCGTACATGGTCGCGAACATGTCGGCGACGAGGGCGTCGAGCTCCTTGGTGTCGAAGGCCGTCACGGGCCGCAGTTCGCGGTGCAAGATCGGCGTGCCCCAGCGCACGATGGGCAGGATCTTGCCCCGACCCGAAGCACCACCGCCCTCGCCTTCTTGACGGGGATCGGGCTGAGAAGACATTGTTGCGCGTCGCGACCGGGTTCTGTCCTTTTCCCACGACTAGCCTGGCCCCGTTAGAGATTGGGTGGTCCCGTGAAAAAGCCAGAAGGAGCCCAGTTCCATCATCCCCCAAACTAATTTTTCTCCTCCAGGCGCTCGGGGCGGCTTTGTGTGGCCGTTTCCATATTGGGGGAAGAAAGCACTGAACAGACGAAAGGACTTACTCCGAAGATGTTAGTTGATATGATAGGGGGTCTCGAATATTAAAACCCCCCCGGTCCCAAGAGCGAGACTAAACCCGCCACCTGCGTCGAATAATGGGCCGCAGCGATCGATGGGAACAGGATGGCACCTGTATGTTTGGGGAAAGTGAACCTTGCCGCTTTCGAAGAATGCTTATGTCCCTAATAATAATATCAAGCAGGTGGACAAAAACGTCGCCATCGAAAGGTTGAAAGTCAGTGTCCACATAATCCGTTCTATCCGCACTTATTCACGGGCTAGAGTTTCACGGCGATCAAAATCGCGGGGTTGATGTGGAATCGAATCTGGCAACTTCTCGGCACCTTGTCCGAAGGGGCCCTTTGGACTCTCGCTCAGTCCTTTATGTATTAAAGTAGCAAGAATCTAGGGTTCATGTCATCATCATCAGAGCATTAATCCATTAGGCAAGCAGAGCCCAAAAAAAATGGGCGAGGTTGTAGTAGCGTTCGATCTCTACGGCACGCTCCTGTCGACCGAGAGCATCGCCAAAGAATTGGCTTCACACTTTGGCCAGGAGAAAGCAGCCTCGATTGCGGCGGTATGGAGAAAGTATCAACTGGAATACACGTGGAGGCTGAACAGCATGAGTAGGTCTTGCGGCAATGTGGTATTTGAAATCTTGATGCTGATCTGTTCAAGAACAATATCAGGACTTTTCGGACGTGACCCGGAAATCTCTCCTGCATGCGCTTGCTGAGCACGGGTTGAGTCTCACCACTGCTCAGAGTGATAAGCTCATGGAAGCATACGACTCTCTCTCGACCTTTCCAGATGTCAACCCAGCACTGAAACGCTTGGAGAACAACCCAAACATCAAATGCGTCGTCTTCTCAAATGGGACCAAGGCCATGGTCTCCAACTCCGTCAACAAGTCTCATGATCTCAATTCTTCCGTCTTCAAGGACCTTGTAACTGTCGATGCTGTCCGAGTATTCAAGCCCGCCCCCGAGGTCTATAACTACCTGGCGCAGCAGGTCAACAAAGTGGGTGAAGAAGATAAGTTGTGGCTGGTTTCAGGAAACCCCTTTGATGTGGTGGGTGCTCGATCTGTTGGGATGCAAGCTGCATGGGTTGATCGGCCAGGGAACGGATGGCAGGACAGACTTGGTCAGGGCCCTACAGTAGTAGTGAGAAGTCTGGAAGAGGTTGCGGACGTCGTTGAGCAGCATGCCGCAGGCTCCATATAGTAAGAGTGCTCGGTGCCAACAGTCATGCTATATGATCTTGATATGGCTCGGAACTTGATGTGGTGGCGGCTTCCCTGGATCGACGTGCCTTCTCCATTTTTGCTACCCACAACGCACTCCCGGCTGCAGAGGTAAGCAAAAAGAACATGCTGAGCACGGGGACAAGTTGCAACGCCAATGCAACCACACCGAACCATGTGTATTTGAGCTGCCGGTTCCGGACGTATTCTTGTCTTTCTTTCTTAGAGAAGCCCCGTAGCTTGAAGTACCTCCAGTGATGAAAGGGCCCGGCTCGATATCCAGTCAAGACGAGGAAGATGGGGACGCCAACAAAGGGTATGAGATTGACCGGGAGAAGAATAACGAATTCGGCGATTTGACGGAAACTGAATGGAGCATAAATGGCGGCCGACGTAGGTTTTCCGAGCATTTGCACAGAGTTGTGAGCGATTGGATGGAGTGTACGACCCTCACTGACAAGATCCTCCAGCCCTTGGTCGATAAGGACAGCATCAAAGGTATCCACGAGAGTCTCGTCGACAAAGAACGCCTCGAAAAGAAGGGCAACGATCGCGGCGCCTTCGCCCAACACGAGAAATGTTGCATTCACCCATGCTCCTGGTCCATGGAAGATGGCGAGGAACGCAGCTTGTGGGAGGAAGGTCCAGAGGAATAGGTTGGCGTAGATGAAGGCGGACAGGAGAACGATGGGGATCAGGCGCGCCTTGAATAGCGGGTAGAAATAGGGATGCAGGAGGAAATAGAAGATGCCCTGGCGTGGAAGACAAGTCAGACATTGTCACCTCTCTACGCGACATAACTCACCTTCAGGGGATAGAGCCAGACCGCGTCCCAAAGCGAACAGCACATCCTGGACTGCCCTTCTGCCGCCATTGTCACTGCAACAGGTTATCCATGAGACCGGTTGAGAACCACCAGGGAAAACGGTGCTCAGTCGCAGGCAGTGAGCGGAACACATTCGCGTGGTGATGTCACTCAGCCAATGGAAGAATTTGAATCCTCAGCCTCGTTGCCAAGCCTCAGCCTTGTTTCCGCCGTCGGCTTCTATTTCTCGCGCAGTTTCGGTTCTCAATTTTTCACACCTCTCTCTCCAAACTGAAGTTTCCTCTGTATTCACTCTGTCAACTATGATGACTATGGTTGCTGGAGGGGAAATCAGAGGACAGAGGGATGAATCGTTTCGACGGCTGCCAACTTACCCCGGGACCTTCTGTTGCTGATCCAGCTTCGAGCTTGTGGAGGTTTTTGGAAATATCTTATGGCTGCACATTATCCATATAACCCCCAATGGGTTTGGTAGAGAGGTGGTGGACGTCGGCGATACTACCCAACTCCTTGCATCCTTGAACTTCTTGGGGATCATAGAGAGCTTGGCTGGATATTTTGAGGATATACGGTCCTCATCGCATGACCTTCATGAGGGGCTACAGTGGCTGCTACAAAGAAATCTCTGCCCAAGCCCGTTGTTGTACTCCGTACTCGTAATGAGGCCCCTAAATAGGAGGGGCCTAACGGCTCTGGCTAGGTACCTTTCAAGGGATCGTACAGGGGCTCACTAGGCTTTGTAGCCCGCGCTGACCCCGCCCGGGCTGGCACCTGGGTAATTTCACCCCGGAATCCAGGGCGGTCCCTGCCCAACTAGACCCCTGCTGGACTCTTAGTGGCAGGTACAATAGGTACTGTACACGGTTGGTGTGCCAAATGGCCACTGGACCAATTTGGTTCGACTTTTGCAATGTTACCCTCTGTGCTTTGCCTTCCCTACAAGTACTCGGTGAAGAGTAAGCACATTCTCTTCCCCTAGGGAGTGTTGTTCACGCCCACACAGATGCCCATTCACTTGGACTGCATTCCAGCCGTGACCCGTGCCTGGGAGCAACCTCCCATTCCATAGAGCCCTTCACCGCCGCAACCCCCAGACTTTCCACTCCTTCCCCCGCAATAAGTTAAGCGGCCGCTTGGAGTGAAGTGAGATCTCACCGAGGACACCGGCGGCCAGTAGTAGCAGTGAAAGTGACAGGGTCTGCCGTGGACCGTGGTCGCTGGCAGCTGGTTGATTGACCCTCGGCCCCTCGATCACGAAATTCTCCACCTCTGCCTGCGCTTGTCTCGCTCCCACCACCAGCCATCCAGGCCACCTGCTCCTGCTTCCGACCTCGCCGACATCTCAAAATCCCCTGGGAACCTTGTGCTAAATACTCCATACTATGTGCCGACATTCACCCGTGGATTCTGCTTTGCTCAACACCGAGACTGGGAGATAGGAGTCCTCCCAATGGCTTCCATCTCACCGCAAGGCCCGTATTCGTCCTCTCAGCCACAGGACGCGGGCAACGCCTATAAGTACGAAGATCCCACCGCATACCAGATCCCCTCTGGCTATCCAACAAATCAATTCGAAGTCCCTCTGCCCGTCGCGCGTCCAGAACCAGAACCGCAACCCAGAGAACCCTCGAAGCCACAGTCTTCAGGTTCATCAGAACCCAAAGTTCGTCTCCGAAAGGCCTGTGACAGCTGCAGTGTGCGCAAGGTCAAGGTACGTGCGCCGACTCCCCTCGTGCTCCTGATCCGTGTAGGACTCGCGCTCATGAATGCCAACAGTGCGACGAGACCGGTCCTCCTTGCAAATCATGCGCCGCCCTCGACATTCCCTGCACCTTCGACCGTCCGAGTCGGAGACGTGGCCCGCCCAACAGACATGCTGAAGCTATCAAGAGACAGAAACTCGAGGGTGGGAACTTCGACGGCTCACGAAGCTCTCCCACTCATGATGCCGCCTACAGCCTTGCTGCCCTCGCCGCACCGACCCCGCTGTCCGCCGAGTCAATATGTGACCTACCGGCCTTGAAGGTTCTGCTGGACGATTACTTTACGTATATCCATCCATTAATACCTCTTCCACACGAACCCACGTTTCGAAGATCATTTGAAGCTAGAGAGGACAGAACAAATCACAACTTCCTCGCGCTCATTGCCGCCATGGTTGAATGCCTCGTAGCTAGTTTTCCGAGACGCCCCAGACAACTCTTTATCACGGAACCAGGAAAGTCGCAGTTTCCCAACGCGGGGAGCTTGATCGATCGATGCCATCAAGTCTTCGTCGAAGCTCGCGGCCTTGGATACATGGATCGCCCGATGAATCTGTACGACGCTATTGCAAGCTATCTCTCTGGACTGGCTGCTGGATATACCCTAGACATCGCACGAATGCGACTCTATCTCGGCGAGTGTACCATTATTATGCGGGAATTGCAATTCCACCGGCCAGAGATCCATCGGCCCGCTGTGACTCCGGCAGCAGCGTACGGCCCTGCCGACATGCCCCGGCCGCCACTGGTTGACTACATCTACCAGGAATCCGGTCGCCGGCTTTTCTGGCTGTTGTTTGTGGGCGCAATGTCGGCCCGACAGCTTGATGAGGCTGAGGGTGACCTGTTGATGCCTCCCGTATCCCACGCGGAGATGCTCCCACCCCTACCGGTCGAGGTCGATGATGAGTACATCACTGAAACACAGATTTTCCCCCAACCTCGAGGAGTCGTCTCTGAAATGGTCGGGTTCAACCTCAATGTCAAAGTCTTCCGAGCCTTTCACTTCTTGGCTGCCCTGGAAATGGCGTTTGGTGCAAACAACGTCTATGACTGGGATCGTCAACGGCAAATCATCCGCCGCGCTCTTCAACACGTCAAGGATGCTACGCGAGATGCGCCTAAGGAATTGCAGCTCAACCCGGCCAATGGATTCGGCGAGTGGCCTCCTACCCAAGCCGACATATCGGCATATTCCCACCTCTTCAATGACCGCGAAGGAAGTGAGGGCGATCCCCACGCCACCCCCGGCAGTGTCCGCGGATCATTCTCGATGCCATCCAAGCGAACAATCCAGTTTGAGATCCAGAAAGCGAATATATACGCTACCCAACTTTCGTCGAGATCGTACCTGGTAGAGAGGTTCTGGAACCTGTACGAGATAGTGGATCACGACAAGTTGACTTTTCCGTCGGATAAGTCGGTCACAAGCTCGTCTCCCACGGCCGGGATCGTGACAACGGGCATGGAACACGGTTATCGCCAGATCGTCGGTCGTACCCCAAGCGACAACATGATGGACGCTGGAGAGCAGATGATGGCCGTTGAACGAGAAGACATTGTGAGAGACATGGCCCTGCTTCTGAAGAGCATCAACCAGGTCAATATGGAGCCTAATGGAATGAGTTTCGTAAGTTGATCGGGTTTCAGGCCAAACGACTTCACACTGACTGTTAACTAGTGCAACAAGATCCGAACCGTTGCGTCGACTTTGCTGGAGACCAAACGCGCCAGAATGAGCGTCATGCCCACGCTCGACTCCGAAAGTGTGAATGCATATCTTCACGTGTTCCTCGATATCCTCTCCAAGTTGGAGCGCTTGGGTCCTGGCCGATTCCGAGGTGTTGCTGATGGCAACACTGGCGGCATCCTACGGACGCCCGAGGAGATTGAAGAGGAAGAGCTGATCCACTGGGCGAGTCTGAAGGAGCATCAGGAGCGATTTGTCCGGACAAGCGGATTTTGGTGAAGACTGTCCGAGGGTCTGCTTTTTGTGCATAGTGTAATGACTGATGATCTTTATGGGTGTGATGGGGGCTGGCTTGATGATGTAGCAGGGAATAATACAACAGGGGACCAGCATTTGTTGCTATTCGCGTGGATGGACGAAAAGTGAAGCTTCAACCAAGGCTTGATACCCCCTGGTGCCCCGTGGGATGGTCGTCGATCAGGGATATTGGCTGTCAGTGATACAGACATGAAGCTTTTGTCTAATGACGACGCGCGGCAATCTCACGCATAGCTAGCTATTGTTATGACAGGGCTAGACATAATTGGCATTAGCATATGAGTACAACAAAAACATCGCGCATCGACTTTTTTGCTCTTCTGGGGGAGCTCGCGACCGGGCGTCGTATGGCGTGGATCTGAGTGTCCTGGCACCACCTGCAGTTTCGTCAGACTTTCCACCGCCTGGTTGGGCTGCGAAGTTTCCTCCAACGTCCTCTCCTCGTTCGCTCTCCTGGAGGCGCCCACACCTCACGGCAGGAAATCAACTCCAATGACAGACAATGACGATGGCAATTTTGATGCCTTCAGAGACTGCCTGTTCTCACACGTGGTGGAAAAGCTCACTGCTGATGGAACAAAGAAACCTTCCAAACGGTCGTCCCTAGGCAAAAAAGCCCGACAGAACCAGTCTGAGCCATCTGGGCCCGATGCTTCTGAGCTGGCCGACTTCTCAGATTATTTGGCCACCGATATCTTTGCGAACTTGCCGCGGCCATTCCAGGAGCTATCCTATCATGCACTGCAGAATGATGCTGTGCAATCGGACAAGTGGTCCCTTCCGCTGACTCTGACTGTTGTTGAAGAGCTGTGTGCCCGTCTTCCGGGAGACATCAACGACAGCTTGATAGCATATGGACTCATCGAGCCACCCAAATCAGACATCCAGTCCTTCATGGCCCCGGTGCTCTCTGGCTACATTTCCGCGGCGACAACACCCCCACCAAAATGGTCCGAAACGCGGACAAAGGCGTGCGAGATCTGCGAAAGAGACTGGGTTCCAATGACCTACCATCATCTGATACCGAAGCAAATCCATGCTAAGGTGCTCAAGAGGAATTGGCATGAAGAACATCAGTTGAACAGCGTGGCGTGGCTGTGTCGAGCTTGTCACAGCTTTGTTCATCGAATGGCCTCCAACGAAGAGCTCGCCCGAGAGTGGTACACCGTCGAACTGATATGCCAGAGGGAGGATGTTCAGAAGTGGGCCCAATGGGTCCGACGTGTTCGCTGGAGGAAGACCTGAGATTGGTGCCTGAAGCCCAAAGCAGGACCGGTTGAACAAACAAGACTGTTTGACAATCAATCCAATCGCCTTGATTTGGTGTGTCCTCTTCGTCAGCCACCAACTTGTCGCAGATACCTTTGTCCATTCATCCCTGCTGGCTTCCCAGATCCATAGTACAATGGCGGGAAGTGTGTGGGCGGGGCTTCGCGCCCATGGCTGGTGTATATGATATACATTTCCTCTTGGATATTTCACTGCTGGAGGACTGCTGAATGGGTTCACGGTCTCCGCGCCTATTCGCCGCGTCGATCCGACAAAAGGGCTTCACCTCATTGCCGTCAGAGATAGAACGCTCCTCAGTACGCGACTGCCGCAGTGGTCCAACGCTCCGCCTTTTTGCCAAAAGAAATCTATATAAACCTCAGCAATGACAGATCCGAACCTATGCTTGGGGAACCATTCATCCATACTCAGACCTTCTGCAACCAACGCTACTGCACAACTTCGTTGATCAGTCGCTTGCTTTGTACTTGCTTCGACTCGATTGTCCACATCTTGAGACGAGGTCTGTTGGAACTGCTGCAGCCGTCTGTTCTCAGAGAACCCCTGTCAGCGTCTGAGCTGGTGTGGACGTGCACAGTCTGCTGGATCTGACTTTGCGTCCCTTGTCCACGAGCACCAACCTCTCTTGGTCTTGGTACGGCATATCGGTCACGACAAGGCGGCTTGACTGCTTACAGTCTCAGCTTGCTTCCTCGAATTTAGACAGATCTGAACTCACGGGCAAAGTCTAACTCGACACGTCGAATTGTGGACAGAATCACGGGACTGACATTCACTTTTGTCACGGACTTCACTGTCGCTAACATGGCACGCGACAACAACAATGAACACTGCCGCCGCCAAGGGCAGCATTGTGCCGCACCTTGTGGACTCGAGATTTTCGTCCCTATTCCTCGTGCCATGTTTTTTGCAGGCGTCAGAGATTTCCCTCGTCCTCAAGAAGTTTACCACAATCCTGTCTACATTCCACCGTCGTTCGAAACTCGACTCGGAGCTCGTGCGAACAGCAATTCTCTTGTGGGCTCCTCATTTTCTCAACCGCCGTTCACAAGTCATCCACGCGGTCCAGGAATCACAGAATTCTGGGAGTGCCTTACGGCGCTGCAAGATCCAGTCCCCATCTACCAGTCACCATTTGGACCTGTCACACCAGTCCACGAATTTCTCCCAAACATGGCTTCCTACGACGCTCGACTCATTCCTGTCCGCGAAGACGCCGTGACCGATGCCCTTACCTCCTTCATGCAGAATCCCAGCACGAGCATTAATGATTGTTACCGGTCCGCTGTACGGAACTTCCTTCGTCGTTCTGTCGAAACAAATATCCTCGACCTTGTCAGGAGAATCGACCTTGAGGTCGAGTTCGCACTCCAAATCATCCGGGCCACCAAACGGCCAGAACAGTTCACACTCGAGCAAATGGATAGCCTCCAGGCACTCGGAAAATCCTTCACTGAAATGGGAGCGACCTACCGCGAAGTCTGGCTTGAAGAGGTCACCAGACTCAACATCTGGCCGCATCACCAGGCCAATATTGTAGACGCTGATGAGTATCAGCGATACATCGGACGAAGAGACTGGGATGCCGAGTGGGTGAGAGGCACCCTGGAGAGGAGTGAAGCGGAGGTGGGTGCCTACAACAACCCGTACCATGGTGGCAATATCATTAATGGAGACAACGGGCAGGACGAAGGAAGAGCAAGAGATGTCGACATGATGGACATCGTCACAATCGAAGATGACCACAGCAGTGCCACCGACGAAGACGAAGAAACCATCGTCGTTGGAAACAACGCCCAAGGCATCACCACTTGGTCGAGATTTGTTGAAGGCGAGTTGACACCTTTCGCTCAATATGAACACGGGCGCGAACGGCCCTGGGCGTGCCTCCTTTGCGAGAAGTGCGTGGTCAGTGAGAAGGGCAAGCTCCTAAGACATCTTCGCCAGCAGCACGGCCTGACCGGCCTGAAGGCCATGAAGGCCGACGAAAAGAACTACTCGAACTTCCAGGGCCACGATGGGCAGGACTGCTTCATCTGGGGCGAGTACGTCAGGGGCGACCCGCGGCCGTGGAAGTGCCTGCTGTGCGCGAACCACGCCGGGGTCAAGTGCGGCAGAAGCACGTTCGCACGGCATTTTCAACTGACCCACGGCATCAGAGTCGTCCTCCCACCGGTCACATCTGAAGAGATCAGGCGCCATAACCAGAGGAGGCAGCGGGGCCAGCAGGCCAATAACGCCAGCGGGGCGTGAAGAGCTCAGTGTGCACGAAAGGAACTGGTTGAGACAACTGTGATTCAAGAGACACATTGGCGGTATGGGATCGCGGGACCTGCACGAGTGAGGGGAAACACTGAGGCAGAGAAGTCTTCAGGAGACAAGAGAGAATAGACACCAGAGAGACTGAGATATCTCACGTGAGAAACCAGGCAAAATAGCCAGGTACTTTTCTAATGAAACCCCCCCCCCCCCAAAAAAAAACCGCTTGACTTGATTCATCATACAAATTTCGTTTCCAGATTCATTTCAAGAACGCACAAGCTCGTCCCAGGGCGTGTTGCTCTCCGAGGCGTCTACGTCGCCTACGACGTGGAAGACGCGGCTCGTGCCCTCGAATTCGGCAATCTGCCCAGTCAACGCCTTCCTGTCGCCGTAGTACTTGAACCTGTACATGCCCGTCGGGGTGCCCGGTTCAATCTCCCACTCCAAGATCACCTCGCTGGTGCCCAGCGTCGTGGACGTGCGCTTCCACCGGTACACCAGGAACCAGTCCCGGTCGGAGCGGACCTGGACCCACTCTCGGCGGCGCTCGTCGAACCTCTCCACGGCGGCGAAGGTGCTCTCGAGGCGGAAATTGTTGCGCGGGTTCGCGCCCACGAACGTCGCGCTGACGACGTCCCCGCCACGGTATGACTTCGCCGGGTTCGGGGAAGCGAGCGTGTCGCCGAAGTTGCGCAGGATCCCTGCGTGATCGACGACGACTGGCCGAATGAAGGACAGCGAGCGGTTCACGTTTATCGGTGGATGGGGGCCGGCGGGGAGACGGTCAAGGTGGGATGTTTCGTCGTCGGTCCCCAAATAGGGGAGGTGTGTGATTGTGAGGTTGATGTACGCTTCCAGCGTGTACGGTCCGTAGAGCGTGGATGCCCCTTCGTAGCGCTGCACGGCGTATTCCTCTTCGGTGGAGATGTAGTGCGCGTAGGTGTTTGCGGGTCCGCCGAGGACGAGCCTCGGAGAAGAGATGTTCAGGATCAACGGAGCCGCAGCCGTGAGTGCCGATTTCCATCGGCGGCCGGCCATGGTGGTCGCTTCTCCGGGCGATATGATCATGATCAAATCGCCGATGCGGAGGAGTTGGATGTCGACAATGTTCGGCGTCCAGGCGTAGGGATCATCAGCTTCGCCCACGTCAAGGAGGATGGGTTTCGGACTTTGGCATGCGATCTGGGCGTCTGTTGGTGGATGGATCGCGCCTCTTGCGACCCTCCACAGCGGGTTTTTCAAGGCAGGGGAGCCGTTGGTGTCGTTTGTGCCCTGGGCGAAATCGAAGCGGCCAGGCCCGTCGGTTGTGCCACCTGCGAAGCCATATCCCAAGGCGGCGGAGCAGGTCTTCAGGGTTCGGGACTGGTTGAAGAATGAGGTGAAGGTGAACGACGAGAGGTTGGCGTAGGTGTGGAAATAGGATACGGTTGATGCTGGTATCCGGTCTAGGTTGTGGTCTTCTAGGAGGACTTTGGCTGCAGCCATTTGACGTTTCCCAATCTCGAAGCACGACCTGGTCCCCTGATCGTCTGTTTGAAACATCGGTCCACGTCCGTGGCATCCCTGGGTTCGACCTCCGCATGTGCTATCCTTAAACGCGCATGGAAGGCCTGTATCTTCGCAGAATGCGCCGAGGGTATTGGGGGAAGTATCTCCAACGTTTGCCTGGGAGAAGCCAGCGACGAAGGATGGGTTCTTGACTTTCATGTGCTCTTCCAGAAGGTATGCTGCAACACCTTTGTTATCGCCGGCGATAAGTGTGTTGTTTTGGTACAGAGATGTGCCATGAACTGGAAACCAAGTCAGCGCTCCCAAGGCTTGACCATCAGACGCCCGCTCAAATTTCATCAGTGTTATGCTCTTGTCGACGTCATCGGTGTACTTGTCGCGTTCATCCTGCGGATTCTGGAGGTAGGCATACGGGCTTCTGTTTATATTCGCACCTTCGACGGGGTATTGTCCAAATTTGAGGTGGCCGGGCGTAAGGCTGTCATGTGCACGTTGAATGGCTAACACCGAGCCACTGACGATTGCGTCGTAGCTCTCTCTGTGGAAGCCCAGACTCGTGATTTGTGGCAACAGGTAGTTCAACCAAGCCCCGGGCCCGCTGTGACTGTGTGTCCCGGTAACTGCGACATTGTTCTTGTTGTATATTGCATATTCTGGGCCCAACTCCTTAAGCCTCTGCAAGATGCCATGACGAATAGCAGTGTCGCCAGACTGGGTATCTAGGACAAGGTAGACGATCCGCGAGGAACTTCTCGAAAGGCTGCCCACAATGAATGCCCGGCAATAGATCCGTTGACGGACACCACTTCCCACTTGGTCTGTGTCAGCGTAGCCCATCAAGTTGATCTCGACGACCGGCCTGAATAAATTAAAGTTAGCATGTGCTCATCGGCACATTTACGCACTTCCCTTACCCAGTAATATCAGCCTTTCCGACCCCTAGCAAGTAGTCGCCCTGCAAAGCGGCCTCGCCACTGTGCTGGCTTTGCTCGGTTTGTCCCTGCACATTGCCAGCAAGCAAATGCACATTTTGAAGCGGACTATGAGCAACGAAGCCCAACCACAGAAGAGCCGTCGTGAGGACGAGACCGAGCAAGCATAGAACTGGGGCTAGCGCTCTCCGTGCCATTTTCGTGTTGCCCTGAATGTGATGTCTTTGCAGCTTACGACGGGAATCGGATGTGACAGTCCCCCTGTCTTTTCGGGTCAGGTAGGGAGTTTCCGGAATGAATCATCGTCTTGTCATAATCTGTCTCTGACAATAGACGAATATGCCAGCGTATAAAGGGCAAGAACCGGCCACCGTTGGAGAAGTGTATGAATTTTTGTGTTGATTCTCTCGAGGCCGCGAGGCTCCCCTGAAACGGGCAACAATGTCGTCATCCTGACGAATCACCAAGGATCGACGACAGCCTTGAAGTAAGCACGTATACGGGCAAGGCTAGCCAATCATATACGGTCATTCACGCAAGCGGGAAAGCCTGGGCTTGGCACCATGGAATCTTTATCGCAGTCAATGAATTTGCACCGAGGGACGGTCTCAACTCCCTGCAACCAACAATGGCCTTGATATGGGAGTCCCACGACTCCCTGCCCTGTGAGTGATGCTGTGCCAAATGAAGAGACTGTCGACCTGTGCTGACCGCTTCCCCCCCAGACATCGACCCCGACATCACAGATGCCGAGCGCCAGAGAGCAAAAGCTTCGATTGCTCGACACCTCCCCAAGGACTATCTCAGCACGCCTCACCCCTCTCTCGCCCCTCTTCCTGCAGTCAACTTCTCCGAAACATTCCGTCAAGAAATCAATCGGGTAGCTGCGGGTCAACCCCGCCAGCAAGGGATAGACGTGTCGCGCTACGAGGCCCCGGACGAGCCGTCGAGTGACAGTGATCAGGCCACAATGAAAGAGGCGCTGCGAAACGCGTACATCTTGACCACTTTCCTGTCAGATCGACACACCAACCTCCAATTGCTCGACGAGTTTGGCAAGAACGCTTGGCTTATCGGCAATTCTCAGACAGAACAAATCCTGCAGGTGCTCGAACGCGAGCTTACCGGGCTTAAATCTGAGACCGAAAACATTAACAGAGCTCGGAAAGCTACCCAGGAACAGTCTAAGGGCGAGCTTTTGACCCTTCAGGAAAATTGGAAGCGAGGTATAGGCAGAATTCTCGAGATCCAGGTCGCTGCAGACCAGTTGCGGCGACAACTCGGCCAGGGTCAACTGCATCCTGCAACATGAGATCCTTGAACGCAACTGGGTTATTTTCTGATAAGCAGGGATACAGCTGAGGTGCATTGCTGCATCAGTATCGCAGCGATCTGTCAAAACCAGATGCGGAGTGTGCCCGGTCGCTCCGTTCGGCACAAATACGGGCGAGATCTCCGCATATGCAGACCGCGTTATCGTACTAAGCACCGTCGAGGCTTGCTTACCTGATTTTCCCCAGACCTCAAAAAAAAAAAGGCCTCAAGGGGCTCTCTCTAGAAGCTCTGAATATGGACCTCAAGCCAAAGGAAAGGTCCCTCGGACACCATATTTTGCGATGGTCGACTTCGCTGGAAGTATGCTCTCAGCAATTCGAGGCCAGTTGGTCCCGGAGAGCAATCTGCCAGAACCCCGAGCCGCTTCTGGGTGGGCCCTATATCCAGTCCGCTATTTTGAGACTCGAGAGGGGAGCTGCGACCTGGTCGGTCCAGACTCTGCGTTAGCCCGAAGGACGACTCCCTGCACGTCTCTCAGAAAGAGAACAGCCGAGTCTTGCTTGCTGCCTTGTCGTGCTGAGACGTGGAGCTGGTGAGCTGGGTATTCTTCGTGTGCAACGCTCCCTCCTCCACATACCAGGAACACCGCCATGGGGCCAAGCAGCCAATACTCGAATCTCCAACACCTGAGTGCAACCTTCTCTATATTGATAGGCCGGCCATGCATTTCTCCAATTTATATCTTCCCGGACACGGTTAGCCTGCCCTTTCCCCCGCAAACGGGGTTTAGCCGTTTTCCCTTTGGGTTTCTTCCATCAGAGCGACCTCCAGCATTTGCGGCCATCGTCGCTTGATTCGGGCGTTCCAGCTTATGCAGGATTTTCCCATCCCTTGCCAGCCATTCCATGTTCTATGCGGTGCCGCTTGATAGTGGACCTTCCCCGCGTTTCTTGCATTGGACGCCCCCCTCCAAGCCACTCGGGTGGGGTGCTGAGCCGTGCAATCCGCTGGCGGTACTAACGGCATATCGCACCGCTAGTCCTTGGCCTTTCTTTGTCCTTTCGACGTCAGCCCGTGTGCCGTGCATTTTTCCTGTGTGGTACCTCGTGCAAAAGCAACGTTACTCGTTACCTTGCTCGATGCAGGGGCTTGTGCACGGACCTTTCGTGATTCGAGGAGGTCGAGACACGAGATACCGGAAGTGATGTGGGATGCTCGTGGGAACAACCTGAAATGGCCTCGAGTGCTGCTCGCTGATTCTAACCACCTTGGGTTGAGATGGACGACGTATCCTGGTCAGCCTGAAATTCAACCACCCCTTCTCATGCATCTCGACATACACCTCTGTTGACCCGACATGCTCAGGACCCGGAGCTCTGAAGGGCCCGACTGTCTCATACCTTGCGGGTGATGACTTCGCTTCGACGCAATACGGCTCCTGTCACTGCCTAGCCGCTGAGGTGATGATCCCCGTCATCATCGACGTGATTGAGCAAACCCCGCATATCCAACGCAAATCAGCTCGTCTCCAGGTTTGCTCCAGATGATCACATTACAAGGATGTTCAAACATGACGGCGACCAAGACCACAACCACTCTTTTAGCCTGTGGAGTCTCCGGAGACGCGTTTGCATTGAACCCCTCTCTCCCCTCTCCTCCAGTCTCCCGAGAGGCGGAGAGGAACAGACAACCGGAAGTTCTTATATCGAGACGTCTCGCCCTCTGTCCTTCTCTTTTTCTTCTCTCCCAGCCTGCTCCTGGTCGAGCAAAGGACATATTTATCTGCAGAGAGTAGTTGAACCGTTTCATCGTTCATTGAACACACCGCCATCATGACTGTCCCAGAGGAAGTTGATATTATTGTCTGTGGAGGTGGCAGTTCAGGATGCGTGCCAGCTGGACGTGAGCCATGCCTACGCGAGAATCCCCTGGAAGACTGGCACTGACACCTGTCTAGGTCTGGCGAATCTGGATCACAATCTCCAGGTCCTCTTGATTGAGGCCGGAGAGAGTAACCTCAACAACCCATGGGTCTACCGCCCGGGTATCTACCCGAGGAACATGAAGCTCGACTCGAAAACGGCCACGTTCTACTACTCTCGCCCCTCCGAATGGCTCGATGGGCGTCGTGCTGTTGTTCCCTGCGCCCACATCCTCGGTGGAGGCAGCTCCATCAACTTCATGATGTACACGCGCGCCTCGGCAAGTGATTACGATGACTTCCAGACCAAGGGTTGGACCACCAAGGAGCTCATTCCCTTGATGAGGAAGCACGAAACCTACCAGCGGGCCTGCAACAACCGAGACCTCCACGGTTTCGAAGGACCAATCAAGGTCTCCTTTGGCAACTACACCTATCCCATCATGCAAGACTTCCTCCGAGCTGCCGAGTCTCAGGGCTTCCCGGTCACGGACGATCTTCAGGACCTTGTGACTGGTCATGGTGCCGAACACTGGCTCAAGTGGATCAACCGAGACACCGGCCGTCGTTCTGACGCTGCTCATGCATATATCCATGCCACCCGTGCTAAGTACCAGAATCTCCATCTCCAGTGCAACACCAAGGTGGACCGTGTGGTGATTGAGAACGGCACAGCGGTCGGTGTCCTGACTGTGCCTACGAAGCCAGTTGGTGGACAGAACCCGGAACGCAAGTTCTGGAAGGCCCGCAAACTCATCATTGTCAGCTGTGGTACTCTGAGCTCACCTCTCGTCCTGCAAAGGTCTGGTATTGGTGACCCAGATAAGCTTCGGAAGGCTGGTGTCAAGTGTGTTGTGGACCTTCCAGGTGTTGGCCTTAACTTCCAAGACCACTACCTACATTTCGCCACCTACCGTGCTAAGCCAGACACTGAGTCCTTTGATGACTTTGTCCGTGGTGTTCCAGAGGTGCAAAAAGCCGTCTTCGAGGAATGGAACATCAAGGGCACTGGGCCATTGGCGACCAACGGCATTGACGCTGGTGTTAAGTCACGACCCACGGCCGAAGAACTCGAGGAGATGAAGAAGTGGCCGACCCCAGAATTCGTCACCGAGGGAGGCTGGGAGAGCTACTTCAAGAACAAGCCCGACAAGCCTGTCATGCATTACAGCGTGATCGCTGGATGGTTCGGTGACCACCTCGACATGCCTGCTGGCAAATTCTTCACCATGTTCCATTTCTTGGAGTATCCCTTCTCCCGCGGCTTCACCCACATCGTGTCTCCAGACCCATACGAGGCACCAGACTTCGATGCTGGCTTCATGAACGACAAGCGTGATATGGCACCCATGGTCTGGGGCTACATCCAATCCCGTGAGACGGCTCGTCGGATGCAAGCCTATGCTGGTGAAGTCACAGCCATGCATCCTCACTTCAAGCACGACTCGCCCTCCCGAGCTCTGGACATGGACCTCATCACCCGTAACCAATATGCCGGACCCAACCACATCACTGCCAACATTCAACACGGTAGCTGGACCATGCCTGTCGAGCTGGGCGATGTACCAGAAGTCAGCTTCCTCAACTCGAACCAACAGCACTACCGAGCACCTCTTAAGTACAGCAAGGAAGATGGTTTGTTCCCCGCCCTGCTTTGATGGACGCAACAATATACTGACATGTGATACAGTTGCTCACATTGAGAAGTGGGTTCAACGACACTGCGAAACCACATGGCACAGCTTGGGAACCTGTTCTATGGCCCCGAGAGAGGGCAACAGCATTGTGAAGCATGGTGTCTTGGACCCAAGACTGAATGTCCACGGCGTCAAGAACCTCAAGGTTTCCGACTTGTCGGTCTGCCCTGACAATGTTGGATGCAACACCTTCTCCGTAAGTTGTCCCACCATGACTGTTTTCGAGAACATAACTAACCAGACATTGTAGACCGCCCTGCTCATTGGCGAGAAATGTGCCGTGCTCGCTGCTGAAGACCTCGGCTACAGTGGTGCAGCTTTGGACATGAAGATTCCGCCATACCACGCTCCTGGCGAGAGTGTCGGTCTTGCTCGCCTGTAGACTTTGAGAGTTGGGCGGGATTAGCAGAATGGCAAAAAGTACTGGGAGGATCTTCGAAGGAATGAATAGTCAATAATTTGATTCTATCATCCACACAAACTACTCTGTTTGCGTTGCTCCTCGTGTCCTAAACCTCGAGCTTGATGTCGGAAGGTCTGTATCCAGTTTCCTGCTCTTCTGAAGGTGTATCCGACCAAATCATGCCTGGATGGAATCTTCATTCTGCACCTTGAATACAGTACATTCTAAGCAGACAGTCTTGGGATGTAGCTTCCTTCGTAGTGCCCCTTTCGTAAGCTCACGTCTGCCCGTGGATGTCCATCAACCCGCCAGAGGATATTATGTTTGTAGATGTTGTGGACTGGCTCTGGTGGGAATCCGGTCGAATTTTCCGGAGAATGGGACGGCACGGGCAGAAGGAACTGCAAACGCGGTTGAAGCTCGTCGTTATTCGTGCTGGTGGGGGCGATCAAAGGCAGAGAACGCTGCACGCGACAGGGATGAATGGGCGACGTTGATCGAGATTCAGCGCCACCTCCGGTCTTGGTGACTTTGCCCACGGCGGTGACTGGCCTCGCTCGGTACAAGCGATCTTCGGGCAGGGAAATTTCACTGGCTGGTGGGGGTAACGCCTCCGATGTCATTCTGTAAGTCAGCGTCAGTGGGCAGCGCTGTCTGAGCGTTGTGAGACCTCACGAATCGAAGATGATCTTCCTGCGCCCTCTTTCATCGCCCAAATTCTAACGCAACAGAGCATCGTCCTCCGACGTGGAACCACAGCATCCGCCCTCCACCATTGGCCCTCAGACCACACCAGCTGCGTCCCACAGCTCTGAGCCTCTGACCATGGCCGGGTCTTTGCTCACGCCTCGCGCTAGAAGCCCGCGCCCACCGAGCCAGGGACCAAGCACCTCTGACGTCGGGGAAAAAACAGACACGGCCATGGCCAGGATTGTGGTGTCTCAAGTGTTTGTGTCGCAACCGAAAAAAGCTGGTTCCTGAAGACTATTACGGAGCACCCTTTGAACTCATAATTTGACAAGAGCTGGCTGGATCATAGTAAAGTGTATCTCACTGTTTTCAGACTCCTCAATCCGCCGGGTTGCCTGCGAAAAGCACTATTTTCGGCCACGTCCACACACGTTATACGAGTTCGCCACCCTCCATCTCATGGCCTCATCAGCTTGTTTCAGTTGGTAAACGAGTCACCACGCCGTGCTCCCGAGAATGACCGCCATCGATTCTCAGCTGCTCGATAGTGGTTGTTCCACAACATCCACCTTGACGACTACAAGCACACCTCTCTCGAGTTATCCTCATCGTCGGAGCCCTGTGGAATCTGACAGGATTCGTGGCTCCCGAGACTTCCATTCGTGTAACGAGGAACCTTCTCGCCGGAATTCTGCGTTTCTCGAAGTTGGCCTGGGTGGTGAAGATGCCATTGTCGACTCGAAATTAAGAAGAGAGTCACGGCCAAAGCTCCAAGTGCGCTTTCGAAACGACGTCGATGTTGTCGAACCCGAAGTGATTGACTGGCCCGAAACATCCCCAGTTGACAGACCGTCCCATCCGCCAATGTCTCCATACTTTCCTACGCTGCCCAGATTACTCTTTTTAGCTCTCGTTATCTTGCTGGTGGTTCCAAGTCTGCACCATTCTCCGCTGTTGATCGCCGGGGCGAATCCCCTCAATCGTGAAGCTGGATCGTCATTGGCGAAGGGCCCATGGCTGGGGAACAAGAGGGATGCACTTCCAGGAAACATCAAAAGAGAGAACAGTGCAACAGACGTTTGCAAGAGGTGGTCAGGGCAGAGCGCCCTAGTCAACGGGACACTGTACTATTACGGAGGAAGAGCAACCACCAGTGCTGACCAGACCTCAAATGAATGGAGTACGTTCAGTCGACATAAAGTGCACCATGGCTACTGACAATTGATGTGGCAGACAACGACTTCCTTACACTGGACCTGACAAAGCCCTGGCAGATTTCATCACCATCACTGACGGGCCTGCCAATCCCGAGCGGCCCACCCGCGATATCGCTTGGCTACTTGTGGAATTCCTACGATGCCCTATATCTATACGGCGGCGAGTTTTCAGATACGCCTGTTGCGTCTCCTGTACCCTTCTCCCTATGGGCATATGACATCTCTTCATCGACATGGTCGGAGTCGTCGAATCCACAAACAAGTTCGGGGCGCAATTCGGAGCCAGCAGGGCAACCAGTCCAACGTGCTGCAGAAGGTGCTGGGGTATCGGTGCCGAATCTAGGTCGAGGCTTCTATTTCGGAGGCCATCTCGATTTTTTGACGACGGCCGGGTGGTCAGAGTCGGTGGCACGTGTCTATCTTCGAGGCATTCTTGAGTATACCTATCCCAGTTACAGCAATGCTGCAGTGAATGGTGGACAAAAGGCGGGATCGTCGGGGATCTATCGCAACATCACCCAGGGTGGTACTCAAGACTCGGCCGGCTTTCCAGAACGGGCGGATGGAATTCTTGTTTACATTCCCGGATACGGAAAATCAGGCATCATCCTGGGCCTTGCGGGCGGTACGAATGCGACATTCACCCAGATGAACGTAATAGATGTGTATGACATCGACTCTTCCACGTGGTACAAACAAGCCACCTCGGGACCGACGCCCGATATTCGAGTCAACCCGTGTGCTGTTGCGCTGTCTGCCGCTGACGGAAGCTCCGTTCAGGTCTATATGTACGGTGGTCAAAATCTACTCCCTTACGGCCAGCAAAAGCAGTACGATGATATATGGATCCTGACCATACCATCCTTCACCTGGATTCAAGTCGACACCACCAACCAAGCCAATCCACCTGCGAGAGCTGGACACATGTGCAATGTTTGGAATGCTCAGATGGTGGTCGTTGGAGGATACGTCGGGCAGGATCTTTCATGCGACAGCCCAGGAGTCTACGTCTTCAACACCAGCTCCCTTCAATGGCAGAGCGGATACGTTGCATTGCAGACAGATGACAACCTCAACAGGCAGAAGAGCCAGCAAGATGATCCTTCGGCGTTGCAAGGGTCATTTGGGTACTCAGTCCCGGAAGCAGTCCAGTCTGTGATCGGAGGTAACGGCGTGGGAGCGGCAACTGTCTCTGCTCCCGCTCAGTCGGCCACTCAAGGACCGCTTGCAACGGGGACGCCACGCATATACACGGTCACGCAATCCGGTGGATCTGTAGCTACCGAAACTGCTGTGCCCACAGGAACGAGCGGGACCAGTGGTTCTGGCGGCAGCAGTGACAACGGAGGGTCCTCGAGTGGCGCCAATATCGGCGCCATCGTCGCCGGAGTCATCGCCGGAGTCCTCGCCGTTGTGGCCGCCTATCTGGCCTTCTGCGTCTGGCTCTACCGCAAGCAGCTCAAGATCTACAAGAACCACGTGACCATGGCGCAAAGGCAGGATCTCGCGGGCGATCCACGGTTCATTGGCGCCGGCTTCGCCGCGGGCGCGGGCGGGAGATACACGGACAAAAGCCAGTCGAGCGACAGCCGCCACAGCGCGGACAATCGCAGCGGAAGCAGCGGCGGCGGCGGCGGAGGAGGAGGAGGAGGAGGGCGCGCGAATCAACTATCCAGCAACAACCCTTACCGGAACGTGCCTGGGGGCGCTGGCTCCGCCACGGCGGCGAGCAGCACCGAAGACCTCATGGCGGGCCAAGAGCCCAGTTTCCTGGGCGTGGTGCTGAACCCCCGGCGCAGTTTGCGGGTGGTGAACCGGGACTGAGGCTGTGCGCACCGCACCGCACCGCACCGCAACACCCACCCTCCGGCAACCTCCATCTGGTTCTTTTTACGATTCTTATGATCTGCGAAAACGGCATTTGAAAGACCACAAAGGCACACGATTTCTTTTGGGGAGAAAGAGGCATTCGGAACATGCATGGATTGATGGACGACGGGATGATCTGTCCAAGAATACATAATTTCAGGACCGGCAATAATGAACGTGCAGCGCCTTCGCTTCTGTACATATACCCTCTCAGCGAATGGTGAACTCGTTACTACCTACCTAGCCTAGACACCTCCTTGATGTGTGCAATGCGTGATCTTGATTTGGGATTCTTGTCCCCGTGCAGCGACAGAGCGGTAACCTCGTTATCAAGTCTGGAAACTCCCTGACTACATTGACACACGGTGCGAATCGAATCCTGTTCAGACATGCGGTGCTTAGGGTATGGCCATTTCCACCTCATCTCGTACGGAGTTTACAAGGAGGTGTTGGTTTTCGATCTGGAGCGCCCGGACTGAGTGGTGTAGACAATTGGTTTTCCGATGTTTTTCTACCCTTTCTTCTGCCTCTATATGGGGTGATGATGAGCAGCATGCACATTTTGTCAAGGGGTGCTTGCTCGCTCGATAAGTCGCGACACTGAGCTTTGGTTCCGGCTCGTACATACATCTCAATCAAACAGCAAACGAACAATAAATACCCAGTCACTCACATTTGCTCCAACCGCGTCGCCGCACTCGTTTCCGTCTTCCCAAGGCAAGCATGCCTGTCATCTTTATCTCTCCGTTCCGCTCCGTCCCAAAATCAAGAAAATAAAATTAGGAGGCGTTTAGAGCTGCTGTCCTCTCAGGCATCACTGGCTTTTCTTCTTCCTTATAGGCGTTTTCCCAGGCGCCCCAAACGCCATGCTGTATCAAAATGTTGCCAAGCTGAATCGAAAATAGAGATGCGCCCGTGTCTATTCATTCATTGGTCGTAATCAGTATCGTGTGAACGCCCCGTGTCGAGTCCTGTCCAATGTCCGTCTATGCGTGTGTAGTCGAAATTCGAAGTGGGCAAGGTTGCTGTGACTGCCGTGCCCCGATCCCTTGCGGACCGCTTTAAACAAATTGGAAAAGATTCGTGGCCTGGTTCGATGTCTCTGGCGATGGCCCTCGTTCTCACGTTGGGCGGTTCCTTGGTCGATACGTTTCCAGCCTGGTTGTTTATTGTCGGTCATTTCTCATGTCATCTCGTCGTCCCATGTTGGTCAACCTCCCCGGAAGACTTGTACATGATTTAGACCGTCTCCTTCCCAGGTCCCAGTCCCTGGATGCAGTTCAACGTCTCCTGGCCGGCGACCTCGAGGTTCTTCTCGTCGTCCAACCGACTCCGCACCCGGACCAACTCGTTGCGGGCCTCCTTGGTCTCCTCCTCGTCGCCGCTCATGACCGCGATGCGCAGCCTCTCCTCAGCCTTTTTCCGTTTGCGCTCCTGGCGTTCTTCGTCCTCTCGCATCTGACGAATCAGCGTAGACTTTTCTCGAATGCGACCCCCGTAGCGGTAGAAGAGGAACGGGATCGGGATGATGATGATCTCGAGAATGCCCAGCAGAGTTCCCGCCCAATTGGGGCCGAGGGCGCGATACATCGCCGGCCCGGCTAGGGGCAATGTGCCACCCAGTAGGGATCTCATAACGGCGTTGCCTGCCATCGCGCTGGCGGCGTAGATTCCATAGCTGTAGGCGAGGTAGTTCCCGGCGTAGATAAACACGGCCCCATTACCATATCCGAACGGGATACCCGCGGCAATGGAGATTGCCCAGTGGATCTTGGTCGGATAGCAGGACCAGGCAAACCACAGTTCGCCGATAGGGACCAGCACAGCCGCGATGCAGACGATGCTCATCATAGCCTCGGGCGGCACATTTCCATCTTGGTCTCGCTTGTGCGAATTGATGAGCTTCCGGATGGGCGACGCGCTTCCGATAATTAACATCGTTCCTATCCCTATTCCGAGGAAGGAGAGGCCGCTGAAGCCAGTAGACCAGCCGCGGAGTTCGGTGAAGACAATAGGGTAGGCGACGAAGCAGAGGTAGAGGATACCTGGGGCAGTGCAAGTCAGTGGTCGTCCATACAACGGGGGCACAAGCCCGAGGAAGAAAAGGTGAAGGCACGAACCATAAACAATCGAGATGTAAACATTCCAGAAGATGCAGATGGGTTCCTGGACCGCCAGGAGTAATGGACGTTTGAGGTTGATTTTCATCAACTCGACAAATCCCACCCGAATGTCGTAACGGGTCCAGTACCTCTCATCGTCATGGACTCGACGCAATTTCTTGGCCCGACGCTGTAGCAGGACTGGAGAGTATGTCTCTTTCAAAAACAGCAGTAAAACAAAGGCGCAACCTCCCCAGATCATGGCTATCCAATTGGTCCACCGCCAACCCAGATACTCAGTGACGAAGCCTCCAATGGTCGGTCCAACCACGGGGCCATTCATGGGCCCAATGGACCAGATGGAGAAGGCTGTAGCGCGATACTCGTCCGAGACCAGATCCGCTATGGACCCAGGAGCATTGGCAATCATGGCACTCCCAAAGACAGCCCCGAAAAATCTCACGATAATGATGGTCTGCAGGTCCGTAGCGACTCCCGTGGGAAGGACAAGGATGGTAAAGATGGCCATGCAAATCGTGTAGACCGGTTTTCGGCCATATGTCTCTGCAATCGGAGCAAGAAGTAAAGAACCAACGGCCAGCCCAAATAGGTATGCCGTGACACCTAGGGTGGCAATAGGTTCCGACTTGACACCGAATTCCTTCATCATGGCATCCATGCCTGAGGTGTATGAGGTCGAGTACATGACCACCCCCAATGTTCCGAAGGATATTGCAAAGAGGGCGAAGGCCTTGTACCACATCGACCAATTCCTCGGGTTTCCAGGGTCGTCAGGGTCAAAGTCCACTTCAAAGGATGGATCCAGCGTGAGGTCGGTGCCATGAGTGGTTATTCTTGTCGCCGTTCTCGCGGCAGACTGCCTTGAGGCTTGGGTAATGGTGAGTGTTAGGGCTCGTTCATCATTGTCGCACTCGGATCTGGAGACAGACGACGTGGGAGACTGTCCGGTGATGGGTGAATAGAATTCCTTGTGAATCGGAGTCTGTGGGGACGAGCAGGGACTGTTCGGGTATTGGGAGATGACGACTGGCGGGATGGACTTTTCTGGATCTGACATTGTGGGGGACGGGGGATCGATCGCATGAGAATGGACTGAATAGTAAACAGAACAAGGTCTAAGAAGCCGAAGCAATGTTTTTTATGGCGTGGTAGAGAACGAGTAGATGTCGGCCAAAGCGAGAGAATGGTGGGAAGCAAAAAGACACCAGAGGCAAAGAACCAAACCAACCTAGTGTGAAAATTCCACACGGTTTCTTGCGGTGTACTTACAACAATTGAGCAAAGGGCGTATACTGGCTGAAGACTCGGAATGAGATGCCGTGCAGGCCAGTCATGGTAGAGCCCCGTGGTTTGCAAGCGGGGCGCCCAGGGATGGAAAATGGACGAGCGGCAACCATACTTTGATGGAGAAGGGAAGGGAAGAATAAGGAGACAAGAGGGCAGCCCGGAGATAGACGATGTGTGACAAGAGGTGGTGCTGCCAAACATGCCACTGTCAGTCTGTCACTGGCATTGATGCCACCGCCGTGCACCAACGTTCCACCGCCCTCGCGTGGATCAACACTGGCGGTTTATCAGTGGCGGGGTCGTTGGAAATCCCCATGTTTGCGCATGATTTTTAAGCAGCGACGAAGGGGGGAGTCGTGCCGGTAGGATGCCTCGGTCGGCAGCCACTGGTGGGAAAAAAGTTTGAGATGGTGCTGATTTGCCGGATGTCGTCAACAAAAGGGCAGTAGCACCACGTAGTGGCTTGCGTGGTGGGACAGCAAGGTGTCAGATCCTCGTATTTCATTGCCAGGCCCCTCATCATGCCTCCTCTTGTCCATGACCTGTTTCCTGAGAGAGCGAGTTGAGGATATTGAGGTGGTCGATCCGACGGAACGAAGGTCGTGGTGGATGGAGGATTGGCTGGGCGCAGAAGAGAGAATCGAATGTTGAGAGATCCAGGGCGATCTCATCCGTTGATCCATGAACCAGGATCCGTGGCTTTCGGCTATTGACCCCTGGCAATCCACGCTGCTCTTGCTCCATCGAGTCTGCATAGCCGGCGCAGGTTTGCCACAGGGCGGAATGGGCACCATGAGGGTTGAAACTGGTGACCGCCTGCAAAATCTCGATCCGCGACTCTGTTCCTTTGTTCTGCAGGAGGCCTCATTCCGTCGTCTCGTCAATGGATTTGGCTGTCAGCACACGCCTGATGCGGTGTTGACTGAGAGGTTAGTATTTCCGTGCTCAAACGAAAAGGCTGTCCCTCACCTTTCGCGGAGTTTTTGGTCCACCTTTTGGAGAACCTTCTCGTATGCATTCACAGATGAAGGTAGAGACTCAATTGTGGCGTGCACTGAAGAGTTGATGGAGTAGAGCGCACAGCGCAGTCGTCAGATTGTTTTGCTCGTCGTTGTCTTTGAAAAAGAAATAGCAAACAGTGTAAGATGTGAAAGCTGCGCAGCTAATTCAATCAGGCTGGGAAAGGGCCCAAGAGAACGGAAACAAATCAGATGGTCGCCCGCAGTCGCCTTGCTATGGTCACAGCCTTGCGCCTCAATCCCGATTCACGGTGAGTCCTTCGGGAGGGAGCTGTAGACACAAGGGACGATTACTATCTGGATAATCTTGCCATGGCCGGAGGTAGCCATGCAGTCTTGTAATGATATCGACCGCTTGCATGATCAGAAGGAAAGAAAGAACCCTTCCAAAAGTCGAGCGGAGTGGTGTTTCAAAGGTACCTGCTTAACAATGGCATGAATAGCTGTGGGAAGAGATCATCGCCGACAGGAGTTTCGAAAACAATTTGTCGTCAAGGATTCAAGGGGCGCATCGTGTCAAGTTGAATATAAGTCGCATGGATGGACTCGGAAGGCACGTTAGATCCAAGCAGGTAATGTGTACTCGATGAGAACAACACGTTCTCGAGAGATAGCAAATAGTATAGATAAAAGGACGGGGCACCGCTTTCCAAAGATGGACGAAATATCTGTTATCAATGAAGGTCACCCTTCATCTATTAATCATTACGGAGTATATGCTGGGTACCTATGTACTTTGCAATCAGCGACCGCCAGTTCCACATTTTGCGATTAACTTCTCAGTTTGGGTCACATGCAATAGGCGACTTAAACCATTGTAATACGAGCCCTGCTCTTTACGCCTGTGACTGAAGATTTCCTCGTCGATGCTGTTCCTCTCAGGCCCAGATGATGGAGTAGCCAAGGGAATGCTCAGCATCTGAGAATATCCAGCGTGTTGAGAGAATGTCCTCTCCCAACCGACCGCCGAGGAGAGCTAGTGTAAGCTCGAACATTCGGCATTTTTATCGTGCTGAAAATGACTTCCTCAGTGAGCAAGCAGTCCGATCCAACTGCCACAGCACCGATGCAGGAGTTCGAACCAGGCTCGGTAGAGTCGCTGTTCGGGGATATAGAGAAATGGATAGAAACTTTCCTCACTCAGCCGATAGCATTCCACGAATAGACAGTGCTCCTTTCCTATATCAACATCCACATCGCTCCAAGTCTGGCGATTGATCCCGGGCTCGGGTAAGGTGGCTTGGTATGGTGCCATGTTGCAGAGTTGCCGTAGTATTATCGTATCGCTCTTCCCAAAGCAATCTGAGATCAAGGTACGAGATTTGATCCGAACGCGGTTGATGGGCGAAAGTGGAAGGTGATGCATTCAGAGTTCCAAGACGCCTCATCTCTTCCAAACACCCTTCTCATCCTTTTTCCATCGCCCACCGATTGGCGTATGGGTCCTCGCTGGTCGCGGCTGATATTCGTCGTCGCCTATGGTTGTGGTCGAAAGGATCCTGGTGGCTTGGAGTTCAGTGATTTGCGGCGGTGGTGTTAGGGCCTCCTTCGAGTCCTTTTCTGCGGGCGTCGATTGTCCCGAAACTTGGCTGTCCAGCACTTGGCCTTCAATGATCTGCGTGTCCAGTGTAGGAATTTTGCGTTGCCGCCATTCGTCCCGCATCTTCTCCCACTCATCTGGTTCATCGGCTTCATCCCCGCTGATAATGCGCGTGAGGGCAGGCATGTCAGTTTTGTTGCGTGCTGCATGAAGCGAGGGCGATCCGGAGTGCGGACGCCTCATCTCCAGTTCACCAGCGCTAACATGCAAGATGTTCTGGGAACCCGAAAGATGTTCAGTAGAGGGCGAATCTCTGCGCACGTTCTTGTATTTCGGATCCAATGCCAGTTTGGTCTTGACAGCGGCTGCATGTCGAGAGGTGAGGATGATGTGATCCATGTCCTTCTTCTCCTTCTTCTCTTTCCTGCCAAATAGCTTGCTAAATCCACTGGGCGATTTGGCCGTATGCACCGGGACAGAGGAGGCGCGACTTCGATCCATATTGTTCATTGCGCTGAACCATCCGGGCTCCGATTTGCGAGATGACAAGGAGGCGCTGCTACTGTTTCGCGACAAGGAAGTCGAGGACACTCCAAGATGCTCAGTTGAATGTCTGCGGTCAGGTACGCCGCGGTTCGGGGTCTCGAGGAAGGCAAAGGCCGACGCCATCGTCGCGATAGCCTGAGTGCTTCACACGATGGCACGGGGGTTATCCTATATGTCACAGCAAGCAGTGAAGATAGTGGTCACACGAGGATCGAAGATGCAGAGCACAAAGGTGCACCTGCGAGCGGCTCGCTCAGTCTAGTTAGTTCAGGTCGCTGATATCAAAAAGATGTCAGAAGAGATGTGCATGGTGAGCCATATCCAATTGGAGAGGCGAGGAGTGAGCATGTGGCGGTTGGTAGGGGACGCCATCGGCCCATCAATACTACATTGGCTTTAGCAATGGGACAGGCGCAGCTAGAAGAAAAGTTGTTTGGTGGGAAAAGGCTGGGTGGCAGCCGGCAGTGACTCTTTGGGGTCTGTGTAGCAAAAGTTTTTGTTGGCGATTACGCCGGATCTTTCTAGGCCTGACGCCACCCTCATAGTGCGGGGCGTTTAGGGCAGGTGGGGGTCCCTTGGTGACCAAAGCAGCAATCCGAGGCTGTGCCAAAGGCGAAGACGCCTGGAACAGGACTTCGGTCAAGTGTTCTGGGCTCAGTCCATCATCTCCAATCACAACAACCGAGTCACCGTAAGGATATCAGCTTCAAGGAATCTACATATACTCATTCACCCATTCATCTGCAGATCATGGTCAGCGGTCTTCGAGCTTTGGTCCTCTCTGTGGGTGTTCATCGGGGTTTCTCAGACGAGAACGGTTGAATCCTCAGCGTTACTGGTTTAACATGGTCAACCACGACGAACCGCACTCCCTCCTCCTGCCTCCTTGTTCGCCTGAGGAGCAAGGGCCGGGTACCTAGGTACTTCCTAGGCATGATACAGGAGGTAGGAGGAAATTGTGGCCGAAAGTTTTCTGGGTAGCAGCTTCGGTGGGACAGGAGGCGGATGTCACTGACCGTACCTACCTGCTAGGTAGGGGGAAGAAACCAAAGAGAATGCACAGAGATTTGGGAAGAGGAGACGAAACAGCAGGGAACAAGGGATGGAAAGAAGTCGACGAGATCCTGTTGCCTCGCTACTGCCCACATGCTACTGCTTTCTTCATGAATTCATCTTTATCAATCATCAGAGTCACCAGTTGATGTGCCAAAATTGGTAGGCGAATGACACGCGAGTGAAAAACATGGTCAAGACGAATTCAAGAATATAGGCTACTGACGGAAAACTGAATAAAGAAGCCAGGCACACACCAAAATCGCAACGAACGAAGTCAATGCTCGCAAAAACTCAATGAACAGGCAAGGTTAACATTACTGTGGCCTCTGTGAGACATCATGCTTAGAGATGCTTTTTGTGATGAGAAAGACTTCAAGGTTGACTCAACGATCGATGTGGATGTGATACGACTCTGAGGCCACTATCAGGGCAACTTATCATCCCAGTTGCTGTCACTATTCTTTGATCTTTCAGCTCATTTCCGTGTCCTCTACTAGAGCATCGAGATCTCTCTCCTTCCATCATCACCCTCTGCTCTACCATGTCAGAAGCCATGATCAAATCTGCTCCGTCCGCAGCCTGCAAAGATGCACCCGACAAGCACCAATCCTGCGACAACAAAGACCCCATCTCAGGTAAAAAAGACAAACTCAGTGACTCGGTCCTACAACCAAAATGTCCTCTCTCCTCCCGTCCCGGTCCCTACTCTGTTGGAGAACGACTCTTCTTCAAAAAGTTGGTGGACGGCGAACGTGAACCGGTGTTTTTCACTGTGGTAAAGGTGCTCGAAGGGGCGCTAGGCAAGGGATGTACGCAGTCTTGCTGTCTGCTCGTGGATATCCATCAGGTCGATAGCACTATCCCTGCGATATATCACGAAAACCGCTGCGTCCTCAAAATATTCGACTTCAAACATTCTCAAGGCTTGCGCAACCAGTTCAACTGCGGGGTCTTCACGCCGGAGCACGCTGCCGCCCTCAACGAATTGACGGCTGACAATGAATGCCTCAATCCAGTGTATTGGCTCGAGGATAGTGTTGATGTCGTGCAGAGTAAGAGCACACTTCTAGCAGCTGATTTCGAAGCAGGGGCCATCGGTCCCTCAGTGAGTAGACTTTTACTCGCGGGCTACCAACTCCAAGTTTTGTACGACGAGGCTCGCAACGAGGATCCGAACTTCCCTTCGCTCTTGCTCGGGCTCGCTGAGAAAGAGGCGTTCCTTTTCACGATAACGCAGCTAGACTATTCCCACCATCGCAAAGGCTTTGATGCTATCGACGGTGTTGAAGGATTCCCGTCCTTTGTCGCATCCGGCTTCATCGTCCGAGAGTGCGAAGAGGCAACTCGAGCGCCGCAACTACACCACTACCCCGTAATCATGACGTCGTTCATTGACAACGCAATCACTTTGGAGGTTCTATCCGCCGGGCTGAAAACCGACTGCTCGACAAACCACAGTGATGTTGAGAGATCACTTCTGCAAGAGTTCAAGTCATTCTCTGCTTGCCAGTGGCATGCCCTATTCTGCGAGGCTCATGCCATGATCTATAAACTGTGGCTTCTAGGTTTGCAATACGATGATCTACGGCCAGCCAACATCATGGTCGCAAGAGACGGACCTGGACAATTCCGCCTTGTGTTGGTGGACATCGGTGGTCTGAAGGTGCTCGATCAAGAACACGTCGAATTTTATTCGAGGGACCGAGGTCAACGCCGTTATCTCGAGTCGAGACCAGACCATCATGTTTGGCAATACGAGGCCAACAGCAAACACCAAGAGCAATTTGATGGAGGTCTCGAGTTTGACCTGGTGCAGCTAATGGCGTCAGTCATCCCTGTCTCCTACATCAAGTCCAAACACTTCTCATTCTTTGATGTTCAGACACACCGCTTTCGAGGCTGGTATGGGGGGCGTCGCGAGCATTGCCACACCACAGTGTGGCGTTTCCTATTTGAGACTCTGGTCGCAAGCCTTGCCAGATCACGATTTGGTGCCGAGCCCGCAACCGTCGCAGCAATTCTAAGATGGGTCTGTTTGATCTTGCTCTCTGGTTATCGCAGCCATAATAAATTCCCCCTGTGGGGCTTTCGTGCCTTTTTACGGATCGCTTTCCTCGTCGCGCCGGCGGAAGATTTTGGTCTAGGTATGACCAGTGTTGTCAATCGAAAGTTAACCACATTTCGACATTCACTCAAGGACTCTCCAGGTATCTCGGCCGTACCGTTTACAATCAAGCAAATCCAGCAGTGGGCCGACAAATCGGATCTCTGGTGTGACGCTCCGTGGTACTCTCTAGATGTACAGTCAACCCAACTCCTCCAACTTCTACAGGGGCGTCAGGAGAATGTTCGAAGTGAGGTCTTCACTGGGTTTCTTGCCGGTCTTGACGTTGATGACCAATTGTTAAGTGCTGGGAAGGATATCCTCTGGTGCGAGGAGGACATCAACATTTACCGCGACCGTTACCAGACACTGACGAACGGTTCTGTCCTGCATGATCACTAAAAGGGATCATCTACAGAGTGAGAATCTCCAGAGGGCGCTACAGATTGACCTCCGGTTTGCACACCCAATGACTCATGCTCAGTCGACGTTAATCGTCTCGGAACTCCCACGGCGAGTCGGGGCTGGATCCAGTCGAAATAAAGCTGGACGAAGCGAATGACGTGAATAGGGGGATCCACAAGGAGGGCAAAGGGGAAGAGGAAAAGGTTCATGAGTGGGTGTAGAGGTCCAGAGGTTGACGATCGGCCGGGCCTCAGAGCGTTGGCACCTACTACGCAAAGAGGTGGCTATCAGACACTCTTCTTCATTGATATACATACCTACCCTAGTAGTCGAACCTAGGTATCTAGGTAGTCAATACCATACTGCCCTGTTAAACACTTCTAAGCCCTTCTCGCCCTCTCCTGTCTCCCAACATCCAGCAAAAGGTAGTGCAGCCTAATTTCAAGCTAGAGTTGGACTGTTGCTGCCCTAACCATATTTGGAAGGTTAGCCTCACTAATAGCTGGCTTTGTTCACTGCGGCTATGACCATGGCCACAGGCCAATGTCCCTCAATCAAGACAGGCTATTAAGTGAACCGACGGCGCGCTCGACAGACTGTCCCCTCACTCGTACAAAATACCAATTCTTCCTCTCGATGACACAACAAAACCTAGAAAGAGGAGGTGGCAGTGGACGTCTTCAACAGCACACAGAATTTTCGCGGCGTTCTGGGCGGCCAACCCCAGCATTTCTGATGATACCATCCTCTGGGCGCACACTACATGCTTGAAGAGAGCCGGATCGGTGCTTCCAGCCGTCAAGTTGGGTTTAAGGCCTATCCTGGCGGTGGGCATGTTATTTTCGTCGAGCAGCCTCGACTAGGACTATGATTAAAGTTATACCACTGCGACATACTGTGTAGATACTTTGTAGATAGATTTGTATATAAGTTTATTGCCTAGGTATGTAGGATGGCGGGGCTATTTTCCTGGCAGTTTCTGCGACCGTCTGCGTTCCTCTCCGTAAGTCTACTTTGTAGACTGCAGGGTGTTACCAGTTCCCACAGATCTGGGTGAGCAGTCGTCTGTCTGAATCTTTGGACAGTTATGAACCTCAAGCCTGCGTGGGTTGGCATGAGGGTTTGACCACCGGAGGAACCTCGGGTGAAATATTGCCAAGAGTTCTGAGCGCTAATCCTAGTTCGGGGACCGCACATTTTCTTGAACTTCCACTTCAACCACCAACGTTTGATTCCAATCAACGACAACTTCAGTCTCGACGCCGCCAAAATGCCCACGAGACTGACCAAGACGAGAAAGCAGTGAGTCAACTCCCCAAGCTCCCTCTCACTCCGTCGGAAATTCGAATGTCGTCCTGCGCAACCCGAACGAATCGCTCCACGATCGAAAGCCGCACTTTCAACGCCTCGATCCTGCAATGACCCGATCAGCTATCGCAAGAATCGAACGCGCCGATTACGCCTCTGATTGCCCCCTCGAACAGCGCAAACTTGATTTCATCCGTGAAATCCGTCAAATTGAGGGACGTGGCTAACTGTTGAATTCTTCAGCCGCGGCCATGTGTCCGCTGGTCACGGTCGTATAGGAAAGCACCGAAAGCATCCTGGTGGTCGTGGTCTTGCCGGTGGCCAGCACCATCACCGAACAAACATGGATAAATATCATCCTGGGTACGTCTACCGCTTGGAAACTTTGAGGCCGCTGAAGGGTGGTCATGTTGGATCCATTCTTCGCATGCCTCGATGTTTGTGGCTAAAGAAGTGCTAATGAACGAACCAGTTACTTCGGTAAGGTCGGTATGAGACACTTCCACCTGCTCAGAAACCACTACTGGAAACCCTCCATCAACCTCGACAAGGTCAGACCCCGATCCGTGATTTGCATTGGAAACGAGAACCTAACATTAGTCCACAGCTCTGGTCATTGGTCCCCGAAGAGACCCGCGAAGCATATGTTTCTGGCAAGAAGACCGATACCGCTCCCGTCCTAGACCTCCTTCCCCTCGGATACTCCAAAGTCCTCGGGAAGGGCCGCATTCCCAAGATCCCGATTGTTGTAAGAGCAAGGTGGTTCAGCAAGGAGGCCGAGCGAAAGATCAAGGAGGCTGGCGGTGTCGTTGAGTTGGTGGCATGAGTGGCGCCCTCTGTTTATTGATGATATGGCTTGCTCGAAGTGGGAAGACGAGCTTGGTACGGGCGAATAACGAGGTACTCAACGACGTTACTGCCAACAGAGCAAGGACGACATTGTCGCTCGGCCTGCAGTATCAGGTGCAAGAGCTACGGGAGATTGTCTCTTTGAGAAAGAGGCGCCGTGGGACTCAAAAAAATTCGGAAATACTGAGGCGAACGAGTCTAGAGGAAATCGAGATGATTTCCATCCAGCGCAGATATCTCAGTCTCACCCACATCCGTGACGGTGCAGGAAGGGACAAAATCAATTGCAACGTTCTTCTGTGAAATTGCCCTCAAGCAACATAGTAGTGTTGTCCGTATTGCTCGCTTTGCCTGTGGCATGCCCTGACCAAATTGCGGCGGACCAAGGAAAATATCGGCAAACTTGCCCATTTTCTCATTTGTGGTCCTCGTGGGAGCGCGTAAATGGCGGCGCGCCTCGAGCGTGTCGTCGCGAGCAACTCGTATTATCATCTATCGCACTCCGCATTCCTGTCGAGTAGGCTCTCCACGACTGACAGAATGGCACGGCGCTGACCCTACGAAGAATCTTTGGAGCTATTATGGACACATCGACTCCTTTGCTTGACACACCCAAACGAGCATCTCTGCAGTCTCAAGCAGACGCACTTCGTGTCGACCTTAAAGAATACGAACGAACCTTTGCTGCGAGGAATGGCGGTCGCAAGCCTGGCAAGGGTGACATAAAAGCCGACGCAGTTATTGCGGCGAGGTACAAAGAGTATAACCGAGTACGCGATGTGCTTGCGGGGAAACGCGGCATTGATGCATTGAACACACCACGCCTACATCAGAATACTCGAAGGCACGGACGATCAGACAGTGCGATCAGTCTGACTCCTCATCGAGGCCGAAAGAGCTTTTCTCCTTCGAGGTCATTATGGCATCCCAACGACATCGATCCTTACGACCCACCTTTATCCATATCACCAAAAGTCATACCGAAGGCCATTGGGCCAACTCCGCGACGAGATGGAACTGTGCTGGGCATATTCGATCTGCTTCCTAATTCGGGATCAAAGAAAAGCGTCGAGAGCACACCCGGGAGCAGAAAGAGGAAGATCGACGCGCTCTTTGATGGTCCTGGCGAGGACGGATCGCGACAGTTACCAGCGGCTCAAACCCCAAGCCAGAAACCCAGGAAAGCCCGCGATAATGGCCATCTTGGTCTTCAGGCCACTACGCCTTCAACAAGACTCTCAGCTGCTCAGCGCCTACATTCCAAAACCCCGATAAGCGAAGGCAAGAAATTCATGCTTGATCATTTCTTCGCAACCCCCAGTGCTGTCAGATTTGCGACCATGATCAGTGGCGATGATGATACCAATCCTCCAATCCAGAGCAAGACTCCGCTTCGTGATTTTGTCCTCAAGGTTTCTCCTGCAAAAGACACTGAGACGGGTAATGGAGGACATGCGGCCGCGAATGGGAACGACTCCACCCCTCCTTATCTAAAGCGTTCGTTCTCATTCAAAGAGAGACTGTTCGCTGCGTCCGGAGCTTCTGCCGGTAAGTCCAGCCCGACGTCCACCAGAACAGGCCCGCGCCGAAGCCTAGGATATGGCAGATGCGCGCCGAAGCCCTTGAGTCAAATCATCGCAGATCTGGAGCAAAGTAAACAGGAGGATCAACAGCGAAACGACGAAGACAACGAAGATGACCTTGATGCCTTGAGGGAAATGGAAGCGAACGAAATCAATGTTCTTGTCAACGATAGTCAGAGGGTAGTCGGAATTCTGACAGTGGATGCCACAGAAGAGGCGCCAGCGCCCAAAGTTTGGAAGAAAAAGGGCCAGAAAAGGACGACGAGGAGGGTCATCATGAGGCCGGTGAAAATGAAGCCGGCTGCGGCACCAAAGTTTGTCGCTGATGACGAGGATGAGGATGAGGATGAGGCACGGGGTATCGACGAGATCCAAGAGAGCGAAGACGAATTGGCTCTTGCCCTCGAGGATGCTGGTGTCGACCTGGAAGCCTCGGAAAAGGAGACTCTCACTGCTGAAAACGAACAATCAGGTGATGACGCGCTTCATGATCCAGATGCGTCAGACGAGGCAGATGAATACATACCCAGAACTGAGCGACCCGCCAACAGGAGGAAGGCGACATCGAAATCGAAATCCTCATTGTCTGCCACGAGACTAGAATCACAATCCCCCGCCAGTAACCCCGATGAGCCGTTGACGGGCACCCGGGCAAAGACGAATCTCAAGTCGAAAGCCTCGCGGAAACCGACGACTAGCAGCAAGGGCCAAGACGAGAAGACGACAACCACAACGACGACGCGCAAAATCAACCCGAACGCCTACGCGCACATGAACTTCCGGAGCTTGAAGATCAAGAACAAAAACTCGAGGGCGAAGCGAGTAGGAGGTAGATTCTCCCGAGGTAGAAGGTAAAACAGGGGAAGATGAAGGAGGGTGCGAGATCTCGAGACCTCGTTCGCAGCACGGCACACTTCGCCGCGTTGCGCACGTTTGGTCTCAAGAAATTCCGAGTGGATTGTGTTACGCCGCGATGGTCATGAAGGTTGCATTGTTATGTTACTGCTGATGTTGATATGGTTGGCAGAGTAAGTCGCCTGGACTGTTCGTGTTCACTTGACCGTTGTGGTCAGAGGACGCCATGTCCAAGGGCGACATATGAAGATAGAATGACAGCTAGTCAGCCACCATTTCGGCTTCTGAGATCCTGTTTGATTGGCATCTCTCTACCTCGCACTTGGGAGTTCCAAGTCGAGCAATTCGCTCCTCACACGTTTACCATGTGCGCAAACAAATGATGGGCTGTGTACACGCGCTATCTCTCTGTCACAGTTCTTTCCCTAGTCTCACCAACTCGGACAAAAAGTCCTCCCCATTGACCAACTCGGTGCTGCCATAGACGACTCTCCTCGTCCTGGGGGCGTTGGCGCCTACTCCTCCAGCACCGGCGGCCCCCAGCCCACTCGTCCGCTTGACCCACTCCTGTAGATTGCCGTATTCATCCATGCTGCCTCCTCCTACGGTGAAGACGATTGCTTCCGTATACCCTTGTCTCCTTTGGCCAAAGCTGGGATTCACACCTGCGCCGCCCGATTGGCCACCAGGGCCTCCCCTGCCGTCTCTCGACGGTGGATTCGACCCGCTCGCCGTCCCGGGAATACCCCTCGCATGCGCACTCCTCGGGTCGAAATATAGATAACCTTCCGTCATGGCGATCGCGCTGGAACTCGCGGCAGGAGGATCCATGATTGACTCAACAATCTTGGTCACCGTGAGGTCCCTGTTCGCTGGTAGGAAATTTTTCACTCCGGACACGAGGGCTTCGAGATTTACGTTGCTAAATGTGTTTCCGAGGGCCGTGGAAGAGAGCTTTTCGGTGAAATTTTTGGACAGTGAGGATAGGCCGCCGAACAATGGCGCTTGGGAGGACGGTTGTTGCTGGGACGGTGCTGTGGAGCTCATCATGGTCCCTCGCATTTCTAGACGCACGTTGGAGATATGTTTTATTGCTACCACGGCGTCTCCCACGCCGGCAGCTGTAAGTGCGGACTCGAATTCTGAGAGCTCGGATTTCGAGAGTTCCTTGTCGACGCTGAGGTACCAGATAATGAATATTCTCAACTTGTCCAACGGATTGTTGCCCTTGTCCTCCGATTTAATGAGAGCGAGCATTTGGTCGGGGGCTTGTTTGGTAACGGTCTCTTCCAGCTGGAAGAAGTTGTCGAGTTGGCGGTCCTTGATACCTTTGAGCAGTGCGGTCGCAATGTTCATGTGCATATCTAGCGTAGCTTTGCGCTCGCGCAACTCGGGCAACAGCGTTATTGCTGCTTTCAAGTGGGCTGCGGACGCCGAACTGTCGTTGAGGTCTTCGATGCTGTTCACGCCTGTTTTCCTGGTCACCTCTTCCGCATCGGTTTTGTATTTTGTGAGTTCTTTGTCGATGTCTTCGGCGACTTGAGGGAAGGGAGCGCTTGCATTGCGCGCCCAGAAGAAGTCGCTTGCATTAAGGTCATACGCCCGGGGTTTTGCGGTCGGATCACCCTCGTCGGCAACATCTACCGTAATTCGATTCAGGTGCATCTTTAGGACATCGTGAACCAAGGACTGGTATGTCCACGAATGAGATAGCATCGGGACCAGGTCGATATTGCGGTCTAGGATTATCAGAACCGGTCGTGAGGGCGCGGAGTATAGGTTGGCTGCGGAGCCTTTTGATGAGAACAAGTTATCTTTGGAGTTGAGGACGTGGTCTCTTAGTTTTCGGTCCAGTTTCGTTGCAATCATTTTGGCGAGTTCTGTTTGAGGGCATCGTATAATGGGCACCGACCCCATTGTCACACTGACGCTGAACAACCCGCTCACGATCCTGTCTATGGCTGCATCCTGGACCTCAGCTTCTGCTGTGGCACTATTAAATGTCCAATAGGACTCTTTTCCCATTGCTAGACTGAACAAATCCGGTTCGGCCACAACGAAATTCAGATATTGGTCGTAGACTTGGGCGACGGAGTCTGCTGTGTTTGTGGAGGCTATCTGGGCGGCGAATTCTTCAAGTAACGGTCGAGATATCGAGGAGATGAAGTTGACATAGGCTGGAGAGTATAGCCCTCGGGCAAGGTCGGAGCATATGAGCTGAATATTGACTGTAGTAGGTTCGACGAGGTACAAGACAGGGACATCTGGTATGGGATAGCGAGGAGAATTTATGTTTCTGTTGACGGGTCAGTTGTTGCTCCATTCCAGGCAGGTTTGTTCGCAAACTAACAGGTGTATTGTTACTCCTTTGCTCCGCAGGTCATTCACCCGCAGGACACTGCTGATTATGTCTCGTCCAAGATTGTCAAACACAAGAACTTTCCATATAGGTTCTCCGTCCTCGTTGAGAAGCGAAGCCGCTTGCGGACTGGACGGGGCATCGCCATTTGAGGTAGATGAAGGGTCGTGGTTCAGACTCAGGATGCGTTCGATAGAAGCTTGGATATGTGAGAATCTTGAAGACCTAAACAAGACGTGCTGGAAGATTGCTCACCTATCTGACGGTCCCGTAGAGTCTGGGTGCGGGATGCCATGTTCGTCGAGGATGAAGGTCCGCAGATGGTAAGTTTGGGTGGAGTTGTGGAAAGCCTACTGTCATCTTGACCTCGCGATGGCCGAGTCTAAGGACAGCGTTGCATCATGGAGAAGCACACGTGGACGGGACAGCAGGCACACACGTCGACGTTTGACTGGAGTGAGTTTGGTCTGTACACAAAGAGATTCCCTGCACCAAAGAGTCCTCCAAAAGCATATGGTCGGGGCCCTTGGGCCAAAAAGTGGCTGCTACTGGCCATTACGGAGGAATCCAGGCGCCACCCCCAAAACGGCTTAGGCCGAGACTATTACAGGGCGCTTCAATCTCAGACGTTAAACTGGCCTTCCATCTCTCCCTCTCACTTCCTCCTCATTCTTTCATCACCCAAACACTTTGTCCACGATAACCCTCTCTTCCCTCCTTTCCTCCTTTTCCACTCTGTAATCTTGTTCCTCGGCACGCTCGGACAGTGCTCTGTAATAAGTGGCCTTGAATGGTTCTCCATCTGGCATCACCGCATGGGCTGGAGTCGGGTTGTGTTGACGTTGGCGTGACTGTGGCGCGTTCGCTCATCATCTAATATTGATTTGAATCCGCCCAAAACACGTCCTCTTGAGCCTCTTTTGTGTACCGCTCATCAGGGACGGGTGCATTGGGTGCATTATTAGTGCTTGTTTCCTTCAGACTGGTCCATACTAGAGAAGAGTGATCTGAGTGGGAAGTTGGTCTTTGTTTGCACGGTTCGAAGTGCGGGCAAATCCAAGAAGAAGGCTCTTTTTTTTTCCTGTCTTGGGGGCGGTGGTTGCAGGTGCACAGGCAAAAAGGCAGAAGGCCACAGGCGCAGGCGGCAGGGCAGCCCCTACACAGAAAACCCGTCGACCACCAGAAAACAAATCACCTTGTTTCCCAGCCTGAGAGAGACTGGACTGAACAGCCAAAAAAGAAAACCAGAAAATAACACTAACACGCTGTGTACCCGGGAACGGCAAATTAAATTCTACGGTCTCTACTGCTGCTTGGGATTCTACGGAGTACATCACAAAGTCCCTCAAAGCCGTCAAAGCCTCAGTTGCCTTGGCCAGGCCGGCAGACGCCGCACTTCGCCTTGCCGTTGATGCACCTGAGCGCGTGTTGCGGCCTGTGAGCGGCAACCTTTTCTCGGCATAAGCCCCAAACCTTTGCTCCCTGCCACTGCGACGCAGCGAACGCTTCTGGGCCCCTTGACGAGTATTTTTCAGATTTGGCTTTTGGTCAGACCGGCTTTTATTCACGTGACTAGTCGGAAACGAAACTCTGAAGGACCTTGACCACGTGACTGAACCCTCCGGGTGAACCGCCTTCCCCGTCTCTGCATGCTGGTCGATCTTCATCGCCATGGACCCATCCACCAACTCGTCACTCAACGGTGCGCAGCATGCAAAAGGTCAATCGTACGGCTTGCTCGATGGCATCCAGGCCTATGCAGGCTCTGACAGTCTGCACAATGGAGAGGATCTGTCTCGCTTTTTCGACCCTGATCTGTTCGATTCCACCACCCTTGGCAGCAGCTATGCGCAACCCTCGTTGTCAATGTCGCAGGACTACGATACCAACGCACGCCGGCAATCGGGTACGCCAGATGTACAACAGTACACTGTCCCCCAGCAGACTTTCTCCCACCATCAGTACTCTCAACCATTCTACGACTCTCGCCCGATGAGCCAACCCAACTATGATCCCCGGTTCTATTCGGGGCCCTCTCCTTCGCCCGTGGGGTTCGATGGCGGCTACCCGTATCAATCTCAGATGGGCTACCCCAATCAGCAATTCGGCGCCCAGCAGCTGAGCATGCAACAACGACAAACCCCCACTCCTTCACAGAATTATCCTCCAAGACAGCAACATCAACAACCGCAACAACCACAGCCGCAACAGTCAACGTTCGTCAACATCGGGCCACGTCCTACACAACTGTCACATGTTCAGGTAAGAGCGCAGCGCACGGTCCCAGCCACCGCACAATAGTTACTAACGCTGCCACAGAGCACTGACATGAGGCGCTTCGGGGCCTTCCAAGATCCGACTCATCAGCCTTCGAATCATTTTGTGGATCCTTCGTTGTTGAACGCGAATCAGATGATGCATACAAGTAAGAAAGTGGATTGCATTCTCCATGAATCATTCGCTGATATCGTTCTTCCAGACAACAACCACCCTTTCCAGACGCAGCAACCCTTTATGGCGACTCCGTACTTCAAGTCGGCCTCAACAGTGGATCCGAGATCCTTGCAAGGTGGTCAACCCCTGCAGCCTATGCCGCCAGCCACGTCACAAACACCACGCCCAGGTACTGAGATCGAGATAGGCGATCAACGTCAGCTAACATGGGCAGGGGTTTCTATCCAGCCAAAGCCCGAACAAGATGCGAAGGCGACAGCTGCGAAACCCCAAGATGCGCCCAAGAAGAAAAGGGTTCGGCCGAGAAAGGATGCATCTGCGAAGCCTGACGGCCACTCCTCAGAATCTGAGACGGATTCTGACGACGACTTGGAGATCGAGGATGAGGAGCCAGAAGTGACTCCCGCCTTGCTGAGCGTATCCATGCCAACCGATGAACGGGGGAAAGCCCTTTATAATGCAGTGCAAGCTGTTTGGACCCCCCGCAACCGATCGGCTTCCCCCGAAAAGATTCGTGGTGGCATTGCCGGCTTTGGTGAGGTCGTACGAGGCTTGAGAGACGCTTGGAAGACGAAGAATGAAAGTCTGAGAAAGGCAGAGCTTCCTGATTCTCCTTCGGCTGCCGACGCTCCCAGGTTGAAGGAAGAAGTTGCACGATATCGCCAAGTTATGGAAACCGTCATGATGAGGTCCTTGATGTATGGCCATCCGGCCATAGTCAATAGGTATGTTGCCTTCCCCATCACCCTGCCTTATCAGTGTTCAATTTTGCCTCGTGACTTCCCCCATGAGATAGCCCTATGTGGTCCAGACTCGTTCTTCCATAGACACAAGGCTCTCGGCCTCTTCTGTCTTTATTGCACCCAGGGCTCGTCGTCGCGGGTCCAGAATACAAGGGCATGGATGTGCTTGTCAGTCTTGCATAATGGTTGTATCCATAGCTCTACATCCATAGATAGTCTACAAACCGCCTCGTTTCGTGATCTATTTCGTACGGCCTTGGGATGGCATGGCATACTTGTCCTTCGATCACACCCAATAACATTGACTAATATTCCCTTTAGACTAGGTGAAAATCAGTTCACAATGTCAGCCTTGTACTCGTTCATGCTCGACAGATTCAACGCAGCGGATTACGATAGTGCTCTTGTCAGCTCGATCCTCAAGGTAAGAGGGATCCTCCACCTTTGCACGGCACCCTGCTAACTCTCTTGCACTAGTTTGTCGTCAAATTTGGCACGCTTGATACGGAAATGCTAGAAAAGACGAAGCTGTCAAAGATCCTCCAGCGTCTGACAAAGAAAGCCACAAGTGAAGTCAAGACGTTGGCACAGACTATTCTTGATAATGCCCTAGCGGCGACGGCGAAGAAGACTTCCAACACTCACGACAAGAAGGCTGACAAGCCGGCATCACCTAGGTCTGTTGGAAGCCCAGCAGATGGGACTCGAAAAGAGGGCGCGACAGGGGTCAAGCGTCTCCGAGAAGGCGATGTGTCTGCTCAGCCGGTTCTGAAAAAGGTCGCAAAATTGATTCCTCAGTCCTCAAAACCCTTAGCCCTTCAGAACGCCGAACGTAGAAAGGCGTTGGAAGCCGCACATGCGGCGAAGGTTGGAGAGAAGGCGACTACTGCCCCAGCAGGAACGACAGCCAATCCAACCACGAAAGCAAAAGTGGCCGTAGCTGCTCCTCCAAAAACCTCAATCTTCGCGGCTTTGGCATCGGTTCCCAAGAAGCCAGGCACCTCAAACGCAGAACGAGCCGCTGCGGCTGCTAAAGAGAAGGCTGCCTCAACGGCATCCCCTTCTCTGGCTCCGGCTCAGCCCGTGAAGAAACCAAACACGGGCAAAGAATCACCGCCACGAAATGGCGGCTCCGGTCCTGTCACAAAGGCGGCGACCGCGTCATCCTTCATGGGCTTGCTGGCTGACATGGAGAAAAAGCCTGAGAAAGAGGCAAAGAAGGAAGACGAGATCTTGAACGAGACGGAAGAACAGAAGACCAAGCGACTGCGGAAGGAAGCTCGTCGGAAACTTCGTGTCACCTGGAAGGCAGATGCAGAGCTCGTCGAGACTCGCCTCTTCACCCATGATCCCGATGAAGAGCTTGACCAGGGCGACCGTCTGAAACGCGACGCTCGAGACACAGGTCGTGAAGGCGAAGCGCTCAAACATAAGGAGAATATGGACGATCTCGACGACGAAGAAGATGAGGATTCTTTCGAAGAATTGGAGCCATATACGCCACCATCCGAGGTGGACTTTAGTTACCTTGAAGATGCTTCTCTTGGGGACGACTCACCACACAAAATCAATTCACTCAAGTTCGGCGGGTCTATGAAACCTGCCAGCCCTAGCAATGAAGCGCAGAATAAATTCGAGCAAGACACACTCATGGCACTCTACACTTCCAAGGCCGATCGTCCGCCGACACCAAAGGAGCCCGATGAAACCAACGAGGACGAAGGAGATTTTGAGCCTGCCGAACCCGAAACTCCTTTCGGAGAACCCGAGGAAAAGACTCGTCGACGGGAGAAGGAGTATCTGGCACGACAAGTCCGAACGCAACCCGCCACAGATCTTGCGGCACAGATTCAAGCCATGTCCGCCCCACAGATATCTCAACCACAATCAGGAGCCATTCCTCCAGAGCTTCAACGTGCTCTCAGCATGTTGGGTCGGCCGAATCAGCCGAATCAGCCGAACACTGCCCCGCAAGCTGCGCCGGGTGCAAATGTGAACCTGCAAGCGATCCTTCAGACAGTCCTTGGCAACCAATCGCAAGGTCAAAGCCAACAGCCTCAGTACCCAGCCGTTAGCCAGGCTGCGGCTCTGGGACCAAATCTAGGCGCACTCTGGGCTTCGATGCAACAAGGTGCTCAAACGGCTACATCTGCCAGTGCGCTCCCTCCGGGCATGGGCGGCAACCCTAACTCCTACGTCGCTGACTTCGACGACACCTCACGCAAACACGGCCGAAGCGACTCCAATGATAATGACAATGAATATGGCAGAAAAGGCGGAACCAAGAAGAAGAAGGCCGACTCCAAACCATACCTCTACAAGACTCAAACCTGCTCGTTCTGGGAGCAAGGCAAATGTCTCAAGGGCGATGCTTGCACATATCGTCACGGCGACGAAGACGAACACTAACGCAGTTGCATTTTGCTGCACCTCATCTCATACCACTTTCCACTGTACACTACTATCATCTTATGCGCTTATGAGTTTTTCACTGAGCGAGTCCGACAACCAACCTTATTTATTCCATCATTTCTCCTTTCCAAAAGCGAGTCCGATTCTCGGAGGCAGGCAGGCAGGCACGTATGTAGATGACACTACTGTCATGGTCGGATAGAGATGGCTTCTCTCATGTCACAAGGGCGCAATCTACCGCTTCTCGCCAACAGATAGCATTTAAGCTGGAGTCACACATTGGCCAAATCCATGGCTCGAATGGGGGTAGGGGCTGGCAGAGAACGATGCAAAGCTGCTTTCAATGACATGTATTCAAATAGCTATTCTTTCTCCCTTCAATGCCATCACAGACTTGCGACAGGAAACATCGGCAATCGGCAGTGAAGGCGCAAGGCTGAATCGCCAGACAGTAGGCATCGGGAGGAAAGAGAAGAAAAAAAGGCCCAGTCTGACACAGGTTGGATGCCATCTCGGCAACATCGCCGATACCATTCTTCGTCAGACTGTGCTATTTATTTTTGACGGGAATTAATGACGTGGGACTCAACTGTTGCACCTGCGACTTGCAGCCTGCGATTTTCTGGCCACCATCTCCACCTGCCTGGGTCACCCTGTCACCATTAGGTCTGCGTTTTCCTGGATTGCTGTCCTTTTCTTGCCTATAGACAATAGAATACCTTCTTCCTTCACATAGATTCCGAAAGCCGCATACATAGTACGTTTCGAACCCGCCGTGCTATCACTCCGTGCATTCAAAGTCTCTCGAGGAACATTCGAGAACAGCAACGTGATCTTCTGCGCGAGGCAGTGGCCATACCCTAGGATCGAAAGAGGAGGATCGCAACAAGCTAGAGAACGTGAACAAATCGAACTCGCGCGCCGAAAGATGTCGACTGCGATCGTGAGCGCCGACGACGACGTCCTCGATCCCAGCCTCCAAAACCTCATCGACCAGAAGTCGCTACGATGGATTTTCGTGGGTGGAAAGGGTGGTGTGGGCAAGACAACAACCTCGTGTTCGCTGGCGATCCAAATGGCCAAAGCCAGGAAATCGGTGCTCTTGATATCCACTGACCCCGCTCACAACCTGAGTGACGCCTTCAGCCAGAAGTTTGGCAAGGATGCAAGACTGGTCGAGGGCTTCACAAACCTCAGCGCCATGGAGATTGACCCCAATGGTTCCATCAATGACCTTATCAGCGGCGCCGGGGATGAGGCTCAAGACGCCATGGCAGGACTGGGTGGAATGGGCAATATGATGCAAGATCTGGCTTTCAGCGTACAGTCTCTTTTTCATTCTGTTGCAAAGTTAGGCGCTAATCTAGACAGATTCCTGGCGTTGACGAGGCCATGTCCTTTGCCGAAGTGCTCAAGCAGGTCAAATCTCTATCCTACGAAGTCATCATCTTCGACACTGCTCCCACCGGCCACACTCTGCGTTTCTTGCAGTTCCCCACGGTCCTGGAGAAGGCCCTCGCGAAGATCTCTCAGCTCTCTGCCCAGTTCGGTCCCATGCTGCAATCCGTCATCGGAGCAAGAGGAGGTCTTCCGGGAGGGGCAACACTGGAGGAACTGACGCAGAAGCTTGAGTCCCTTCGAGAGACGATTGCCGAAGTCAACGGCCAATTCAAGAATCCCGACATGACTACCTTCGTCTGCGTCTGCATCGCCGAGTTCCTCTCACTGTACGAGACGGAGAGAATGATTCAAGAGCTGGCAAACTACCACATCGATACCCATTGCATCGTCGTCAATCAATTGCTGTTCCCGGAGAAAGACAATGAATGTAAGCAGTGTAACGCTAGGAGAAAGATGCAGAAGAAATACCTAGACCAGATCGAAGAGCTGTATGACGAGTTCAATGTTGTCAAGATGCCCCTCTTGACGGATGAGGTGCGCGGGGTGGAAAAGTTGAAGAGGTGAGCTTCTCGCACCTTGATGCCATAATTTCCAACGACTGACCTAGCCGCACACAGTTTCTCGGAAATGCTGATTCATCCATATCAACCGCCATCATGAGATCAAGCCCGGGTTAGGTAGTGATGATAGAGACAAAGTCCCATTCCAACCTCAGCGCTGGGGGCCAAATAAAAAGCCCAAGGCACCCGCGCTCTGATACGGACCGAATGGCAACATGGATTGCACGCCCAGCCGTTTGACACGAGCCCAACTCGGTAGATGATTCCTGTTCTGACTTATCGCCTGAGGGGTCCAGATGCATTTGACATGTCTTGGGGCGGTCGAGCCTGTTCGAATAGGGAGCCGCAGCCCGGAAACCCCCCAGCTCTGATCTGCGACGGCTACTCGCTGGGTCATTGCGCCTGACGTACTCTGCATGCTTTGGCCTTGCATGCCGGTGGGCAATCAAAGGCCTCGTTTGTCAAATGTTATGCAAGCAGTCGGCCTACCATTGGATCACGAAAGCCGCGGTTCTGCTCGGGCGAAAAGGCGTGGCCAGGGAGAGTCCGGGCTCCAATTCGCCCACATGTGCCTTACTCATCGCGTCCGGGGCCTCGAGGTTATCGTCGGGCAGGGCATGGCAGGGCTTGCTCGTCGGCTTGGGCTTTCCGACTGTCGACTTAGGGAATGGGCTGCGGTGGCTGAGCCACTGAGAACAGAAGCTGCACTAAAGGCTCGCCCTGTGCCCAATCACCCGCTCCGTCGTCCCGTCTGCGCATCCTGGAATGGTTCTACAAACCCGAACAGGATTATGGTCCAACCAGCCTTGTCCCAACGCTCGTGGTCCACGATATGGGGTACGGGGGCCTGCTGAGTTGTAATCTCAATATGCATCTCTGGGCCTCTTCGCAGCTTAAAAAATGCGAAGCCCGCCGCCTCGACGAAGGTCCCTTTCTTGGAAGGGAAAGCATAGTGGCATATTCGGCCGTACCTTGGGCGCAGTGCGACATTTACATGCTGCACGGCCTTACAGACCATTTTTTGCTCTTCCAAATTCTTCAATTCGGTATCGTGCTTCCCGAGGTGCAGTTTATCCCAGACTTTACACTCATATGCTGGATGGATCAAAGTGCATCTTCCCGATGAAGCACATGCATCCCTCCCAGCGACAGGATTTATAACCGGCCTCCTTCCCAGAATGTACGACTCCCGGGGGGTGGCAAGCTCACCAATCCATCATCTTGGACTCCATGCAGAAGAGTCTAGGGACGACCCACACGCAACGACTTGCAGTCTGAGGTGCAGTGCGCGCCGCTCCAATCTTCATCAGCCCAAGGCCGCGATGGCGGAACAAGACCAGGATGACCGCCAGCCAGATCAACGCCCGCCAGCATATACCGGACCGTTCCTATTTGTGAACAAGAACGCCACAAATCTTAGGTCCCGCCAGCGAGAAGAGGTGTTTGCCGTGCGAAGCCATGCCATGCAGATTGCCAGGCGATCGAGAAAGCCGTCGAACCGGCCCAAATCGTCGGAGCGGGAAAGCCAGGCTCAATCAGAGTCGACGGTAATACCTGCAAGTCCGATGGCCCAGACAGGCGGTCCCAGTCCGACAGCCGAGCCCATTCCATCCATCCAAAACATCCTAGAGCAGCAGGCTAGAGGAGTCCTCCAATACCAACAAAGGCAGTCGCAGAGACGCCAGCCAGACCAACCCCGAAGCCAGTCAGTGACGCATGAATTCCCAGCCTTGTCCCCAAGATCCTCAACTCTCCCCCTGTCGACCTCCAACCTTCTCCCCGCTGAGTATGCCGCCTCTTTAGCACACCTTAGCAGCACAGCCGCGTCGCCCGTGATCCTGATCCCAAGCAGCGGCGCTTCAGACCCCAGTGTAGCCGGACCGTTGTCTCCCGACACCTTTTTCAACTCGGTCCTGCAGTTTTGGCGACTGTGCTACATGTCCAACTTTTGGCCTGCTCACATCTACTTCAATCCTTCGCACAGAGCAGTCCAATTCACCGATGGCTGGATTCGGACCATGGTCATCAACAATCCGGCCATGCTGCACGGCCTTTTCTCGGGCGCCCTCAGCTACATCACAAATTATCTTCCTCCGACAGACAATACTCCGATGCTGTGGGCCAGGGCCATTCATCATTATGGGAAATGTCTCGAGGAAACCCGGGCTCAGCTCGCCCGGCCAGGTATTGGCACTGAAGAAGCATTGAGTCTGATCCATGGAATGACGACGTTCAGTTTCCACTGCCACGATCTGGAGAGCTGTCAGGTCCACCGTGCCGCCTCAATGCGGCTTCTTCAAAGCCTCGAAAGAGGTCTCGAAGCGCTGCACCCGGTGCTGAAATATCTTCTGATACTCTGCGACTCGCTCACAGCAAGCCACGTTCCAAGACGTCCGTCGATGGACATTGAGTCATGGGCACCTAAGCCATGGGCAGAAGAGCCATCTTTGCGACCGCTTGATCATTTGTTCAGCTTCGACTCTCATGTATACGAGGAGACGGACAATGCCATATTCCTCCTTGCCGACCACGGCGAGGACAACGACGGCACTCGGAATCTGTTGGAATTGATCAACTGGCATCGCGAAGCGTTGGCAGCAAATGAACTAGCATTCGCACTTGCAGACACGTCGGGCTCTCCAACCATCTCCGACGAGGGTGGCCTGGACCGAGCCGACCTGATATACACATGGCTGTCGCTACGTCAGTACGCCTTGAGCTGTCTCTCGACCCACATGTATATGGACCTTCTCGAGTCGGAGGACCATGAACAGTCGCTGTTGGCACAGATGCTCCGTGTTTTCCACGCTAGCATTGTGCTTGCCACCAGCTACATGTTTCAGTTTGTCATGCGGTACGGCATGAATGCTCCAAGCATGGCATACATACCATACCATCACCTGCGCACAAGGTTGGACTTGCTCATGGCGCTCATGAGCCAGTATAGACGCATACAAGCGTCAGGCGCGGGGAAGAGCCGTAGTGGAAGAGGGCCAACTAACCCAGTTCCAACAGACGCCCTTCTTTTCCTCTTCTTCGCTGGCGCTGTCGTCGAGGAATCTGACGGCCCAAATCGAGTCCAAACCCCACACCACATCACAAGGCCAGGCGTGATCCCTTCGCCTTCAGTCGAGCATCCAGGGGATATCATCAATGAGCGTTGGTTTAGCGTGCATTTCGCGATGGTGCTGCAAAGATTGAACATTGAAGCGTGGGAAAATGTCAGACGAGTTCTGAAGAGGTTTGTCTACGCTGAGAGAGTTCTGGATCGATTTTTGCAGGTCCTTGTGACCAGGAAGCTCGAGTTTTTGGCGGCTCTGGTTGTGGGAGTGCCAGATCATGTTCCTGCCGGCGGTGTTGGCTTTTTTGGAGAACCGGGAGTGGCAGGGCCAACCAGGCAGGGGACAAGTTCTTCTTCGCAACGACGACGACGACCATCTCGTCAGTCATCCTTTCAGATGCCCGCGCAACACCAAGCACCGCTTCAGCCAGCGGGAACATCGGTACCGACGACATTGCCTCTATCACCGTCGAGTCCCAACCTCGATGATGGTCTTGATTCCTTGCCCTTATTTGGTCCTACACCAGTCTCCCTCTCGGCCACCGTGCCTAACACTGCGGCTGACTGGTGGCAAGACATGGGGTACGAAATGGGGGTCCAAGAAGACTTTTCAATGGATCTGGATATGCAGTTGAGTATGGGAACGGGGTTGGACACGCTTTCTGATATGCAGATGCACGGTGAGGATCTGGGCGGGCACGAAGAAATGCCGGATGAGGAAAGGCACGAGCAAGGCTGAGGCGAGGAGGAAGCTGCACGGCCGGCTCTGAGCCAGAACGAGACGCAGTCCCTAAAGCTCTTCGTCCCGATTCAGGATTGAGGGACCGGAAACGGTCAGAGGAGGAAGGCTGGTTTTCCGATTAGGCTTGGGTTTTGTGTGCTGACGCGCGGTGGATTATTCGAGGCACGTACCAGGCACAGTCGATGGCGTTCGTCGTCCACGCTGCTGGGGACCGGAGCCCTCACAGGTACGCAGGTCTCGTACTGTATTTCGCATCAATCGAATCATTGCTATGGCTCTCATGGTGGCTGTTGAAGAATTGAGGCGGCCATGGGGATCACGTGCAAGGCTTGGTCATGTGATCGGTGGGTTTTGCAAATGACCTTTGAGTTCGGCCACTTTATCCCACCAACTGCGCCGTTAATCATCTCTTTTCATCGTTTTCGAGACAGGTCAAATCAAGACTCTGCACGATCCTGCCGATCAGAAGCTTAATTCTCCGTTAACGGGCCTGGCGGGCGCAGCTGGCATCGGTGTGGGTGACGTTTGGGGACCTTTTCCCCGGGCCGAAATAGGCTCGTTGCACTCATTGTTCACTGTGCCGAGTTCCGTGCAAGGTTCGATGCAATCCTTCGACCGGAGTGGCGGCAACTGACACTTTCTCCCAGGTTCTTTTGTTTCTTTTCACACTGGGCAGGGCTTGCGCAATGTTTCGTCCTCTCAATGGCCGGCTATGCGCACATCGACCGGTCATTATGCATAAAATCCGCTTCTTTTCTCCAGGCCGCTTCCCTGTGGGCGAACGAGATGGGATAAAAGGATTCAAAAGTCCTCGGCTTCTTTCCACCCCCTCATTCTACATGTCCACCCCGTGCCGCGATCCCGTTTTAGTTTCTGGCTTTTCTGCAGGACGATAACGAGCGCAGACGACCCGGCCATGGCTGCGAGCCTAAACAAGACACGGACAGCGCCCGAACATCGGTCCAGACGATCCTCGCGTGCTTCTTTAAGACGGGCTCGATCGACTCCCGAGGATGATTCTCACCAACTGTTTTCGCCTCAATTCATGGATGACCATGGTGCCCATCATTATCACGTCGCTGCGACGCCGGATGAGGATTATTTCGGTCAGCGCGATGGTGACGAGGGTCCCATAATTGAGGAGGATGCCATATCCGAAAGCAGCACTGCTGGAGAGTCGACGGAGGAAGTGAGGTTTGGTGTGGTGAACAGTCGCGATGTCGAAGCAGGAGTCAATCTGCCAGAACTGAAATCGGAGAAGTCGACTCGATCACTGAAGGATCCCCATCTGGTAAGTGTGTCGGTTTTCTGTCTTCTCAACCTCTAACCATAGCAAGTGCTAAATGTGATTTCGACAGGTTACCTGGGAGGGGTCCGATGACCCGGAAAACCCCAAGAACTGGACATACCGGAAGAAATGGGCGGCAACTCTCATCGTATCATCGTTTACATTCATTTCACCCGTGTCATCGTCCATGGTGGCACCGGCTCTTGACAAGATCGGCGAAGACCTAGGCATTAGCCAGGATATCGAGAAGTCATTGACCCTTTCGATTTTCGTCCTCGCATACGCCATCGGACCATTGTTTTTGGGCCCTTTATCTGAAATGTACGGCCGAGTTATCGTTTTACAACTTTCGAATTTATTCTTTCTCGCCTGGAATATTGGGTGCGGCTTTGCGCAAACTCGAGGCCAACTCATCGCATTTCGGTTTCTGAGTGGTCTGGGCGGTAGTGCCCCCCTGGCCTTGGGCGGTGGAGTACTGAGCGACTGCTGGCGTGCGGAAGAACGTGGCAAGTCTATCAGTATCTACTCTCTCGCACCACTTCTAGGCCCCGCGGTTGGACCAGTCGCCGGTGGATTTATCGCCTTAAAGGTAGGGTAGACCTGGACCGAAATGACGTTGCACCTGCTGATGTTCAACAGACCACTTGGAGATGGTGCTTCTGGGCGACTTCGATTGTGGATGCCGGTATTCAAGTTCTTGGCTTGATCTATCTGCGAGAAACCTACGCGCCCAAGTTATTGAATGACAAAGCAAAGAGACTCCGGAAAGAGACGGGCGATCCAAACTACCATACTGAGTGGGATCGTCCCGAGAGAACACTGGGGAAAGTCATCCGCACGAGCCTTGTCCGCCCATTTCGTCTTCTAGGGACTCAGCCTATTATTCAGGCTCTGGCCATGTATATGTAGGTACTATCCCGGCGAGTCCTGGCAGCCACTAACAAGTTCAAGGGCGTACCTCTACGGTCTTATGTACCTTGTCCTATCCACTTTCCCCCAAGTCTGGGAGGACATTTACCACGAAACGGTCGGCGTTGGCGGCCTGAACTACATCTCTCTAGGGATTGGGTTCTTCTTGGGCACACAGATCTGCGCTCCGATCAACGACCGTATCTATCGCAGACTCAAAGCACGAAACAACGACATTGGAAGACCCGAGTTCCGTGTCCCTCTTATGCTCCCGGGAGCCGTCCTCGTGCCGATCGGTCTTTTCATCTATGGATGGGGGGCAAGGGCAAGTGTGCACTGGATTGTTCCTAATATTGGAGCCGCAATCTTTGCTGCAGGCACGATCATGGGCTTTCAGTGCACGCAGACCTACATTGTGGATGCATACTCACGTTTTGCGGCCTCAGCTGTCGCTTCGGCCGTGGTGCTGAGGAGTCTGGCAGGTTTTGGATTGTAAGCGATTCCTTATTCACCTTGTGGCATTGGTTTGGACGTGGAAACTAACTATTATGTGCTCCAATAACAGTCCCCTGTTTGCTCCATACATGTACCAGGCCCTGGGACTGGATTGGGGAAATTCTCTGCTTGCGTTTATTGCCATCGGCCTTGGTCTTCCAGCACCAGTTCTACTTTGGAAATATGGCGAGGCGCTGCGGAACAAGAGTACCTATGCTGCTGGATAGGGCCGGCCTAGACTGCGTATACAGACAAGAGGCGATCTGCTCGTCAACACCGCAAGGAAGACGGTATGGCTCAAGGCCCAACTGCCGCCACGCTCCATGCGAACCTGGCGACCCGGCGATACGAATACTTCCTCCAGTGCTTGCTGACCACCCGTTGAATTTTTCCTGGCGATAAGAATTTGGCGTGTCTCCGATGAATGCGCGACATCTGAGCAGTTCGCGGCGGAGTGGCTCGGCCAGGCAGGTGACGTCAGCATACGACGATTGTCAGCCTTGCGCAACAGAATCCCAGAATTCAGGCCCTTCGGCCAGAACTAGAAACTCTGTTATGCCCGGAAGTCACAAATGCCGGGGACTGACAGGCCGGTCCATCGAGGTTGAAGAAGTGGTCTCTGCGCGAGTGGCGGAAATGGCGTTCGGCGACTCGGCGATTCTTGTGGCAGAAAGAGAGAACGAGAGAATTCGCCGGCAGCTCAACGCTTCGGATTGAGCGGCGTTGTACGGGGTAGTTGCAGCCCAATCCTGGGCCCTTTCCACACGATTGATGGTGGACGCGCTCAACATTGCTGGAATTTCAAATCCCACCAGCTGCAGGGGTGAGTCGGGGCTCCATCTATCGTTGATGGCTATGCATGATCCACTGGGTCACTTCGATTTTGTCGTTGATAGAAAATACCCCATCTGTCTGCGAATCACTTGCTTGCCATGTTAGCTATGATTATTGAGCGTTGGTCTGTCTTTGGGTCTAAAAAAGAGAGAGAGAGAGAGAGCAACATTTCTAGTCGACGAAGTGCACCAATATACGTCCTTGTCTAGAGTGCATTGTTGAACCTAGTTGATAATATTATTGATCATCAAGAAAGCTCTTTTGTGAGCACCGCTTGCATTTCCCTCGTTTTCATTTCCTTTTCCGGATTTCTGGGATCATACGGCGAGAGGTCCCAGAAGGGTGAATTGGAGGGGAGGATGGATGGATAGATAGTCGAAAAGGGGGAGGCAGAGATAGAGCCAACGTAGGTCAGGTCAGGGCATATGTACCTACATAGGTATATATCTGCATGTGCGCTTGTCTGTATTGCGAACGGGATATCATCATCATCATGACCGTCATCATCATCGACATTTCGGATCAGAATTTTCCAGTCTTTTCCCGAGGCGCCTTTCCTCCCTTGAATTCATTCATCGCCGTTGCCTTTACCCTTGCCGTTGCCGTTGCCATCATCCTACTCCCATATCCCATTCCCATTTCCCATTTCCCATTTCCCATTTGCCGTCCCGTTTTCGTTCCGTTAAAAGGCATGGCGTGGCGTGGCGTGGCGTGGCGTGGCGTGGCATGATATGATATGATATGATATGATATGACATCGCGAAACATCCGGTAGGGTAGACGAGAGATGCATATCCAACGAACGACCCTCGAAACATCCACATAAGACATCCTGAGGGATATGGATATCGTCGATAGGATGGACGGAACGAGGTACTACCTACCTACCTGCCTGCCTGCCTGTCCTTTGATATACCGATACTGTGGGTCGGTGGGGGTGTGTGTGAGTGTGAGTGTGTCTGTGTGTAGAGGACCAACTAGTCGAGCGCCGTCGACCGGTGCGGACTCCGGCTGCGCACGCGGTCCAGCGCGGCGTCCGAGGCAGGGAGGGGGACTTGGAGGGCGCGAGGATTGTTGTTCGATGCTGGCGCCCGGGTCGTTATCGTCGCGTCCGCTTCTTTGGCGTCCGCGTGGCTCTGGGAGATGGGGTCGGCGTCCATGTGTTTGCCCATCTCATCGTCGTCCTCATCGTCATCGTGGGTACTCATACTATCCGCTAGACTCGCTAGCTCGACGACCTCGTCGTGTCCCCCGTGACGGTGATGGCCCAAGGACAGCATCCCGTTGGCCAGCCCTCGGGCTCGATCTCTCTCCGCCACCTCCTCGTCCCCATCGGCCTGCGGGCCGGACTTCCTCCTCCCCTTCTCATACCCTTCCAATTTGACGTTGACGAACAGGGCGTACAGCCCAAAGTCGTAGGCCAGCCGACAGACCCCGGCGGCGACGAAGGCGACGCCGAAGCGGTCCCCCTCGGCGAGGACGCCCGTGACGCTGGGCCCGGTCATGGCGGCCAGGTTGCGCAGCATGCTGGTGATGCCCATGACGGCGGTGCGCTCGGCGGGGCGGACGACGGCGGCGATGAAGGCCGAGCGCGGCGCCTGGTCCATGTTGTTCAGCCCCGTGCGCAGCAGCAGCAGGCCCGCCGTCATCCACAGGCGCGGCGGCCAGGGGAAGACCAGCACCGCCGCCGACGAGGGCACGTGCGTGAACACCATCGTGTTGATCAGCCCGATCTTGCGCGCCAGCGGGCCCGCGAACACCGCCCCGATCGCCCCCAGGAAGTACGACACCGACGTCACGTCGCCCAGCGTCGACTTGGACGGGTGGAACTTGATGTCCATGTAGTAGTTGGTCAGCGAGTACGGCACCATCCCGTCCGCCAGCGAGTCGATCGCCAGCAGGAACCACAGCTTGTACATGATCGTCCGCGTCGGCTTGGAGATCTGCGCGAACGCGCTCGCGAGCCAGGATTTGGTCCGTGATGTCCATCGTGCGGGGGGCGCGGACGGGTGGTGGTGGTGGTGATGCGAGTGCGAGTGCGAGTGAGGTAGGGGTGCTGGCGTTGTCGGGGTCGTCGGTGCCGTTGCTTCGATATCGTTCGCGGCGGTGCCATTTGCCCTCAGGTGCTCGACGTCCTCCTCGCCGTCTTCGTCCCTGTCGTCTTGTGGTAAGCTGGCGTACACCTCGTGCCCTTTGCTATCCGGCCTCAACTCGCAGGCCTCTGTCAACAGGAAGACAAACAAAACGTTGACGATGCCCATGGCCGAGTACATCCAAAACAGGGCGTGGTAGGCGTCAACCTCTGTCCATCCTGGGCGCTTTTGGAGGAAGTGGACGATCCTCCCCGAAGCTTCGCTGCCGATACTCGACCCGAGTGTTGATGTCGTGACGTACCAAGCCAAAACGTCCGCTCGGTTGGAAGGTGTTGTAAGCTGTGATAGAACCGACCTGGCGAGACGGAGGCGGGTTAGTATCCAACTGTCATTCCCTCCAATATCATTGCCATAGAGGACGGCCACTCTGGGTTACCAGACGGAAGAGACATCAACTTACTCCTCCACACTCCTGAATGGACCAAAGTCTCCTCCCGTGACACTGATCACCCCCAGGATAGCCGCGCCCAGCAAGATCCAGAAATTCTCAAACACCGCAAACACGAACCCGCTCAGGATCATGAGGACTGACCCGGCCATCAAAATGCGCCGGCGACCCACCCGGTCGGCAATCAGCGTCAAGAAGGTACCAAGGAAGACATCGCCGAGTAGGGTGAGGGTCATGAAGATGCCGATCTGGTGGTCGGAATAGTTCAGGGCCGAGAAGAAGATGGCTGTGGAAACCCCCGTGAGAAAACACGGAACCAATGGGCGAAACAGGAGTTATGACTCTGCCTCGACTTGGATATATATGCAACACGGTACCCTCGAACCTTACCTGTGAACGTAGGGGGGGAAGAATTGTGCATGTACACACAAATCGCAAGCCGAAGCACGAGCCATGTTCGAGGACTCACCGAGTATCAACGAATTGGTCCCATAAGCAAACATCCGGCACGAGCGTGCCAGGATAATGAGCCACGCATTTCTCCCAGTCTCATGGATAGCCACGATGCCGAATTCATGATAGAACCATTTCAAGGGCCGGAGGATGACAGACATGACCTCGGGGCCTTGGCTTGCTCGGGTGTATACAAACACCACGCACTCACTGTCACACCAGCCTCGAGCGGAGGGATCGCGAGACAAGAGTGAGAGGATGGAAGAATGGAGTTGCGTAAGCAGCTTTGAGGGCGCCCTCGATGGTTGGGGCGGTCTCGACGGCATCTTGGCCGACACCGCCTATTGCGCCTACCGATATCGGCTGTATAGACATGGGTGTCCACCACCAATGAGTATATCTCAGACGGGGGAAGCTCCGACTCCACTCATGGCGCAATGAGTGCCAGCGTTGATTGCTCGGTTACAGCTGGGGCTAGATTCAGGGGCTCAAGGGAAATCGTAGCCTTGCATGTCGAACGACAAGCCCCGTATACAACTTTGGAGTGACTGCCAACACACAACCACTCACAATCGGCATGTATATATAGAGACAGGCACGACGCCTCCGAATATGTGCTCTTACCTCAGTTCTGTAGATGGCAATTGAACCGTCGAGAGACTGGCCATAGGCAAGAGAACAGTCTCACAAGCAGCCGCCGAAACTTCGACAGAAGGGCTTTCTTGTTCGCTAGACTCCTAACAGAGACAGTCCTAACGTCTGTGGGACGCCCATACCCAAAAGACCGAGAAATCGTGGATGGAGTTTCAAGTCCAGCGATATGCTCTGCAGCCATCGGGCCTTTCCCAAGACAGTCGGAAGTTACATTGGCGAACCGTGAAACATATTTCCATGACAACCCGCTTCCACCTCCTCCTGCTCGACCTCATGAAAACGTCGCAATATCGAAGTATCGCAGAAAGCGAGTATTGGTCTCCTGCTTGGGAAATAATATCCCGGGTTCGAGAGAGATCAAGTTTGTTTGGGCCGATCCTGCTCTTCCTCGGCGATCGTAGCTGGAACATACAGTCGGTCTGCATCGAATATGCCACAGCGTTCTTAATGCAAATGCTGGCTTGGGCTTGCTGGCTGATCTTTCCGCTTCCCCGAGTTTGACAAAACCGCAGAAGTGGAAGTTAAGGTCGTTGGCGGAGAAATGGTGCTCGAACCGCAACGGGAGATCACAACTCCTTGACTGCCCGCAGAGTGTCCTTCTATGTCACAGCACAGAAAATGAAATAGTGAATGAAGATGGTGTACAGATACGCCACGTCATCGTTGTCTCGCCCCAAAGAGCGATACTGCAGCGGACGCAATCTCGGGGTTGGAATGCCTTGCTCTGCAAATACTTGAAAATCATGTAGATGATACAGTTATTGATGACAGATATGCGTACTGACCTACTTATATTTCGAAAGCGCGAGACATGTTCAATCTCAGCAAGGCCGAGCTCCGTTACACCAGGTCAGCTGAAGGGGTCCGTTTCAGGAACGCGCTTCGTTTCCTGCAAAAGTGAGCTGCAAGGAAGCGAAGCGTGCGAGTCAGGCTGCCCGTCTGCCGATAACGTGGAGATCACGAGCTTCGGGACTTTCGCGCAGCCTGACCGGCTGGTAAGGGACTGCCTTGTTTAGTAAGTCCTTGCGTGTCGACGAGTATAGTTGGTGCTGGTTCGTTCGGTCCGGCCTTGTGGTGTCCCACGATAGGGCAACAATGCCGCTGGGATGCTGCCATGGCAACAAAGGCTGTCTCGCCAACGTCATGCTTGTGACAGCAGGCATGAAGCTCTCGGTGTCTCCGACAGTGTGTGCCTGCGCAGACACTTCCCTTATGACGTTGCAAGCAAAGGAATGCTGCTTGGGGAGACCGACTGACAGATCTGATCTGTACCACTTGCTTCCAAGGCGTCTATTGCTGTGCCTCTCGGCCAAATCTCTCGCATCCTCCATTCGGAAGACTCTCTTGACGACCAGCCGGTCGATCTTGTTTCACTCTCTGGAATTGGAGGCAGCTTCGTGGTATTTGGAAAAGGCGAAAGTAAGGCACACGCGCAGCCAGGTCAGCCTTGTCAGCTGTAACAATGCCCATTTATAGCGGGCTGTGAGCGGATGAAACAGGCACTGCCAATCGAATCTTCTGCCAATCGCATGGTCGAGTGACAGGTTCGCCAGGCATTGATCGTCGCTAGAAACCACCACAGTCGCACGACAACCACAAAACAGCCACATCACTCCTTGCCAGCTCACAGAGCCGTTCCAGTAACATGTCTTCCGACCCTCATAAGGTTCGAGGTAACAGCACAGCATCAGTTGTATCTTCTGTCAAATGTAGAACCGACGAGTCTCAGCACAGGAGACGTTACACAGAACTACCAAAAAGGGCCAGCAGGATGTATTCCCAGCCCCACCTATGCCAGATGAGAGTTCCCCGGCGACCATGATTCGCAGGTTGCGATGCGTCAACGACATGTACTTTGCAGGCGGAAGAGGACAGCAGAGGCAAAGATGCGGCAGGGGTTCGTGCGCGAGTCGGCGGCTAATTTCGCGTTCTGCTTGGTGCTCCAGCCCAGAAACTTAACATTTTTACTCGCCGTGATTATGTCGGGATACTGAGCTCCCCAAAGCAAGAGAGAGTAGTGAAGGCGGAAAGCGGCTTTGGCATGGTCCAAAGGGATGCGATTGAATTGCAGTCGTAACTTTATCCCGCGCACGAGATATCTTAAGCGATCTCAGATCACTTGGGAGAAAGATCTGATTCTAGTGCGGGACACTTCAAAGTCCCTCAGAAATCAACTTCTCGACACTTTTTGACCGTCATCCCGACCATGAACAACATTTTGTCTGCTAGGGCCCCTAGAGCGTGCAGACTCGTCTTCAAGCTTGCGACCAGAAGACGAGCATCTGGGACAGGGGGCTTGGACGTGGCCATGTCCGTTGCAAGTCTTGCATTGGGCTCCGCTATGGTGAATGTCAGTTCCTTGACATGACACATTCAAATCGAAATGGATTGGGAATGGAAGCTCGTGTGGATATAGCTAGAGCATACCGTGGAGGATGTCCTGCGCAAGCACGGCAGGTGCTCCAGACTTTTGGGTGATCGCACATCATGAGATCGATGAGATGCTCCGTTGGTAGAGAGATGGGTCGAAATAGCGTAAAGACCTAAGCAAGGTGAGGTTTGCGTATGCAGGCTGGCAGTGATTGACAATGTTGGACGTTTTGAAAAGGACCAGAAGAAGTCGAGCAAGATGGGTTGAGGTAGGGCAGGTCCGGTTTTATATGCAATCCTGAGCCTTGCATCTGACACTTTTCGGCAGATTCAACACCGTGCCAAATGCAGATAGGAGAAACACGTTGGTGTGTTCATATCTTCTGTGCGACTGCGACAGGACGTCGGGGAGAGTCTGCCTCCCATCTTCCGCTTGATCAGGTGTCCGCCTCAGGACCGGAGAACGGGCAGTGCCACATCCATCCCGTAACACCGGAACCGGTATACTGTACAAAACGGCAGCCGGTCGGATGAGACGAACCCAGTTAGAATGGTGACTTCATGGTTGCCAAATTGAGGCACGTTTCAAAGCAAACAGGTCTCACCAGCGTGACGTTGCAACGCAAGGTAACCCGGTTGGAAGTCGCTGGTGAAGCCAGAGATCAGCACAGTTCCTGGAGGGAATGTGCCAGACTCAGACGTCAGTGCCAAAGGTACATGCTTAGACAGAGGAACAACATGACGGGATGCCATCAAATCCCACGTGCCCTGGCAAAGACAAGACCACGCCTGGACCGGGAGCGCATCAGGATGCTCGCGGACGTGAAAAGGTGTCCATAGCTCACTGTAGAGCAGCGGCAGGTCGACGAAATGGTGGGAAAGCAAAGACTTGGCTTGCTGAGAGTTATTGGACCCGTCACAACAGCTCGAACGAAGTCCTGCCATTGAACGGTGATTTCGAGGTGGCACAGGAAGTGGTCTCTTTGGAGTAGCTGGCAAGAAGATTGGTACATTCCTGAAGTAGTATGACTGGCTTCGTGTAGCAGTACGAAAAGGTCACTTGAGGTGGTTGAGGGGTGAGATCGGCGACCTTCGAGAACAGGATTGGGGTGGTCTCGCTAAGCAAGACTCGTTCGTGTTACGTTCGAACTTCGACTTGCCCACTAGCCCAGCTGTATCGAGCCTCGTGCATGGCGCTCAACACCATCTTGTGCAGTTGCAGATTGAAGAGGATGTATCTGTGTGAATCTTAGCGGGTTGATGTGGTAGGGGTACAGCTCGAAGGAGCTGGCCGATGATGTTGATTGGGAAAGAAGCCGATTGGGCCACTTTTCGCTATCAATAGCGTATCCCATGTCAAGTTGTTGGCCCACGGTGAGTGACGACAGTACTTGCGCGCATGGCTCTTGCAGAGCAGAGTATGATTCAACGGTAAGCTTTGAAGTACTACTCCCTACCTATAGCAAAGTCGGTCAGCGGGCCAAGGCAAGGTGCTGGCCATGAAGAGGAGCGGAAGATAAACAGGGGCAAAATGGGTTTGCTGCCCAAGCAGGAAATCAAACAACGCCGCAATGGAATTTGTAGGGCATTTAGATGCATCCACTCCCTGCTGAGAAGTTTGTGGCAATTGGTCGGAAACACTGGTCCCTCCCTGCCCATCAAGCCGTGGATATTGCCTGTGTCATCCCAGCATTGCGCTGCGTGGGAAAGCGGCCGCATCCTCTCTTTACTGAGGGGTAGATAGTGGTTGTTTTGCGCACGAGACTTCTGTAGTCGGAACATGAAGATCGTTGCCAACAAACGAGACAATCCGAGCAGAAGGGGTCGAGAAAGTAGGATTGAGCAAGGTCAGTTTTGGAAAGTGAAGTGGGCGGTCTGGCTCGAATGACGGAGTGACTCCACCCGATTTGAGCCTGCTCGTAAACGAGAGATGCAAAAGGACCATGTGCAAGAAAAGGCGACACATTGTAGTGCAAGCAATGGCCCTACACCCTAACTGGCGATGCCCTCGACATCTGGGTCGAAGGAAATTGCCCCGTCAGACGCCACGTGAGCAACTGACCTTAGGAGCTGGAACTCCTTCTGTCTCCTGATCCACAAGCTGCCATGAGGATGATGAGAGTCATCGTCGTTCGATGTTCGCTGAATGCAATCATGATACAACGGCTGACCACACCCATGGTGTAGCTGAAGGAGGAGTGGAGGTGTTATGAGCCGATGTGCATCGGCATGAACGCGGGTCTGTTAGAGCTCATGGTGGTTCGACCTGAAAGGCTTCCGTGGTCAATAGGTATGACAAAAGTATCGGAGAAGGAGAGAGCTTCAGCCACCAGCATGTCGTCGGCGTTGGTCTAGGCCCATGAGTTACCCACGAAAGAGTGGGAAGGCCGACAGGGGGACCAAACATGGTACGAGCCAGCTACCTGCCAAGTCTCTGGAGAGGGGTTTGAGCTCTGACACGCTCTTGCACGCCCCAGCGCAGCCCAAGTGCAGGTGTTTGGATGGTCATGTTGATGGAACATGAAGTCGACGTGAAAACAAGGCGGAGACCGAATTGGTAGTTTGATGACCGACGATCGAGAAGGAGAAAGACCTCGGCCATTCACGTGACAGCCTCCCAAGCAACCAACATCTGAGCCGAGGCAATCTGGCTGCTGAGCGAGGGATGAGTGAGAAAGGCTACAGAAGAGAGGAGACTTGTGGCAAGCACCAAGGAGCCAGACACATTGGCTTGTATTTAATAACCTGGCCAGCGCTCATTTCTCTCCTTCCCTCATTCTCCAGAGCCACCCAAAAGACCCAGTTACACCCGCAGGAGGGACAATCAGAAAGAAGGTCATCTATCTCACAGTCCAAACCCAGCATCATGGCGCTGAGAAACTTTTCGAACTTCAAGTTTTACAATGTCACGGTTCCGGCCGAATATGTGGTGCACGTCGAGATCAACCGTCCAGAAAAGCTCAACGCCTTCTTCGCGCCCATGTGGTTTGAATTGAAGGCCATCATCGAACAGCTGTCCCACGACCCCGAAGTCCGGTGTATCTTGCTTTCGGGCGCTGGAGACCGAGCATTTACTGCAGGTGGGTGACAGATACCTTCAAGAGCAGAGGACAAGGGGGGCTAAGATGTGCTTCAGGCCTGGATGTCGAGCAAGCGGCGAAAGCTGACAACCCTCTCTCATCAACTTTCTCGGATCCCTCGCGGAAGGCGACCGTCATCCGGAGGCATATACTCGAGCTACAGGAAGTCATTTCGGCTGTCGCGCGTTGCGAGAAGCCCATCATTGCGCTACTTCACGGCTACACTTACGGACTCGGGATTGACCTGTCATCAGCGTGCGATTTGCGCTTTTGCACCAGCGACACCAAATTCTGCGTCAAGGAGGTTGACATTGGGTTGGCGGCCGACGTGGGGACTCTAAGCCGACTGCCCAAGGTCGTGGGGGGTGTGACCAGTTGGGTTAAAGACGTCTGCCTCAGTGCACGACCATTTTCCGCCGAGGAAGCGCTCAAGAACAACTTTGTGAGCCAAGTGGTAAACGGGAGCAAGGCTGAGCTCGTTCAGGAAGGCGTCAAATACGCCAAATACCTGTCGACCAAGAGCCCTGTTGCCGTCCAAGGCACGAAGAACATCCTCGATGCAGCGTGGGGGAGGACCGTCGAAGACAATCTCAACTATACTGCGGTCTGGAATGCGGGTATGGTGCAAAGCACCGATGTTCAGAGAGCCATGCTCAGCGGCCTCCAGAAAAGGACGCCGACGTTTGAAAAGCTCTAGATTAGTGTAATGTGGGAAGGTTGTTATGAACTCCCAATGTCGGTGATGCTTGATTCGTAAAAGCTGTCCTTGATAGATCGAATAGCGGTTGGGCCTTGAATCACATGGAAGGATTGAGGTTGGATTGGTTGGCAGATGGGCAACAGTCAGCAAGGCTTTCCATCCTGTTTCGAGCTGTTTCTGGGTCGACGGTGGAGGAGGTCGGGAGTCAGCACATGTTGCTTCCCTGCGGTACGGGTACGTAGCAAGATTGCTGGCTAGGGAAGCCAGTTCGCCGGTTCTTCCGGAGGCGCGCGTTTCACGTGATTCGTCTCCCGCAAGAATCACTCAGAGCCACTGCTCGCGTTGCCAGGGCAGAGAGCTGAGGATGAAACCTGCAACCCAGTTCACCAAGGCTGCTCTGACGGCCAAGCACATCCGAAACAAGCTGAGATCAATTCGTTGTGAGCTCATCGCGAGGGCGGAACCTGACAGGATGAACCTTCTGCCCCATTGGCTCTGATGAGAAGAGACGAGAGGGTCGCCATAGTGACACCATGCTGTTTATGGGCGCCTGATTGAGATGCCAGCGTTACCGAAGGTCCCGGGTGGGTGTGGTTCCTGGATGCTCGGTCGCTGTGGGCGCGCTGTGGGCGCCTGTACTAGTCATGAATCACCACAAACAGGCAAGGCTACCGCCGAGCTGCCTGGAAAATCGAGCCTAATGAGCCCGGACCAACTGCCCCAGGTGGCCCCTGGCTGCTAAGCTTTTTGCAGTTGGCGTCACTCCCGGGGCCCTTTGGTGCCCCATTCAGCCAGTGACGTCGTTGGCATACCCGGCGTCACCCAGGGTCACCCAGTGTTCGCCGCGTCACAGCCCACCAGAGCAAGCTTAGGTAGGTAGACGCCCAGGTTCCCCCTCCTTCTTTGCCCCGGCATCTGCTTCTCACAGGAAGCTCCGTCACTCAGCAAAAGTAGCTCGAACTGCCAGTACATCATTCCACCTTCCACTCCGTTCCGTTGCTCTCCACCTTGACCGACAGCTACTTACACACAACTCTTCCTCCATCACACCTTTTCTCTCACAGCTTCTCACCTATCTGCTCATTCCTGCACCTTTCCACAAGTACTCGAGTTACAGTACCACCTCCCACCACATCCAAAACAGCTGTATCACTTCCCCCAGGTCTCAATCAAGCCGTCAAGATGGTGTCTAGAACAATCAACCTCATTCTTCGGGCGGTCGAGGTAAGCTCCTGGGGAATTGCTCACACCTGAGTCTCCGGTCTGCAGCATCTGACCAGACACCTTTGCGCAGTTCGTCTTCATAGTCATCATCATGGGCCTCATCGGCAACGTCATTGCCATGGCCTTCGCCGGCAACCCCTCATTGATCAACTACGATATGTTCGTGGCGGCCTTTGGCATGCTCTCGCTATTCTACCTGGTAGCTGTCGCCTTCAACGACTCGTTTATGGGCCATCCCATCTTCCCCGTTATTGTCGACCTTCTCAACTGCATTTTCCTTTTCTGCGCCGCCGTCGCCATGGCTGCCGAACTCAAGGTGCATTCCTGCAGTAACAATGTAAGGCCCCCTTATGTGTCCTCCCCCCTAAACATTGGCTCACAACTTGTGACAGACGTATACCCTCCACAATCACCTCACGAACGGCGCCCACGACAGGGAAGGCCGATGCCGAGAGGAGCAGGCAGCTACCGCCTTCCTGTGGTTCGCATGGGCAACCTGGATGGCTAGCTTATTCTTCTCCATCCTTGATGCTCGCAGCGGAGGTGTCAACCTGAGAGGCCCTGTCCGCTCTAGAGGTGCGCGCCCAGCAATGTCTCAGGTGTAAACATGTGAAGCAGAATCTTTGGGAAACGGACAATGAAAAGAGGCTCAATCCTGCTTCTCCGACTCTGCGTCACGTATGCTTGGAGACATTCCCCGCCGCTCTTGGGAAATTGACGGCTAACGTTCTGCAAAGTCTAAATGTTCCCACGATACGTCTCGCGATCCATGCTTTGCGATAACTCCAATGACGATCAATTTGCGGCATACCAGTCTACAGCTAAGCTGGTCTAATCTGGAAGACAAAAATACCCGGCGTATTACGATTCGCCGCTTCTGATCCGTCCTTCACCGGCGTTGGAAATCACCCTCTGTCACTCTCTCTAGAACAACTACATTTGCATGCCTGGCAGCCTGCACGCCGCATCGACATACAACATACCAATCATGAAGATAAGAAAAGGCCAAAAAACCAAAGACAATGCGGGACATGGAATGCTTGCTATGAATTGAATGTGTGCAAGATCTGGGTAATGCAGATGATCCTCACAGGTCGAACTGCTCTTAATGTGTATGATACAGCACATGGTTTATTGGGCGCTGCATGACTTATCTGTGACGGGGCAAGATACTACCTCCAGAAGTAGTTTTTAGGTAGCAGTAATGAAAGAGAAATGCAAAAATCAGACCAATACTCACTCTTCCGAGACATTGCTGTGAAGGTTTTTCGACAACAATAAACACTCGAGGAGCTCCTGCGAAATCGGAGTATTAGGTGAGCAGGTTATTCTGATCCAGCCCTGGTACTTAGACACATAGGACTCTCATTGACAAACAGCGACGTCACTCGGCGAGACTTATCCGCGCTGAGTAGCTCCACCCTCCTCCCTGTTCATATGGCTGAGTACCAGGTAGCTACTCGGTATTATTATATGTATGAATCCAACCCGAAGAGCCCGGTGCAGAGCCGCCAAACAGGGGCTTTTCCAAAGGGGAGGCTAACAGCTGGAGTGAGTCCCATCAGGAGGGACTCCGAGTGGTTTTTTACATGCCTAGGTTTAAGTACAATGCTTGTTTGCTGCCCAAATTCCCTGCTTGTCCCAGACACGCTCTCTTCAACGATCACAGATTTGATAATGCCCCAACGTCTCGGCCACAACACACACACATCTCCTCGTGCCCTTGACCGGAGGCTTAGAAATGGATGGCCTGGCTATATGTGGCCATGGCCGCCTCCTTGAATGCCTCAGCAAGGGTTGGGTGAGCGTGGCATGTCCTCGCCACATCCTCACTGCTCGCGCCATATTCAAGCGCTAATGTGCCCTCCGCGATCATCTCCCCGGCGTTCGGCCCAATGATGTGGATGCCCAAGATCCTATCTGTTTCCGCGTCGCTGAGGAACTTCACAAACCCTTCGGTGTCCAGGTTGGTTTTGGCACGCGAGTTGGCGGTGAAGGGGAAAGTGCCCACTTTGTATTTGACACCCGCGGCTTTCAGCTCGCCTTCGTTCTGGCCGACCCACGCAACTTCAGGGTGCGTGTACATGACAGATGGGATGGCACCGTAGTTGACATGTCCATAGCCCTTGGTGATGTACTCGACGCAGGCAACCCCTTCTTCTTCGGCTTTGTGCGCGAGCATGGGTCCGAAGGTGACGTCGCCAATGCATCGGATGTGCGGAATCTTGGTTCGGTATTCTTGGTCGATGACTATCCGTTTGCGCTCATCCATTTCGATACCAATGTTTTCAATACCCAAGCCTTCGGTGTAAGGTCGACGCCCGATAGCCACGAGCACAACATCAGCATCTAGAGATTCGTTCTTGCCACCTTTTGCAGCTTCGACGGCAATTTTGACACCCTCGCCGCTGGCGTCGCCCTGAGTAACTTTTGTATTAACCTTGAATTTGATACCTTGCTTGCTAAGGATCTTTTGCGCTTGTTTGGCAACTTCCGCATCCATGCCGGGGCCGCCGATTTGGCCAAGGAATTCGACGACGGTGACTTCGGAGCCGAGGCGAGACCATACTGAGGCCTAGTAACGCATTAGAAAAGACATCGAAAATATGAGGGGGAGCTTGAAATACCATTTCCAAGCCAATAATACCACCGCCAATCACCACCATCTTCTTGGGCACTTCTTCCAGAGCAATAGCACCTGTGCTGGTGATGACTTTCTTTTCATCGATCGTCAGACCGGGAAATGGTGTTGATTCGCTACCGGTAGCAATAACGATATTCTTGCCCTTGACCTCGGTCTCACCGCCCTCGAGCAGGTTGACTTTGATCGTGTGTTCGTCCGCAAAGGATCCTGTGCCCTTGATGTAGTCGACGTTGTTCTTCTTGAAGAGGAATTCGACACCCTTTGTCAGACCAAGGACAGAATCATCCTTGGCCTTCATCATTTGGGTAAGGTTGAGCTGGACATCATTGACGTCAATCCCTCGCTTTTTGGTGTCGTGGAGTATTTGGTGGTATAGGTGTGAATTATTGAGGAGTGATTTTGAGGGAATGCAGCCGACGTTCAGACATGTGCCCCCAAGTCTCCCTCTCTTCTCGATACATGCTGTCTAGCAAGGGAGTCAGAATCTGGGTCCGAGTAGTCCGTTTTGCCCTGGAGCAGAATATGCGCACCTTCAGGCCTGACTGGCCAGCTTTTATTGCACCAACATAGCCCGCGACACCGCCACCGACGAACACAATGTCGTATTCTGACGACTCCGAAGCATATCCCCTCCTTCTTTGCTGGTTCTGGGAGACGATCTGGAAGCTGGGGGCGGTTCGGAGGTTTGCTGGCCCTAGATGCGGAGCTTTCGTTGAGAGGAGCGACCGGCCCGTCCTTGGTACCAATGTCTTGAGCATCTTGAAAACCAACCAAGTTGAGGGAGAAGGAGCTGAGAGGACAATGAAGGGAAGCGACCAAGAGTCGCAAAGGAAATCCAGTCACCAAATAGCTGGGGCAAGGCAAAGTGCTGAGAAATTGTAGCGAGCAGAACGCCGCTTGACGGGGAGACGCAGTGTTTCCCGGAGTTGGAGCTCCAGTCTGAGGATCCAATCGAGTTTAGTGCATTTGAGCGAATTTTGGGAAGGCTGGCCGATTCAGCCTCGTCCTGCATATTTGCTCGGTGAACCTTCCTCTTTCGATGGAAGCTAGACCACTAAAAGAATAGACTGTTTTAAGTCAACCGCAACTTGCCGACTCCAGCCGGTGCGGGTCACGACTGGGCCCGACGACTTCCCCTTTCATTTGCTCGGCCATCTTCACTCAGTCTCAACCTAGAGTGCATAACTCATTCAATGGGCTGTTGGAGCGCCCCATCTGGCGGGGAGACAAATCTCAAGAAAGAAAGGTCTTCTTGCTCACTAGCGGCCGGTCTTCGGAATGCTTCTCGAATTTCATTATGGCCTGTTTTCAGAGTATCTTGTTCCCTGATTGTCCCAGTTGATGCAAAAAGGATCCTCCGATCTTGACCGGTCTCTTTATCTCATTGCTGGCATCTTTCCTGAAGAATATGAGTGGTAAGACGTGATCAAGAGAGTCTGCCTGGCAGTCTCAGTAGCAACCCGGAATCCGTCTTTCGTATGCCTGTGGACAGTTTCATGTTTGTTTATTTACGGGTTCATTCTTCTTTGTTTATAGCGGCAGGTATGGCTCCTTTGTGATGATAGTAGCTCACAACCTCGCACTCTGTCTCCTGTCAGATTGGAACACGGAGGGCACAGAGCTGAAGACGGGCAATTTTGGCACCGACAAAGACAAGGCTGAAATCCCCCTGGACAGTGCAGTGAGCTTCCAAACCTAACAATCATAGGACAATGGCTTCCAAGAACTCCACTCCAACTCCATGGTCGCAGATACCTCTGATCTCGTTTGACCGCCACAGCACGTCTACCGGAACAAACATTGACAAAGGCCATGTTTCATGGCTGTCAATCAAGCAAATAAACAGATGCTTCAGAGAGGAGATATGGATCCCTTTCACCACCTCCAACAATCCTATCCCTGCATAACATTTCTCTACTCAAATAAACCGTCAGCCGCAGAGCAGAAGGCATAACTTTGGAAATTGTCAAAACTCCTCATCAACGCCGGAACCAAGACGCCTTCTTCAAAGTCCGTTGGAGTCAGGGTCCAAAGTCATGGCTTCTCAGGGATCAGAATCAATGTCGGTCTACTTTGTCGACAAGGTCTGCAACTTGCGGGTTCAACTTCCTATTACCAGGACAACGCCATGGAACCAGTTCATGACATGCCTATCAGACGTCTCAGCGCCCATCGCCACTCTAATCAAGAACAATCATTTCCACTCGACTGATCTGACTGTGACAAGCCAAGCAACAGGACGCTTCACCGTCGATGATGGCCCCTGGCTTTTCCGCACAACAACAGTAGCCATGAGAGGGAGTGAAGAATACATTCGGCACTCTCAGTGGCGGACCCTCACACGTAAAGCTTTTGTGCGGCTCCGGAGAGAGTCTACGGACGGTGGCACCAGCACTGAGATTCTACATACTCTGCAAAATGCTCGCGATGAGGAAGCCGCGCTGAGGTCAGCACAACAACCGGTCTGGGTGGGCACATTGAACACAACAGCCCGAGGGTTCTCTTCCACTCCAGCCTCAGGTCCGACTTCATTCCCAACCCCGTATCATGCACCAGAACCAAGAGTTCGATATCAGACATGGCAGGAATACCAGATTCCACCCTCAAATCCCATTTCCGTGCGCATTGCTGCTCTAGGACAGTACCAGGGAGCGCATGCATATCGTCCTCCGAGAAACCAGGTCGGTGGTCCGTCACCAGTCTGTGGTCTAGCCACCCTTCCACGTCACGCTTCATACGAATCCTACGGCTCTTCTGCATCAACGTACTATTCTCCAGCTCCAGGTTTCATGCAAGATCTCCGGCGACCTAATTATCCCATTCATGAACAAGTGCCGACTCCGAGGCTACAGCCCGTTCATTACCCAGCTACAGTTCCGGATCACTATCCACCATCATTTTCAGCTCCCTCTCAGCCCTCAATTCCTGCAGTAGCACCGTCTCGGATTCGCACGGCTATTGCACCAGCTCCCATCCCAGGTTCAGGTTCAGGTTTCGGTCAAGCTCCGGCGGCTGCTCCACCAAGAGCACCGACTCCGTCGCGAGCTCCAACACCAAACAACCTTTCCACTTGGACCAGCGACATGTATCCGCGAGTGGTGGTTGACAGCTCTGATATTCACTGGATATATCGAGAAGAGGCGCTGCGGGGAACAGTGAAGTTTGGGCGAGCACCGGTCGTGGAGGCAATGGACGTGTGGACGGAGAAGTCGAAACCACGGTACTGAAACCGGGACATGGTTCGTGAAAGGAGGCAGGAACACAACTGGAAAGAAAGGAGTCGGTAAACTTGTGGGAGGAGGTGTGATTGTGATTGTGCATTCACGAGAAACATGGTGATAAGGAAAGGAGATAGGAATAGCTCGTCTAAGGTAACTGATAGAATTTTCGTCTTATCTCGCAATACATCAGTGAACCGCACATTTCGATGTCAAATCTCATTCCCACGGGACGCTTCCCTGCCACAAAGTCGTCCCGCTCATCCCACCGTCCCAAAACACCAGACCTTCCAGCTCGCCTTTGCGTTTCCCGTTGCCGAACCTCTCCAACACCTCCCTCCTGAACTCCTCGCCGTCCCAACCTCTCTTGTCTCTCTTCTTGCTTAAGCCCTCGCCAGCGCCATACAGATCCTTCTCCCACGCGCCGTAGCCACGAAGTCGATCGCCCTCCTCGATCTCTGCGAGTTTGACCGGGGTGAAAGGCGGGTTGATACCGACGTATACAGTTGACTGGAGCGGGAAGCGGAGGGCGGGGAGGTGCAGGTTGAGGAAGCGGGCTCGTTTGAAGGCGTGGGAGATTATTGTGAGCTTGGTTGGGAAGGGTGTCCTGGTAGTTTCGCCCCCTTGCTTCTCGTCGTCGTCGTCATCGTCGACATTCTGGGTAGGGGTACGAGTCGGGGCACTCTGGGGAGTCGGCGGTGGTGGGATTGTGGCTTTTGTCAGATTCCGGGACTGCAGTTGTTGGACAAAGAGAGGGAACTGGACCAGCGAGCAGAGAATGTTTTGGTACGAGTCCGTGGCGTAGCGGTCGACGAAGCTGCGTTGTCTCAGCGTTGGGGGAGTAGTCTCCAAGCCGAAGAGATCGTGCTCAAGGGCGACGTTCTAGGGGTCTCGTTAGCATGGGATCAACTGATCGGTGTCATCACATCATTCTTCTTGTATGAAGCGTTGCTGTCACTCCCTTCCCTGAGCAAGCAACTCCTATCATCATACAGGGCAGTCCCCAGACTTGACTTACCAAATACCCTTCCGCCTCGGTGAGCGGCGTCTTGTCAGGCTTGGTGGCCGCACCGCTGAAGACCAGAATTGCGTGCTCCCTGTCTCTCGCCAACTCCTTGATGCCAGCCTCGACATGCTTTACGTACGTGTCCGTTTCACCCGCCTGAAAGGGCTCAATTAGCCAGTTGGACTCGTCCTCGCTCGCAGAGTGCGGCCCAGGGCCTAGGTAGATGGCATGGCAGCAGACGATGATCAGATGAGAAGGGACAAGCGACTGTAGAGGCATTGAGATGTGATAGAGTGCTGCAGAGCACGGTAAAAGAGGAGGGGAGGAAGAGGAGATCAGAGTCTTGTTGGGGAGGGGCTTATCGTTGGCGGTCAGAGTAAAGGGATATGCCACCAGCTGCTACACCATCGACATGTCTACAATAGCCCTTCCATAGACACGACATCCCTCCCATCTCTTACAAGACCAGGGTTTTTTCCACCTAAAGATGTACCCCAAACTCTGGACGTCTTGGACTCCGTTTGTGGCTTTACCAATAGGGTTTAGTGTCGAAAACTCACCTCGATGTCTATACCTCGCCGGAGACCGTGTGGATATATTGGGGAGACTCACATTTTCATACTCGACAGTTCAACACTTGCCTCAGAAGTCTTGGGCTCCTGGCTGATCTACTGTCGTTCTGTCCGCCCGACACAAAAGCCTTCTGATCCTCACCAAGTCCTTCTCAAAATTTCCAACAAGATGCGACTACGAGACGTCCAGCGTCTGGAATTGCCGCCCACGGCTGATATGCATGTGCATCTACGGCAAGACAAAGTAAAACTTACCACCGCCCGTGGGATCGGATCCAGACTGAAGTGGTTGTTCTTCCCTATAGGTCATGGAGTTAGTGGTGCCTCAGATCTTGAAAGGAGGAGTTGATACGGTGTTTGTGATGGTATGCAGAGCCTCACCACGTCTCACCCCTGCCACTAATCAAAGGACTCATCAGCCCAATCTACAACCGCCGATTACCAGTGTGGCCCAAGCCCTGGAATACCAGTCTGCTCTCAGGTCCATCGAGCCTCGAGTCCACTATCTCATGTCCCTCTACGTGCGTGATTTATGGCTATGTCCGCGCCTGGTCTAACTAACAACACCCCAGCTCCATCCCTCGATCACGCCCGAAGTGATCGCAGAGGCCGCAGCCGCAGGCATTGCTGGAGTCAAGATGTATCCCCAAGGTAAGACCTACTGCTTCCACGAAAGAGGCTCCCTCTCCTCGGCGTTGGGAGGGTATATATTGGTCTATTGACACGTGCCTTCAGGCGTGACCACGAACTCCGAGTCCGGGGTGCCGGCGGATTTTCTCAGTGCCTATTCTCCCGTCTTCGCCGCCATGGAGGAGCATGACCTCGTGCTCAATCTGCACGGCGAGTGGCCGGGGCCTCTACCAAGCGAGGACATTTCTCTCGAAGAGGCGTTCCTGCCGGAGCTGAAGAAGCTGCATGAGAAGTTTCCACGTCTCCGGTGTGTCCTCGAGGTGAGTAGATTCTCATCTATTCATTTTCTGATACCATATTTAACTCTCTTATAGCACTGCTCTACCGCCGCGGCGCTGGATGCTGTACGGGCTTGCGGTCCCTCAGTTGCAGGTTCGTCTCCCCCCCACCAAGGGCCGATACCCTCTATAGCAGGCTTTATACACCCAGGGTTTCCCAGCGTCTAGTTGTCCTTCTTACCACTCCTATTCTAAGCATCTGGACACTGCAGGAACGATCACGGCACACCACCTCTACCTGACCGGCGACGACAGCCACACCGACCCCCTGGCGTTCTGCAAACCCATCCCCAAAAAGGCCTCGGATCGAGACGCCCTGATCAAAGCGGCGTGCAGCGGCGACCCGAAATTCTTCTTGTAAGGTCCCCCCCCATTATCGTCGTCTTCACCAGCCATGAATGATCTCGCTCCGTATTCACTTTTCTAACCTTTCCTCCCCGGCTTTAGTGGCAGCGACAGCGCACCGCACCCGCTCGCGTCCAAGGTGGTCAACGGCACCACCAAAGCCGTGCCGGCGGGCGTCTTCACCCAGCCCTTCGCCACGCAGCTCGTGCTCCTCGCCTTCGAAGAGGCCATTGCGCGAGGCGTCCTGCGAGAAGACGAGGTCACGCAGGACCAGCTGGAGCGGTTCCTGAGCCGGTCGAGCCGGCGCTTCTACAAGCTGCCGGTGCCCGACTCTCCCACCGCTACCGCCACGGACGGGCAACGACGACTCAAGACCATCGTGCTCGAGAGAAAAGGCGAGACGATCCCACCGAGCATCAGGAGCGCGGATGGCGCAGTGGAGATTGGCGTGTCGAAAGCCGCGGCTCCGGTTTTCAGTTTGAGCTGGCTGGCGTAGGGAATATCTGCACTGGAGAAGGAGAGCACAGAATCAAGGGGAACAAATACCGTGAGAAAATCAGTCAGTCAGTCAGTCATCCCAATTTTATATACATTCACTCTCTATGAGGGTGCCTAGTGTTATCCAACGAACCATGCGTAAATACCGCATATGTACAAGCTTTTCTTCCTTCCCTCTATATCCTAGCGCGCAGTAACGGTCGTGGTTACGGTCTCCGTCACCGTAACCTGGCCCTGGGTCGGGTTAGGCGTGACTGGAATCACCGCCAATCCATCCGTCGCCGACGTCGTGGTTGCTTCAGCGGGTGATGACGAAGAGACGACCACCGATTCCGTGGTCGAGGTGGACGGCGTGGTTTGAGCAGCGGGCTCCGGGAACGACGAGGATGAAGGTAGCGTGGCTGCATCTGTCGCGGTCTCTGGTGTCGCGGTGCTCGCGGCATTGCCGTTCGCGTCCGGCGTCAGCGTCGTGTATCCAGCAATAGGCCCCGTGAAGGTCGGACTGGCCGTGACGAACACAATCGTCACTGCCCCGGCGGGCGGTTGGTCTCCTTGGTCTCCAGCGCTGGTACTCGATGCGGGAGACGCCTCTGCCGCGCTGTCTGACGAGGTGGTTGAAGCCGTCGCGGGCACAGCGCCAGAGTCAGTAGCGGAGGCGGTGACTTCAGCGGTCACAAACACGGTCTGGAAGACGGTCGTTTGGGCCTGCACCGTGACGGTCGAGGTCGATGGCTCCTGTGCTCCGGTCTGCGCGGCATTGGGCTGAATGGCTGTTCCGGAGCCCACGGCCTGTGAGGTGTTGCTTGTAGCTCCGTCAGAAGAAGCGGTCTGCTCGGCAGCAGTGCTCTCTGTGGTCGACGTTGTCGTCTCGCTGGGTGCCGCCGTCTGAGTGGCTACTTCAATTGTGGTCTGCGTCAACAGGCTGATCAGACTGGTGTTGTCTCCTCCCACGCCGACAGCAGGCACCGCTCCATTCTCCGTCCCACTCCCTGTCTGGGTCGCGAACGGATTGAGGCTCGAGGCGGTTTGTGTTGCGGCCTCTTTGTTCGCTGGGTCGGTGGGAGCTTGCCGCCTCTTCGGCAGTCCGTGAGTCACTGAGAGGAGGTTGTTCACCACATAGCGTTTTGGTGGCTGGTTCGAACGACGTATTACATTATCGGGCCTGCAATGAAATCAACATAGGCCGGGGGAAACGTCTGCGAGAACATACCTCCGAATTGGACCAGCCAGGATTGGTGTCAACAAGAAAAGGAGGGTAAGTATGGAGATGAAGGTAGGCATGACTGTCCAGCAGTATCTGAGGTTCAAGTAGTTGCCGTGGTATAAATTGTAGGTGATAGGAGGATGGTTGATTAAACTGTTAGAATGACGCCTGCGTGCTCAAGGAAAACAGTATATGTCAACAGAACTCCTCAGCTATGCAAACAAACTCAAATGTATGAGAGAAGATTCATCGGGTGCCCGACTTGTTGCTAGATACTTCGATGGACCTTTTGAAGTATCATGGCGTGGCGCGTATCAGGTTGGCGACGCCATGGAGGTTGCCCTTCTGGCAGTTCTAATCTGGTTCTATATCTGTTCATTGAAACATGTTTCTTCTATGCCGTGAAACAAACGCAGCGACCGCAAGTCGTCTATGCAGAAAGTGGTCTTTGTTTCCGCGACAGAGTAGAGATGGTAATGGTTGGTGTTCAGCTGGCCAAGACAAGATGCTGGCAGGGGCGGAGTTGTTGCCAAGACCAGGCCAAGACGAGCCATTGATTGGCTGGGAGTGACTCTGGAAAAGGGCGCCAGCCTTGCGGCCTCGCAGTCTCGCGCACAGCCGCCCGCTCCACCGTCGTGTTTCATCTGACTTCTGTCCCAGACTCTTGGTCTTCTTTCTGGAAAGAAAAGTCCTGGCTGGACCACGCAGGGGCGCTAATGCAAGGCTCGCTTCTCGCTGATTTCTTCAAACGACTGGATCTGATCGCCAACTTCGAATTCTTCCCAGTTCTCGAAGCCCATCCCGCATTCAGACCCCTTTCGCATCTCTGTAACATCCTTCTTGATGTTTTTGAAGGAGTTGAGCATGCCTAAACCTTCGTTAGTGGACATAACAGCCAATACCGCGGAACAAACTTACCGGTGTAAATCACCTCACCTCTCCTCAGCACTCGGATCTTTTCCGAACGGCGAATTGTGCCGTTGGTCACCCGACACCCAGCAATCTTCATCGACCCTTTCTTGACTTTGATGTCAAAGATATCGCCGACTTCGGCTTCTCCCAAGACGCGCTGAGTCACAATTGGAGGCAATTCTGCGCTCACCTTCTCCGTGACATCGTCTGTGACCTTGTAGATGATGTTGTGGTCAAGAATCTGGATCCGAGCCGCCGCCGCAAGTTGCCGTACGTCATTATCAATGGGTTGATTGAACGAGATTGCATAAGCGACCTCGCCTGTTGCAGCCAGCATTTTGATGTCTGACTCAGTCAAGCCGCCCGTCCCGCTGTGAATAATGTTTGCTCGAATCTCGTTGTTGCCAATTGCACTAACAGCAGCAACCAAGGCTTCCGTGCTGCCAGCCACATCGGCTTTGACGACGAAATGGACAAGTTGAGGTCCAGCAGACTCTTTCTCGATCCAGCCTTCATTGTCCTTGGGACGCCTTTTGTAGCCCATTGACAGATAACCTTGTTCTTTCTCCCACTCGAGGACTTTGGTTCGCGCTACCGCCTCCTCTGCACGTGTCGCGTTGATTGCTGTCATATTGTCCATCTCCCACGCCGCTTCCTCCCGTTCTTTTCGCACTGCCACCGCTTCCTTTGCTCGTTGCTCGGTTTCGGCCTGCAGCACCTCTAAGCCTGCCTCAGGATCATCTCCTCGCCAGCCATCAATCTGAACAGGGGTGCCTGGAGGTGCGGCATCGATCAATTCTCCCGAATCGTTTCGCAACGTTCGAATACGAGCCCAGGTGGTGCCAGCGACAATAAAGTCGCCGGGTCTTAAAGTTCCACGGCGCACAAGGATGGTTGCGACACGACCCGTAGCACCAACTTTGCTTTCGATTATCCAGCCTTCCGCTGGTCCGTCGGCTTCGGCGCGGAAGTCGGCGACATCAGCCAAGGTGAGAATGGCTTCTTCCAAGTCTCCCATACCTTTGCCAGTCTTTCCGCTCACTGGGATGGCTTGGTACTCTCCACCAAAGTCTTCCACGACGATGTCGTGTTGCATTAGATCTCGCTTGACCTGTTCAATGTCGGCTTCAGGTTTGTCAACCTTATTGATTGCCACAATAATTTGCACTCCGGCCTCTCGGGCGTGTTTGATGGCTTCGATGGTTTGAGCTTTGACACTGTCGTCTGCAGCGACAACTAAGACAACGATGTCGGTCACCACAGCACCTCTTCGGCGCATCTCTAAAAATGCAGCATGCCCAGGAGTGTCCAGAAAGGTGATGTTACGTTCTGATCCAGGCATCGTAACGGAGAACGCCCCAATGTGCTGAGTGATGCCCCCATGCTCTGTTGCCACAACGTTCGCCTTCCTGAAGTAATCAAGGATAGTAGTTTTCCCGTGATCGACATGGCCCATTATCGTCACAATTGGGGGTCGAGGTGGTAACACCGAGGGATCTTCTGCTGCAGGGCGCGGGAAGATATCGCCAGTCTCATCAATGGTTTTGACGATAGCTTCAAAGCCATAAATTTCCGCAAACATGGCGGATGTGCTCGAGTCTAGGACGTGGTCGTACCTCGCACCCTCAAATCCCTCCTCTTCAAGCTTGTCAATGAAGTCTGGTAGTCTGACCTTGAGTCCTTGTGCGAGCTTCTCCACACTGATGAACTCCGGTAGAATTATCTCTGGCCTTGCTGGCGTCTGCTGTCTTGGGTTCGCTTGCTTTCCCTTCTTTTTCCGCCTCGATTTGGCTTCATCGGGAAATTCCTCGGCAAGGTCGGGGTCAAAATGAAAGTCCAATGATCCTGCCCTGGAAACACCGCTTCTCCTTGCAGTTGGAAGCTTAGCCCTTCGGGACACCTGAATAGGCTCGTCATCCTCGATTTCATAGAGTCGAGCTCTCCTGTCACGATCTTTGCCACCCACCAGCTTTCGCTTGCGTCTGTCGTCTTCAGCATTCTCTGCAAGCTCAGTCTCCACCAGAGCAGCGGATTCTTCTCCGGGAGTGGCTGGCTCTTCCGACCCTTCGGAGACTCTTTTTACACGTCTGTCCCGGCTTGTTCTTGTGTCGAACGCTCGTTGCGGAGTACCCGCCGATTCGGGTCGCCAAGCTGAGGAGTTGTCTCGAGCAACCCCGTTGCCTGGTTCTCTGCCTGCTTCAGATACTTGCGGGGCTCGCCTTGGAAAATCTCGTCCTGTGACTTTCGGTGTGTGAGTCTCTCTATTGCTTCCTTTCGACCCAAACCCACCCCTCGGTGAAGACTGGGAAGGGGAACCGAATCTCTCTGCAGATGATCCACTTCTTGGCCCAGAAGCTCCCGGCCGACGTAATTCTCCAGCCGTCGGATTCTCGGTCCCTCGATATTTTAGAGCATTACCTACTCTTGAAGGTCCTGGAGAATCTCCAGGCTCTCTCCTAACCCCGTTTGCAGGATTGATACTCCCCATTCCTGATTCCGCAGGTGGTTTCCGCATATGCGAGTATCTGAAAAGTGGTCGCTGGGATTCCGAAGAGGCTTCGCGCGGGGATGCGTTATTTCTGCCATTTCTTCCACCAGCACCGCTATCATTATAATCTCTCCGAGCTCTACTCATTGGGGACCACTGCTCCTGGCGTTGGGGTTGTCCAGGGCGCGATCTCGAGGTTGACGAAGGTTCATTCCGCGATCTTTCTTGGAACTCCGACTGCGTGCGGGACAGAATCTCCGATATCGAGCCTTCACCAGTAGAGCTGTAGCCGGTTCGGGGACGACCGTTCGACGGGGGGGAGGGTTGGGGAGGCGAAGGTGGAAAAAGGGACGGTGCGTGGTCCGTGTAGACCATTTCGGGCCTCTGTGGACGGGAACTCAAGCATATCGTACACTCAGATCTTGCAGGCTTGTTGATGTGATTGCAACGACATTTCCAGCCGAGAAGCTCTCTTGCTGGCGCCGCGGGCGCGGCGAAATCATCGTCCTCCTCTTCTATACGCGCAACTGCTGCTCCAGCGGGACGTTTTGATGAGTTAGCAGCCCTATAGAGCCGACGCTGAGGCTGGAGCGCGCTGACATGGCGAGACTCGGCGGCGTATCGGAAGGCGCAGAAAAAGCAGATGTCTTGACCTTGTAGGAGCTGGCGCAGACTGGTCAATATCTCGCAAAACATGAAATGGAGCAGAGTTGTTTAGACATACCTTCCGCGTCACTGCCCGGCGCATGCTGATCCAACGTAGCCTCACTCCAGTCGATAATTTCGTCTCAGTACTGATTTCAATAGGAGACACGCCGCATCGACTGCCCTACCTATAACTTTTTTTGGCGAAAGACCCCGTTCGGGTGAACCACAGGGGTGTAAGCGCAGATACTTACCGCGGAGTATACAGACCACCAAGTGCAGCTCTCTTCGACAATTTTGGGTGCCGCACCTCAATTCCAAAATTTAGATTCCGTTCGAAAGCCCTAGTCTGCTATGCAGAATCGACGCGAATGTCCCCAGTGTCGCACTGACTTGCAAATACCTTGTCGGACACTACTGCGAACGTTGACCCTCTACAAGCACACCTGAGGCAGTGGATAGAGCCAATCACCAGCCAGCGGCCAAACCCGCGACAGCGACGGATTACCGCCCGAGGGAGGCTAGCGAATGACGTGCCCTAGAAGGAAAAAGAATCTAAGACTGAAATAGTCTGCTTCTGAAAACACAGTTCCCGTCTGGTCGAGAATGAGGTGAGCCCTCGCTGGGGAGATCGACTGAGCAGAAGAATCAGAAGATGGCAGATGGTGCTGAAGCAATTGAAGCCCACGAGGTTGGAAATACTAGTTGGGTGAGAACCGCCAAAGACCTGTTTGCTGGCGCTGCTGGGGGTGTCGCCCAGGTTCTGCTAGGTGAGTTACGATATGATGACTTTACAGTGATTCTTGTAACAACGCTTTCTATGTTCGGTCTTCTGGAACGTCTGTCTTTGAAGGGGTCACTCTGTTTATCGATATTACGCAGCTTTGTTTTTGACTGTTTTTGGCTCGATCATACACTAACAGTCTCTCCCAGGTCAACCATTTGGTAAGCCCAGAACGACTACAGCCTATCGCGCTCTGTTCAGCAATTTCTCACAAAAAATCTCCTAGATATCGTCAAGGTCCGCCTTCAGACGACTACCACCTACCCCAGCGCCTTATCATGTGCATCATCAATCCTCCAAAATGAAGGACCACTGGCCTTCTATAAAGGCACACTCACCCCGTTGATTGGCATAGGGGCGTGCGTCTCGGTCCAATTCGGCGCCTTCCACTATGCCAGACGAGCGTTCGAGGAACAAAACCTCAGCGCCAACCATCCAGCAGGTCTGTCTTACGGTCAATACTATGTAGCAGGGGCTTTCGCCGGGTTAACGAACTCTGTTCTTTCTGGCCCCATCGAGCATGTTCGTATCCGTCTACAGACTCAACCACATGGCGCTGCTCGTCTTTACAACGGTCCCCTTGATTGTATCAAAAAGCTCTCGGCGCACGAAGGCGTCCTACGGGGTCTCTACCGCGGCCAAGCGGTCACGCTCTACCGTGAAGCACAAGCCTATGGTGTCTGGTTCCTCACCTTTGAATACTTGATGGCTCTGGAACAAAAACGCAACAACGTGCGCCGCGAAGCTATCTCTTCACCGAAGGTAGCCTTCTACGGAGGGCTTGCGGGCGAAGCGCTCTGGATCGCAAGTTACCCGTTTGACGTGATCAAGAGCAAGATGCAGAGCGACGGGTTTGGGAAGGAACAGCGGTATAAGACCATGAGGGATTGCTTTGCGCAAACGTGGAAGATTGACGGGATGAGGGGATTTTGGAAGGGCATTGGGCCGACATTGGTGAGGGCGATGCCTGTCAGTGCGGGTACCTTTGCTGTGTAAGTTCCTCCTTTGTTTTCTCGAAGCATTTATTGTCGCTAACGTAAGTGTCCAGAGTCGAGTTGACAATGCGCGCCTTGGGATGATGGCTACGATGGAGTCTTGCACTATGGAGGACGAGAAAAAGGAAGACATGCTTCTGAGCTAGTGTAGAGTTGGTCAAACTTAGCCAAATTTACATAGTGAAGCACCAGCGCCTGGAAAATAGCCACTGTTAGATAAATGCAATTGATGGTGATTTTTGCTGCAAGGTCACTCTCTGCTTCATGCTGATTCGCAGCTTATGTACAATTTGATAACGAGCGCATACGACAGCCTTTCCGGGACCATTTTTATCTGTAAGGAGCGTCCGCTCTTGCCACAGCCGCCAACTCGGGTTCCCATTTATCTCCGTTGGCCAGCAACTTCTCCTTGTTGTACAAGAGCTCTTCTCGGTACTCTGTTGCATACTCGGCATTGGGAGTCTCCACGATAGCATCAACAGGGCAGCTCTCCTGGCAAAGCCCACAGTAGATGCACTTCGTCATATCAATATCATAACGGGTAGTCCTCCTCGAGCCATCTTCTCTTTCTTCAGCTTCAATTGTGATCGCTAGGGCGGGGCAGATGGCTTCGCAGAGCTTGCAGGCGATACATCTCTCTTCGCCAGAGGGGTAGCGCCTCAATGCGTGCTCGCCTCGGAATCGTGGTGAAATGGGCCCTTTTTCGAACGGGTAGTAGATTGTGTAGCTGTAGCCATGATATGAGCACAACATCCATAAGGTATTTTAACTTCCAAGAATTGATTGATTGGACATACGGCGGTCTGAAGAACTGTTCCAACACCACATACATCCCCCTCAGCATCTCAGTGAGGAGAAAGTAATTGCTAGCTTTATCCATCACCCCCTCGCCCTCATCGAATCTTTTGGGTCGTGGCAGTCGGTAGCCCTGCGGCGGAGGGCCGGAAGGTAAGGCATTTCTGGGACTTGAAGAGTGAAACTGAGCTGTGGTGGTGGCACGAAGGAAAGGTGATCGCTCTGCTTGTCGTAGGATGACCGACGCAGCTGACAGTGGCCTCGCGACGAGCCGCGATGCTGGACGAAGTGACGACGCCATCGTCCGTACAAGTTGCAGACTGGGAATTGACGATGCGTGGCGAGCGCAAGAGAGGAGGCGTGGTACAGGATGTAATTGAGAGGAGAAGTCATTGATGCTGTAATAGGATTGATTGCGATGTGATTGGCTGGCTCCACGTGACCCGAACAAGCTCTTCCCTTTCCGAAGCTCGCTGCAATTGTCTGCATCTCCATCCAGAAATTCAATCATTACCTACTACCAGCGAGCCCTTCTTCCCGCCTCCTCAGCATTTGCACTCTTCTTTACCTCTATCCATCCACTCCAGTTCACGGTCAAGATGATTCGGGCAGGCGCCGCAAGAGCGCTGTATGCAGCCACAAGGACCCAGGTCCCCCGACAATTACCTGCTTTCCGATCTCGAATCTCTACCTCCCTGCTACAATCATCACGAGTCACTCCCTCTTTTGTTGTTCCAAGCATACGATACTACTCAGCGCCCGCCGGCCTGTCGAAAGAGGAGGTGCAAGGGAGAATAATGGATCTTTTGAAGAACTTTGACAAAGTGCGCACCCGTTTCTCGTGATGGTCGTGCAGTTGCTAACCTCCTGCAGGTCACAGATGCATCAAAGGTAGCTTGCTCTTGCGATGTGACTTTGAAGTCCTACTGACGGGTGACGTTAGATCAGCGGCACGGCACACTTTCAGAATGATCTTGGATTGGACAGCTTGGATACCGTCGAGGTCGTGATGGCCATTGAAGAAGAGTTCAGCATTGAGATCCCGGACAAGGAGGCTGACGCCATTCACAGCGGTATGTAATGTCGACTATCTCTCCCTAGGATGCTTGCTGATGGTCATCAAGTCGACCAAGCAGTCACTTACATTTGCGCCCAACCTGACGCACACTGATGCGTGTTTGCCGGGCGCTGGGGGTTGTTGGTTGTAGACGCGGTTCAAGAATCACAAAAATATCAAAGCACTGTACATTTTCCAGTGGTGAGGAAATGGATTGCCCTTGTACTATCATCACACAAGACTAGATCTACCGGATCTCCACGATGGTCTCTGAACAAAACCACCCATTTCTATCTTCTTTTGGTCTATATTTACGTCTAGCCTGTGAAGACCGGTGGTTGCTGGTCAGACAACTCCAGACTGCCTCAGCTCAGCGACCTCAGCGGAGTCATAGCCGAGCTCCCCCAGAACCTGGTCGGTATGCTCACCCAACAATGGTGGCTTTAGCCTCACATTCATCTGTGCTCCCTCAAACTTCACGGCAGGTCCAATCAGCCTGAGCATACCATCTCTTGCTGCTTCAAAGTCCTCCACGTCGACCACCATATTCCGGGCTTTCCCTTGAGGATGCTCCAACGCCTCGACCACGTCGTTGATCGCACCATATGGCAATCCACTGCCTTCAAATGCAGTCATCCACTCGTCTTTCGTCTTCTCCCGAAATTTCTCCTGCAAAATCCGATTAATCTCTTCCCTGTGCTCGACGCGCCCATCATTCGTACTGAATCTCTGGTCCTCACCTAACCCAGCGATTCCCATACGTCCGCAGAACCCTTTCCACTGTCTATTATTGTTCGCCGCCACGTACATCATCTTCTTGTCTTTCGTCTCGAACCCTCCATACGGTACCAAGCTAGGGTGTTCTAAACCTAGTCTCTTTCCTCTTCTCCTTCCTTCGGCACCTTTATCAACGTCCAGGTTCAGACTCGCCAGCCCCACATTGATGAGCAGGCTCAGACTGCTCTCAAATAGACTTCCTTGAATCAAGCACCCTTTCCCCGTCCTGTCCCTCTGGTGCAACGCCGCAAGGATTGCGCCATGCGTGTACAAGCCCGCTGCGAATCTCTGTTAGCTCATATCCAGTAGTAACGGAGATTGACAAATAGGTTTTCGGAGAATGGGAGCAGTTGGCGAGAAAGGGGTCATACTGCACAAGTCGGCCATGGCAACACCAGGTTTCGATGGAGGTCCGCTCGCTTCACCCGTGATATGCAACAACCCGGCCTCGGCCAAGGCAATAGCATCATACCCAGCTCGTTGCGCACTGGGCCCTGATGGCCCATACCCACTGACGGCGGCGTAGATCAATTTCTCCCCGGCGCCGCCCATGGCGCTTTTCAAGTCGTCGTACCCCAAGCCCATACCCTCCATTTTGCCGGGTAAGAAGTTGTGCACCACGACGTCGACGCCGCCCTCCCACTCTCTCGCGAGCCTGGTCACGATCTCGCGGCCTCTGTCGTCCTTGAAGTTGACGGTCACGGACTTCTTGTTGCGGTTCACGGCCGCAAAGTACAGACTCATCAACCGGTACTGGTCTTTCCACTTCTGCGACTCGTTGTGCGTGCGCCACTGACGCGTCTCGTCGCCGACCCCGGGCTGCTCGACCTTGAGGACGGAGGCGCCGTAGTCGGCCAGGATTTGCGTGCAGAACGGCCCGGCAAGGACCCGGCTCAGGTCGAGGATCTTGAGACCTTCCAAGGGGAGACGGTTCGGCTGTGTGCTGGGAGTAGACAGTGATCTCCGCATGGGTACCCATGGCGTTGCGGAATTTTTTGTCAGATTCCCAGAATGGAGCTTCGACAGGGCGTACCGTCTGAGCAGACGGGTTGGTCGTGTCATTGTGGGCGAAACATCGAATCCCACGGTGAACAACCTTCGAATCTTCCTCTTCGCGTCCCCCCTTCTCAGAAGAGTCTGTGTGAAAGTTTCAGGTGGACAAATGGACTCGGTGACAGCCCTCCCCCCAACTTCGGCTTGTACTTTCCTCAGCAACCCTACCGTTTGTGCGCGCGCTTACCTTCGAGCGCAAATGTGGTACATTTGGGTGGACCGCATAACTGGGGCGGCTTGGGGTAAAGCCACATAGCTACGGACCGAGGCTGACGAGGCTGCGTGCGGGGAGAACACAGCAAGCAAGTACCTAGGCCAACTAATAATATCCAAACTTAACAGCTCCCGAATAAGATTGAAAACTCTCTCTTGGTGTTCAAGAGCTGGCAATAGGTAACCCTTGGATAGTCGATACGCACCAGCTGAAACTTCGAACCCGGTTTGGCGACGATACGGTCTGAGGAAGTGGCTTTTCCTACGTATGCTTTCCTCACGTTGGAGGTCGCTTCTCATCCGTTTAAAAACTGTTGACAAGACGTCAATACGGAGCGAGAACTGTGACATTTCTGGATAGAGAGGCTGGGGGCATTCATCACATGTTAGGGCGGATCGAACCACAAATATGGCTTCCAAAAAGGCGGTAACGAATCTGCTCCACGGGATCGGAAGAAGGACGAGAGCAACACCGATACCAAACACATACTGCTCTCATGCACCACGTATATCGTCTTCGACATTCTCTACAACCCGTGTGGCTGCCGCTCGCGGTACAGAGTACCTCCAACTCCACGATCCGGATCTCACAGAATCTCAGCGGACGGTGCGTGAAGCCATAAGCAAAGTGTGCGCGAAATTCGGGGACGAATACTGGCTCGCTGCGGACCGTGAGCACCGCTTCCCCACCGAGTTCCAGCAGGCGGTGGCCAAGGACGGGTGGCTGGGCATCTGCATGCCCGCGGAGTACGGCGGAAGCGACCTGGGCATCGCAGAAGCCGCTATCATGGTCCAGACGATCGCGGAGTCGGGCGCGGCGTACGCGGGCGCGAGTGCCGTGCACATGAACATCTTTGGGCTGGAGCCGGTGCGGAAGTTTGGCACGGAAGAGCAGAAGAAGAGGATGTTGGTGCCGTTGATTGAAGGGAGAGAGAGGGCGTGTTTCGGCGTCACGGAACCAAATACGGGGCTGGACACCTTGAGGTTGCAGTCGAGAGCTGTCCGGGACGGTGACTTCTACCGGCTGAGCGGGCAGAAGATATGGATTTCCACCGCCCAGGTGGCCGAGAAGATCCTCATCCTCGTACGGACGACACCGCTGGAGGAGGTTAAGAAGCCAAGTCAGGGCTTAAGCTTGTTCTACACAGACCTTGACCGGGAACAGGTCGAGGTGCAGGAGATCCCCAAAATGGGCAGGGCTGCGGTGGATTCCAACAGTCTCTTTTTCGATGGGTGGAAGGTGCCAAAGGCGGATTTGATTGGGGAGGAGGGTAACGGGTTCAAGATGATCATGCATGGCATGAATGCCGAGAGGATCTTGATTGCAGCAGAGGCACTGGGGACAGGGTTTGCCGCGCTGAGGAGAGCGGCCTTGTATGCTGGGGAGCGGATAGTGTTTGGCCGGGCGATTGGGCAGAACCAGGCCATCCAACACCCCCTGGCAGAGAGCTGGATGGAGCTCGAAGCTGCCCGACTCATGATCTACCAGGCCGCACGGATGTACGACGCTGGGTACGAGACAGGAGAATACGCAAACGCGGCCAAATACTTGGCTGCTGAGGCGGCCTTCCGGGCCTGCGAGAGGGCCGTCATGACGCATGGTGGAATGGGGTATGCAAAGGAGTATCATGTTGAGAGGTATCTGAGGGAGATTATGATCCCCAGGCTCGCACCTGTCAGTCGCGAGATGATCAAGAACTACGTCGGAGAAAGGGTGCTTGGACTGCCCAAGTCATACTGAGGTTAGGGACAAAAGGTTAGAAGAAGTTTAGGCCATGCATTCGGATAGACTGGGGAGGTGCATATCAACAATTGGAGCATCACTGCCTGCCATCAGAATGTTCATGACACTAGGTAGATGTCAGGTCAAACGAATGCAAGAGGTAGTGACGGTCGTGACGATATCGAGAAAGGTTATAGGGAGATCAGGCAGACTCGCACAACGGACCAAATGGAGACGATGGTCGACACCTTGCGGGAGGGAGGCTTCCACTATCCTGACGTATAGCGGGCCGTGAGTCGCGCGGAGATGGGCCAATGGGTATGCTTGTAGACTAATGGCGCGTCCTCCGAACTGTGCCTCTTGCTGATTGTCATCGCTTCGGAGACGAGAGCTGCGGGCAGCTGGGCAGGACGAGTTGATTTGATGCCGCGAAGTTGGCAAGTGGCGAATCGGAGACTTTCTGGCGCTGCACAGCCTTGCGCCTGCGCCTCACTGCGCCACAGCCAATCATCATCCATCTCCAGCTGCCCAAATCCGCCTCGCCTCTTCGAGCATCCGCCATGATATGCCCATCGCTTCCATCATCTCGTGCGGATTCAGAAACCTTCTAGAACATCCGTGTGGATGGCTCGCATGCTCCTCTCATACGTCGATAGGCAAGAGTGCCAGGCCGACGTGTATTCTGAGTGGCTGGTAGACCTGGGGATGCACGCCTCCTTGAACACGTATTGGCGCTACGTAGATCATTTCTTGTCGATCAAGGCATCAAGGTAAGAGAAAGCTATATAAGCAACTACTCCTTCATTTCCTTCACTACATTGCTCCATCCGATACATCTCATCACCCAAACATCAGACGAACAGTCACCACATCAGACACCAGACCTATTTTCCAGTCTTCATCACACTCTATCAACAACCATGTCAGGCCCTTACGATCAACATCTTGCCTTCTCTCAACATTACGACCACAACAATCAATACTACAGCCAGAACTCTTACCCCAGCGAGGGCTTCTCTGGGTCATATCAACCCCAAGCATACCACAACCCTCAGAATTACTATCCCGACACACGTGGCTCCTCCTATCCCGACAACAGCCACCAGCAGGGCGGCGCCAACACCACTTACTACAACGACAGCACCAATCCGCAAGGTCCCGAGGCAGATCGCGGACTGCTCGGTGCAGCTGCTGGCGGCGCCGCTGGTGCCTTTGGCGGTCACAAGGCCGGCCACGGGGTGTTGGGTGCTCTAGGTGGAGCCATTCTCGGTTCCCTGACTGAAGACTACGCAAAGAAGCACAAGAAGCACGGCAACAAGCCGGGCAAACACAACAAACCCAGTCACGGCTATCGCGACAGTGGCAGCTACGCGAGCAACAACAGTCAAAACTTTGCCTCGGGTGGCCTTGGGTCGGTGGCAAGCAGCTTTTTCAACAGGAAGTAGGATGGGGATTGATATGGGCTTTCGAATGATGTGACGGGCTTGTTTTGCATGAGTGGGCGTTGGGTCTGGAACGTTTGGGGATATCAACAACCGTGGTTAGGATAGCATCTGTGGGCGCCTGGACTTTGAACTTTGATATTGGTTAGGTGTTTTCAGGCACTCTGTTGATACCCGACTACTTATGCAGAAACTGACATGTGGCTTCTTGCACCATGTCGCCTTGAGATCCAAGGTCTTCCAAATTCAAATAACCATGTCAATTGTGATGCTTGTTCTAGCTGTCTGCGTTCTTAATCTGGAAGCTCCACCGTTTCCTTTTCTTGCCTCCCCACCCCGTAAAAGCTTCCTTGATGCAGAATTTATCCCAAATGATAGGATTGTCAAGTTTGCAGGGTCCTGCAGGCCAGCAAGCGTGGAAAAACCCAGCAGCAGACGCACCCATTCGCACATCCCCGGACGTGTAAATCCAAGCCTCTTCATTGGCTCGCGCTCCCGCTCTTTGCGCCGTTTATCAGCGGGCCAACCGGGCCCAGGACGATGCACGCCGACGAGTTCGAACATTAGGCGGCTTTCTTTTCCAGGTTGACGGAAAAGGATTAGCGGGGCTCCGAGCAAGCGAAGAGGAGGTGGGCAGCGGTCGAGCCTTGGGAGCGAAAGAGCATTCCTCCACTACATCATTGAGGGACGATCCTGCCATGCGGACTCTCCAACCAAAGGACCTTCAGGCCGCGTCTCAGGCGAGAAGCGCTGCTGAAGCTGCCGCCGCCGCCGAGGAAGCCACTCCACCCACCACCACCGCGACCATCACCGCCAACAAGGCCAGGAAGAATGTCAGCCGAGCTTGTGACCAGTGCCGAAAGAGGAGAAGAAAGGTAAGCCTGGTGGCCGCCGCAGCTGGAGCTGTAAGGCGTGGGAGGGAACGAGGTCCCCAGCTGAAGGGTAAAACTGTTTTTTTCTAGTGTAACGCACTCCAGCCTTGCGCGCCTTGCCGCCAGATGGGTCGCAAATGCACTTACGACACGGACTCGACGTTTGGCGACCTGAGACGGAACCGCAACACGGTCGAACACTTCGAGAAGCTACGACAACAGCAGGCCGTCCTGGACCGGCTCGTGGACTTGATCCGGAACTCGGACGCTGACGAGGCCATCCGGGCGGTGAGAGAGGGCGCCACCTTCCAAGAGATTGCCAACGTCCTTTTGGGGATCCCGTCAGGAGCTCCTTCGTCCCAGGCCGCGGGGATTTCGTCGAGCGACGTCTCCACGGAGGACTCGTCCAGCCAAACGACGTCAGACAAGTCCGACAGCCCTGGATCAGATCCGTCAAGGTCCACCGGGTCCCTGAAAGGCTCCGGCAAGGCTGCAGAGAATGCTGTCGGCGCCTGGCGAGATATGCCCGGACAAAGCACACAAGACTCGGCGCCCGAACGGAGCGAGAGGACCATGGATCCTGCTGTTGACCGCCCATCAGGTATCCCGCAGGGCCAGCACACGTCCGGGGACCGAGTTTGGACTGGATTGGCGAAACGTCTGACCGCCGGGGATCTGAGCAAGATCAACATGCCGATCTTTAGTTGCGATCCATATCACATCGAGCCGGAGGACATGTTGTCGAAGACAATCCTGAGTTTCCGCGACGGGGCCCGGAAAGCATTGCAGGGAAATGCGAACGTCCAGGATCTCATCGGGTCGAAAAGGCCCGACCTGGAGCTGTTCCTGCGGCCGCGACGGGAGGGAGATCCCCATACTGCCTGGACCTGGGCCTGCGAGCTGGCCAAAGCGTATCCTTTGCCGTGGACGGTGCAGTTGACCGGCGTGTTTGTTGCGGGGATCCAAATGCGGGTGTGTTTTGAGTTTTCCCTCTGCAGAATCGCTCTTGAGTGCTTAGTGAAGCCCAGTACTTCATTCATCCGTGCAAGGAAACGTATGACGACTTGCCTGTTATGCTAAGACCCACGAAGCAGCAATACGCTGAACCTCACGCTGCCGGGGCGGACATTTGTGCCATGTGAGTATCTGTCTCGGCGCACCAGTGGGTAGGGTTAACTCGACGGCATAGACCTCCGCTCAAGCAATATCTTCTTTCGCATTGGGACTCGTACGCATCGCTCCTAGAAGCCGGCCAGTACCACAACTGGCCATACAGTAACGAAGCGTGTCTGGGGTGGGATCGCACGAGAAACAAGGTCACTCTTTCGATGGCGTTTCTCGAACATATCTCGAACCCCAAGAACCACACTGTCGGCCGCAGGATTCTGGAACTCGTGCCAGAAGCGGCGGCGTACGTGGAACAAGGAGAGGGCTCTACAAGCCGTGACGGTGCACGATAAATGCAGTGGCCCATCTGACCTGAAAGGGTGAGGATGTTTCAGGGGCGTGTCCACTGACTCCAGCTCACTCTATATAGAGATGTGGGCGTGGGGTGAAAAAGCAGTGTCACTCCAGAGGGGGGAACCTCGACTTAATTAGCTGTCAAAAAGCGCTGATTTAGGGGGGAATTGGGGTATCGGGTCCCAGGGGAATCCACTTTCGCCCGGGCTTCCTCTGCCGCCGGCCTTCACCTCTTTCGAAGGCCCATCGATGGGCGGAGAAGGGAAGAGGGTGGGGTCACAGGCCTGCATTTATTTGCACCTACGGGGCAACTACAAGTAAGTGTTGTCCTGGTCGGGGAAATAGGAGAGAGGTGTGAGAGTTGGGTTCCAGAAGGATCCATGGGGTAAAACGGAAGGTTTATTGTCCTCGAGATCGGAATTAGTATGAGATCTGCCAATCCCATATGCGTCTTGGTCCGCTATTTGTCCTTGTATCCCGGTGGTACGGGCCGTGTGATTGGCCGGGAGGGCGAGGGGGAGATATAATTCCACGCTTGGCGGCCGGAGCGCAGACCCACTAATAATAGTTAAGCAGCTCCGAGCACCTCTATTACCCCGAGAACGAAAATCCTCGATGCTATATGTACGGTTTGGTCCTAGAGCCATGGCCACAGTGATAGCAGATGCAAAGCCCAGAGTTCTTACGTACCTCATCACCAACTTCACCAGCTGAAGAGTTGGTATCGGCATCATTGTGCTCAACGGCTTCAACGGACCATACGAAATCCTCCAGGTTGCCCTCAACGACTTACCTCGCCTCACCATCGGCAACACACCCAATCTTGCAGATACCAGAACCACATCACAGTTATTGTATCTCATGTGTATGCTTGAAGAGCATCGTACCAACGACGTAGCCTAAACACCACCTTTTCTGGCTTCATCGGCAAGCTCTGCGCTGACGGCTAGCCGCTTCTTCAGCAACATCTGAGCATGAACCAAATGTTCTTCTATCGGCGAAAAGATCTTCTCGACATCCCTAGGATCCTTCGGTGGCTGCTCTTTGTTCTCCCCCATCGCACCGAGCTTGGATGACCTCAGCAGCAGCTCTTTCTTTATTGCCGCTACTTCTTGGAGCTCCTGCTCTACCGCCATGACCGCCTGCTCGCGATTACGCATCTCTTGGTCTTTTTCTCCCTCCTCTGCAGCTCTCTTCAAAGCCTGCACCGAGGTGTCCAAGTGCTCTTCTCTTCTGCGTATCTCCTTGACATTCTTCAACAGCTCCTTTGCCTCGGCCAACACCTCATCCACCTTCTCAGCGTAGTCCGCAGCCGCAACCTTGTGTTCCTCAATAACCCCGTGTACTTCTAGGAACTTTTCATCTATATCTGTCAACTGCTCCTCTGGGAAAATAGGAATAGGGCTGCCCCAGACAGCCTTTGCAGCATGCCAAACTTTTCGATGAAGAGTTTGGCATCGAGACCACTGGAGTTCTCCAAAGCTCCCGGTGACATTCACGCTACCGAGAAACTTCGCTACATACTCTTCGCAGAAGCGCTCGAGATCGGCAGGGCCGGCTTTGGTGAAAAAGAATTCCACCAAATATGTCTGGTTGATGCACGACTCCAAGTCTGTTGCCAAAGACAACGTTCTTCTCTCAAGGTCCCATTCAATTACTCCCAAGAGTTCCACTCCGTCGTCAGAAGATTGCCTATACGAGGCAAGACATCAACACCTAACCTTAGTGCAAAGAAATACTTCATGACTGGAAAGCTAATCTTACCGAAATAAACAAAAAGGATCTGTTTTCTTGGCCACAAGTTCTTGTAAGCATGTCCGTATACCTTGAGTCGGACATATTTCCTTGAAAGGACGTTTCTACAGCGGGTATTAGCAATGGCAACCCGGGATTCAAGATGTGCGACTCATGGGCGCTGTTACAGTCTTCCACTGATAGTCCTTAACGACTCCGGCAAAGCTTTGGAGTGCTGAAGCAGCACCCTCTGAACGGCATTTCACCCGTCGAGTCTTATTCCTTGCCCAATCATCCGATGACTCCCTTTTATGAACGCCTGGCAGACTTGAATCGATCAAGACACCGGTCTTTTTGCAAACTGCGACACGGTGCTCGTCAATGTCGAAGAAGCGAAAATCGTACACGCCCTCATGCATTTCGTTGAGGGCATTGACCACTTGGCACGCAAAGTTAGTACATCGACCAGGTTGAGACGCCAGCTCTTTGAGCTCCTGAGCATCGTCATCTGTGATGGGAGCTTTGTGTTGCTGTAGGAGTTCGGGCTTTTCCACGTATTGTTCATAGGTAATCTCGGCCTTCCTTAAAAGGTAATCGAGCATGTGGAAAGTCGTAAACGGCATTGCATTGAACTTTTCGGTCCAGCACTCTTGCGCGCAGGAGATCGGATCGGAGCCTTCTGGCGTGGACATGGCGGATATCTGCTTCTTGTTGCGGCTTCCAAATGATCGAATGGTTTGAAAACCTAGGGGTCGATGATGAGGTGGGACGAATCGAAGTTCCTGACCAACTTGCCCAACTTGCCCAACTTGCACCCACGTACGACCATTGTATCCTTGGAAGTTCGCAGCAATTACCCCGCCTCGTTCTGTCCTCCAATTCAAATTGCCATTAATACTCTTTCCAGAACAGTGAGTGACCTCGAGCGGCGTCGAACAGTGAGGGCTACATTAGCCAATGATACTCAGTATCTCGTAAGCAGCTAAACGAGCACAAACTCTCCACCGTCCCTCCTTACTTGGAGACTCTGGAGGGGAGGCGCCGAGGCTTGTTGAGGAGGGTGTGTATATTATATATCTTGACTAAAGGACACGAGGGAGAAACCCTGCCAATCTAGTACACGTCTTCATTGTTCCTTTGGAAGTTCGAACAAGTGATCGGTTGAACCATATATATCTGATCCAGCCGCCTCTCCCACCTCTCCCCTCCATCACCACTACCACTGCGTACGTACCATGGCACCGCCGACTCCAGCCCAGATCTCGCGCCTCTTCGCCCCCCTGGCCATCCAAGGCCGCCAGCCCGAGACCCTCGCCCTGCTCGCTGACGACGTCGACTGGACCATCCCCGGCCACTCGCCCATGTCCGGCCGCTACACGACGAAGCAGGACTTCATCGACAACACGCTGAAGGTGCTCCGCGAGCGCGTCCTGACGGAGCCCCTGCGCCTCGCGGTGCGCAACGTCGTCGTCTCGGGCGCGGCCGCGGGGGCAGAAGGCACGGACGAGGAGATCGAGGGCGACGTGGTGGTCGAGTTGGAGGCGTTGGATGCGAAGTGCAAGAACGGTGCGTTTCGTTCGCTCGCTCACTCACTCACTCATTCTTTCGTGCTTTCTTTTCATCTTTCTTTCTGGGATGTGCTCGTCCTTTTTCGTTTCGTTGCGCACTTGGGGGGTTCGAAGGTCCAGTGCTGCACCTCCTTTCTCCCCTATTGTCCCTGGACCATGCAATGGGGGTACTAGGAGGGGTCCTGCAGGTCAGGAGATGGCAGGATATCAATCTACCTAGACACATACTAACCCCTCTTTCGGGCGCAGGCCTCCTCTACGACATGCGTTACTGCTGGGTCTGCAAGTTTGCGCGGGGCAAGATCGTCCAGGTGCGAGCGTACCTCGACACCGAGCTGTTGACTAGAGTCATGGAGCAGAATCCATGAGGAATCAGCAGGCGAGCCAACCAAAGCGAGTTGCAGAGGAATCATTCAGCCAGGGCGAGTGAAGAGTATAATGGGACAGGTGTAAATGAATCATTTTCTTGTCATCGTCTTGTTACAGCGTATTTCCCCTTGAACCCGATGCCGTCGCCATGCCTGAATCAATCGCTATGATCTATCCAGCGTGCTTTGAATCTGCGGCCCTGCTGACGTACCCTCTTGATGAAAAATGTCCTCTGAAAAGGAGGAAGCCTGGATTCGTATGCGTGTGCTCCTCTCATTTCAAGACCTTCAAGTCACCCTCCTTGAGCTTCCCGGCACCAACCAAGCCACCGGTGGTCTCTGAGAAAACTCCCTTGACCTTTGCTGCGTCCTTTCCGGCAATGTTGAGTTTAGAGACAAGCTCTGCCAACTCATCCGCGTCAACGCTGCCGAGCAACTTGTCCACGTCATTCAACACATCGTCGATCTGTTTAGGAGACGCCTCGCCCTCGGAGAAGTAGTTGACGTCTTTGACACTGCCCTTGACCACGCGCTTGTTCTTCTTGACCGCATTCTTAGCCGCCTCTTTCGCCTTCTTGGCTGTTTCTTTGTCGGCCTTCAACTTCTCCTCCTCTTCTTTCTTCTTGCGTTCCTCTTCCTCCTTGGCTCGCTGCTTCTCTTCCGCCTCTCGTTTCGCAGCAGCCTCTTTCTCCAGGCGTTTCTTGTTCTTGTCAGCATTCGCGGCCTTGCGGAACTTCTTGATTCGCTCATCGTAGCTCAGACAGTCATCCACAAGTTTCCTCAGGCGCGCGGTATCCTCGGTCTTGCGCTTACGTCGGGCATTCGCGTTCTTCTTCTCGATGTGACGCTTGTGGTCTCGCCCTTCATTATCATCCGGGACATCTTCGTCAAGATACTCAAATGTGCGCCAGCTGTCGAAGTTGTACCAGAAGTCGTAGAATTCCTCCACTTCCTCGCGCGTGCTGTTCTCGTCACCAAGCATGGGGACCGGGGTCTTCTTGCTGAATCTGGCTTCACTCTGGAACACGGCGTTCCATTTCTTGTAAAAGTTTCCAGGCTTCTGCATGTCTTTCTTGGTTGGCGGTTCGACGTCAGCGGCTTCGTCAACTGAGTCCCACTGACGACGTTTGACGGGGTCGGTGAGGATCTCGTAGGCACGCTGTATGCATTTGAAAAAGCTGTCGTTCTCGTCACCCTGACCAGCTGCGGCCTTCTTGTCTGGATGATGTTTGAGGACTTTCTTGCGATGAGCCTTCTTGATCTGCTCGTCGGTAGCCTTGTAGCGGTATTTGGAGAGGCCGAGGACGGCGTAGTGGTCTTGTCCCTGCGCAGTTCGATCAGTGGCGAACTACGGTCTCAAACACTGCAAGAAAACTCACCTTCCAGTCCTTCGCATCTCTCGCAAGCATCAAGGGGTCTTCTGGCTCGCTGATCTCGTCGTCATCATCGTCTTCGGACTTCTTCACCTTTTTGAGGGCTTCGAGACGTTGATCTTCAGAGAAAGTGCGACCGTGGCGCTTGCGGCGAGCATAGGCAAGGAATTGCGCTCCGAACGGCTCGATCTTTCGCATCACAGGTGGAGAGAGCTTCCCAAGGGCACGGAAATTGGGATTACCATCGCCGCCCTTCCAATCCTCCGCCGCCGGCACAACAAGGCCTTGTGAAGCCATGTCGTGGATGAGAGCAGGACGATCAGCTTGCTTGTGTGCCTCAAAGGCTATCTCTGCGAGCTCGTCGAGAGTTTCGAGGATTTCTCGAAGGTATGCCAAACGAGCTATATGATATACACGGTCAGTATCTCCCAGAGATTTTTTTTTGGGGGGGGGGGGGGGGGAGAGACTTGGGACTCGGTACTTACCCATTTTCGCTGATTGGCGGAATGAATTATTCGGCAAACTTGCCAGGATGAGGGAGAGATTTTGTGATCGTTGAAATTGGAAGGAGAAGCGAATGTGAAAGTGATGTGAATGCGCCGACCGTCTAGTTCAAGTGAAGTGAATACTACCGGTCCCATAGCGCCCTTCACCTTCCATTCACTCTTTACTCATTTCAATTCGACAAAGATGGCGCTGGCGGCCTACAGGCACCTACTTCGAGCGACACGCACAGCCTTTCAAGACGACTACCATCTCCTCCATGCTGCCCGGATGCAAGCACGCACTGGGTTCGAGACGCTAAGGACAATGGACCCCGATTCAGAGGAGGCGATCAAGGGCATAGCACACGCTGAGGGTGTAGCGTCAATATTACGACACAATGTCGTGCAAGGCAAGCTGGTCGACGGTTCAAATGTGATACGTATGTGACGCCCTATTGTCGGAATGGACACGAGATTAACCTATGACGCAGGGCTGAATATACACGAGGACACAGAGAAAGGCGATAATGATACCGTCAAGAATCCCCTCGGTAAAGGCGGAAAGATCAAAGTTGGTGGTGTATGAACAATCAAAAGCTTGGATTTGTTCATTTTTGTGAACACATGATGATACCCAGTGGACGGCCTGTTCTCGCCATTGCATGCCAGTTGCATGCTGTGTCGCAACGCCGTGCTGTTCTGTACAGATAAAGATACCTTTGACACGAAAAGCTTAATCACCAGCCAAACTGGCATAGGTGACTTCCCCTTGACCTGGTGGGGGCGCCACAGTGAAGCTCGCATTTCCTTCAACATCCGCACCCTCAATTTGAGCCTGGCTGTTACCAGTGGTGATGGCTCTCTGACCAGACTGCTGAGCTTTGAGAGCAGCTGCAGTTTCCCGACCTTCTCTTGCCCAGCTCATTTTCTGCTCCCGGTCTGTGTTGTCAAGCGGTTTCGGTTTGCCCCACCGAACTCGCAGCGGACATCCTTGAATCGCTGCTTTCCCTTGGCAATGCGCCGCTGCAGCCTCGGCTCCTTCTCTTGTTGCATAGTTGATGAATGCGCAATGGGCCCGGTGCGAGCAGACAATAGACCGGATCTGGCCAAAAGGAGTGAAAAAAGCACGAATGGCGTGTTCTGGAAGATCGTCCTCGACGCCAGTGACGAAGAGCGAGGTGATGTTGGGATCAGAGGGAGGCAGCCAATCTTCGGGTTGAGGAGGGCGTGCCACTGTGACTGCTCTCGCGCCACCGGGTCCCGCCTTTCCACCGCGGTGTGCGTTTCCGGATTTTCTCGAGTCTGCAGTCCTTATAGGCCCGGGGCCGTAACCACTTTGCTTCTGCTCTTTCGGTTGTTGTTGTTGATCGGATTGCGAACCCTCTGCTTCTAGTCGTCTTTGCTTCTTGTAGTATGGCTCGCTGTTGGCTAGTCTGCGTAACAGATCTCGCGCTTTCTCGTCTGTCTTCTCATATGCCTCAACTGCGCCACGACCTTCCTCTAGTTCCTTCTCGTGTTCTTGGGCGTAGTATTCCCGGTTTATACTGGACTGCGGACCTGGCGCAACCATTTTGAGAGCAGCATCTCTGACTGTGATGGGCAAGCCGAAAGACAGATCGAGCATACAACACTGACAACAATTCTTCAGCCGAGCGCAAGTGAGGCAGATGTTTGTTCGCTTGGTTCGGGCGGTTCGATCGGCTTTCCAGCGGAAGACTGTGAAGGGACGAGTGCATATCTTGCATTCCGCTCCGAATTCTTCTTTCAGCATTTGGACATAGGGGTTATCGGGCAAACAGTTCTCGCAGCTGGAAGGGAAATCGGTCGTTTCCCAGCCAGAGCGGTTCAGATCCTGCTTGATCTGAGGGGGTGCCATGGTGGCGAGGGGATATTGCAGGCAATGGCAAAAAGATATGGATCAGGGAAGATATTAGTCTATTGACTTCAGGAAGAATAAGAGGATTGCTCGAGCATAAGTACTTTGACGAAGTAGCACTTGCCTGACAAATGCTGGATAATGCGTCGTCGGACACAAAAACGGCGGGGAAAAGTCAGCCTCGCCCAATTTCTCTGCACGTGCATTACGAAACACAGAAAGTTACCCGAGTATCACGTGAAACACCCCGTTGGGAGTGGCCTGCTGCGGAAGGATTCAGTTCCAGATCGCTGGGGGAAGACAACTGCATGGCCGACCCCTGCCAAGAGATCTAGCTGAGAATCAGGCCATTGGTGATTGCGCCGGGCGAAACAATGCCGGCCAGTATATTTTTTTGAACCCCAATAGCAGCAGCCGTCAAGCCGTATCGCTCTTTGATTCCGGATCGTGTCACTGACCGCTTGTCGCTCATTCTTGTACAAGTACAATTGAGGCAGAGAGACGCATCACCTCCAGCTTTTTCCCAACTTGCACCTCTGTCCAGATATCCACCCCGGCTGTCTCAACATGGCCCCTTCTGCTACCTCCCCAGTCACGGTCCTCGAGCAGGAGGACCACGCCCGCGATGCCGCCTTCAACAAGGCGCTTCATGGCAAGTCGGTGGAAGCATCTGGTGGGCTGATGGCCATGCGTACCAAGGACAAAGCGGCGCAGAAGGCTGCGATCGACGAGTACTTCAAACACTGGGACAATAAATCGGCAGCCACTGAGACTGAAGAAACCCGAAAGGCACGAAGAGACGAATACGCCACCTTGACAAGACAGTGGGTGTTGACTTTCCGGGCATTGATGACGTGTTCACTAACTGTATGGGCAGCTACTACAACCTCGCCACGGATCTGTACGAATATGGATGGGGCACCTCGTTCCATTTCTGCCGCTTTGCTGCAGCCGAGTCGTTCTACAAGGCCATTGCCCGCCATGAGCATTACCTCGCTTTGAAGATGAACATGCAAGAGAATTGGCGCGTCCTGGATGTCGGCTGTGGTGTTGGGGGACCTGCTCGAGAGATGATCAAATTCACTGGGGCCAACGTTGTTGGACTGAACAACAACGACTATCAGATTGAACGGTCACTACGATACGCAAAGAAGGAGGGCATTGCAGACAAATTCTCCGCTGTCAAAGGCGACTTCATGCAAATGTCTTTCCCTGAGAACAGCTTCGACGCCGTATATGCCATCGAAGCCACAGTCCACGCCCCGAGCTTGCAGGGAGTATATGAGCAGATTTTCCGCGTGTTGAAGCCTGGCGGTGTCTTTGGTGTGTATGAATGGCTCATGACCGACAACTACGACAACGACAGTCCTCAGCACCGCGAGATCCGACTTGGCATCGAGCAGGGAGACGGCATTTCCAACATGGTCAAGGTCTCGGAAGGGTTGGCCGCCATCAAAGCCGCTGGATTCGAGCTGGAGCACCACGAGGATCTCGCCGAGAGACCGGACGCGATCCCGTGGTACTACCCTCTCGCAGGGGAGTTCAAATACATGGGCAGCCTCGGCGACGTCTTCACAATCGGGCGCATGACATGGTGGGGACGCGGGTTGATCCATAAGTTTATTGGGGTTGGCGAGACTCTGAGAATGATGCCTCGTGGCACGCAGAAGACGGCAGACAGCCTGGCACTAGCGGCTGACTGTTTGGTCGCTGGCGGGAAACAGAAGTTGTTCACGCCCATGTACTTGATGATTGCGCGGAAACCCAAAGCTTGAGAAGGCCACCAGGAATATGAAATCAACAAAAAGGGCGTTTCTGGAGTAGCTTTGACAGTGATCAGTAGAGGTAGACGGAGGCACACTTCTGGTGCTTGCTGCATCATTATAGCCTAATTCAGTGATTGTACATATGTATACCGGGTCCTGCTGTATTCACGATGGACGGATACAATTCCTTGTGGCAATTTCTTTTCAGCCTCAATGACTTGGTATCGAAACAGTTGCCGCCGGAGGAAGGGCGTGCGAGAGGTCGCATGAGGGAGGTGGTGACGCTTGCACCGCCACAGTGAATTCGTCGGCATTGGCGTGTGGCAAACGCTGGGTTTCCGTGGACATTTGGAGGCCAGCTGGACATGGCTCAATGCCCGTTTCCCTTTCCAATAATAGAGCTGTCACACGCTGAATCTTGGGTCTAGACCATTGTACTCGGTACCAAGAAACGCCATGCGTGAAATATTGGTGAGTTGGTGATATGGACGAGAGAGGAGTTACACAGCAAATTTCAATACCCGAGCAGCCAATTCCAGCCGTGGGTGCAGCGGAAGCCCATGATGTGGAATCATTGGGATGAACGGTTCCTTTCGGCTCGCCTGGTTAACACGAGCAGTAGCGGCCTGGGGGCTGCAGGGCTAACCAGTTGAACTATTAGGGCTGTGACTGATGATCTGAAACCGACAGTGTGCGAGGGCAGCTTTTGTCCGTTTCAGAACGTCAGCAGGGCGCATCTTTGTACCACCTGGCTCAGGTACGGAGTACATCCAGGTCAACAGGTGCATACGTGGATATACGGAGTCCAGCCGTGAGGAATGCGCTCAGAGTCGTGTTCTAGGAGGACAACTCATTCTTCTGTATGATGGCGATCCCAAGTGATGCGCGCACCCCTTGGGTACTACTCTGTACCTAAGATGAAGTTCCTCTCGACCTAAACATGGGAGGTTCCAGTTGCTTGGGCTCGCCTGCTAGGTCCCTAGAGCCCAGCCAAGCAACCCCAACCCCCCCAAGGCTGAAGCTCAGCTAGCCCATCATCCATCTGTAACCCCCAAAAACCATCAGCCTGCCTAGCGGTTACCAAGATCCCGAAGCTTTCCAGGGCAGGCCGCCTAAGGGGGGAGGGCTTCTTCCAGGGACCTATTAGCCGTTGCGATTCGCTGGGCGGCACATGGATCTGCCATTGACAAACTGCTAGTGCTGCACAATTTCCCTCGATGCTTTTCCCACACGCCCATCTCACCCGCGACCATCCCGTCATCGAACCCTCGCCAGATGCTTCAAGCGCCTTTCCCGACTGGCCGCTGTTGCCGTCATGGCTGCTGGTTGCGTCGCCCAGTCTGCGCCTTCTCCTGGAGGGGACCAGGAAAGAACCAGAGGCGCAGTCACCATCCTGCCAACTCTTCCATTTCAACTTTTGTATAAACCTTGGTTGATTCTTGTTCTTCTTTGCATCACTGTCCTTGCTGTTGTTCTTACTTGTAGCAGCACCATCGCTTTCTTCAGCATCATCATTCTCATCGTCATTCCTTTGCTTTTGGCTTTCTTGGGCTTCATATCCCTAATACTCCGTTGCTGCTACATCTTCAGGACCTCGTCCTCTCACTGTCCATCCTTCCAAGCAATCCTCTGCCTCTTCCCACCATGGGCAAGTTTGCGGCGGCTGCTCTGGGAGCAGCGGCTCTGCTCGCTTCCGTCGCCCCTGTGACTGCTGCTCCCGGCGCCGGCACACTGGGTTTCACATTCGAAAAGCGTCGCGTCCTTGCGCAGGACGCTCCTCACCTGACACGACGTCAGTCCAAGACCATCAAGGCGGGCTTGGACAACGAGATCTTGCTCTACTTCATCAATTGCACCGTGGGCACACCGGGGCAACCGTTCTCCCTGCAATTGGACACTGGCTCGTCAGACATCTGGTTCCCTGAAGCCAACGCAGAGATCTGTCAACAAAACGATGGCTGCTCCGAGTTTGGAGCGTACAATGCCGATGATTCCTCCACCTTCGTCGATCCCAACCTTCCCCAGTTCCAGATCCAGTACGTCGACGGCTCTCAAGTTGTCGGGCAATACATATCTGATGTGCTGAACGTCGGTGGAACAAAATTGACAAACATGACCATGGCTGCTGCCCAGCAAGCAAACACCCGAGCAATCGGTATCATGGGCATTGGATTCGAGCTGGGTGAGGCCTCCGCCTCGTTTGACGGCTTCACCTACCCCAATGTCATCAACGTCATGAAGAATGAGGGCTTCATCAACGCCCTTGCGTATTCTCTATGGCTGGACGATCTGGACTCGAATACCGGCTCTATTCTCTTTGGTGGTGTAGACACAAACAAGTACCACGGTGACCTGGTTTCTCTCCCCATCCAAATCGACTCACAAACCGGCGTGATTGATTCCTTCACTGTCGCCTGGACCGGCCTGACCGTCTCTGGAGGCGGCCAGACCTCAGACGTCTCCCCCAGTTCGCCTCAACCTGCCATCCTCGACTCCGGCACCACAGACACCTTGCTCCCTGACGACATCGCGAACAATATCTTCAACGGTGTCGGTGTGGTGACAGACCCCCAGTTTGGCAATGTGGTGCGCTGCTCTCTCGCCAACGATGATCTCACCTTCTCCTTCCAATTCGGCGGCAAAGGTGGCCCCATTGTCAATGTCTCGTTGTCCGAGTTTGTCACTCCCTTGCTCACAACAGACGGCTCTCAACCAACGTTCCAGAACGGCGATCTGGCGTGCTCATTTGCCATCGACGCCGCAGGGAGCGACCCCATCCTGTTCGGAGATTCTTTCCTCCGCAGCGCCTATGTGGTCTACGACCTTGAAAACAACCAAATAGGTCTCGCTCAAACGAACTTTGACGCTACTGACGCCAACTCCAACATCCAAGCGTTCCAGGCCTCGGGCGGCATCCCCAATGTCGTGTCGACGGCCTCAGCCGCAAGCGTGGCCCAAACCTTTACTGGCAACCCAGAAATCACGCAAGCCACGGCCACTGCCACAGGGGAATTGGGCGGCGGTACCTCCAGGAGTGCAACATTCAATCTGACACCCGCCACGGGCACGGCCACGAGCACTTCTGGCTCTGGCAGTGGAAGCAGTTCTGGCGATTCCAACGCGGCGAATGCCAACTTCCGCGCAATTCCTGCTGAGATGACGACCTTGTTGGCGGCAGGTGTAGTGACTCTGGGATTTTTGTTTGGTGGTGGGTTGATGTTGTTCTAAATCAGCGAATAGCGTGTCTTTGCCTTGTTACGAAAACCAATGTTGATACGCACTGGCTAGAAAAGGAGGATGCATGGTTGGACGGTGGTGTCTTTGGGCATCAATAAGTACTCTGCCTGGATGTCATCAGGCTGCAGGACTGGATGGCAGACAGGGCTCACGACGTTTCTTTTTCCCTGGTAGAATAACACAGCGGAAGACAGTGCAAAAATGACATACTTATTCTCGTTTTCGATCTCTTTGGGTGCGACGTAAACTATCGGCTTTACGTGAACGAGTGAGCGAATGAACCAGAGAACGATCAGAAGAGCGAATGTATGGTTGATCCAGCTACACAGGTTGTGTACCTCGTAGCTGATATTCTCGCACACCCGACCATCTCGCTTTTCCAGGATGGTGAGATTATACTGTAGAAGCAAGCTCCATCAGGAGAATGAGAACGGGAGGTGTGAAGTCGTTTCTTCATATATATGGAATGGTTCGGTAAACACACGACGAATACGAAGGTAGATGTTCCTGCTCAAAGCCCCCACTTTCCCCTGTCCGACACTTCGGGGCTGGGTTGTCCTTCAGCACAGCATCAGTCCGTTGGTCTCTCACCGCCCGTTCGTGGCTCGGGTTCAAGAATAGAAGAAGAAGATTGACGAGGGATGAAGAAATCTAGCTTGTCGTTGATCACGGATTGCCGACTACCACACTGCTCTTCCCTCCTCCGTACCCCCCTCTCACTTGTCTTGCCGCAATGTCGTCACGTATCGCGTTGTAGGTAGAAAGATACTGTTGTCTGAGTTCTGTGAGACTTTATACCTCACAAAACCGCGGCAGTCGGTTGATTGCTGTTGAAGTTCGAGGTTAATGTGGTAACTGTCAATCCGAGTCTTGTATAACGTTTGTCGTTGTCGTCGTTATTAGGTGGTATTCGAACATTAGACTTTTGGACCTTGGACCTTGGACCTTCGGCCCAACCTATCTCTCCTCCCTGACCGTCTCGAGCGGACTGTGTGGAAAGGCCGCCCCGTCGCCGTTGAGGCTACCCGAGCTGGTCGTGCTCGTCAACCAGGGCATGCTCCGCCTGTCAGCCTCGCCTTGGTTCTCGTCGCCTTCGACCTCCATCCCCACTTCGTTGTCGTCCGGCACCTTGACGTCGAGCAGTCTCTCGGCGTTCTTGTATGCGATTGCTTCAAAGTCCTGATCATTGATCCTGCATGGGCGGAAAGGAGAAAATTGTCAACCTGTCCGTTCTCGCAATATGCAAAAGGTCTCTTGAACAAGTCGAGAAGCAAGAAGGGAAAGGGGACACTCACATTGCACCTTCCCTTAACGCGTACATAAACTTCAGGCCGTCTTCGTGGCTGCAAAACGGATAGTCTACACTATACAGCACCTTGTCGGCGCAGCACATGTGGATCAGGCAAGCCATGGGCGCCAGGCTGAACATGCCTGCCGTCGTGACGTAGATGTTCTCGTGCCAGACTTGCAGAAGATGACGCCTCGGTTTTGAGGCATGCGGCCAGGTCCGCTGGATGAGCTTGTGAATTCTGTCAATCAGAAAAGGGAGCGTCTCGCCCATGTGGCCCAGCAAAAGCTTCAAGTGCCGATGCGTGTCGAAGAGTTTGCTTGCAAATAGTCGTAGAACGTGCAGCGCAACGTCGCTGTGCCAATGGAACCCGTGGTTGGCGAGGAAGTTTGAGACCTGCGGCGAATAGTTCCCATGGAACGATGGCGCCGGCGTGGCCTCAGTAATCGGTTGCGGTATCGCGTGGAGGTAGACTGGGACGTCGAGCTTTTCGTGGGCGGCGAAGATGGGCCAGAAAAAGGGATCGTCGTAGTAGCGCCCATTGGCAGTGTTGTCGATGAGACTGCCCACGAATTCGAGCTGTGAGACGCACCGGTCGAGTTCCTTTGCCGCTTCCTCCGGGTGTAGCATCGGCAGCATGGCGAATGCAGCAAAGCGGTCCGGGGAGGGCGACGCCTTGATCGCTTCGTAAAGCTCGTCATTCGCCTTTGTACAGACCTCTGGTGGGACGGGGATAGTGTTTGGTCGATGAGAGATGACTTGAAGACTAATACGGCCACCATCCATAGCTTTAAGACGCTTGGGCCCGACCTCCCGGAGGGCGGTCATGATGTGGGCCATGGAGTCTGGAAGACTCGTGTCGACGCCTTGAGATGCATAGTAGTCGAGGACAGCCTGGGAGATGAAATGCTCCTCGAGTGTAATGAGAGGGATTTTGGTGCTCATGGTAGATGCGCGGTCTCCCTTCTTTCTTCGTACCAGGCTGGCTACCTAGGTAAATTTGGCCGGATTCACCTGTATAAAACCAAACCGTCAGATGGATGTTGGGGTAAACGGTGGCAACTTTACTTTGGAGACGGTTGAGAATAGCTCCGTCGGAACACTATCCCGCGGTCGATCGCTCGGTCTTATGAGGATCTTCAAATAGTAGAAGTGATGAAACACCAGGAAACTCCTCAACAACCTCGAGCGGAAGCAGTATGAGATGCCTCACGTTTTTGTGCCACACCCCGCAGCAGAGGAGAAGGTTCAAGAAGTAAGCTGTGCTACCGTGGTCCGGGGGGCTAGATGACGGATTCGGAAAGGGAAGGGATGCGCCTTCGAGGGATGGCGGTTCGTATATCCTTTCCCAGAGAAAGACACGGCGTCCTCCGGTGGTCCAATCAGGGCAGAAAATGCATGTGGCGCCATGCAATAGACAGAAGTTGCTGAGCGGCGCCAGGATTGGCCTCCTCTTGTCTCCTTTCCCTTGGATCTTGCCGGCCGTTTGCGGATGCGGAGGAGTGGCAATTGGTATTCTCGGACAAGTAGGGCCGAAGGAGGGGAGGAGGAGGCCATTGGGTATGCTTGGTCTCGCTTAGAGCAGACTTTGGGAGAGAATATAAGTCGAGCCATCAGGAGAAAGGGCACGTCTCCCTGGTGAGAGCACATGGGAGCGAGAAAGAACAAGATATGGGGGAAGTGAGTGTGTGTCTAAATGCAGATACAGGTACATTGGTCGGAGAAGGTGATTGAGCATGAGATCTCCTTCCCACCTGGGCTGAACATTGCATGTGAGAACCAAACATGAATTGCCCCATAGCAGTGGAATAGGTATATATGGCAAACAAGCAAGGAAAGGCAGGGAGACATTATTGTTAGAGGTTCAGATACCGCTGGAAGCGCAGAAACGCAGTAATTAGTGACTGGCAGTGGAGATGAAGCAACGGGGGGATGCAGACTTGGCGCCAGATTATTCTGCGAAACGAGCCTCAGGCAATACAACGCGCAGCATGCACCAGCCAGCATGCAGTACTAACGGGGTCTTCAGCCCTGACAGAACATACAACAACCCAATATTCCTATGCCTGTGGCCGTCGATATCATTCTGTTGTTCCCTCCGTCGCTCATTCTCCCAAATCACCATCCAACATCCCGCCTCCTTTGGGCCCCTTTCCGCTGAACGTTGAGTCCTTCGAGAGCCCCCATTGCGCAACCCGCAGGCCGCGACTACTCGGCGGAAAAAAGGCCCAGGCACGAGATCATTGGCAACACCCTCCACACACCCCATTATCCTGCATATACCTTGGTGAAGCGCAAACTCCTCTACATTGATGGCCTCCCAAGGAGGCCTCACGCGCAGGCGTGGTGCCGGAGGGGCCACGTCGCCCAACGGAGACGACGAGTCCTCCAGCCGGGTCACTTCCCCTGTCCCTAAACAATACAACGACCGCTCCCCCGAAACCGCCTACGAGTCCAGCGAGAATGGCCACCGGATCGCCTATGATCCCCGAGACATTAGCGAGAGCGCAGAACGGAGTAAACAACCCAAGCTGACCCTGATGGAAGAGGTTCTGCTCCTGGGGCTGAAGGATAAGCAGGTAACCAACCAGAACAAGATTTCTCAAAATCCAGACACCCTGACCGACGTCACTAGGGATACTTGTCATTCTGGAACGATAATATCTCCTATGCCTTGCGAGGCTGCATAGTCATTGAACTGGCATTCCGAGGCAGGATCAGCATGCAGAAAGACTCGTCGAGGAGACGGTTCCCGCTCGCCGACAGAATCATCGAAGTCATTGACGACACCCTCACTGGAGAAGTTCTGTTAGACGAAACTCTGAAGTTGATGAAGACGAGTGAGAAGATGAGTGTCAGTTCTTGGATCGATCTCTTGAGCGGTAAGCGTGGAAACCTAGCCCTGCCGTGCCTGATAATCCATTGACGTTCCCTGTACAGGGGAGACCTGGAATCTGATGAAGATCGGCTATCAACTAAAACAAGTCCGCGAACGACTTGCCAAGGGCCTCGTGGACAAAGGCATCCTGCGCACCGAGAAACGAAACTTCCTCCTGTTCGACATGGCCACCCATCCTGTGGTCGACCCCGCCGCCAAAGATGAAATCCGCAAGCGCGTACGGAACATCTGCTCCAGCCGCACCGTCGTGCTCCCTCCTTCACAGTTCCTTCCCGCCGAACTCGACTTCAGAATGTTGAGAACGGTCAGCATGGTCTGTGCCGCTTATGCAGCCAACGTGCTTGAGAATGCACTGGTGACCTTGAGCCACGAAGCAAGAGAGAGGGCTTTTGCCCAAGTAGACGAGCTGTTGGCAGAATATTCACAATGGCCTTTCGCGAGGAGGACTGGCGGACAGCAGGGCATTGGAGCGAACATTGGCCAAGTAATTGCAGAAGAGGTCGAGAAGAACAAGGACAAGGAGTTACAGCTTGAGGTGAGTACAAGCTCGTCGACTTCATCAACGCAATCCTGACTCATCGGTGCTGATAGGTTATTGCGGCTTGTTTGGGCGTTTTCACGAGGCTGGACTCACTACTATAAGATTGACAAAACAGGACACTTTGGGCGAGTGTGGGCGCGAGGTGGCGTGCACGTTTCTCGCATTTCTCGTCGAAAAGGCGATGAGCCTCAAAAGGATACCTACAATGTTCTCGTCTTTACACTTGTTCAACCATGTCATTATCCGGCTCAGGCGCTGCGCTTCACAGAATGCTTGGGAAGCCATAGTGCCGTCTGCTGGCACTTGCTCGCTACTTTTGACCCTTCTCCACAAGTTGATGTCCATGAATTTCTGATCTTTGTTCTCAGGCACTCGGCACCTCTTGTTCACGCAGATGGACTCGAAGCTCTGGCTTGCTTTGTTGGAGTCGGGGCCATTGTCATCATTCGCCTTTCACAGATTTCACACACCACAAAGGGCATTGCTCCCTGTTCATACAGGTCGCTCATTGTTTTTCCAAAAACAAAAGCCACGATCAGCGAGACAGCGGCTTTCAACGTGGGTACACATAATCTGTGTCTTGACCGCCGATAGCTTTCGTCCATTGTGTGAACAAAGCCGATACAATGAGACTCTACCATAGACATCTTGGTAGGAGAGGTCACTGCAACTGACATAAACCCCGACTTTGCCTTTGACGTGAGCAAAATTTACGTCTCATCTCCCAACCACTTTACCAACAACCGATTCTAACACCCGCCATCTATACCAACCTACCCATTTGCCACGAAAACAGTCTACAAAATGTGCTATACCCGTTCCACTCTGCTTGTCTGTCCGGACTGTCATTGCAGATTCACCTCTGCTGACTATCCAACGGTGGACAAGATTTGCTCATCTTCAAGTGATTGTCGCTATCGCAACCGCCATCCCCTGCCTCAACGTGAAGAGGAGGTGGCTAAGCGATGCTCAAGGTGCCACATAGATCGAGACAATCGGTATTCCCATGGCTCAAGCACACGTCAAGATTCTCGCTCTGTGATCCGTGAGTCGGAGCGAGGTTCTGGGCGCTCTGGGGCGTGTTCTGGAGCTTCTAGAACATGGACCATTGACTCTAACACCAGCACTATAAGGGACCATCGCGATCGCTCGACCACAGCCACTACGACCGGCTCACGATCTCGAACTGGTACATCCCGCAATGACAGTCGAGACCGGTCTTCCGCCGCCCATGAGCGCGATTCCAGGTCTTCTCTTTCTCGATCCCGTACTGTGTCAACTTCTGGCTCGCGAGTGGATGCGCATGAACGTTCTCATGAAGACCGACTTGTCGTACGAAGAGACAGGGATGGCTCCAGAACACTGTCAGACATGTTTGGGGATATGAGCGTGTCAACCTCTTCATCCCGACATGACAACGCTCTTGAGAGACGCCGAAGCCACAGAGGTGATCGTTCATCACACCGCACAGGCGGCCGTTCTCGTGGATTGCCGCCGAATGGCATCTCTCTGAATTTCGTCTCAATGATGCTCGCCCGCCGTCACACCAAGTCGCACCGCGAGTCTTCAGCCTCGACAAGCCAGACCCGCAACACCGACACCACCGTCTCCACCCGGTCTCGCGCATCGACTGGTCTGGATATCCCATTCGAGATGCTCCTCGACCGATATGGTCTGAGTGTCACCGACATCGAGTACTCCTTGGACCGGGAGCACCGTGAAGTCCAGTTTGAGATCCCCAGAGACATCCTGCAACTCCTCCCGCCAGGCGACCTTTTTCAAACGGAGGACAATGAGCTGGTGTGGGCGGTTTGTGAACGTTGCTTGGCCGAAGAGGGAGGATGGGGCAGTTTTGCGAGAGCGAGAGGAAGTGGAAGAGGAAGAGAATATCACTGAGGAAGAAAAGTGGAAGTAATCGTTTCGAGCTGGATCTCGAGGCTGCGGTGGTTAGTTTTACTCAAAGATGTCTTGGGGAATTTGGAAAGGGTTAGTTGGACAAAGGTAGGTAAGTATCAAGTGGGATAATGGACTTTCATTCAGGAGGTATGCTCCTTTTCTCGTCTCTATGGATGAGTGTGTGTTCCTCCGATCATCAGCCTCTGCTAACCCTGCCGCAAACCCCCAGACCTGACAAGCGCCCGAACACCGTGTTGACTTGTCTCGATTACGTGTCTGGAGGCCTTGGTTACGCGTGGCTTGTCAGAAAATCAGAAAAGTCCGAGATAAGCTACGACGGGGGTGGTGGAAGTACTTGGGCCATCATCACCACCCAGCATTTGCCTATGTGAGTTGAAAGTCATCCTGTGGTCATCACTTGACATGAACACATACGCCAGACGCAGAAAATAGAACACGCATCATCTCCCTCGCTTCCTCGCCGGTTCTTCCTGATTCTGATATGGGTTCAAAGGATTACACACGCACGTGATGTCAGCGATGTATACGAGCAATGCGCGGTCATGGATGAATGGAAAGCGACGTTCATTCAATGTGCCAATGCGGATGTCTATATCTCGTCGAAGGGACGGTCAAAGAGCAGCTCCCATGCGGACCAGCGTGGATCACCAGCTCCTTGTTTCCAAACTCTGAGCTATCAAGCCAGCAATGGCCATGTCCCATGTGCTGCAAAGCGTTCCCATCCCTGCTCTACAAACGCCATCCCTCCTCCATATCCTCCTTTCTGTCCCGCTCTTGATCGGCGCCACCTGCCTTCTAACATGGCTGCTCACGACCATCCAGTTTTCCCTCTCGGTCAAGAAGTTCAGGGCCCTCAAATCCGGGCGTGCTGCGACGCAAGCGATCCCTACAAAGCCGCCCGTTCTGCCTTACGCAATCCCGTGGCTAGGCCATGCTTGGGCCTTTTTGAATGAAAACCCCGGGTCTTTCTGGCGCACGCTGCAGATGAAACTCGACAAGACGGGAACCAACCTCCAGTTCTGCACGGTCCTGCTCGCGGGCCAGCGGGTCCACATCACCAACTCTGCCACGGCCGTACAGGCGTTGTTCAGAAGCAGACAGGTGTCGCGAGAATTGTTCAACCGGCAGATCGCGGTGGACGCGCTGGGGTGTTCGAAGAGAGACGCCGAAATCATGTTCCCTCCCACCCCGGGCCTGGGTCGAGGTCACGGAAATCGAAATGCCAATGCCACGACAACGGACGCCGCGGTACCGCAGGAGGAGGAAAAGGACAAGCGTCTCAGCATGGACGCCATCAACCACGAGTTCCTCCTCCACCAGACCGCCGCCAACGCGCTGACGAACAAGTTCATGGCATATTTCACCGCGGCGCTGGATGGCGCAACCGAGGTCGGAGACGAGTGGACCACGATCGACCTGCTCGCCTGGTTGAAGAAGATCATGTTCGAGGCATCCACCACGGCGTTGCTAGGGACCAAGATCCTCGAGATGAATCCAGACCTGGCCGAGCAGTTTTGGGCGTACGACGCCACCTTCCTGGCGAGGTTCTACGGCCTGCCCAAACTCGTGAAACCGGGCGCCTACGCCTGTCTTGAGACGATCCTCGACCGGACGGCCGAATGGGTCGAGGCCGCGCGGGCAGAGTGTGGCGGCAATCCGCCCGAGGAGCCGGACTGGGAGCCACTGTTTGGATCCAAGGTCATGAGGGCGAGGCACCGATTCTATGAGCGGAGGGGGCTGAGTTCACGAGGCAGAGCGGCCTTTGATATCGGGTTTCTGTTTGCGTGAGTACCAAGAACCCAGTTCCTGTCTTGTTTATATCCTTCTTTTATATGGCTGAGCTGTTTTTACTCACGCTGTCTGTCTGTGCTTCAAGTGTTTCATCAAACGTCATCCCGATTACAAGCTGGCTGCTCGCTCACATTCTCTCGCCCATGACGCCCAAGGACACGCTCACGAGGATCCAGGGCGAGGTCGAGCGCGCGAAGAGACCCGACGACGGCACCGTGGACATCTCGGCGCTGCTGACCCAGCCGCTGCTCAACTCGGCCGTGCACGAGACGATGCGGCACTACCTCGACCTGCTGGTCACGCGGCAGCTGACGACGGACACGGTGCTGGATGGCTACCTCTTGAAGAAGGGCGAATTGATCATGGCGCCGACCTCGTTCAGCCACCACGACCCCCGGTTTTGGGATGACGACCACCACCGCCATCATCGGCCGCAGGGAAGCGACGGGTGGGACGCCGAGAGATTCCTCCGCCGTGATCCCGACACGGGCAGGGAGACGTCCACCACCTCGTGGGCGGCGGGCAAGTTCTTCCCCTTTGGCGGCGGCGCGCACGCGTGTCCCGGCCGCGTGTTCGCCCGGCAGGAGATCCTGGGCGCGGTGGCCACGCTCCTAACCCGGTTTGAGGTGCGGTTCGTCGAGTACGTGAGCACGGACGGCGCGAATCCTGCTGGGTTTCCGCGCGTCAGGCGTCAGTACGCGGGTAATGGGGCGTTGAATATGGATGGAGACATCCGCGTCGAGATCAGGAGGCGATGACGATACGAGAGGAGAGGAAAAAAAAGGGGGCAGCGGATCGTCAGTCATGGCCTGGGAGAACGGCACGCCAATAAGGACGCGGGTGAGCAAGCATGGTGGTGGTGGTGGTGGTGGTGATGCAAGAAGAAACAGGCTGGATGGGCTCAATGCTCAAGGCGCACGAAGAGCCATTCCGACCATCACTACCATCGCATCGCCGGCCAAAGAACAAGGCGAGGGCTCTCTTTCACGACAGCACAACAATAACCACTTATTGATCCATTGATCCTTTGATCCTTTGACCCTTTGATCCATTTGTCCTTGTGAGAGTCCATTGAACTGCGCGGACAATGAGCCTGCGTTTCAATCTGCCGGCCATGAAAAGCTTATGAAACGCCCTTGCCCCCATCCAGCACCAGACCTTGCACGATACTCGAGAAATCTGTCCCAGTGTAGCCCAAGATTACACCGCTGCTGAAGCACACCTCGACAGGCCCTTCTCCCTACCAAAAAAGCCCCAGAAAACGAGAAGAGAAAACAAAGAGAGAAAGCAAGGTAAAGTCTCAAAGAGGAGAAGAGAAGAAGAGAACAAAAGGATGTGCTACACAGGCGCCACCAGGCTGCTCTGTCCAACCTGCTCCGGCCGCATGGGCCTGGCCGACCGCGTCGTCGTGCAGAAGACCTGTCCGCCCGCACCGAGGTGTCCGTACCGCGCTTGCCGGCCCTTGCCCGTTCGTCCGCGTGAGGAGTGCGTCGTCTCGCAGCGCCGGTGTGCCGCGTGTGTTCGTCGAGCGAGGAAGAGTGGTGACGATGGTGACGATGGTGCTGTGATGGTGGTGCTGGTGGGCGATGTGGATGGGTCTCCTCCAGGGACTCCGGAGACAAGGACCACCACAGCCAGCACCACCACCACCGTTACGAGCATGAGCAAACACACAAGCACGAGCAGCGCCGCAAGCGGCCTCAGCGGATTCGCGGCGATGAGCAGAGAGTGGGAGGTCAGGAGTGGCATCAGTCCCCCGTGGCGGCTGGGCGAGGCGTATCCCGAGAAGGAGAACAGAGGGCTCTGGAAGGCCGTTTTCGGTCCCAGGCGCCACTCGCGCTGCTGGGGAGGGATTGTGGGAGATGGCAGGTGAGTGAGTCCTCTGTTGTTATTGTTATTGCGATCTCTGGCTCGGTCTCGGTTTGCGCAGCGGGTTTCGGTTTCACTCTATAATTACAGGCTGTGTTTTGCCTTGACAAAAAGGTAGGAATCTACGGCACAGGCAAAGGGGATGGGTATCTCGGCGGGTTGGGTACAGAAAAAGAAAAGCCGTGGCGAGGAGGAAAGGAAGGCAGGGCAGGGCATCCTGGAGATGTCCCAGTCCACCTTCTTCCCCCAGCCTACAGAAAGTCAAGGAGCGAATGCCTCCAAACTCCATTCTGTGGTCAGGCGTAGAACTGCCGGCCAGGCTGGTGGAATGTTTTCTACATGGCAACAAGCCAAAAGGAGACTCTAATATACAAGCTTTCACTGAAGCACCGGATATCGCAAATGCATTTCGTCCACGGCGAAACTCTCTGTTCTGACGGAGTGTGTACCTTGTGATTGTCCTTGGACGATTTGCTCCACACTTCCTGCACCATAATAATGACAATGGCAAGCATCCGCTTGAGGGGTACCTAAAACTGGAGGTTGGGGCACTGTTCACTCCTTTGTCTTGCCGCTCACCGCGACCGAGGTCCTCCTTGGACTCTTGGGAGGCGGTGGAGGAGGTCTGTCCCCGTCCCCGTCCCCGTCCCCGTCCCCGTTCCCGTTCCCGGCGTTGGCGTTCAAGATGTCTAGATGGCTATCTAGCAATGAGTTGGAGGGACGCAGAATCTTCTCCCTCTTCCACGAGGCGGACAATGTGGAAACAGGTCGCTGAGGCATGACCGGCCGGAGCGGCACCGGGGGCGATCGAGGAACATCCTGTGCAGATCTCTGTGGCAGGTCTGAGCCCGCACTGCCAGCAGCAGCAGCGGTGGCGGCAGCACGCAACTTGGACGGTAAGCGAGGCTTCGTGCGGTCGAATATCGCCTTGGCAGATCGGGGATCTCTGTCTGCGGACGATGTGCTGTGCCCTTGCTGCTGGCTTGCGCGTGAGAGTGTCTGGGACGGAACCGCCAAGGAGTGAGTGCTTGCCGAGGCGCTTTTCGTAGCTTCCGTAAGGTGAGCAGACATCGAGGCTGCCGGTTGGAGTCTGAAGGGAGGTATGAGAAGTGGTCGCAGGAAGTGCGGACCTCTCATTGGCACGGGATGTTCCTCGCTTGGGGGAACCGAGACGCTGCGGAGAGTCGAAGCAATTGAGCGCCGGTGGAAGATTGACGAGGCGAACGATTTGCGGGTTGGGGTCCTGGGCCTGGACACTGGAGGTGTCACTGGGTTCATGCCCAAGGGATTGACCCCAAGGAACCTAAGGGATCTGGGTAGTGACTGCCGCACTTTGGCGATCATGGGAGGTCGCGCAATGGTTCCCTGATGATTCCAGACTGGATCATCGCTCAAACCAGCTTCTTCCATGGGAGGATCGGGTAACACGTTGAACGGTCGGTTACGGGGCCAGCGCGGATTTGGAGATTCGGGTTGCTGGCGCCGTCCAAATCTCGGCATTGAAAGAAGTTGTCCACTCTTGCGCCATCTAAAGAGCCAATACAGCAGCGACAGAATCAAAGAGACGCCAACTGCACAACTGTCAGCACGAGGAGTCGAGAGGCCACGGTGGGAATGGGACAGGCACATACCAAGCGTTCCAACCGCAATCCCTGCTTTTTGTCCTTGCGATAGAGTCCCATGAGATTCGGACACGGTGGTGCCATTTTGGCTTTGATAACCCCATGGTGTCTCCATTACAGTCGCGCTAGTTGTATGGTGAATGGTTGACTGAGATGTTGTCTTTGCTGGAGCCGACGTCACGGGAATCAACTGTGTTGGCGTTGACACCTGCGTTGCTGTGCCGGCGACCGACAGAGTATTGGAGGCAGTTGAAGCTTGTGAAATAAAACTGCTAGGACTGACGAGAGATGTAGTCGAGTCGAACGACGTGCTGGACAAGATACTTTCCGTAAGGCTGGTTGAAGTGACCGAGTTCGAGAACAATGTCGACGTTGGGTCTAGCGACGAAGTCGTGGTGGCGAGAAAGGAGGGCTCGTCGGTAGCCAGTGGCGCAGGAACACCGGTAGGGAGAATGAAAGGTGGTGTGACGATATCAGGAACAGGTGGGCTTGGGAGTAGAGTAAGGGGATTTGGAGGAGTAAATGGATCTTGGGAATCGGTAAGATCTTCCGCAGTTGCTGTTTCTATCGGGGGAGCCTCACTGGTTATAGTGACTCCGACAGCAGGAGGAGCAGGTGGTCCTTTTTGATTCCCTTCCGGTCCAGGAGGACCGTTCTTGTTATCCTGCAAGCCTGGTGCGTCCGAATTCTTGGGTTCTCTTCTTAGAAGGGGGTCGTGGGATTGGAAGACAGTAGCCCAGTAGCCACTTGGGAGAAGCATCGTTCTAGTGCCACGCCGTACAGCCTTTGTACGGGCGCACCTTCGTTGAGGTCATGCAGGCACCTCCCTCAACGATATCAGAATCCAGCCTTTTCTTGTCGAGGCTGTCAAATCTTAAGCAGAGAGAATCCAGATGCCTCCTATCCACAGGCACCCCGGACAAAGTGGACGACAGAGTCAAAACCGGAAGAATAAGAAAAGGCATGCAGCCGGAGTCTGAAGCGTGCAGGCCAGCTTACGGTCAGAACAGGCTGCAACCGAGCAAAACAAAGCAGAAACAGCAAGGGGCACGCCAGCGGCTGAAGGAAACAAAACCACGGCTTTGGGCAGCTGGCATCAGTTTACCACTTTATAACAAACCATATCCCATCTTGCTTGAACCAGAGGCCGCAAGTCGAATAGAGGGGCAACAAGAGCGGATGTCGGACTGTGGAACAAGAGAAATATGCATGGTATGATCGTCGCCTGCTGTTCCTCGGGGGCTCCAATACACACCCACCGATGACATGCTTTCCACGAGGTGACCGGGTCAGAGCGTCTTGGAGAACGGGGCAAATGTTTCGAGCCAGTGTCGAACAAAAGTATGTGTAGGTCCGTCCAGCTACACATGGCACGTCTTAAAGTGTAGAATGAGCCACGTTAAAGCCATGATGGGGGAGAAACTTGCACGGCCCCAAGTATCCATTCATTTTGATGATATCCTCGGGTTGGGGCGTCTTAAGCCAAGGAGGGAGCGTACGTGTGCTGTCCTACAAGTGGACTATGCAGAAGACGACGACGACGATCCCAACGGCGTATCCCTGCTCGATGGGCGTTTTGAAAGAGATTATGAAACACGATAGACGTTTCTTCAGCAAGGCTTAATCGGCCAGTGGAGGTCCAAAATTCCTGCTGCTTTTTGAACAAGGTCGCAGGGAAGGGGTGCTTTCGCGGTACGCTGTTTTACAATGAGTTGTGTCTAGCCGATTATGGAATGTCAGAGGCATCAAGTCCCAATATGTTCCACGAGGTGACCAGGATTTGATGGCGTCAACTTGTCAGTGAATCCGGCGCGAGTCTCCCGAGATAGGCGAGCCTCCCAGCAAGGGAAAAATATCAAGAACGAGGTCCTCCTCTGGACTGAAGGCTGAGTATACTCGTCCGCAAATACGTAGTGTAGTGTATCCTGGTCCAGGATAGTTGGGTTGGAGATTGCAGACCCGAGCATAGACAAGCGCTTATTGGGTTCGAGAATTCTGGAACGAGAGCTCTTGTAATGTGTTATAATTCAAAGGGCCAGGTAAATAAGTATTGTACACATGGAAATCTGTACACAGATGTTGTCTGACCCAGCATCCATTTAGCTGGTCAGAGGATTCGCAAGACAGACCTTTTCTCCGGGCTTCAGTTTGCGTCAGCACTGTCGCTATCGCCTCGCTGCACATCCAACGCGGCCATTTCCTCCAGAGCAACCAGCTTGTCCTGTAGCACGCTGGTGTCATACGTCGCGCGCCCCTCCGTCGCTGCTCTCAGTTTCCTCAGCCTTTGGCCTTCCTTGCCCGCGTTACCCAGCACACCGCCGATGAGGGAAATAGATCGCAGGGAATCGTCATTCGCAGGTATCGGATACGTCACCCAGGTGGGATTTGCATCGGTGTCAATGACTCCGATCGTAGGGACGTTGAATATCCCACACTCGTGCAGGCAAACTTGATTCTCGATCGGGTTCATGCAAACCACCAGATCTGGACGCATGACTTGATGATAGCCTCTCGACAGGATATCATCGTACTGAGGTAATTGATTGTCATGGATATCGACCACTTTGACGCCACAGTCTCCCAGGATTTGCTGCCCGTTGGTCAGTGCACCCGGGACCCATCGGTGAAAAATGTGGTAGCCTTCCGCCAGTTTTGCTGAGTTGACAATGATCTCTTCCATGCCCTTGCGAGTCCCGATGAAGAGTATGATACCACCACGTTCTGCCACCGCCTGGACCACTTTTGCCGCACGCTTTAGATAGGCATAGGTGATGTCTAACGAGATGATGTGAATTCCATCTCTTACGCCGAATATGTAGCCACTATTCGAAGGATTCCACAACGACGTATGGTGACCGAGATGGGTCTGATTGGCCAGCAACATGGGGAGAGTGAGTTCATCCACTGTTGGAGGCCTGCGAAGAATTGTAGACGGGTCATATGTCTGTGATAGATGCGTCCCTTGACGAGTAGCTCTCTGCATTGCGCGCCGGTGACGGTTCAACTCCTTTAGATTTCGGAAAGGCAGGGCATCTTGAGTGGATGGAGGAGTAGTGCTTGAGGTCGAGCCGGATGCGGGTTTCGACGTTGCTCGAGCAGTAGCGTGTGCATTGATGTCTGCTTGAAGAGCACGGATGGATTTGTGGTGCGACTCGACCATTTCTTCTAGTAGCCTCGTCGCGGCCGTTGGAGCGCGATCAATCGTGTCAAGGATGCTTGAGGGGTCGTCGGGATGGCCTGGTATTCTAGTCGTCCCTTTAGCATCTCGTTCTGAGGGTCGAAATGTGGGATTGTCGGCGGAGATAGTTGTTGCATATGTTCGAGTGACCGTCCGCGATGACTGCGTCAACACTGTCCGCCCTAAAAAGCATTAGAAGAACACGCCAATCACTGTCAAGCCGTACATACCATGCCGGGCACAAAACTGTCTGATGATCATGGTTGCTGGGTTCTGGCTTCAAACTGGACAGGTCGCATTGAGACTTTCCGTCTCTCCCACTGAAGCTGGTGTCGGGGTTAGAGCTTGGCAGGAAGAAACTTGAACGCGCAAACAGACCAAACGCGGCAAACACGGCAAACAACAGCTGCAGCTAGGCTTGGCCGCAGCCTTGACATTGAGTGCCCATTTCTTTCTATGCTCAAGTCATGCTTTGTTTCAGACTCTTGCTTTGAGATATGATCCAAATGCGGAGCTAGACGTACAGCCATGTTCACACTTACTCAAGTAACTGCTCCAGAATGGATGCTTCGGGCGTGCCAGCAGCCACCGGAGCGGACTCAGGTTCAAACACGAAAAAGCCCCCCTTTGGACAGTAGGTCCGGAAATCATTCTTTCCGCTGCACGATCCCGCCAACACGAAACACACATCCCCCAGTATCTCAGTGCTGTTGACGGCTTCCTGCGTTCTCTCAACATATACAAACTGATGTAGTCTTGCTTCTCTGCTGGACGCTATGTTTGGCCTTTGTTTGATATCTCGGGTGGGCGCCAGTGCCAAGGTCCGGCCCGGTGGCAGTAGAAGCTCATAAAGGGCGGGACAGAAAATAGAGCTCTTCTTGACTTAATCCTGTTTACCTCCTGCTTCTTGATCGTCAACAACCTCCAGCTTGCAGCGAGATCATCGAGAGATCAGTCATGGAAATGGTCAGCACAACCTTGACAAATCAGGTCTGTTCCAAAGCTAATGACAGAGTAGGATCGCCCACGACGCAACTTCAATCCAAGGAAGACCAGACGGTATGGACGACAAACTTTTGATCCAGATTACCTCGTCAAGTACAGCCCCAAATGGAAATACTCACGTCTCTACAACTTCCCGTTCCCTGGGGCCCACTGGCAACCACGCATGCGGACCATGGTGATTGCTGTCGATGGAGGATCCCGCGGCAACAATCGCAACGACCCCAAATCTCGAGCCGCCTATGGCGTCTTCTTTGGACCAAACTGCCCCCGCAATGCACACGGGCTGGTACCTCAGAGTGCGCCGCAAACCAGTTCCCGTGCCGAGCTTGAGGCGGTCCGCCAGGCTCTCGAAATTGTCCAAGGCATGAAACATGCAGGCGACATCGACGGCTGGCGTGAGATCATCATCAAGCTGGACTCGGACTATGTGGCGAAGAGCCTTGGTGAATACATCTGGACCTGGGAGAAGAACGGCTTCATGACCAGAAAGGGCACCCCTGTGGAACACGGTGATCTGATTCGCGAGCTGCATGGCACTATTACGCAGTTGGAGCAGGATGGAGCGGTGCGATTCTGGAGGATTGGGCGGGAGTGGAATCGAGAAGCCGATGCCTTGGTGAATCAGGCCCTGGATGTAAGTTCGTTAAAATCCTTTCCCAAATCTCGATCCTGCTCACGCCCTTTACATGCTCACGGCAGAATAGGATGCGGCTGACAGCGGCTATGGAGGATCGTGAGGGTATGGGCCATGTTTCGTGATACCGATGTGGGAATTCCGCTTTCGAAGCGTTGATTTGGTTTCTTTTCCCGATCCGCACTGCTGAGGACGCCTGCATAGCATTCCGGCACCTTGGAGCATGCTTGGATTTGTACTGGTAGTGATGGGTGAAAAGGGGGTTGTCTGCACTGTTGCACTGCTTTACTGCTTTAGTCTTTTTTTTTTCTGTGTAATGTTAAAACTGTGTACGGGTCTTGACTGGTCAAAGAGGGCGTGAGCCAGATTCTGGGTCTCGATCCAGCCTTCCATCATGGGTACCACAGTAAATCCATAGTCGAAGCTCGCTAGCAGATCTTTTGGTTGACAAATATTGTCCAGCGTGGATCCAAAGGTTGGATCAAACCAGCTCACTAAAAGGGCCAAGTGTCTGCTAGACTGTGGGATGATACAAGACAGGGTGGTTGAGCTGGACGCTTGAGGGTATGAGGCTGAAATGAAGCGTAGCCCGGATCCTCTTTGTCCGATCTGCGCCATCAGAAGGTTCCTCCCTCCCTCAAGACTGGCTTGCCTGGTAGCTGGCTTCGAAGCAGAGCTTCTCATAATGGATGTAACCAGACTTCAGAGCTCCATGGCCGCCATACGGCCAAGCACACGTCGACTCTGTCCTTTTTTTCTGCTCGAGACTCGGCTGGAGGTCGCGGCAACTTCAGAGACGTATACAATCTGCTGAGTACGTCAGGCCTGAGAGATGTTGGCTTGTCCGGCTTCGGGTGTTCGTCAGTGGCAGACACTTGTCGAGGCTCCAAGATAAGGTTTTCGCGGTGAGGACCTCAACGACCACCCGCCGCGCATCGACACCAGCTGCTGCCTGTGCAGATCCCTTCTTTTAAGATGCTGTGAAGTATGAGCATCTTGACTTGGATTAAACACTGCTGAATTCCCTGCATCCTGCCAGATTCTGTGTTTGATCACAATCCTACCTGTTCCCTCCGTTTTCAGTGCCAACTCTGGCTACGGCAAGGTATTGCTCGTCCCTACACTGAAGGCGAACACTTGAAGAATCACGATGGACCTCCTCGCGGAACTGGAGAGCATGGCTCTCAACGTCTCAGTCGTACAAGAAGACACGATCTCAGAGCGGGACATCGCACGATGGCAACGGATATTTGGCTATGCGAAACCAGAGGCCGTTCGCCGCATCGAAGAATACCGGAGCAACTACTCGAAGACGCGGATAACTGACGAGCTCTGGGATACAGTCAAATCCCGAAAAGAGGCGGAAGGTTACGACCGGGAAGCATACGAGTACTCACTCAAAAACCAGCAACAAGCTCGTGGCTTGACTGCCGCTCCATGCGTGTCTGGCACGTTCATCATGCAGCTCACATGGCCTCTCGACTCACCGGAAAAAGTTAAGGACGTTGCTGGCTTAAAGGAGGCTCCGTCGATGGCGACAGGAGCAGGTGATCATGGGCAAGTAGATTTCTGCCAGATCGATGGGGTGACGAGAGTGAAGCTGCTGGATTGGGTCGCAGAGCATCACGGCGGCTTCCAACTTACTATCGTTCGCTTGATCAAGGCGAAGAAGAGTCTCTGTTCACAGAGCATAGCTCCAACCCTTGCGCTGGACGCGACCATGCCCCAGAACCGGCTGGACGACGACAAGGACATCCCTCGGCCATTACAAGACGAATATCCTGTATGGTATTTTTTTTACGGTACCCTGGGCAATCCCGAGGTCCTCAAACATCACCTCAACTTGGACACAGAACCGTCTCTTGTACCAGCCCATATCGAAGGTGGTGAAGTTGGACTCTGGTCGGGGAAATATAAGGCGCTAGTGGATTCGCCAGGATCGGCCAACATGAAGGTGGTTGGAAGCGCGTTCCTCGTCCGGTCTCGAGACGAGGAGGACGCGTTGAGATTTTACGAGACAGACAAGTATGAAGTTGTGCGATGCCGCATCTTGACCGAGCAGGGTATTTTCAGAGGGTTGACCTTTCGCTTTGACGGAGTCCCGAAGGATCTAGGATAGCATGGGATAGACGAATGCTGGACTCGATGTGAGAGTGGTGGCCACTGGTCAGCTGATCAGTGAAATGATGGTCGTGGACTACTATGAATTGATGATTTGCGCAGTGGGGAACCAGCCCCTGAGTGCCAAGCCACTAGACTCCTTTTGCGCTGGGCCCTTGCCGCTTGGCATGCGATCCGCCTCTTCTTGTCTTCTTGTTCGCCTTGTTGTTGTTTTCTCCTGCTTCGCCCTCGACGCTGCGCCTCACGAGGTTTCCTTCCTCCAGGTCACAAATACGGAGCACAGTCCACGCTGGCCCGCCACTCGATCTCTCGCCCCTGATCTGGCCTGGTCCTCCAACCTCTCGGCAGCCGTGGGAGGGTAGCACAAAGCGTCGTCTTCATTGGCCCCGCCTTGTCTCCCCCCAGCATCGCCCAGCCTGACTTCGAAACGCGCCGTGACATTTGTCTCGTGAGCATCTAGACAACGCAATTTCACCTTGTGTCTTGGATGATGTTCATTTCTCTGAGTTTAGTATGGGGAGTACAGTTAGGCACTCGGCGTGAATGCTTGTCTAGCCGACTCTTCCTCTGGCTGTGTGCTCTATTCCACCTGTCAGGATCCAGTGGACTGATCTCAAGTGGTACCTATTGCCAGGATCGCCAGCCTCTCCGTCTGGATGTGAAGTTGCACGCTTGGCTCCCCAATCCGAGTACATATCCGCAACCTCGAGCCCTCAGGGTGACTTTTCCCACTTTCCTAGGCGTCCAATTCTAAACAGCCTCTGTTGTTGTCATTCTTCAATAATCACTTTGTGAGTTGCCCAGCACCACTGCACCTGAGCGTCCTCTCCTTTTGCTTTTTGCCCTCTTTTCAAGGCGACTCTGTCTGCGAAACGTTCCGCGCCATACCTCGGAATCCTCGTTGCGACTGCGCATCTAGCCACGAACCAAATCCCACATAGACGCCACCACTATGCGCTCACTCTTCTTTGTGGTGGTCGGGGCCCTCCCCCTCCTGACCTCAGCATGGTCAGAACACACTCTTTTAAGCCGGTCAACTGGAAACGCGACATCTTGCGACACGGGCGACAAGGTCTGCGGCGCCTTCTGCATCCCAAGCGACTATACTTGTTGTCCTGATCTCGAAGGTGGTTGTTCGTCGAAATCAGTGTGCCAGAAAGGCGACAACGGCGTGTATGGGTGTTGCCCGGTCGGGGACACTTGCACGGGCGATGGCGGTGCAGAATTTCTCGACGGCGAGGGTTCGACCAGCACTTCAACCAGCACCGCCGATGCCTCGATTGCATCCAAGACGACTTCGGCCAGCAATGCAGCTCAGCCTCGCGTTGTGGCTCAAGGATTGGCCGCTGCACTGCTGGCCGCCGGCATTGCCGCTCTCCTTTAATCACCGTCAACCACGCAGACTTGCAGCGTCTTATTACCGCAGCTCGAAATCGAACCAAGTTATTGCATATTTGTGAAGAGGAATTAGGGACATCTTTTTGCGGGGGTTGGATGTCAGGATGGCATGTGGACCGGTTGATTGTTATTTGGATTTGATTGATATCCCCATGAATGCATAATTGGCGATGCGAACCTTGTCATTCGAGCTTTGAATACATACCACTCTATCTGACATCGGCTCAGCCACTTCTCACCTGCTTGCCTGTTCCGCCGCCTCGCTGCTTTTTCTTTCGGTGTCTCTTTCATTTCTGCCACCCCTTGAGCCACCTATAGCGACCCTGAGAGGCAAGCCAAGACGAGATTGAGAAGGATATGCAGCAGGCGGCCTGATGTAGAGAGGAGAGGGCCGCTTTACCCTGGAGGCCTGGATTTCTGTATATACAAAACGCGCCCCGAAGGGTCCGCCATATTTCCCCACGTTCTGGGGGTTTGCGCGCGTATCTACTCGGTAGATGCCTTCTCCATAAGATGCAACCCACTGCTCCATCCTCCATGGCTCGGTACTTGGACTGCATTGCACCTTGTGCGCACGGAGTAAGCACCACCATCACCACCGCAAACACCGACAACCACACACAATGTGTGGAGAAGGCAACGGTGCTTTATCCGAGGTAACGCAAAGTAACGAAGCCACACTGTGCCCGCACTTGAGCTGTTTCCTCTCAGGAAGCACTGTTCGAGTATGTAATACCCTCTAGGCTGGCCTGGCCGTATTCATTCCTCCTTTCCAAGTTTCAACTGCCGGTGCCGGGTTGTTTTCGCTGCAAACTCTCTCACACGCTCACAGCAAGGCGAAATAACACCGCGCTTCGTCGGCCATCGACCCTTTCTCTCTCTCGCCGAATTCGACATTCTATCCAGATACATTCGGCCCAGGGACACCGACCAAGACATGTCGTCCATGAGAGCCGCCCGCTTCTACGGCAACAGGGACATTCGCGTCGAGGACGTCCCCGTCCCGGAACCGGGTCCAGGCGAATGCCTTGTGGAAGTTGAGTGGTGTGGGATCTGCGGGAGCGATCTGCACGAGTATGCCGCCGGTACGTTGCGATATTGAGTGTTTTCGCCTGTCGAAGAGGGGGGGTGGGGTGAATGCTCCTTGTGAACGACATACGAGGATGTCTACAATTCGGCCACCCAAGGGAATTTGGTCCGGGTTCTTGACTGACCGATTAATGACAACCCTGCAGGCCCCGTCTTGATGCGCACAGTCGATCCAGAGACCGGCAAGCCGCGGCCCATCATCTTCGGGCACGAGTTCTGCGGGCGGCTGAAGAGTGTGCCCGCGGGGTCGCCGCTGCAGGTCGGGCAGGCCGTCATGGTCGACCCGCACTGCATCTGCCGGACGTGCGTCTGCTGCACGGCCGGCAACGACCACATCTGCCAGAAGCTGGGCTTCATCGGCGGCAGCAGCGGCAAGGGCGGCGGGCTCTCCCAGTACGCCACCGTCGAGGAGGCGCACTGCCTCCCGCTGCCGGCCAACGTGAGCCTGGACGACGCCGCCGTCATCGAGCCGCTGGTCGTCTGCCACCACGCGGCCAAGGCCTCCGGGCTGGCCCTCGAGGGGCTGGACGTGCTGATCCTCGGCGGGGGCCCCGTGGGCGCCGCCCTCATCTCGGTCCTGCGCGCCCACCGCGTCGCGCGCATCATCCTCAGCGAGCCCACGGCCAAGCGGAAGGAGCAGGCCAAGGACGTCGTCGACAGGGTCATCGACCCGCGCACCGAGAAGGTCGGGGACGTGTGCCGCGAGCTGACCGCCGGCAAGGGCGTGGATGTCGTCTTCGACTGTGCCGGCGTGCAGCCCGCGCTGGAGGCGGGCTTTGACGCCCTCAAGTCCATGGGGACCTTTGTCAATGTCGCCGTGTGGGAGAAGCCGGTGAGAGTTTCTGCAGTCTACTTCCCCTCGTGCATGGATGCATGGATGGCGTGACAAACCGAGGGGATTGGTTTTGCTAACCCGTGAGATTTGCCGCCAGATCCAAATCCAATTCCTGCCCTTCTTCTTCAAGGAGATCAAGGTCATGAGCTCGTGCTGCTACAACGAGCAGGACTTTAAGGAGGTCATGGAGTTGATGGCCAAAGGCAAGTCTACGTCCTCATTCCCTATGATAACCACTCTCCTGTCTCGGCCTTGACTATTATCACCACTCTCCTCTTTTCTTCTCGTGTGTGAGCCGAACTTAACTTACCTTCTCCTCCGGCGGTCTCCTACAGGCTCATTCGAGGGCTACGAGAAAATGGTCACCAGCCGCATCTCCCTGGAAGACACCGGCCCCAAGGGCTTCGAGGAGCTGGTCAACAACAAGGACGACCAGATCAAGATCCTGATCTCGCCCAAGATCAGATGAGTTTTTTGGAGCCCCCTAGGCCCATTAGGCCAGAGTCTGGAGCACTGGGTCCTGGCTCCTGGCTCCTGGCTCCTGACTCCTGGGCCTTGGGACTTGGTCATTTGGTTATAACTTATACTATACCACATTATATTATATCATCTCGACACGAGTACCTCGTCCAAGTCAGATTCAGATGGGGGAACTGAGAAAGCTTGCGGTAACATAGCATAGCAATCGCAATCGCAATGGCATAGCATGCGTGACATGATATGGTTGTTTAACAGCCTAGATTGCAGCTTTTGCGTTCGGTTCTAGCAGATTTATATTACCGGTCAAGAGCGAGTCTCCCTGGACACGCCAGCCTCGGAACGTACGAGTCAAGATGCAGTCAAGACAGCTAACGTGACGGCATCTTCAAACTACGTCGTCTCTGAGAGGTACGTGTAACTTTATCAATGTCGACGAACCAAGATTGTATGCCCTGGCTTCGAACGGCGCGGTCGACATCGGCGTCTCAAATACTCGCCCGCCTCGGCGCCATTGCTCTCAACAGCTTCTTGCCCTCCTCATCATTCGCGGCCACCCAGGCGTCGATAATGCCATTCAGTTGGCCCTCGCTCCGCAGTCTCGAAAGGAATTCCTTTGCGTAGCTATACCCGACCTCGTAGATCTCGTCAAACTTGGCAAACTCCAGTGTCCCGTAGGCTTCGATCGGAGGGCGCATGTAGATACACCCCGGGGTGGCTTTCGCGCGTTCTAGGGCGTCGACCGAGGAAACGTACGCCAGGCGAGCTTGGATGTCGGACAATGTCGGTGGATTAGGGATCGAAGAGAAAGGGTTCCAGCGGTTGAGCAGCGACCAAAAGCCCGAGAGGGTGTCGCCATATTGTTGCGGAGTGTCGTCGTCCACGGCGCCGACGTCGACTGCGAAGACGAGATCGGTGCCAAGAGATTTCATGTGCTGGACTGTGAGGTTGTCGATGTATCCCCCGTCAAGCAGCATGCTGCCTTCATCACAGATTGGCGGGATCAGACCGGCGAGGGACATGCTGGCCCTGACATATCTCCATGCATATCCCGAAGTGTGGATCTCCGCGCGGGATTTGCTGATATTCGTAGTGTTGCAGTAGAAAGGCAGCCAAAAGTCCTCAATCTGCGAATCCCCAAACGCTTTGAACATGCCACGGTTGAATTCGTGACCGGTGGTATATGCGGCGGAGGGATAGGTCAAGTCCAGCGCGAACCGCCACATACTGCCCATCCGACCCGCGAATTTCTTCGCGCGCCCGTACATGGGCACCACATCTGCATCACGGGCATAGAGGGCTCCCAAAAATGCACCGATCGAAGTCCCCCCGACGATGTCGATGGGTATGCCTGCCTCTTCGAGGGCCCGGATGACCCCAACATGTGAAATACCGCGCGCACCGCCCCCACCGAGCACCAGCCCAACAGACTTGCCGCAGAGTCGTCTCGCAAGTCGATGCAGGTCGCCTTTGAAAGGGGTATCAGCAGAATACAGCGGCGCCTGGCGAACTCGGCGAGAGGTGTACTTCTGGATCTCGGCTTGAATGACCTGGACACTTTGCTTGATCGCCGAGCCGAACCTTCGCGGAGGGGAATGCGGCGTGGCTTCGGGGCTCACACGAAATGCCATCTGGATATGATGATGACCACCGTTGATCCACATTCGGTTGCTCATCCATTTCCTGGTCAGGCCTGGTTGCGAGTATCGATCGACGTGGAGGAGGACAAGGTCTTTCCGGGCGGTTGTTTTCATTCCCAGAAGGAATCGCTCGTACTCACCAATACTCGGTGAGCTCTCAGCCAAGCCAACCAGCAGAATGCAGTCTGCTTGGGAGATGCAAGTTTGAGTCCATGGAGCATTCACACTGGTATCTGCTATGTAGAGCACCATACCATATTTCTCTTCGAGGTCGGCGAGATACTGTGACAGCTTGAGACGACCCATACGGTTGAAGGCGTGTCGGCCAAGGTGGCTAAGGATGATGGCTTGGTTTAGCAACGTAACGCCATTCGGCACTCCGGTCTGGCTTAATGCTGCCAGTAACCGATTCCCAAATTCAACGACTGGGACTCCCGCTGTGACTGGCAACACCGCTATCGTCCGGAGATTCAGGGTAGATGTGCTTGAATCACTCAACGCGGCTCTCTTCCTCTCTTGGCCCTTTTCCGTCATCGGAGCTTCGACAAGCGCTCGCATGCGCTGCGCGATCAACTTTGAAATTTGGATGGTGATATTGGGATGCTCCTGTGCGAGACTGTTAAAGAGGCTTCTCGGGAACTTGGCCAGTTCTGTGTCACGTATAGCGTGGAGGGTGGCTGGCCTGGTGCCATCGGTCATAACTTCCAACTCCCCGATGCTTTCACCTTGGCCGTATTCTCCTGTCACCCTCATGGTTCCACCCTCCAGCTCGCGGACTGCTCGTAGTCGCCCGTTGAGGACGATGTAGATGGCATCGCTATCGTCTCCCTGGTGATGGATGACTTGACCGGCATTGACTTGTACCCACTCGAGAGCAAAGTCAATATGTAAGATCAGCCTCGGGAGCAGACTGGTGAGGCGTTTCGCCATTGTCAGGAGGACAATTGGATATTTCTCGGCAACCCTCTCCAATGCGGAACGAGGGAGGAAACCCACATAGACGTCCGTTTTGGCCGTCACATCCGTAAAAGATCTGTAGGACGACAGTGTCCCAACGTAGCCAGCAATGCCACCAGGTTTGACCAGAAACAACGTCTTCTGCACCATTCTTTTGTTGTCTTTGGGTTGTCCCGGGAAGCCTGCGGTCGATTGAGTTCGCGAAGTGGAGGTTTTAGTTCTTCGAAGACGTGGGAAAGTGTCGTCTCTTGAGCCTCTCCGCGACCGGCGGCGATCGTCTGATTCTTGTTTCTCTTCTTTCTCTTCGACCGGGATGCTAACACCTAAGAAGCCGTCAATCACATAGTAGAGACCCGGGTTCCGTTCGCCTTGCTCGACCAACACAGAGCCTTTTGGAAAATACACGATCTCGACATCGTCCATTAATTCCTCGTTCAAAGTACGGCTGTTTAGCGGGCCGCCAACGCTGGCGGCCGAAGCCGTCATGGATTCAGACTCGCCATCCGCCGAGCCTTCGTAGGGGTCGATGAAGCCAAAGGCATTATTGAAAATCGCCGTTTGGCGTTTTGCGTCGTAGGATACAAGCCGTGGAGACTGCTCGACCGAGACTGGAACACCTTTCAAGGCCTGGGTTACCGTTTCGCTCAACCCAAGAGCTTTGGCCATGCACTCCAGCACAGATTCGCGAAACAAGCTGTCCTCATGGATCGAATCTTGTCTGTGCGGGATATCGTTGCTGAAAGACGACTGGCGAAAAGGTTGTGGTTCTCGGGTTCCCATTGGGCTCAGCTCCATCCTGAACCCGTCAGGGGCTCCCATACTCGTCCAATTCGAGGTCGAGCGGAGATGAAGGCTGGTTGGTCTCTGACTTGGCCTCGACGCGCCATGCAGATCACCCGAGCTGACGTTTCTGTCACCTATTCCCGGCCGTATGGAATTCGGTGCCGAAGAAGAGCTCGCTCCCTTTGCTGCGTTGAGCCGAGCTATCGTGGCGGCTTCTTTGCGAAGGCCACTTGAAGATCTCCGCCGGCCTGCTGTCGGATTGTGTAATGCAATCCCTTTCGTTCCTTCTTCGGGGCCAATCCTCTCTCGTTCTTTGGCAAACTTGTCCCGTAATCTGTCAAGGGCATGGCCGCGGAGATGGTTGGGTAGATCATAACTGGTGTATTTGTTCATCAGCTTCTCGATCTGCAGGACCTCCGAGGTCAGTCCGAGATACTGATGCGCGGTTGACAGCGTCACTCGGTGCAGCCTTGTCAATATCACCTGTACTATGTGGGCGGTGGCTTTGGGGTACACTCTAGTCAAGCGGCGAAATGCGCTTGCCGGGATGATGGCTATGGTGGTGTCAACCACTGCTCGCGCCACAATATCAGGATGCGCAGAAACCGAAAGCTTGGGTCTGGCTTGGTGGTTCTTATAGTGGCGTTCATCAAAGGCAGATCCAAGGGTCAACGGTGGCACGCTAGGGAGCCTGGCTTTCTGCGTTTCGCTAAGACCACCAGCGACGGCTGACCCTGGCGTCGGCGGATCCATTGTCGGGCTGGCAACGTTCGAATCTGGGGTGCGAGTGACGTGGTTGGTAAATCGCGTGCCATTGGGAATCTGGTCGTCATGGCGCAGCTTGACATCTTCGGTGAACAAGGACAGGATTGAGAATAAAGAGGACATTGACGCTCCATTCTTAACTTCGGTCAATAACTGATATCCTTGATTGCCTTCCCGATATCCTTCGTCTTCGTCGAACAAGTCAATTTGACCAGTACTGGTGCCGTCGGGCGAGTCTCTCAAAGATTTGACAAATATCTGGACCAGCCCGTCCACCACCAAACAGAACCCTTTCTCTTCCTCAAGCAGCAATGTCTCCCCCGCGATGAGCTTCCTAGTCTGCATCGTTCGCGTCAATTCGTGAAAGATGGGCCTTTCCAGGTATCCAAACACCTTGATTGCGCTAAGGAATTCGTCGAGGTAGTTGGCCAATCCTGGTTTCGAGTCTCCATCTTGTGTGTCTGGAAACAAGTCTATCTGGGGTTCTTTTCGCTGCGGCTCTTGAGGTAGATGTGTATAATAGTTTAGGAAACGATAGCGGATGAACCAACTGACGGTCGAGACCACGGCGACGAAGATCAAGAGCCTTCAAGCTGTCAGTAGGAGAAAAGGTAAAACGAGTGAGGGGCGTCGCTTACAGAGTAGTGAAATTCATGGTAAAGGTCAAGCTCATCGAAAAAAGAGTGAACAACCATGTCGGCAGCGTAATTGTACAGAATGCTATGATCCATAACAGCGCATGAGGGAGAAAAGTCACGAGAGATATGATGGCAGCACCAAAGCCCCTTCCAGGCGACGATTGTCCATGTCCCACCAGGACATTTGAACCTGCGGCGGAGGCATTCATGTTGGCGACCGAGCTCAGGTTTGCCCTGAGGCTCGTGGGGGGCACAAGTGGAGGGCTAGGCTGGAGGAGCTCTAAGGGTGAAAGTGAATGATCCGAGGCCAGCCAGTGAGCACGTCACGAGGACCGGGCATTGCTTCTGCACCTACTTGCCGGGCGAATGGAGGCAGTGCTCTTGCATGGCGGACTGGAACTAGTAGGAGAAATGAGGGAAATGAGGGTAACGAGAGTGAGATGGGTGGTAAGAAGAAGGAATCAACGACCATTGTTGATCGAATAAAAACGCACGTGAAATGGAAACGAGGGTTGCGCCGGTTCAAGCTTTCTGGCCGCCCGCCGTCGATCAGATGTGAGGCACTGGTGACAATGCGGTGGTGGGTGGTGGGTGGTGGCGGGTTGGCGCAGGGATGGAATTTGGCTGGAGATCATATCCAGAATGACAGCCACGTGACAACGCTGTCTATGGTTATATAAGCAGTCTTGGCGAGCATATACGATATACGAAGTATATCAAACACAACCATATGTGGCATCCCAAACACGACCTAAGTAGTGGGTAGGTACATAGGGATATAATTGTGGAGAATATCGTGAGCACCAATTCAAACTCCCAATCGATAGCACTGGGATTTGCCTTCTCCTGTTCGTAACGCAATTACCGCCTCTCGTGTACCAACCTCCCTCCGACCCAGACCCGTTTCACGTTCCTTTCGTCGCCATTCCATACCCATTTGGCCACTCGATCCTCCCAAGCTTCCCATCCGAAGATGTCCACCCCTGTATCAGCCCCTCCACCACTAGAATCGACGTTCCCCATCACAATCTCCTGCACATCCCAAAGCATTCCCTCCTCGAATCCACCTAGCCGTCCTTCCATCCCTACGACTTTTGCGCCGCCCATCGTAGCCAGCCACAGCCCCTCGGCAACGCTGAGATTGAACTTGCTATCGCCACCATTCAAGAACCCCACGTGCCGACTCACAATGCAAGCATTCCGCACCGCGTCGAGTATGCTGGGGCTATACCCGCCACTGACATCTGTGCCCAGGCCAACCTCAACCCCTTCATCCAACAACGTCCGCACCGGGCAAAATCCACTCCCCAGGGCACTGTTGCTGGCGGGACAGTGACTGACTTTTGTTTTCCTCTGCTTGACGAGTTGCATCTCCTCTTTGCTGAGGTGTACTGCATGCGCCAGGATCGTTCGTGATGTCAGCAGCCCGTGATGATCATAGACCCCTGCGTAACTCGATTGATCGGGGAACAACTCCTTGACCCATTTCACTTCGTTCAGGTTCTCCGAGATGTGCGTCTGCACTCTGAGATCTTCTTCCTTGGCCAATGCGCCCAGTTGGGAGAGTGTTTCCGGGAGACAGCTGGGCGCAAATCTCGGCGTGATGATGTGGGCCACAAGCTCTCCCGAGGGATCCAGGGATTTGCAATATTCGATGCTGGCTTTCGTGTTTGCTATCGTCTGCTCCGTGCTCTCGTCTCGATAATAGTCCGGGCAGGCCTCGGGCCGGTCCATGCACACTCGTCCGATATACGCCCTCTGGCCCTTTTTGAAGGCAATGTCAGCAAGGAGATTCGTCGCCTCCAGGTGAATGGTGGCATAGTATGATGCCGTTGTCGTCCCGAGTGAGAGTGTCTTGCTGATGACTCTGTTGTAGACAGCTTTGGCGCGAGCGAGCGGGTCGGGCGGCTCAATTGAATCCTTGTACATGGGAGATTTGTCGGTGCCAAGGGAAGATTCCAGGGGAAATGTGTATGTGGTTAGCCAATCCAGTAGTGTCGACTTTCCGAATATTCCGGCATTGGGGTATTGTGAAGCGTGTATATGGGTATCTATGTCAGAGCAGTGGTCAGCCCTGTTCGCCGAACAACATAACCATTTCCAGCATTGGGAGTCAGAAACGCTTCTCGCTTCTTTTTGATGGTAACCCAGATGTATGAGCTAGGTGAGGTGTTATCAGCCCAAGTGTAAACCTACCAATAAATCCAGGAAAGAAGAATGCATTCTCGTCGGCTGTCACCACCGGCGCCTCCACGCCGAACTTGCTGAGCGCATCGTTTGGCCCGTTTACAGTCCAGTCTGCCTTTTCTATAACTCCTCTGCCGTTCTTCTTGTCCACCAGCACGGCGCCTGTCCGTATCAGAAGTTCATCAGGCTTCGGCGTGGAGATGAATCGGCCAAAATAAATCCGTTTCTGGGTCATTTTCCGTCTATCCGCAATGTGTCTGGAAACCAGGTGGAAAAGAGTCTAAGCCTTCGAGGAGCGTCGAAGCATCTAAGTAGAGCAGAGGAAGGGTGGAAATAACAACGAAAACCAAAGCAGCTCTTGGCTCTCTTTCACAGTAGCAGCGAGAGAGAGCCCTTATCAGGAATACGAATGGAAGAAGAAGCAAGCAAGCAGAAAAAGGTTTCGACGAAGACCAAGGTGGCAGCCAATCGGCGTGGCGTCAATGTCGCTTAATGGCCGTCGGCGGATCCCGACATGGGCTGGAATTCTCTGTTTTTCTCCCAGAAACGGCATGTCTAATCCAGAATACCAGGTAAACAACTATTTCCATCGATCTGTCCACACGCGATAGACAATCCCCCACAATGGGCCTTCGTATTCAGTCATCATCATCATCACTGTCCACAACAAAACCCCCTCTGATCACAGGCCGCCGTCTCGCCGTCGGCATCACGTCTTCATCCTCATCTCTGAGCTCTATCTCCTCTTGAGCAGCTTTTGTGCTTGGCTCGACAGCTGAGCGTGGCTGGTCAAGCTCCCTGAGGACCGTCTTCTCAATTGTCAGATCAACATTCGCGCTCGCGCTCTGAGAAGACATTGGAGTATCGCCATCATCCTCTCCCTCCTCCTCGCTATCCCATGCCCTCCGTTGCTGCGACGAAGCTGTCTCGGTGTGGTGGTCATCGATGTCGGTCATAAGCAGATCATCATCACCGTCTCGCTCTTCATCGGTCGGAGCAACACGCTTATTCTGTGCTCTCTTGCTTGCTGGTTTGGATTGCTTCTCACTCACACCCAGACTGATCTGGTTTCGAAGTTCGTTTCGAATCTTCTCCGCATACTTCGTCCGCATCTGCTCCTCCCGTTCGAAGAATTGGCGATCCTTCTCCTCATCCGATTCCTCGTCACTATCCCTGATGTAAGCTTCACTCTTGATTTTGCGTCGCCTGTCCAATGCAGCTGCTTTTCGCGCTGCTCGTCGTTCAGCTGCTAGTCCTTCGTCAATGTCATCCTCATCGCCGTCATCCTCGCCTCGCTTTCTTTTGCGCTTTGCCCGGAGCTCAGCAATGGCGTTCTTCGCTTTCTTTTTCCGCGGATTGTCCGGAAATAGGAACTCCTCTTCACCCTCAGAATCGTCAAGGAAAGCGCCGCGTGCTGCGTCATCCTCGTCATCTTGACTTGTCCTCTCTTTGTTCCTTGCGCGACGGATCATATCCTCGGCTTCTTCGTTCTCATCCTCTCCCTGCCATGGCGTCTGTTCGTACTGTTCTATTGTGGCCTTATGGTCTGAAAGCTGTCCAGCGGATACATGTCCAGGGATGATCCAGCTCGCTCCAGGCACGTCTTCATCTCCGAGCATTTCAAAGCCAACAAGGCGCATTAGCAATTTCAATCTTCCGTTCTTGAACATTGCCATTTTGATGTCATCCGAGGAAGGATGTACTGTGATGTATGATGGTTCACCAACATCCACATTTTCAGGGGTGTCCTCGCCATCCTTTTGCGCTGCCTCAATTATTGCCACTTTCCGTGTCTCGGCTTCTGCTTCCCAGCCATGTCTTTCGTCGAAGGCGTTCCCCAATATGGTCTTCACCCATCGGACAAGGTCTGTCTTGCCGTCTTTCAACAGAGCTGTAATAACAATACCGATCTGCTCTTTCACATCTCTTCCGGGTGCTGGCCTGACTTCTAACTCTGCAGGAGCACGACTTGCTGCAATCGTCTGTTTCTCTTGGCCATATTCAAGATAGTACAAAGTCGAGTTGATTTTGCTGAATAGCATTTCCACTATCAGCTCCGGTCTTTGGTCGATCTTCTTGAACATTTTCTTAAACACTTGACGAGCAAATTCCGACCATTCCTTGTACATCGCATGTTTCCGATCAAGCGCCTCCGGGCCAGTGATCATCTTATTGAAAAGAGCGATAATGTCGATGCGGTAGAGTAGGACAGCCAGGTCCTGCTTGAACGCCACTCGATAGAAGAATCGATGGGCACGTTTGAGCTGTTCAAGGCTGAGATCTCGGTACAGTGCGGTAAGAGAGACAAAGGTATTGACTGAGTTCTGGGTAGAGAACTTTGCTGCGAAGCGGTTGAAATCGAACTTTCGTTCCTTGGAGACTTGAATCACATCGGCAATGTCTTCCATTTCAGAGACCTCGTCATCTGCAGCAGGATCGTCACCACCTTCAGCAGTCTTTCTCATCTCCTCCTTTCGCTTCTTCTTCACCCGGCGTCGAGAGCGTATCTGCAGGTCGACATTCTCCTTCGAATATCTCTCCAGCATGCGTAAAAAGACGTGTGCTAGCTCGGTGCAGGCATCGAGATAGCCAAAACCTTGATCCTTGTATCCTTTCAGGATCTCTACAACTCGATCATGCGTCGTTTCCTCGTAGAATATTCGGTTCTGGATATTGTCTGCGATTTCTTGATCCTCTTCCAGGGGACTCTGTGCCATCTCCTGGACTGTAAGCAAAACCTGCGTGAAGCAACGCATGCAAGCATTCAAGTCTTGCCACTCTTTGTTATCCAACGACACTTGCATAAATCGATTTAGCATGATGAACGTTTCTTGATTGAGCACGGCCGCAACAATTGAATAGCTCTCATCAGTGAAATCATCTCGGACTTTGTCCGGCTTAACCTCCTTCTTTTGCGTCTCACGTCGGATACGTTCGGCTTCGAGAAACCATGCAACCGCGTAGAAGAACTGGCGATAGTTGACGTCGAGCAACCGTTCTGCTTCTCGCTCAATGGCTTTGCGGAGATGTGTGAAGAATGGATTGAAGCCAGAATCGAGGAACTCCTCGACGAAGTTCCGGAGTTTCTCGGCTGCAGAATCTGTCAGATGCGTAGTGCGGTCGAAATCGTGGATTGTGTGGTCGATGTCTCTCCGTTTCTGCTGGGGCTTATTCCATTTTTTTGACTTGTCCATGTTCAACAACGCTTGCTGATCGTTCCGGAGGTTGTCTTGACCCGAAACAGCAGACATCTTTTCCCCATCCCGCTTCACCCAAAGCATGGTTCCGAAGCGCCCATGTCTGCTCCATTGATGCTTCTTCGTGTCTCGGTTCTTGCTTTCTTCCACGGCCAGAGCAGCTCCTAGATCAGTGATACCCTGACTTTTTCTCTCTTGCTGGGTCATCCACAACCTTCTTGGGTCGACACCTTTAATCAGATTGAAGATTATATCCAACACAATAACGTCCTGCAAGTTGAAATCTTCTCCCATATTTGAGCAGATGGTCAGAAGTAAGGCGAAAATATCTTGGTCTCTGAATGCCTCTATGGTCGCTGATCGGGAGACTTCTGAATCTAAACCTTGGCTGGGCAAGTTGGGAACCTGCTGTATAACAGCGATATTTCGGAAAAAGTAGAGCATAAGCTTGAGGATGCCTTCGTCTCGGCTCGTTCTCTCGTCTCTCGCCGCGGCTACCGAGGGCAGGCCAATTCGCACTACCTGACGCAGGATATTGCTAGTATCGCAGCCCAGGATGGCGGCCTTGTAGATGACTTGGGCTTGCTGAATGTATGGCGTGTGTCGGTGATGGTTGACGGTCATTTCTCCTGTAGTCTCAAGTGGCCATGTCAGGGGGACTAATACTTCCAAGCATGCCAATGCAACTCGAGCTTTCAGTTTGTTCTCCTTGCCGTCTTCGGGCCATGAGGCGAGAATAGGGACCAGGTCTCCTCCGACGAGCTTGGCTTCTGCGAGACATCTCGCCACATCGAGTCGGTTGTTCTTCTCATCATACAGCTTCAACCACCGCTTGAGATCTCGAAGACAGGCGAGCGCATCGTCACCGAGGACGTAGTGGCCATCGTCGTCTGTACTACTCCCGCCAAGCTGGTGGACGTTAGCATATCTGGTCTGTCAACCGTGCATCGAGCCACATACTGCGTTAACCAGACTGTACACATAGGCTCGAACTTCAGGATGAACGGTCTGGGCCTTGGTGAAAGGATTGCTGTCGTCGATAGAGTCCATGTTATCCACTTATACCATCATTGTTTGGAAGACAGAAAGTTGACCTCAGAGGAAGAAGCAGGTGTTGGCTCGAGACGCGTCTCGACGCCCTTGACGCGTTAAGTTATTCGGGCGGACCATACGGCTCCAAAGCGCAGAATTTCCTGCTTATCGTCGAGCCTCGGTCATCGATAAGGGCCATTCGTGCGACCCGCGTGGCGTCCTCGGCGGGTGCTTCAAGGAGAAATCCCGGCGTTTGTGCAGCTTGGAAGCACGTCGGGCTCTTTAAAGACCGCTAGCTCGATGCTGCGAACGATCAACTAACTCGCACCCACTGCTCACAGATCTTTTCACAATGGCTTCGTTGTCGAGGCTATCTACCAGAGTGATGGCTTCCTCCAAGTCGCAGATTGCCTCGCAGAGGCTCGCCTCGCTCAACCGTCAATTCTCTTCCACGCCCTCATTGGGCTTCGAAGTCAAGAAGCTCGGTGTTATTGGCGCTGGCCAAATGGTATGCTTCCGCATGAGCAGGTCGTAAAGGACATCTGCAATTTCTAACAACGGCCAGGGTCTCGGCATCGCACTCGTCGCCGCCCAAAAAGCCCAAGTCCCAGTCACGCTTGTGGACACTTCCCAACAATCCCTCGACCGAGGCCTAGCATTCGCCGACAAGCTCCTAGCAAAGGATGTCTCGAAGCAAAAGATCACCGAAGAGATTGCAAAAGCCACAAGAGAGAGGTTAAAGCCCACCACAAAGATGTCAGACTTATCAGACGTGGACATGGTTATCGAAGCTGTGCCCGAGATCCCATCATTGAAGGAAAAAATCTTTGCTGAATTGGCCGAAACATGTCCTAAACATGCCATCCTGGCTACAAACACTTCGAGTATAAGCATCACCAGGATTGCTCGTGCGACGTCGAAGGACCCCACAGACACCTCAGCCTCGTCGCGGGTGGTGTCCACGCACTTTATGAACCCTGTACCAGTTCAGAAAGGCGTGGAGATCATTTCAGGCCTGCAAACCTCTCCGGAAACGCTCGCGGCCGCCGTCGCATTCTGCGAGAAGATGGGCAAAGTCTGTTCCGTTTCAGCTGATAGCCCTGGTTTCCTCGCCAACAGAATCCTGATGCCTTATATCAACGAAGCGATCATTTGCTTGGAGACGGGTGTGGGCAAGAAAGAGGATATCGATAATATCATGAAAAACGGTACGAATGTGCCCATGGGCCCGCTAACGCTTGCGGATTTTATTGGCCTAGACACTTGTTTGGCGATCATGGAGACGTTACACGCAGGTCTGGGGGATAGCAAATACAGGCCGAGCGTGCTGTTAAGGCAGTACGTCGATGCTGGCTGGTTGGGCAAGAAGAGCGGCAGGGGTTTCTACGAGTATAAGTGAGCTAGCTCCTTTCTGGGGTATTTGGACTGGCGGCACCCAGGTGGTGGGGCTTGAAAGCTTCTTGGATTCTGCAATGGCGGTTCCCATGCGTTAGATGCACGGGTTACGTAGGAGATGAAAAAATGGCCCATAACACCAAATGATCTATCAAAATGTATTCCTAGAAAACCTAGAACCGACTCATCTGTCTTTTCCTTCCTGACCCTCTGTTTATTTCCCATAACCCGCCGAAGCTCGACCCCTCGAGAACAACTCCAGAGAAAGCTGGGTTCCAACCAGCCGTTCCTCGATCGTTCCTTAGAGAACTTCCGTCTCTAGGTAAATTTCCTCCTCGGGACTTCTGTACTCTCCACCCTCCCCACTTTCTCTGCACCAGTCAACCGCGCATTAAACTCGTCCAGCCGATCCAAGGGCAGATTCAAGAACAAATGCTTGTTCTTCCACCTCACCTCACTCTCAATGTACGCTTGGCTGGCCGCTCCAGGGGGTGGCGGCGGTTCCGTAATCTTCGTAATCAAGTACGCCGTACTCGCTTCCGCAATGCCGTATATCAGCACTCCCAGCAGCGGCACCTTCACCATGACCGTGAACGCGGCGGAGAAGCCGAACAAGACGCCGCTGCGGTCGATGAACCAGATCTTCTTTTGTTGGTTCGTGAAGCGGATGCGGTGGAAATAGGGTTCCAGTAAGCGCGACATGAGACTGCGGCTCGAAAAATAGGTCTGGAGGAAGTGGACCATGTAGTGTTTGGGAATGATAAGGCCGGATGCGAACACGATACCCGCGGGCACCGGTCCGACGGCCTTGTTGAATGTGTAGAATGAGGCGACCGGAAGAACGAAGCGGCCCACGCCAGGCACGAAGGTGAGCGCGTAGATGGCCAGAGAAATTGCCGCCCGGCGGCCATACTTCGTAAGGAAGATGATGGCCCCATCGACAAGGGACCGCCGTTCTTTCTTCTCCTTCTCACCGTGCGTCGGGTACATCTTGAGCGTGGGGTAGTACATGCCCCGTAGCGTGGCCGGGTCGTCGGATTTGTGCTTCTGCACGTAAGTAGTGTCCACCCACTTCAGGGACTCCATGAAGAGGTTGTCCAACGTCGGAGTCACGGATCCCATGACCATCATCAAGAAGAAGGGAATCTGGAGCACCGATTTCGAGATAAAGTCCAAGCCTGAGATGACCTTGTCGTCCCATGTCTCGTGGTCGAGATTGACGAAGATTGATATGATCCATATGAGGATCTTGACAATATAAATCGGGATATTGAGGATAATCCGGATGGCGAGTCCCGCGCAGACTGCGATTGCGGCTTGTCGGTAATGCGCCGTGGTGAAGAGCTCGGGGTTTTGCAGAGCTCGGTGGGCGCCTACAAAGGTGAGTTGCGCTCCGCGGAGGATTGCATTGGGGTCAAAGTTAGACATGATGGGGGGTGAACCAAGTCGACAGTCTGCTCAGATGTTTGGACGATCGAGCCACAGATGTCTCTTCTTCGTTTCTTGCGGTGTAGATTGAGGCCACACACACGAGTGGGAAGAAAGTGGTTGACGCTTTCGTCATTGGCGGGGTCGCGAACAAGGCTGGGCTTGGCACGACGGGTGGATCTCCCCGCAAGGCTGCACCAAAAAGGAGGCTCTGGGGTGGAGGTTGTCCCAGTTATAGCATCGTCTGCTACACTACAGCCATTGTAAGACACTGAGATGAGGTAGTCTCTTCTATGTGTTCACCGAGAACTGTGCCAGCGCCTTTCTAAGGTCGAGTAGCTGCAACCCTAGGGCATATCTTCGTGACCACCCCAGAACACCTTCGCACAAACGAACCTTTAGTGGTGGATGATTCAATACATCAATTTGTCTATCCCTTGTCCTCTCCTGGCGGATGGCAGATATTTAACCAATTCTATCTACCTCGTATCCTGATTAGCACCCGAGTCATCTGCAATTCATGCCCAATGATTTTCTTTTCCTGTCCTCTCATCCATTTCCAAGAAGTCGTCTGGGTGTTCTTCACGGCCTTCGTCAAAGTCTCCTGGACTCCACTCAGGCTCTCCGCCCATGTCCAAGAAGTTTGCTGGGCGGTCCTCTTCGTAATCGTCTTCGCCCAACTTCTGTCCCTCGGCTGTGCACCATGATGAGAAGCGCATGTGTCATGATCGCCGAACGTTCTCGGGAAGCCGCTCGGTCCAGGCTGCGTTTGTATTATGTTCATCCCATACTCCATCGAAACGACTTCCACCTGCAGTACCAGGTTGTGTATATCGTGCTTAGAGTAGCCGATTCTGCATACACCTTTCCGCCGCGGTGTGGAACTTCCTCCGGATCCAGATGGCCGGAAACTGGTTCATCAAGCTTGTCAAACTCACCCGGCTACAGCATGAATGCATATAGTCCGCCGATACACGGACATATTTCTCCGTGAGACGTAGCACTTTTGCTTCCCGCCCACCACTGTGACAGCTTCTCAGCGGACGGTGGCGGTCGGGTTATGCAGTCCAGCCCGCACCCTCGAAAGGCGCCCATTACCCCTTCGCTTTCTACTCTTCAGGATCAAACTGTACGCGGCACTTCATAGCCTTTTCGTTCGCAAGTAAACCAAGTACCAACCCATGGCTTTGCTTGGCACACGCCTACCAAAGAATGATGGGCCTGTGGCACGCCATGTTGCGCTGTGGCTATTGATCCGATGTTGCCCGTGCACACTGCCCAAACTGAAGTCGGCATGGGGGACTGGCGGTGGGGGCTAATTTCTTGTCAAGATAGGCGACCGGATTGCCCACCTCGCCCACAAACTCTTAGATCACTGTGCCCACGCAGCCTCAAAGCTCTATCACTGCCCTGAGTTGTCAATGGAACACGCAGTTCCAATACTATGGAGTACAACGTTCGATGTAAAATGAAGATTCGACTTGGCTGTCGACGAGAACGCAGCGGTTCATCGCTGTGTTTTCATGCTGGTGAACTGGTCAACCTGACATGTGGGCAGTTGTTGCACAGCCCCCAAGGCTACTGTATCCCGTCCCGCGCCATCGTCTAGCCGCCCGCCGGCACGCATCGGACTCGCCCTTTACGTGGCCCTATGAAACGACATTCAGACCCTCCAGTTCGAGCAACTTGCGAACGCCCTCGTTCAAACGCAGCCTGATATGAGGCAACGACTCCTCCCTGCTGTCGACATGGAATCTTTCAAGAGCCATAACTTTACACAAGAAGACTGGCAGCACCTGGCTTGCAATCATGTCCAGGCATCCGCTCCACGCCTCGTTGCGGGATCGGGCAGCTTTGTTTTGCGCCCTGCTGCTGCCCACCGGGCTCTCAGCCTTCCTCCTCGTGACCAGGTTAAAGCGCTACAGCGGCTCTGTGGTCACCTTTGTGCAAGAGAACCGAGCATCGGCGCAAATCCTCGTCCAGATTCTGTCTCAGGTCCTGGCAGTTCTTCAGCTAGACGCCCTCAAGACGTTGTTGAACTTCAGGACTCGGCTCCTGTTGATCAAGCAGCATCTTTCACTTGACGAACTCGCTTTCCGTGCAGCTATTGTTCGTCAGTATGCGGAAACCACGCTGTCGCCAACGCATGTGACGTCTCTTGTGCTTCTCCTGGTTCTTTCTGCCGCCCCTGGTGCGTTGTGGACGGGAGCACTCACCCCGGAGTTGGTCGACGATTTAAAGTCGTTCAAAGGCAGCATTGATATTCCTGCGTTTACAAGCGATTCAGCCTGGTTGTGGAACTCTCAGTTCCCAGTCAACAGCAGCACTGGATCAGTATGAAATCTCGTTCTGGGCCGCCTGTCGACCCGGACACCACACGGGTTTTTCCCCCAGTGTCCCGTCCCAGATCTGCAAGGTCTCCTACTCACCTCGGCGGCTACAGCAACCCCAAACAATCCACATCAGGAGAGAAATCAACCTAGGCTGGACAATGCCGAGTGGAGCTTTCTTGGTCGGTCCTATGGAGTTGGATCGTCACCGAACCTGGCCAGAATCGAACTCGACGGCACCACCGTTCAAGCCACGCCTTCTTACAGCTACCTCGAGAATGGATACAATACCGTGGTTCAATGTGTCAAGAACACGACCTCGGATTTGACTTTCCACTGGAAGAACTCCCTTTCCTACAATGTGGGCAACTCTGGAACCAGCAATCTTGGAGTCTATTACCTGCAGGGGAGTCTGCCTAACGACCCTCCTGGGCTTTCCCAAGTCTATCCCTCGACGGCTTGGGATCAGTATCCTAACGCGACTTTACTGGCCTGGGCGGCCCACGCATACAAGGGACGGAACATTGTCTCGATCGCCACTGGGTCCCCCAGCTACCAAGCTCCCAGCTACGTGCCTTATTACTCAACCTTCAACCAGACTCAATGCGAAATCACACTTACACCGACCGTGTTTGAAGTCTCCGTTAACACCACGACAAAGACAATCCGAGTGAAGCCACACACCGGCCAACTTCCTGTCGACCCCGAACCCACCGGCAATCTTACGTTCAATGTAATAGCGTCGCTTAATTTCCTCAGCCGGGTGAGCAATAGTCTCTACACGTCGATTCGAGGCGACGCCCTCAACACCAATCGCGAAAGCGTCAAAGGGCGACTCGACGGGGATGACGACTACACAACCACCACTTCCGTGGCCGACTCTTTCACAGCCATGGCGGACGACATTCTCGTGGCGTACGGGGCCTCGCAGCTTGTCAATGCACACGACACGGGCAAGGCGGAAGTTGTCGGACTGAGCCGGGGCGTTCGCATCGGTGAGGACGTCTACATCTACACGGTCTTCGCCGTCAATTCGGGCATTCTCCTATTGGTCATTTACGAAGCGATCAGGACGCGATTCTGGGCAGGCATGACAACGTTCGACTTTGCCGATTTGAAGAGCGCCATGTTTGCGGCATCGGCGGGAGGCACCGCCATTGCTGACCATGTGAGATCTTGGTCCAAGGCGAGTGCTGATGTCGGTAAAGTCACAGGGCGAGGTTATGCTCGTAGGAGAGCATTCGCCAGTGTCGAAGTCGTGTACGCTGAAGAAGAAGGCAGCGCCAAGAGTCTCGGATTGCCCGGTGCCTACGCTGTCAGGCCGAGCGAAAGAGGTGATCAACAAGCCGAGGATGAAGAAGTCGTCCAGATCAAGGATGAAGGGGCGAGGAAAGACTCTCAGAAATCCTGCTCAGGGGGAAATTCTGGGACAGGACCAACCACGGGTCATGTGGAAAGCCCTTGAAGGTATCAGCGGTCATAGCTGGAGTGGAAACTAGTCTCCAAGGAAGTCGGCCTCTTCAATAAAGGAACTTCGATGATATGGCAGATTGGCTTGACTGCTTCCGCCCACGATTTAGAGAATAATCTCCCGCCTGAAATCCATCCACGGGACCTCTTCCCCTTCCCTTCCCAGGAGCGGACAAGGGAATCAGATACCACGCTCTTGACCGACGATGAAGCGATCGCCGTCTCCATCACATTCATTCTCGCTATACCGGACGGCCTATAATGAGCCCTCCAATACTCGTGTTGTAGTCAGTGGCCAAAGGACCTGGTGAGTACCGCAAGGGCATCCTTCTCAGGAGTCGAGTTTGCCGTCCAATGGGCGGTACAGTCCTATGCCTTTGGCGGCATTATACATGTTGTGGTTGAATTTTCCCCATATATACTGTATATTCTCCAGTCTCGCCATGTAGTACTCGGTACAAGGAGTGGAATGCAGCGAGTCGGTTCCGGCGCAGCACCAAGGGAGGAGGCTTGGCCCTCCCTTAGCCGAGGGGCAGCGAGCCCACGCTGGCTCTTTTGGCTCGAACTTCCCTAGGTGCGACCTGTACAAGTAGGTAACTTGTCGTGAATCTCGCCGAGCTCGGAGCCCACGTCCGCGAACTTCCCCATCCATCTCCGCACCGGGCCCGGCAGTATGGGTTACTCCTCACCCCCTTACGCGCAGCGCCTTATTATATCCCTTCGGCTATCGGACAATGCATATTCAGATGGAATATCTTTTCCTCCCGAAAGTTTCTATATATATACAGCCGTGGTGTACGGCAATATCACTCACTTGACCTCCCCCGTCTGACGGAGTGACTATCCTCGATCAACCATGGCATCGCAATACCTCAGCAACATGTTTTCCCTGGGGGGAAAGACCGCCATCATGACGGGCGCGACAGGTAATACATGTCTCTCCCCCGGCTCTGGCAACTTCGTGTGATGTCCCACCTACTCACTCCCCCAACCAGGTGGCCTGGGCTCGGCACTGGCGACCGCGCTGGCCCAGGCCGGCGTGTCGACCGTCATCTCCATCGAAGCCCCCAACGACCCCATGTCCTCGGACCTGAAGGCCAAGATCGAGGACGTCGGGGGCAAAGTGACGGCGTTCCACTGCGACCTGCGAAACCCCAAGAGCCTCCGGGAGTGCTACCAGTCAATATGGAAGGCCGAGGTCGTGCCCGACATCTTGATCAACTGCGCGGGTGTCATGCGCCGGAATCTCTGTGAGAACGCGACCGACGACGAGCTTGATCTGGTAAGACCCGAGAACCCTCCAAGACCCTTTCTCCCGCACGGAAGAATGATCTAGACACTCACACACACCTCTTTCGATAGCTGGTGGAGGTGAACATCAAGTCATTCTACATCTCGATGCAGGAATTTGGCCGGAAACTCTTGGCGCTCGGACGGCCCGGGAAGGTCGTCAACATTGCCTCCGTCACGTCCTATCAGGCGGGATTCAACACGAGCGTCTACTCGAGCACCAAGGGCGCGGTCCTGCAGATGACCAAGGCTTTCAGCAACGAGTGGGCGGGCAAAGGCATCCAGGTGAACTGCATCGCCCCGGGATTCATGCGGACGTCCATGACTGCTCAGTATCAAGATGACCAGAAGATGGTGGATTATCTCATGATGCGGGTGCCGATGCAGCGATGGGGCGAACCGCAGGATCTGGTGCCCGCGATGCTCTTCCTGGTCGCCCCGGGAAATACCTTCACCTCTGGAGCCTGCCTGATTGTCGACGGTGGCTTCTGCGGGAAATAGTTCTCATAAAAGCCGATCATCCTGACTGTACAAAGTCACTATCGCACCCAAAGTGATTCGAGCTGTAAGATGCCCTCTCATGCCCCGTTCAAAGCAAGGTTCAGAGTCGACATGTCCCGATAAGCCGTGGATGCCGGTGGCCATCTCGCACTATTTGTATAGGCTCAGCTGGCGACATCGTAGCACTTAAGGCAAACTCCGCAGTCCCCTTTCCGGTCGCCAATATCTTCACATCTGCAATGTCGTCTGCGAGGCGCAGCGGTATGACCACAGCCATTTCGCAGGCCTGTGCGAAAGGGGAGACATGTTCAAGCAGAAGACCACCTCGAAGGGGGAGTTGGTACGCCGGTCCCGAAACATTGCTTTGAACCGCGATGATATGGCCAACCTTGTTGACCTTTCCTTGTTACATGTCGAATGCACTGTAGGTGTCGGGGTCTCTGTCGAAGTAGGACCGAATCTGTGGGAGTTCACCTGTTAGACTGGAACTTCACCTGCAATAGAGCGACTCGTATCGATGGGCCACCATAGCTTTCGGTCTCTTGTGGGCTTTTAAGTAGTAGCATGTCATTTCCATCGGTAAGAGGCAAGGTGGTCGGTCGTCGCCTGGGCCAGTTCTCGCCAGATCCGAGCTCCGTAGTCCGCCAACAACGAGTTTTCTTTGCCCTTGACCACTGCACTGACCGAAACCCGCGGCCCGCCAGTTTTCGGCCGCACCAGATTGGGATCCTTGTCGGACGTCCAGGGTTCAAATTCCAGATCCAAAAAGGCGTGGATATCGCCACTGGTCCTGACCATGTGAACGTCTGGGTCTGGTTGGCGGAGCTCTGCGCACCAGGAACCACTCGAACATGGCGATCTGTAGGATGTTATCGGTTTTGGCGAAAGAGGATATAGATTTCGGTCTTGCGTCGGCGATCGGTGATATTCAGGAAGACGTTCAAAGCTTTCGGGTGTCGCTACCATGATAAACGTCCCGGCGTCGTGGAATCCTGCCTTTTGTTCCTTTTGGTCGTTGGTTGGCAACATGCCAAAGCTCGGAAGGTCGTCACGATGGTCGGGAGGGATCACCGGAGCACTCTCATGAACCCAAACGTGAGAACTGGATTTGTCGACATTGGAATGTTGACGGAGGATCCGTGGCGTGTCGTTGCGAAAGTAGAGTCGTGGTTTCCATTCACAGAAGAGTTGTAGGCGTTGGCATTGTTCACATCGGGGCCGCAACTCATCGCATTTGACCTGACAGGAGGGTCAACTCTGCTACCGCGCGACACACCAAGATTCGCGTACCTTGCGGTCCCGACACGTTCGGCATCCAGTCCTCGTCCTAATGTACGGTTGTGATGAGGAATGTCTTCTCGCGCCGGCTTTCTGCAACCCTTGCTCTGGCTCGATGTGCGGAGAAGGCGGCAGACTGGTTCCAAGGCTCATCTTTCTCAGAGATGTAACAGCAGCATGCAAGGAGAACCAGGCGCTTGATCCCCAGTCGTCGCCGTCTTCCACGAGGGAGCGGAGCGAGAGCACGTACTCGCGGATCACCCGTGGAACAGTGGAGGGCCCTGGGTGGAGCAGAAGATGGCCTGACGGCGGGGCAGCATTCTCTGTTTCGAACTTGGCAGCAACGGCTTGACAGCTCAGCTCAAGCTCTTAAGAATTCTGTTGGAGGAGGGTTTATTCTTGCCATTGGAAAGTCTTCTTACAAGTATCCACGGCATCGTCGACAAGCGCTACGTCCAATTGTAAAGCATAACGGGACAGAACAGTCAGCATGGAAATCCAGACCGTGGCCAGACCACGGGTCATGAGGCTCCCTTTCTACAAGCTCCTTTGGCGTTGAGCAGCGTGTGGCAGATCATTCCTGAACAGAGAACTATCCGGCCAGCTCGGACGTTGCATCGCCACCCCCAGCAGCGGAGATCGTGTCCGAAGGAAGGGAGACCCGTGCTGATCCTATTTCTCGGACAACTCCCACACAAGTGCCACCACCACCAATCTCGGCCTAAATCCCTCTCTCTGCTGTCGTTCGCTCTCATTATTTGATTTGGCCATCATGACCAGGCACCTCCCTTTGGCAACCCACTTGTGCTCAGGGCCCTAAGCTTCGGTATACTTCGCCCGTCACCCAAGCCATCAAGGAACTCCTTACCGCAGCTAGCCCTGCTCAGTGGTTCGATCATTATATGGTCCCTTATGGTCCCTTGAAATACAAGCCGCAGTCAGAAGGCGGGTAACGATGTACCGGGCGCATTTCGAGCCGTTCAGCTGTTGAGACACTTGGTACACATGAAGCTCTTTTCCTTCCGGCGAAGACATCCCCTTTCCAGCACAATTGGGGGAGTGGCTTCCCTGTCAGTGAGACGTGTCGTTCAAAACAAAGGAAACCAGCGACCAGCTGAAATTTGTTGACTGCCAATTCTGAACATCGAGCAACCTATCTGACCCGCTACAAGTATTGGTAATATCCCTCACATTGTGTTGGTCTTGGCCGCGTCTCCAACAATAAGACCCCAGCGATGTTTGTGATGGGTTCTTGGCCTGTTGGCGCAGGGCACGAGTTCGCATTGAATTTAGCTTGCGGTGGGTTGGTAAACACCTTCGGCGCTCCAGCAGCGTGATTGCAGCAAGGAGCCGTTGGTGGCAATCCGCTGCACGCCCCATGTTGAATTCTTACCTGAGAAGAGAGCTGTCGAACAGGTCTTGGGAGCCGACCCCTCCTTGCGCTCCTTTTCTTGACCTCTTAGCAGGCCACTTGGGCTGCCATTTCGGTGGGGAATACGATCCCAAGTATCAGGAGACCGAAAGTCGCACCATCAGGTCAAGGACCACAACGAGAATCCATGTGGGCACATCCATCTCGAAGATTCTTCTGCATGATCAGTTGTCTATTCGTTACGAATTATATTTCTATGCTAGTTGGCTCACCCTCCTCACGACAAAGGACGAACCATCCACCTTCGTTCGACATACATCAGTTGGCAGGACATGGAGCAAATTCCAAAGTACTCGTCGTCAGCTCCCACCAAACCATCACCTCTGGAGGGCTATCAGATTGGGGAGGCAAAGGCTGATCTCCGAAAGATTTTAGGGACAGACTTGCCCCCGCCAATCGACTTTACTCCTAAAGCGTCCAAAGGAGTCGGCAATCTTGCAGGATCGAGGTCAACCGAACAGTCTCCTGATGCTGCAACCTCTCGAAATAGCAGTTCTCACGATCCCCTTGGGAACATGAGTCTCAAGGATGAAGCTAAGATGGGAGACGATGCTGCGAAGCTACTCAGTGACTATACCTCGTCATTTAGTAAGCGACTGTAGTCGAGGAAGTTGGAAAGGGTACAGGTGGTGACCTGCCATCAGACTGTAATGAACACATATAGACTAACCGCCAGCCTCCAGACACCAGGGCTCAGAAATTGATTTGTTGTATCATCAATTACCTCAAAGCTGGCATACAGGTGTCTCTTGAGACGGCAGCACCGTGACAAATGCACATGTAACACGAAAATGCTCCTCAAATAGAACACTGTCCGCAATGTCAACACATAACTCCTGCGTGACTTTGCTCTCGCTACGGATATCAAAGCCCAGGTTCTCCCCAGTGCAGTCAACCTGACCTGACCACGCCGCTCGGATCGGGCGGCCATCCAGCTCCTAGATTCGACTTTAGAAGTGCTGGAGATGGAGATGGGTACTTGTAGGTTTCGAAGGCGCGAGCTTCTGGAGACGAATCAGGGACGAGGCCATGGACGGGTTCAAGGATCAGAACGCCAACGTCCAACCCCAGATAAAACGAAGGCCGCGCCCAGGAACCGACGCCGAATCTCAAGCGAGCCAACGGCCACGATACAGAAGGGCACATAATGTCAGCCCACTCTTGACCCCGGTCGAAACCCGCGTCTCTGTCACACCCCTGCGGACGATCGATTTGTGTTCGGGGATTTTCTTACGGAGAACTTTGCAAGGGGGGGGGGAACTTGAACCAGAGCGGACGGTCTTCTGTTCCCTTTCCACCAGCGACAAATGTCCCGTCTATCATCTCCCAAGTGACTATCTGCTCCAAAGAAGCATCTCACTCCAGAGACCAGTCCCGGAGACATTCTCCGGGGCCCGACGAAGGGGTGAAGACGGGATGTTTTCTCACCCCCTCCCTGGGGGGGGATCGACATCCTTAAACGCCCGAGTCCGTAGGGATCTGCAGGTGTGAGAGATATCACGGCAGTCAGGTCGAACGAAAAGTCCTCTGGTTTCCAAAGCTTAACATTGTGAGAGCTAGCGACGAGGGAACTAGTTCGCCGACCCTTTTTTGAGAGAATAAGGTAGAACTTTTGATGTCGTCGTTTGGAGCGGCCTTGCGTCTCCCGGAATACGCAAATTCATTTTCTGGCCCTTGGGGAAAAAAAAAGAAAAGGTAGAACCGACCTGATGAAGGAGGCCCCCCTTTTTTCGAGGTGAAGACCGATGTTTCGAAGAACCCTAAACACAGACCCCTGCCGCCCAGCTTGATGGGCCCCGAGCACGTTCCAATCCGTCATCCGGGCCACGCGCCCCGGACGAAGGAGGGCCATGGCCGCGCCATGCCGACGCCTGTCGAGTTGTCTCTGACGCTCGACCGTCTGCGGGAGCTGTGGGAGAAGCCAGGTGAGCAAAGAGGATGGCATACTCCTACGAACTGCTCTTGACCCTGAGAACGACACAGTCGAGACACGCCATCATCCCCTTCTCCCCGAGACGTCGGCGCTGTCGTCGTCTCGATCCACCGGGCCTTTCTTCATTCCCTCGGCCAGTGCGGCGGTGTATATCCCGTTCTCCGCGAAGGGGGCCCACATCCGCCCGTCGTCGACGACCCTGCCCCTCGACTTCTCCCAGGACGTCCTGCGCGAGTGTCAAGAGCGGACTGACGTGGAGCTCCGTCTCGGAAGATTCGATCCCCTCGAGGACGCGTTCATCGTCGAGCTCCTGAGCCGGCTCGAGGAATGCCGAAGGTGTCAGTGGGCGATGGAGATGCTGGCCGCGCATCCCGAGAGCTGTGCGTCGATCTGCGCCATGGCGCACGAAGTGGTCCGTGATTGAAGCGCCTGAGGCTTCTTCCCGAGGAAGTTCCAATGTTGAGGATGCCCTGATTGATCCAAAAGCTCATGTATCAGCTCATGACGAAGATGAATTTCAATATTCGCGCACGAGAGAAGAGAAGGGCAACGCAGGTAGGTCAGACACTGGTACAGTCACGGACAGGTTCGCTTGCGATGAGCGAGATGAAATTATCGTCTACGCGTCGAGTCTTCGGGGAGAGTCACCTGGGGGGTTTGATGGCGGGCTCAATTCAGTGCCATCTAACGTGACGATCGCCACAGCCTCCATGGAGGTGTTGATTTCCCCCATCCTACAGGACGGGCTTGGGGAACTGTTGAATGAATAGAACGGCATAAGATGCTACTGGCCAAATCAGGACTTGGTCACAACATCAAGCTGTGATCTAAGACGACTTGTGACGGCTTCACCGATACATTTCATGGATGAAAATGGTTGGAGCCAGCATTCTAGTCAACTTGTTGCTAATGTACATGTCGCTGTTGCTCCTCTGATAGATGTCTAGATAGGTCTGCCTCCCTGATATCGTCTTGCAGGTGCTGTTGCAAGGGTATTGCTGTCGTTATCCGGCCTCGCGCGTGCTTGTTCCAAGCTCCATATTGACATATTTCTCCTGCACAAGGCAAGGCCTTGCCTGTGGTTGAACCGGGACAGTTCATCTTAAATTGTCTGGTACTGCGTTGTGATAGTGCGAGTGGCGGCGTGGGCGGCGGTAGTCCTCATCATCCGCCACGGCATACTCGGTCGAGACGCTGATCTGGCCCTTTCCCACCCCGGTAGACAGTTCTTCCGACGACCTCGATCGCGTCAGGTGGCGCTCCGATCCGTCGCCATCGCCGTCCGTGACCTTGTCGTCTTCGACCCTCTTGTTCTTGTCGCCGTGCTTGTTCCATAGTGTCGCGAGCTGGTGTGCCTGGCCGCTGCTGACCGCGCCGGCACTACCTTGGGATTTCTTGGTCCCGTTGGACGACAGCTCGCCCTTCCGCCACACGGTGTAGAACGCTTTGATCCCCGGCATGTTTGCCGCAAAGATGCCGACCTGGATCTCGACCGCCGAGATCAGGATCATCCGGCCGAGGATGTAGGTGAAGTCCGGGTTGGTGGCGAATTGGTTGACCACAATCAGCCGGAGGCCCGACACGACGACCACGAGTCCGCCCATGGTGATGACCGAGTACACGGCGAGTCGTCGACGCCAGTTCATTTGGAGGCCCCAGAACACGGTGACGGGGAGGAAGAGGATGATGCTGTCGAGGAAGAGTTCCTACCAACGAGCGTTGTTAGCCAGATATAAAACAATCCCCCCAAAATGTGGACGTACCAAGCTTCCTGGCACAAAATATGTCACCTTCGACGGCAGACATTTCGCTGTCGGGAATTGTGTGGGATACCAAAAGGCCTGGAGAGGGTTGCATTGGAGGCAATAGATCAGCCAAATGGTGAGGGTGATTGTAGCGGTCAGCCCGATGGTGCCGAAGACCAACATTCGAAACCTTCTTTCCTTCGCCAGACGGAGGTAGAACAGCAGGAAGCAGAGTTTGATCCAGAAGTGCATCCAGATGTAGTATATTTCTTCGGCAAAGAGGACCTGGAATGGATTTTAGCTGTGGTGTGGCAGGAGCGTAGAGAGTAGAAGACCGACCTTCAACAACACGGTCAGGTTGTTCGGATCCTCTGCCAGGACCTCCTGCATTTGTCTGTAGACAGCTGTTAGCGGACGAAGACAGAGCTCGCTGGTGTCATCAGCCATACCGACCACCGCCATGGTTCAGGAACAGATACAATATCACCTGTTGACCGGCGTTGAAGAACTGTTTTGTTGTTAGTATATTTTGCGTCTGGCGGCAGATCAGAGCAAGAGGGGGAGAGTCGCATACCAGACAGAAGAACATTGCCCAGTCATCCCAGCCCAGCTGTTTCAAGATGATGCCTCTCGTCCACAGTCGAAGCAGAATGCTGACTTCACCAATGCCGAAAAGAATGTTGATGACAACATGGCAGATCAACTGGAGGCTTTTGGGCTGACCCATTCTGAACGAAAGACGGATTGTCGAACCGGGCTCTCCAGGTCTTGCAGTGTCGGTTGAAAGGAAACGAAAGCCTTCTGACCAGCAGACTTGAAGTCTCCAGAAACCGAGAAGTTCATCGGTCTATATATCGTCGACACAAGGTGAGACGCTATAACCGACAGCTCTTGTCGGGGGAAGACCTGGACAAGGCTCTATACCTACGTGGATCACTCGAAAACCTCGAAAGATCGTCGACTGTCGATCACACTCCCGGGGACCCAAATCCGTCGGATTGTAGGGAACAGGTTAGTTCGCATCGCCTCGACCCCGTCCCTTGTCGCCCTAACAGAGAAAATTGGGGAGGTCGGAAAATCTGGTCCAAATACGAGGCTAAACCCTGGTACAAATTGGCTTACGAGTAGAATGTCTGTCACTCCCCGCGTGGATTCGAAGAACTAATAGGTTGTGTGGCTGAAATGCCCTGTAAGGAGCAAGCCGTTTATAGAAGAAGCCCTTTCCGTCCATTAAAGAGGCGTTCAAAACGAAATGTAGACCTGCTCTCGGCCTACTGGGCCGTCTGGCCTGGTCACAGCTATTAAGGAAGACTGAGAAGGCGACGAAACGACATTAGGTGCATGTGCAAACCAGAAATCATGAACTCTGGTGCCTCCATATGTGGGAATAGGTCACCACCTCGACATCAGAATGCACGTACCGGCGCATTGAAGCTGCGAGGCTGGCTACAAAATTTTTTCTTTCCGCGGACAGGGAACCCTGGCTTTTGCCCTTCGTCTTGTCTACAGATGCCCAATGGAGCATTTTAGGAGTGGGCAAGGGGGAGGGGGAAGGGATGCGACATATGCCGTTGCGAGGGTACCAACAGAGGTTACAACGTGTCCGAGGTCTCCCAAGGAGGGAAAATTCTGCCCGTGGGCATGCCTCAACAGACCCGATGATCGACAAAGTCCATGGCCCGTCGAGAAGCATCCATCCCTACTATCCGGAGGGGCGTGAGGTCTATAAAGACGAAGGTACGACGAAGGCGGTTCCGCTTCAGTCAGACCCAGATTCTGAAACACCGAAAAAAAGTATGCGATTTCGACTTTTACAAGGAATGTTGTTTCTGGAAAAAGGGCGGGGGACAGTGGGGGTGCGACCATGTTCGACATGTGCATCGGTGATTGTTCGCGTTACCTGATCCCAGATACGAGGTTGGACCTGTGGGCTCGTCGATCCAATCAACCTCCGAGCAGGGCTGTTTTCCCCGAAAAGATTCTCGCGACAGCCTGATGGCATCACTAGAGGCGAACCGGCCCGCGGAACGGGCAAAAATTGGACTAAGCGTTGGCGCCACACGATTGCAACGGTTGCGGGTTCTGGTCGAAACCGTTGTGGGAATGGGTGTTTATTGGTCGCATTACTCCGAGGATCCAGGTGCGTGCCTGAATGTGGTCCTTCGAGGCAACCCATCCATACCGTACGCAAGCTGATCGACAGAATCCAGGGAGCAGCATGTTGTCGGGTCTGTGGGGGAAGTTCCTTATAAGGAGGCCATAAAACCCTGTGGCTCCATAAGGCTCTTCCCCTAACGCGCAACGATGTGGTCAGAAGAGGTTTAGAATACGTTACGGAGACGCGGAGCCAGTGCATAGGGTCGTTGCTGCAACGGGTCTTGGTTCGACGACCGAGACACTCGCATCCAGTCCCTCGGGGGCTCCCTTTTTCATCTCCCCTACCTGCTCGTAATATTCAGAAGCGACTGCCCGACCGTTGGGATCTGCATAGTCTAACACAGAATACGGGGCATCAGTGGAGATCACTAATGAATAATAATGTGGACCCGTGCCGCTCCTGGGATCAACACTCAACTCACTTATATTGTCGTGATATTGGATGGGGACTCGACGGCAAAAGAAGCTTGTAAGAAGGTAGCACAATGGGCGTGTCTTGCTGAATCTCCGGACAAACTTGGAGGCTCTTGAATTGTTGTCAACCGTGTTTTCGGCGGCTTAGACGGTGCCTTCAGGTACGGATAGTCGACGAGGTTTGCCGGTAACAAAACTCCGCTGATCGACAAAGGACGAAACATAACGGCCCCAATTCTTCACCGGCCTCCTCCGTGACTTCTGAAATCTTGGTAAACGTGGAGCTATTTCGCTAGGTCATGTACGTCGACACAACAAGCCATCCTACAGGGATTCGCATTCTCGAGTCGCCTGCGATTACCCTTGCGCGAGGCAGCCAAGGACAATGTCTAATCCACATCTGCACGAAGCCCCTCATGTAATTGAATTACCTTCTGACTCCCACGGCGAACCCAAGTTCTAGTCGGTTAGTGTCTTTCGCTTCCCACACTGGTATGGGGGAAGCACCGAAATTCTCGCGCCAACCACCTTCGCTTCCTAGTCACTCGAGATCTGCGCACCTCGCAACGGTGGTGAAGCACATGAAAGAATGTGTGGCCCACAACCCGACTAGCCCCAGCAGACACCGCAGGGATTGTGTCCTGTCCTTGCATAGGAGAAAAGACTCCTCGGGAGCGTTCCGCAGAGAAAGGAAAGATCGTCGTCATTCAGAGCCGAGACTTTACCCACCTGCGCTTCCTCCCTGGCAAAGCGAGACAAGGCTAGGCCTGCCATTTGGTGCCCAAAGTCGGATTCCCCTTGGGACCAGTAAAAGGCCTTCTCTGCGCATGCTAGCATATCAATGGTAATGCAGAACCCCTGCTACCTGACTCGCCAACGAAGCCGATTCCACAGTGGTGTGTCGGACCACTAGACATTCAGGAGATTGGAGAGCCTCGGGATCCTTTTCGTCGAAGTCGCATGCGCCAGATATCTGTAGGATGACTTTTCGACCGTCGAGTCCTCCTGGCAGCATATCTCTTTTGTCGAACTTACCCTTTCGGTATATGCCTTATTAACCGGCATCCTTCCCCCCGGGACCCTTGAGGTCCTATCGCTTCTCTCCTTTCTCCCCGGGTGATTGATTCCTCTCGCAGACGTCGCTCGAGAGAAAGTCCTGCTCGCAAGCATGGAACATGAGTGGGCGACCATGAACCTGCTCATGCATGCACTGAACGCTGAACTCGGAGTTACTGCTGCTACCGCTTTGGTGTTGGGAATCATTTTCCACCACAGTATACGTCCAATC